CTTCTACGAATTTCCTATTGTCAACTCGCTCTAGATTTCAATTCTCAATATCTGACTCCATTCGTTTTCGTGTCAAGTATTTCCTACGTTTCCTGCCGGCTGGTCTGCAAGTTTCTTTTACATCTAATACTTAATTGATTCGTCAATTGTTTCGACCCCTGGTTACTACTAAGTAGTACCAATATTTCATAAACCCGTCTTTCTAGAATGCCAAAGGAACAGCGTTCCTTCAAAGCTATGGATTACTATCGATCACCACCACTCACCTCTAACAACCTCGTCTATCCACCTATCAACTCTCGACCCATGACCACACCATACTATGAGCCACTGCAACACAGCTACCAGAATATGTCGAACTATGCAACAGGAGGTCCCGTACAACAACCTCCTTTACCACTTCCAACTCAACATTATGTCCAGAGTACTCCAATGCCACCTTCCATTCGACCTTCATCTGGAGCATGGACACCTATTGATGATCGAACTTTGATAGCAGCACGGAAGCAGGGACTGAATTGGCAACCTATACAAGCAACTTACTTTCCAAACAAATCGGCCAACGCCTGTCGAAAGCGCCATGAACGTTTGATGGAACGAAAGTCTAGTGATGATTGGGATAATGTCAAATCTGAGACCCTTGCAAAGCACTATATGGATATGCGCAAAGAGATTTGGTCGGGGCTGGCTGCCGCTACGGGGGAAAAATGGACTGTTGTGGAGCAAAAGGTATGTATTGAAACGAATATACTTGGGATTTATACTGACATGAAGAAGTGTATGTCAACTGGTCTCAAAAATATGCAAACATCTGCGAGAGCTTATGCTCGCCGCGAACGTATCATGGAAGCAGGAGGACAAACTGGAAATGCAACATACTCGGACCACAATGATTATGAGGTCCATGAAGACAGCGGGATTAGCATCAACCTCGACGGCGATTATGATCGGGATAATGGCTCAGAAGCTTCTACTAATGACCCGCTTAATCAACAACATTACTCATATGCACCACAAGTTCTCTCGGATGGCCGACCGGACGGATATCCACAGACGGACCGTAATGATGGCTACCCACAATCGGATCGCAACGACGGCTACCCACAAACTGACCGAAGTCCATACCACCAAGATAACCGAGCATCATTTCACTCACGTTTACCATCTATGGATATGGGTATCGATGCTATTATTAATCAACCATCAGGGCTTTAGTGGCTTGTCTCTATCCTGTGAATGTAATTTCGAATCGCTTCTATAATCTGTCGGAGAAATAAGGGTCGGTACTATGGGGGTCAAATTTCTTAAGCTATCTTTGGAAAATGATACCAGGCGTAATTGGTTTTTTTTTTCAGTTATGAGGAAGGAATTTATGAGCTTCCGGCGTTAGAGAGGGGAGTTTTCAAAATGCGCTTAGTCACAAGCGCTTCACACAATCATTTCAAAGTTGGGGTGGATTTCATTTGTTGGTTGGGTTTTGCGACATGAACATGACCTTTACGTATTTATCTTATCATGTTGGGAATGGAGTAATTGAAAAGGTTTGGGATTTGCATGGTGGAAGTGGACAGGTTTGGTGGAATCCTGTATTATTAGATACAGATTAATACCATCAGAAGGCTATTGAGTCTTCATAAAAGATTAGATATAAACACTATTCATCTTAATTTTTGTTTTCTAGTACTGCATATTGTTTGAACTTTATCAGAAATTAAATGCCTAGTAGGGCTAGTCACCTGTTTTATCTCATTTAACTAAGAAGTTCTGCATGATCCCAATATTCATGACCATCAAACATTTTAAGACAGACAAGTTTGTTGAAGTTGGCAGTTGTCTGAGTACGTACCTAGGTATATAAGAATTGAGGCCCCGGCTTATCGCACATTTAAGCGAGATTAGGGTAGCTATCTAATTTCATATATCTTAATTTAAAAATTCAATTATTATTCTAAAATTCATTATTTTCGATTTAAATTCAAAATCGATATCGAATATAGTCACAAAAATGATTATTATAAATTTCATTAAAATTAATATACTCCTCGATATTCTAGAGTTATTTAAGCTAGGATTGTTAGAAAATCTGTTAGAGTAGATACTAGCAATGAATCAACTAGGTGAAATGTAGCACAAAGACTTTTCATTAATTCTTCTAAACTTATGAAAACTATACAATTTATATGTGTGTGCGGGCTCCCTTCGGCACACGGTAGGCCCGAGGGCTTACTATCACGTGCCTAATGGAGCCCTTTAGTCCATGACCGTGACAATAAGCAAAAAAGAAATTAGATTTTGCATATAGATATTACTAGTAAGGAATTAGTAATACTATTATTATTAAGCCAAAAAAGGAGAATTAAAGATTAGTTATATAATCAAACAAAAGCACTTTCGAATTGAGAAAAGCAAATAGAATATAAATTACTAGACAAATTGATGAAAAAAGATACACTAATTGTATTAAATCAGTATATCGATTAGAAAGAGTATCAATGATGATATAGGATATAATTAACTGGAATTATAAATCTTTATTAATCTTTTTGAAAAAGTTTGAGAATAATAAAGATATTATCTTTAAAACATATATACAATAAATCCTTAAGCCTATTATATTCCCACTATTCAATAAACTAAAATCTGTGTATATGTTTATAAAAAACAATTCTAAGGTATATTCTAGACATACCTATAGAACTCGATTGGAGTATAATATATAAGATTTTGATTAGCCATCCTTCTCTTTGAATCTTAATTCAATTAAGAAAATATAGTAATAAATAAAAAAGGAATTAAAAAAGCTATCATTTGTATTTACTTTTATAAAGAAATTGAAATATAAATTACAAGCTTTCTGAAATAGAATAGATTTTTTAGATTTCAGACTATATACTAAGAGATTAATTTGCAAGATTGAAAATGTAATTAAAATATAAGGATTAGTTACTATTCATTAATATAATACTCAAGTTTTATAAGATTATATTGTGTAGTTGATTTATTATTAAATTTTAAAAAATTAGACCGAAAAATGGGTGGTGTGCGATAAGCCGGGGCCTCAACTCTTACATTCCTTCTTAATAACCTCAACCCCACACCTAATCCTCGACCCACGACCGCGCTACCAAACCTTGATTCAATAGCCTTGGCCATTAGATAAAAAGTCTAGAACCAAAATTTGAGGATTTCGAGTAGTACTCAAAAGTGGGGCTTATCGATTGGCTACCGTACGTATGATTTACTTCGATTGGAATCCATGTTGGATGATATTCAATCAATGACATTTTCCCGTCCCTTGATGGTAGTATCTTGTGATCTTTCAAGGAATGACATCACATCAAAATCTATATACTCAAAGTATCCTGGAGCTATACCCAAACACAGATATCTCCACGAATCTAGAATGTAAATTTTTTAACATCTCATTGAAATGTTCCAACCTCATCCCTAATCTGATGTACACGGCATACCATCATCAACTGCTCCAACCAACCAACTCAAATACCATCCCGCTTCTATTTCTAACCCGGAATCCGGGTTTGATGCTGGATCCACAGATTCCAATATCGCAATCTCGATATCCATCCTCGCGATCCTTTCGCTTTGGGAATTCCCCACATTTTCACCGAATCACATCTATCTACTCGTAAAATATCCATGCTTCGATCTCTTCCTTTCGTTTGTATCTTGGTAGGAGTCTAGGATTTTGGATGTTGAAGATGGGTATCGAGAATTGCATACCTTGGTTGGTGATGCCGAGGCTCAATTCGTGTATAGATTGCATGTTCCTTAATCGGGTTACGCTGCGAGTGCGAGTGTTTCTAGTGCTTTATGAAGTTTGATTCTCTGATTGCATATGCCGTGTGTTGTAACCCTTTCAATCATTGCGTGTAAGTCTGAGTTAATCTTGGGAATGGAAATAGTAGCGAGTGACGATCATCCTGCTCTCCTTGCTCTAGACTGTGCAAAGTAAGCAATTCAGTGATTTGGAATCTTGAAGCCATTCTATATAGAGCAAATAACTAATGCATCAAGTGTATCTACGAGCTAAAAGTCAAACCAAGCATCAGGTCAATGCAGATCAGACCTCTCCCCAAACTATCTCGCTAATCTCACAACTAACAGTTCCAGAAAACGCTCAGAACAATTCCAGAGTAAGACAACATTCGCACTAAATCACTTCTTCTGGCTCACAGATAACTCCTCAAATATCCAACATAGTTATCTATCAGTTATACCTCCAAGGCGACTACTCATTGCAATGCAAATCGTTTCTTCCTCTTGCCCAAACTTCAGCGATAAACATATCATCTATCCACGGTGCCTATATCTCTCTCCACAGACAATCCATACATGACATAATATCAGTTGAGATGACTCAAGGCACCCTAATAAACAAGCTCTCTCAGAAAATCTCCTTAGTCCCAACCATACGCACAGATCTATCTAGCCCACCCATGTAAGCGACCCGCACCCCGCATTGGCGCTTATCCCACCTATTCCTGTTTTCATCCCTAATCTTCCCGACTTTAACTGTTCCTCCCTTGTCTTCCTATTCTTTGATCTGTTATACAGAAGTTATCCTCTCTTCCTTTCAGCCTCAATGGCCCACTTTCATCCTGACATTCTGGGGTTAGTATTTTCGCTCTGCATCGGGAGGAATTTATACCCGCATTACTATCATCAATACCTCATTACAATTTTTTATGGGGCAAGTCATCCTCTCACAGTGTCCAAAGAATGATGGTTTCGGCAGATGATTAAACCTTGTCGATACCCACATTAAAAGCAAGTGTCATCATTCTGGTAAAGATCTTCTCAAGAGAGATTGCATTTCTTGGAGATTTTCAAAGGCAACAGCTTTTGCTACAATAAGTGGAGTGATAAGGATGACATAGTAGATCTATGTGACAGGCTCCAGGAAGATCATACTTATCTTTCATTGGGAATTCAGGCATCAACGAGTCTCCGGTTTGTGGATTCAGTCATCTGCCTTGGCTCTAAGGCGCTATACTATTTTTCAACAACTGCTTTATCCCCTCAAGATGCTCGCGTAATGCTTCCAATCCGCCTCTTCGACTTTCAGATTGGCCCGACTCCCGTTGCTGAAATGCAAACTTTACAATGCCGAGCATCTCTTCGCTACTCAATAACCCACCCGACGCAAAGCCATCCGGCCCGATCTCGCCAGGATCTATCCGGTAATCACGCGGTAGGCCCAGAAGTCTTTCGATCTGTTCGAAAAGGCTGGTTATAATTTGGATGAGAATAGTCGTCTGAAGATTGCCCGATTCTGGAAAGTCAGTATTTGAATAAACTAAAATGCACTTCATCTCATGTCAAAGAGCGTGGCTTACGTAGTGGAAAGCTACAAAAGCTAAGCCCAGGAAGAGGACAAAGAGAGGGATCATCACTGTCCGAGATCTCTGTTAGAAAGTCATGTATGTGTGAGGACAGAATCTCGTGAAGCCGCAGTAAATATACATGACATGTGAGAATGAGAAGCGAAGTTGCGAAATCAGACTTTGAGTACGTTTGCGAATCGGAATCTGATAGGGTAGAGTGTATTGATGAAGAACCGTCTATGGGCGAGGATGTGCTGCTTTCATCAGCTCCGGATAGAGTATTTGCATAGTCTTTAGTACTCTTTTGAAGATCAGGTCTTATGTTGTTTGATGTAGAATTTGGACTCAGAACAGTACCACTAGATGATCGAGGGGAGCTGGCAGAAGGTCGACCAGACGAGTCCGCCAGCAGACTAAGAGCTTGCAAGAAATCTCTTGTACTGTTTAAAATGTCGTCCAACATTGTTCTTGGGGATTTCGTCTCATCGATCGGCTCAACTAGCATCTCTACAATTGCTTTTGGGTTGCCTGTATAAATTCGAGAAAGCAGCGAAACAAGATCCAAATTAGTCTTAGCTAACCGCTGGACGATCGTTTCCTCTTCATTCTTGTCAATAGATATGCAACCTGCAACCTGATCTTCAGGGGTTTCGCAAGAATTATTGGTTTCAGATATCGTAGCTAAAGTTTTGTGACTGCTGCATTCGAGATTTTGTGAATTAGATGTCGAAGTGGGAGACGCCGTTCGGGGTGAGAGTATCAATGATGGCGTAGTTCGAGAGGAAAGATCTGCTGTATATGTCGGTGCTTGTGACGGATAAATCTCAGTCGAGCTACCTGTACCGGTGTTACCAGATAAACCAAAGTTCTGATCCGTTCCATCTGGAAGTATGAGGCCGGAAAATAATGAATCCTCGGCTGCCCAATGCATATCACTAATTGTGTCTGAGAAGCCTGTAGGATACATTGGCACAGGTAATGATGATTGAGAAGTTTCGAGTATATTCATCAGTGTTGTATGTCCAAGAGATCCCGAGGAACTTGCCGTTTCCGTAACAACAGCAGCATCTATCACCGCTTGCTGGGTAGTGACTTGTGACTGCACTTGGAGCTGCGCAGCATTGTTGTATCGTCGCTTTCGCACCGACTTTTGCACTCTTGCCTTCCCCCCATGCTTTTTGTAGAAGCTGAAACAGTGTCATCCACATAGCTACGCACACGAAAAACTGGACTGGTGCGACATTCAACATCTGCACGGAAGCATCGATCGCAGTTTTGCTGGTCAGTTCTTTCGCGAATGCATCGCAGTTTTTGACCACGGCATCGATCACACGCAAATCTTCGAGAAGAAACTCCACACGCATTCATATCCATCACTCTCGAAGCCTTATGAACAGATTTTTCAAGCTAGAAAGAAAAAATACGTAGGTAGTTCGAATAAAAGGAGAGCCAACTTGAGTTGGTTAAGACAAGATGCAGTCATGCGGGATAAAGAACCGTACTAGCACCTACGCCACATAGCAGGGGAGACATCGTACGACTAGATTTCTTGGAAAACTTCTGCGTGCCTTTAAAGTTTGTAGATCACTTATTCTTCTTGACTATCTGAACAAATAACAGGCTTTTCTGCAACTAGAATTATACACTACGTAACCCCAACACTCTTGTCTATTTCAATTACACCATCTCTAGTTTTTCACAACTCAAAAACTAGAACTGCCCTCATTCTCATAATCTGGTCAATACCAGTGTTGGTAAACTTCCTCCAACTGTTGGGATTACAGGATCATCTATCCGTTTGTTTGTGACTTATGCGGCGCAGTTGGAAAATCATTTGCCTACAATCTACCGAGTATCACATGGCCATCTAGCATTACGTTCTCTCGTCTTCATTGGAGAATCCAGCGGGCTTAGATATAGGTATGCATACATTGGGTACATTGAGTAATATAAACGATTGAGTCCCCAGATTCAGTGGGGGTTCTGGAGTTTCTGTGTGCTGAAATATCAGTACACTCAATGGTAGGTAGACACAGATACCGACTTATTCTGCCCTCCAAAACCATTGTTTCAAAGAGCTACTATAATCATTCGCTGCTCTACAATGGTCGATTACAGCTTAGACTCATGAATATAGTGGCAGCTAGAAACCTTTGAAGTCTCAATTCCCGCATGTTTGCAAGAATAGCCCTACTGGTCAATACCCAACTTGGGAGCAAGGAATTCGGCGCAGAATTCAAAGCTCAGAGAAATATTGATATGATCAATTCATTTCTAGAAGCATTAGACGTTGGATTCGCAGAGAAATACTAGCTTATCAAAAAAACGATACAACTCTTCTCAGGCATTTCCAGACGCGAAAGACACCACCGATTCGAGAATCACTCAACCAAAGAATAGCAAATCATGTTTCCTGTAAGACTGCACACATATTCCATCGCTATAATCAATTTACAACTAATATTGACCCCACCATCTCGTGTAAATGTTTTCATTATCGATGATATCTCAGCAGTCAAAAATACAACCAAAGACATGAGTAGAGCTTAATAGTCGAATAACTCTATAATTCCTTTCTGGATTAATCTAAGGTCTAATCCCATACCTACCTACTCAGTCCTGCACTGAAGTAAGAATCTCCAAGCGAGTCCCACACTATCCATCTAAATCCTATTTATCACGCAACTCGCAGACCCGAGCTCGCTTGAGAAGCCTCCAAGATCCATATCCAGATTCGTATCAAAATTAGACCGACCATTTCGAGCTTGAGAAACACACAATAATCGGAGTTCCGAAAATATAATTATTTACCAGATATAGTAATTCGACACCGAATACCGAGTAACAATTGTTTTCGGCGTCGGGATCGGGGTTAGATCAACAAAATAACATGCCGAACAAATAATGACAGATAGATGATCGAGAGATGTTTGATATATCAATATATTTTCTCTCACATATAAATATAAGCTCACAACTAGCAGATATAAAAAAGAGGATTTATCTTCGTCACCTAATCGCTTTAACGAGATGCCTTTGCAATCCATCCCAGCACCACCCATCTACAAATCCTACTCGCCAAACCCGCACTATTCATCTCCCCATCGCAAAAGCGAACAACCCATGACGCTCTCTAACATTACAGAAATCTTCCGCGCCAACAATCTCCTATGGTTTTCAGTGGTCGTCGTACCTGTATGTCTGTCTATGTTCCCATGCATTCATAACATAACATAATCTTACTAATAATACACTATTATGTTACATAGTTACTCCTCTACTCGCTTCTTCGCAGCATCTACAATCTGTATTTCCATGCACTTTCGCGCTACCCAGGACCCAAGCTCGCGGCCATCTCCAACGCTTGGTACGCGTATAATTGGTAAGATACTAATCCTAATCCTAAACCTTTCATCACAGAAATCAGTCTCCTAATAAACTCCAGCTTCACTGGAAAATGGCCGTGGAAAATCGAAGAAGTGTCGAGACGTCATGGTAGGTAATACAAACGCCTGCCAAACTTCTTTTCGTTGATCCACCATTGGTTGATTATTCATGCATAGGCGATGTTGTCCGTATTGCCCCCAATGAACTTGTATTTCTCACACCACAAGCGAGAAAAGGTACGTATCAATGGATGTCACATCAATAGCAATCGTATCAAGCAGCTAGAAAATTAAAAAATTTCCAGATATCCACGCCACGCACGTTAAAAACCTCGAAAAATTTCTCAAAACAGATTTTGAAGATCTCGGAGAAGATGGAGGGATCTCCTTCGAGATCGATCCCATCAAGCACCGCAACGTAGCCAGTAAACTTTCTCCCGCATTCAGCGCTCGAAATACTAAAGCCAAAGAAGCGGTTTTGCATAAACATATTGATTTCTTTGATGAGAAGATGAAAGTGATGGGGGGCGAGAAGGATGTTGAGTTGCGTCGGTGGACAGATTGGTTGACGATGGATGTGTCTGCGGATATGACATATAATCGACAGATGAATCAGATGAAAGATGCTAGGTAGTCTCTCCACCATGTATGTTCCGCTCTCCTAACATATCCATTATTAACAGAGAAGAACTCTCTCCTATTGAATGCGATAATCAAAGTCAATCTATTTTTGACCATCCAAGCAGTGTCCAAAAAGTTTCCTCTCCTCAGCCCACTGATGTATTTCTTCATTCCCCCCTCCGTCTGGCTCACCATGCTGCGCGTGTTAAAAACCAACAGCCGAGAAGTCCAATCACGGATCGAACGCAGGAGAAAAACAGAACATCTAGATTACTTCGACCAGCTTATCCCAAGAGACATGGCAGCTCCCAGCAACCAGAAGCATATCAACCATTTAGAACAAATAGCAGGCCAACTGCTAGTCGCAGGCTGGGAACCAATGTCAAACCAAATCTACTCCTCAATTTTCTTCCTGCTCAAAGAACCAAACGCCTACAAATCCCTCCTCCACGAAATTCGGCGCACGTTCAAAAATTACAACGAGATCACTCCCGATTCCGTAGCAAATATGAAATACCTACACGCGTGCCTACAAGAAACTTTCCGCATCGAATCAGAACACCTCTGATGGTCTTCCGCGCATGAGTCCCGGGGCCATCGTCGATGGCAACTATATTCCACGCGGAGTAAGTAGTTCTCCACATCCACCTCGTCAACCATTGACTCACCAATTATTTCCAGGTAATCTGCCAAATCAGCCACTTTGCCGCAGCACGCAACCCCCGCTACTTTACCGATGCACTTTCGTAACGGCCACAGCGCTGGCTTGCATCCAAGCACCCCGAATACGATTGCAAGTATGAGAACGATGATCCCAAGGCTTTTCTACCATTCAATCAAGGGCCGAGAATGTGTCCAGCCTCTGCCATTGCATGGACGCAGATGAAATTGTATCTCGCGAAGATCTTGTGGACATTTGATGTAGAGGCCGTGTCAGGTCAAGATGTAGCTTTTGATCGAGATTTCTCGGTTTACACCATGTGGAATAAACCACAGTTTTGGGTTAGATTTGTACCGGTTAAGAGGGAAGACGGTCAATGAGTCGGGCACCGCAGTGCAGATGTTCGCCGTAATATCTGTTTGTGAGTTATCTGTTAATATGTCCCACACTGTAAGTGCTGCCGCTCGGTGGGAGGCAAGAGGGATCGGTTCTTCGTGCATAACCCTCGTATATCTCATCGCTTACCAGAAGAGCCCAACTTGTTCCTTGAGCAATCTTTTCGAGGAATTGGAGGTCTGAAGCCAATATACCTTATGAAACGCATCACACTTTGAACTCCAATAGAACCCTGTTGAAATTCCTCTTTGAATTTCCTCTCCACAATTTCTTGCCCCCGCCTCCTTACCCTTTTCTCCTCGCTTTTTTCTTCAGTCCCCCTTTTCAAAGATCGCTACACCTTCACATCGCGTATTCTCAATCTCTCCAATCCCCAAATGTATACCCTCAACAACAATCGGTCAAATCAGAACAACATAGTCCCGCTACGGTTGAAAGTAAGAGGTAATTTTACTGCAGCCAAATTGTTTCGTCAACATGAGCTTATTTTCCAACAAAAAAGTGGACTTCCACTTGCATTTCACCATCACACGTGTTGCGTAAGAGACGGTTCTGCAGCTAATTTCAATTTTGTATTCACTAATTTGGAACCACTAAAAACTAAGAACTTCCAAGAAACCCTGTCAAGATTCAACAAATTACTAACGCCAGTGAAAGTCAATCCCAGATACCACACTCCGTAAATTCCCATTGAATTATATTCGACCTTGAGCTTAAGCAGCGGCAGCAACTTGAGCTGGAGCGACACCAACACGTTCCTTTGACAAAATGTCTACAAGAAGAGGATTTGGTCTGTTGTCCTTCCCGGCTGGGTAGACAGCTTGGTTCTTCTTGTAACGTTGAACGTTCTCAATGTACATGTCGAAAAGGTAAGAGGAATCCATTGGTCCTCCCTTGGCCTCAGGATGGAATTGTGTGGAGAAAATTGGACGGGTCTTGTGAATCATACCTATAGTCTGTTAGCTAGCATTCAAAAGAGGATTCTGGAGAATATTTACCTTCGTTAGATCCATCGTTCAAGTTGACGAAGTATTCCTTGAAATCGGATGGGAGAGTAGTCATATCAACGGCATAACCGTGATTTTGACTGGTGATATGACATTGACCGGTGGTCAAATCAAGAGCTGGAATGTTGTGGGCACGGTTACCGTACTTGAGCTTGATGGTGCGGGCACCAGCTGCAAGAGCAAGCAATTGATGTCCAAGGCAGATACCGAAGACTGGTAGTTGGGATGACTCCATCAACCTAGTCAAATGGTAGACAGTCTCTTGACAATGAGTTGGGTCACCAGGTCCGTTAGAGATAAAGACACCATCGAAATGGTGGGCGACCTTGTGAATTGGGAAATCGTATGGGAAGACAGTAACGCTTGCGCCACGGCTGACCAAACTTCTGAGAATGTTCTCCTTAACACCGCAATCGATGACTGCGACGTGCATATCTCCATGGGCAGAGCTAACGTGGAATGGGGCCTTGGTGCTGACTTTCTTGACCAAGTTGATTTGTTCAGGATCAACGAAAGCCTCATCTTGATCGGCATCATATTCTTCTCCAATGGTGATTCGAGCCAAGGAAGAACCTTCCTCTCTCAAGTAGGTGACAATAGCTCTGGTATCAACACCAGAAATGGCTGGTACACCCTCACGGGCACACCAATCACTCAAACTTTCCACAGCAGTCCAATGACTGTACTTCTCAGCATAATCTGCAACAACTACACCAACACATTGGATGTTTGGTGACTCGAAGTATTTCAGAAGTCCGTGCTCATCTCTGGCAGATGATGGGACACCATAGTTTCCGATCAAAGGTTGGGTGAAGACAAGAATTTGTCCACGGTAAGAGGGATCGGTCATGGATTCAGGGTAACCGACGAGGGATGTTGTGAACACGGCTTCACCAGAAATGTTGGATTTTGCGCCAAAAGATTTGCCGTGGAAGACTGGGCCATCCTGTCAAAGATCGTCAACTCAGAAATTTCTTCACATGTCAACCGATGTAACATACCCTGATTGTGAATGTAGCTCGGTCATGGGAGATTGGAGTAGCACGAGGACGGGTGTATGGCATGGCACGACCGGCACTTCCTTCAACAGTAGCTAAGAATCTAGCTTGTTGTGCAACTCTTTGGATGCCATAGCCGGTTGGCTTACAAGCTGCAGGCTTTACGAATCGGGAGAACATGATTGTAGTTGTGTGTGTATAATTTAGTAGGCGGTAGGGTGGAGAAAGCTATTTCAGTTGACTGAAGCTTTCCAGATGTGATCTAGGAGACGGTGGTTAGAATATTGGCCATGGTAAGTACCCATTGGGAGGGGTCATGGATAGGGTTGTGTGCGAACCTGAGATATAATCCTACAAGAACATGTTGTTAGCCAAATCGCTCTTAATGATAAAGTTGCACTAGATATTTTGATTGATGAAGAGTCATATCTTGTGGGAGAGGATAGTAGAAGGTTTGGCTTCCAAGTTCAAGCCTCACGATAAGAGAATTGAGAATTCATGACGTTTGAGTCATCCTCATCCTCATCCTCATCATCATTCACATCATTCACAAGCAGAGACAAAGAAATAGAACATACCTGAGAAGTAAAAACTGACGAGCGACCACTCATACGCGCGACTTTTCTATTCGTATCTGATAGATCAGTAGAAGGAAGAGAGCTATGAAGATGTTGAGATGTAAATGTTCAGAAGGAATTCAATGAAGTGGGAAGTTTAATAATTGTGGAGTTGTGCTTTTGGTGTGACAGATGGATACAGATGGATAGTTAGTACCAAAGTCAAAAAGAGTTATCAAGTGGAAAAAAGGTTGAATGCCGCTTTGTTCTTTTTGGGGCATGAAGCTAATGTTGTGTTGGAATTATTTGATTGGTCAATTGTGTGGGTTTGTACTCATCAAAAAAAGAAAAAGAAAAAGATAAAGAAAAAAAAGAAGTGAAGACAGAAAAAGTTAAGCGAATCGTGATGGAAGTGATGGAAGTGATGGAAGTGATGGAAGTGATGGAAGTGATGGAAGTGATGGAAGGGAAAGAAGAGAAGGAAAGATGAGAAAGCCGATGACGGACTCAATACTGTATGTAGTATGAAATGTTAAAAAGTAGTAGAAGAACCAATGAAGAACGCTAGAAGCTTCAATTATAAAACGCAATTCGATTTCTTAATACTTTGATACCCAGCTGGAATTGACCAATGATATTATCAATATCACATCTTATCTTTCCCCTTCTTGGGGGGTTTTTTTGACAATCACATTGCACCAACGTACGATGATCCAGGAAAATGGGTGATAAAAGCAGCTTCCCGTTGATACCAAAAAGAGCTTCAACATTTTCTAGATTGATTGCATGAACATCAATGTGTACGGAATAGGTGTGTACGGATTTATGAGTGTTACCTAGTAGGTACCTATAGCTAGGTAGGTAGGTCCCTATGACCTATTGATCATTGATCATTGATCATTGATAGCAAGACTCTCGATTGTGCCTTCTTCTTCTTCTTCTTCTTCTTCTTCTTCTTCTTCTTCTTCTTCTTCTCCTTCCCAGTAATACACGAGAGAAAGCCACTCTTCATCATACCTAGTAACTCGGAAAGACCATATCAGAAAATTCTACTGCATCATCCATCCGTCCATCCAATTGCGTACACAAACCCTTCCACACATCCATATTTCCAGACGGACTCTGTAGATCTATCAACAATAACATGCAGCCGCGAGAAAATTTGCAAAATCTTTACACTTTTTGGCCCCATCTCATTTCAACCACTCATTCATCGCTGAGCTGTACTTCATTTCAAAGAAAATCAGGGGCTGAGAAAAGAAAACGAAGAACCTTGGAACCCCGCCATGTGGCTGGGCGGGAGAGCAAAACGAATTAGGTCATGCGAATCACCAAATTCTTCGTCTCTCGGGCATTTCTGGAACAACAACGTACATACATACTCCCCACTCGTAGGTATCTGAGAAACATTAATCTGCCGAAAACGAAGAGAAATACGGTACTACCAAGAGTATGTACATATAGTGGTAGTACAACATTGATATTATCGCCACCACCCAACTAATCATAGGTACTAGGTATTGAGAATCACTTCGAGTATTTTCTATCATGACAATCAAATCATCTTACAAATCGACGGGCAACAGCCCTTCTCATCTTCGGTGAAACTCTCTAGTTATGTATAGAGAACTTCACCTGTCAAAATCTTACTTCTCCTTTGCTTCTCAGTAACGTCTATCTTGATCCCGGGGTGGCCCTCTGTAGCTGTCATAAGATCCTCTATCATAACCTCGATCGTAGCCTCGATCACCTCCCCTAACTCCATATCCGTACCCGCGACCACCGCCCCCACCTCTACCTTGATAACGTCCTGGACGCTGATTTCTCGGTCCTCGATGACCAGATGGAGGTCTGATACCCGCGAAGATTTCTTTTCCACGATCAACAAATCTGTCATGATCCTCAAATGTATATCTGTTGATGTCTTGTCCAGTATGACGTAGAGTATCCTTAGTGGTAATGGCCGCAATCGCATCTAGTCGCCTATTGACCAATTCTTCTGATGCTGGCTGCCAGTACAGCGTTGGTTGTGTTGTAGTAGATTTAAAAAGCTCTGACAAGTTTCGCATAGGTGCAGCTCTTGGACCACCGAAGCTCCTAGGTCCAGATGGTGCTCCCTCGATGCCCCTTGATGGCCCTGTCGGCGCGGAAAATGGAATTGATTGCTTTCTGGCAGACATCACTTGATGATCTCCCGTAGCTTCCTGCAAGATAGCAGTAACTTGACGATCACCGTCATTTTCTATCTCCTCATAGACCACCTCCCACTTTTTCGTATTCCGCCCAGGTCCGGATGCTTGTTCTTGATCGATCCATTCCTTAACTTTTTCGTCTGGTATGAAATCCACCCACAATGCTTTGCGATTTGGCTCATCAGGCCAGACACGATCGTGCATTACGCTGCGAACTCTTGCTGCGGCAGAGAGCGTTTTGAATTGAACGAGCGCATGAGTACGGACGCGGTCGATGTGAAAATGTAAAATCGCATCTGGATCTGGATCACTGCCAGGTGGAGTAGCCAAAGTTGTGAGATAATCATGAAGTCGAGGTTCTTGAAGTGGTCGAACGAAGTTGCGAATATATAGAGCTGAAGTTGCAGGATGAATGGCGGGAGTAATTGGATTATATGATCCTTCATCCTCTATAGGCTCTTGCGAATAATGTCGCATTTCTGTATCATCATTCGGCTTCTGTGGAGAGGAGAATAGATTTTTGAATCTCGAATCGCGTGGCCGTGAGACTTCTGGTGAAGCTGTCACGAGTTCACCACGAGGCTGAGGCTCTTCGATATCGATATCCATTTTACTAGCTTCTTCCTCATTTGTATTTAAAACTGCCTGTTCGACTATCACTTCTTCTTTAGAGTTATCAACAATCAAAGGTCCATCTTCACCCATTGTCACCTCCTTCGATTCAACGTTGACTTCGCCCGTGTCAACCGCATTGTGTTTCTCCACCCATTGTGCATCCTCATTGGAAGTCGCAACTTCTTCGATACTGTCGCTTGGTCGAGCTCGTTTTCGAGAAATATCGGTGGTTGTAGGCGCTGGACTTTGTGACCTGCGTTTTCTCTTTTGTCGATCTTCAATCGCTTCTCGCGGTTCCACGGATAGCTCAGCAGAGCGATTACCCTCAGCTTGTTCGGGTGGTTGAGATGTGGCTTGCGAAGGAGGCAGAGAGAACTCTGTCGTATCTATCGGTTGTGCGGGTTGAATATTCTCCTCCTCCTTTGTTCCCTCTGAGGGGAGTTGCTTATCATCTGTAGCAGAAGTTGACGTAGTCGCCGCCTCCTCCAAATCGACAGGCTCAATAGTCTGATCCGTTTGTTGCTCTGCGACAATTTCAGGAGGTGACGTTTGCAATTCACTATCTTGAGGAATTGTGCTTTCTTGCGATTCTTCTGTGTTGTCAGGTCTGGGCTCCGTGCCAGGCTCGAAAGATGTCTGTGTGGGTGAAATCGTATCTGGAGATGTAGAATCTGGGTTTATTTTGCTCGCATCATCCTGGATTGTCATGTCACTTTCCGACTCATTTTCGTTTTCTGCAGATATAAGTCGAGCGACAAGAGCAGGTTTGAGACCGGTTTGTGGAAGGCCTCGTTTCTTCAACTCTGCCTTCAGGTCAACGACCTTTAATTTATTCCAATCAGTCATTGTAAACGGTATGAAAGTCAACTTAATAAATGCGCATTGCTGGAAAAGTCAATTGAAAATTGATTGATATTAAAATCAATGAGTAAAATGGGTTTATGTAATTATGATCTTGATGAGATACTTTTCCTTCTTCAATCTGTCGTAGAATTAGAAATTGTATCCTGCAAACAATTTATCAAAGCCTGGAATCAAATTCAACGCGTCAGGATCACGTCTGATCCTTGCAAAATGGCACGGAACCATCCGGACCATGCCACATGGATGAGGTCCATTACCTAAGGTGAACAGGTAGTTTTGCCTTGATATCAAGGCTTTAAAATGCTGGTCACATTTTGCCTTTCGTCTTTCGTCTTGAGTTTAGAATTTGACTAGAAGATATCTCATGACAACAGTTCATCAAGTACTATCGACTTTGGGTAAATATCACAATATATATGAATTATAAGCTCTCCATGTCTGGATTTTGTCTATTACATTTTGATTGTATTTTAACTAGATAGCTATACTGCATGGCCTATATCTTGTCGACTCTCTGTCCTCGAAGCACTCCTCCCTTGTTCTTGTTCGCTCGAACTGCCCCTCGACCCAATTACAGTGACGGCTGTCGTACTCTTGATACGATTTTCTCTGGGGTTTTTTTGTTCGGTCTTTACACTCACTTCCCTACTTTCCCATATTTCCAGCCTATCACCAACAGTTAGTTCATTTTCTATGATGTGGACGACCGAATTCGAAAGATACCAATATCTCAACTGAGACACGAAGGCACAGGGAACTTACCCTATTGCTGAACCATCTTGTGTACTTCCGTGTATTATAATATCTCTACTTTCACTTCTATACATCGAGTTGTCTTTTTTATTGCCGAATCTTGAACTGGTCGCATTGGTAAAGTATCTCTTCGGGGCCGCTCTGCTCTTTGACTTGGTACCTTCACTAGTTCCAGACCATGATCTCCAACCGAATAGTTTTCTTGCTAATGGCCAACACATTGGAATATTGGTCACAAACATCACGGTTGATGCTTCTCTTATATACCACTTCATTAATTAATATTAGCGTTTTGAAGACAAAGTAGTTTAATTAAACTCACGTAGGTCCACATCACACCAAAAGGATGTACGAAGGAATAATATTTATTAGCTGCAGCAGATATGATGGCAAATATGCCAAGGGAGAAGACACTGATGAGAAGTGCTTTCCTAGATACACTGTTAGTAAGTCGCACAAACGAAGGACAGACCAAATGAAGATAGGAACGCACTTCAGGGTAGGCAGCTGTGCCTTGATAACCATCGGCATCGGTAGAAACAACATCATGAGATCGGAACTGATGTTGAACGTTGCGTTTACTATCAAGTGATGAAGGGCTGTTGAGCATTGTTCTGTGTTCTTCACGTTAGTCTACAGTCTCGGAGGAAAAGATATTGCTTCGGACGAACCATTCGGAGTAGGGACTGCCCAATAGTTTGAGAATGGCCTACACCAAACCCCAAAATAAAGAATCTCCATGACTACCAAGCCTGTACCCACGTATATGGCGACTAGTTTTACAATAAAGTTGTGGGGTTTAATACCCTGCCTATATCTTTCATCAATATAGCTAACATGCGTTGGGGAAAGGGACATACATCATCTGCATATACATCAACAACAAACAAGCTTTGCCACCCCAAATAGTCATGATCATTGACTGTTCCACTACGAGCACGAGTTTGCTGCCTTTAACACGAGATGCAATTGATTCAGGAGTGAGCTATTGAGCTTCTGTCAGCTCTCCAATCTGGAAGACTTTGGATTAGAACACCAACCAGTGGAATATCAGCTGGTGAAATGAGATTTGTATCTAAATTGAATACAATGTTTATAGATACCATGAGAGTAGTGTAGAAGAGCTATGATGCGTGTTAGATTTAAAAAACTGACTTGAAATGGGCATCACTTACAAACACAACGAGCATAACATAATCTTGTAGTTGGTAATTCTTTACCGACCCAAGTTGTAGCCATCTCGAAATACTGAGAAGAAGACTCGTTAGTTCTATTCGCAACCTGGCTCAGTTCTCACTGTGGTCGGGAAGACAGTGTCAACCTCAAATCACGGTGGACACAATGCTACTGTGAATGTGTGATAAAACATACTATCTGAGGATGAGAATCAACACCACAAACGGGAACCAAGTCGCCGATTCCACCAATAGTGAGTGCATTTCGTGTTTCTCGGTCGTTTTTTACTCACGGTTCCCCTATGCAATATCCTGCAAGAGAATTCTCGTGCATGTACCAACAATTCTTATATCATGATAGGCTCGGCCGAAGGAAATATTAAGCGCACCCAGCGGTTTTAATTAACGGGATGGCGATCGGGACAAAATTTTGAGAGATAAATGCAAGATGAAAGAATGGGTAAAATAGCCAACTTTCAGTGGGAAGTTTATTCTTGTATACCAAAAATTAACATTTCCGGGAGCACATTTCTAAGATGAAATGGAAGATCACGAGCCAGAGATAAGAGCGCGCTAGAAGCAATTTTGATACTTCTAGCTTGGATGTCAAAAGATTCGCTATGACTTTTAACGCCGAAAAAGGTTATTTTACATGGTAAAGACTCTTTGCCACGATGCTGTAGGGTATGAAGCCGCGTCTTTTCTTATCAATGTCCGGGAATATGGCTGTTATGGGTTTAGGCGTTGTTGGCTTGATTGAAGTGGTTTCAAATCTCGAGTATCATTTGTGTTCGGAATGTGAAATTTGTATATATTCATTCGATTACCCCCGTCGTTCCCATAGATACAGATGTCTAAATCTGAACCTCATCTCCCACTCTTCTCTTTCCATCACCTTCTTTACTTTATTCCATTCATACTTTCAACAAGGCCTCACTGAACTCCACTCTCCCCCCCAGATCGACATTCTTCGCCCAAGATCACCACTCATAATTCCGCTTCCCCATCACACAATATTCCCTATCGGATTATCCCATCAATCAGCACAGCCTTCTCTCTCACAACTAAAAACAATACAGATATAGAAAATAAAACGTAGTTTCAATCAGCTCATGCATCCCGCCCTATTCAGGGGTCTTGCTAGTACACAATGCGCATTCCCTAACGCATTCCTGCTAAGCGAGTTGTGTTAGGGAGACTGGGCAAATTGACTGGGCTGGGTATGGAGATAGTCCGTAGGGCCAAGCCTCCCGGTTGGTGGCTTACTCCGTACTGTACTAACAGAAGTGGACATGCGGGTACGATGTAGGAGGAGGAGCGATAGATGGTGTATTTTGCGCGCTGTAATGACACGTTCATCAGAACCATGAGAAGAAATCCGATGTAAATTTCTCTACAAATTTGTCTTGCGTAGAGAGGTAGATAACAACAACAAAGCTGTGTTCCAATATCGATTAATAAATTTACCTACTAACAAGCAGAGGGACTCGACTCGATTCACAATGCGAACTATACTAATAAATCATTATCGAATTCTTCAAATAGAAAAAAGAAAACAATAAGGTTCAATAGGATTTTCCAAACTTCAAAATTAAATAGTCCAAAGTTTATAAATTTTTAAATTTGCTGATTCACAATTTCAGGGCCATGGGCACTAATTGATGATTGGTGAGACTCAGGAGAGCAAGAGTAGATCATTACACTAAATAGCACACACCGGTATAACATCATGTAAGCGAGAGGAAAAATACACCTTGTTGTATACTTCGTACAACTCACCTTGATACCCAAGTCCCAAGAGAATCAAGACATCTCATCATATCGACAAATTTAATTTCATTATATTGATGCTATTAAACTTTTTGAGGGGGCTCAGGATGTATGACGATGATCCTGAGTTTTCAGAGGGATGATTTAGAAACTTAAAATAACCTTCTCGTAATGTACGGAGGGTGCCGCTATAGGAAGGTGATAATCCGTAGGGAGACATAGTTTGACAGTAAATAAGTTGGGGAAGATCGACGTCAACAAATTAGCTATGTGGAGAAGTTTGGGTCGCTTGGAGGTATCGGAGGTGAGGTGCGTAATTCGGACAGTTATTCAATCTCCAGTACAGGTTACACGAGTTCTTCTGCAACGGTTTCCGGGTAGTGTTGGGCTAGTTTTCACTTATAGTATCGAATGAGTAATGCACAAAGACTCATGACAATTCAACCGTAGTATAATGCACGAAGTCTGACTCAGATGAATCTGCGATCAATGGATTGAATAGAACGCACAGTATCGTTGACAGTGAGAGCTCCTTCAAGCATTACACACAGAGCGCTGATTTCGCACTGAATCTGTTTCTCGTCACAGATCTCTCGAAATGATGCATTTCTAGCTTCTACCCACGTCTAAAGCCCAATGCTTTTCTTCGCCTGATCCTATAATTCGTACATATTTACACCCATTTTCATCCATGATCGTTTCCTATCCCTTTATAATGCGCCTAATTCCTTCAATTTGGAGATCATTCCATCAACGTCGTCGACTTTACCGCCTCCTTGTCTTGGCGGTGGTTCTATATCCATGTTGTTAGTAGATATCCAGTATACCCACCCAGTGCTTGAATCATCAAATGCCTGTACAAAATGATTGACCTACCAATAACCTTTAAAGTCTTTACCCTCTTGGTACCATCCACGCCCCAGTCACCAAGTGTAGATTTCTCCAGTTTCTTCTTCTTTGCCTTCATGATACTCTGCAAGCTCGCATATCTCGGTTCATTCAATCTCAGATCTGTTGTAATAACCATAGGTAATTTGCCCCTCACCACATCCGTGCCGCCATCCACCTCCTTCGTAACCTCAACTATATCTCCATCTTTGAACTCCACCTTACTTGCCTGCGTTGCTTGACTCCATCCCAATAGCCCCGCCAACATTTGTCCTGTTTGCCCCGCATCATCATCAATACTTTGTTTCCCCAAAAATACCAAATTGCTCTTCTCCTTCTCCACAACCTTTTGTAACAGTTTCGCTACTCCCAATGGTTCCAATTCTTCCCCATCTTTCATCTCAACCAGTAAACTGCGATCAGCACCCATAGCCATAGCTGTACGTAGAATATCTTGCGATTTGGTCGGTCCAGCGGAAAATGCAAGGATTTCTTCGACGCCGCCGGGCGCGGATTTCTTCTCGCGAATTCGTACAGATTCTTCAATCGAGAGTTCGTCGAAAGGGTTCATGCTATGTTTGACGCCATTGGTCTCGATAGCTGTCTGGGCTTTGTTGACGCGGGGTTTGACCTGTTGTGTTTGAGTTAGTTAAAGCCATTTTTTATTTGCGCAGCGGGAATCAAGGGATTGGATTTGATTTTGAAAATTCAGGAAGAGTGGGAATATGTACCGCATAGTCAATAACCCTCTTTACGGGTACAAGAATTCTTAGGGCGGACATATTTGTAGCAGGAGTATTGGAAAATTCGTCGTCGTCGTGGAAGAATCACAGTTTGAAGCTCTTGATGATGAAGGACCGACCGGTTTCGCTCGGCCTAAGCTACCCCACACCAACCCGCTTCCTCGGTAGACTAGCATCACGTGCGTGATACTTCCCGAAATCTTTATGATTGTGATCTTTCCTCTCAACTCTTCATTGATTGCTGAATCGTTTGTTTCGTGTTGTTTACGGGTCCGATATTCTTTGAATTAGTATCTGATCTTAATATGAAATTGTATGGCATTGTTTCCACCCATTAGCTCTACTGCACCTCCCTATCAGCTGTATGCTGAATGATATCGACAGCATCAGCATTCTACGAACATTTCATATTGAAAGAACTATCCATTACAAAACAGCGCCCAGTTGAACGTACGTTCGATCGTATCGCCAGTTCTGGGTGGTAACTTTAGCTCTTACTGAGGTCATGTAATGTAGCCCTTTCGAAGGATTACATTGTGGTCTGGATTTACAAGACAAAAATAAATAGAGAGATGGTCATTCTAGGATATTTAATGACAAACTACTATACGATTGTTCCAGCCTCATCAGAGATCCTTGAAGTTTTCATACATATCAACATTAATATTCCTCCTCAATTTCCAGTATAAGTAAGACAAGCGTCTTCGATCCCCGCCTTTGGCGTTGCATAATGTGTAACTAGGGTGCCGTTTTGCTCACCTCCCAATACCTCCACGCTGCCCTCTCCATATTTAGGCCACCCCGCGTTGCTCAATCCATTCTCAGGATCCTTTGCGAACGCCAACCAAAGATCTTGCATTGCCTCACTAGTATCCTTCTAGAATCGGGTTCCGTCGCCACCAACATCAGCATATGTTCCAAAGATCATGGGCAGCTCACTGGAATGATAAGCTCCCATGAAGGGGAGTGGCGAGAGATTACTAAAGTTGCCGGAATATTCAAAGCGGTAGGTTGTTGCATTGAGAGATTGTCGGATTTGCGCTTCGGCTACGACGCCGCAAGGGACGTGTAACGTAGCCGCTAATTCCTTTTCGGGGGTTGGTCCCTCGATATCAGGAGGGCCGGAGGAGAGTGCAGCGGTGGAAGCTCCATCAATCTGTGGTTTGACATGTCAGTGGGCTTGATTTTTGGGAGGTTACTTGTTAAGCAGGAATGACGATAAGGAAAACAGCTTACCAAGTTATGTCCCAAAACTTTGGGTAGCTTTGCGTAATGACCAGAGAGATATGCAGCAGTATAGTTCGCAAATGTGTTGTTGTTATCATTATATGACTGAAAACCCAACGCAGGGGTCTTGCCAGCATCAGTCCAATATTGAATAAACGCCTCGATATCAGCTTGTGGGTAAGTGCTCATACACTCAACCTAGTTTGTAGTATTACCATTGCATCTAAGCTCGTTTGCCAGAAAGGTAAAGTTCGTGTGAGTGGTATCAGTATAAACGGTATGGACACCCTGGCCCTCGACAGCGCCGGAATCTTGGATAAATCCAGTAACAATTGGATCATCTGGCCAACCGATACTGAGAGCCCCAGTCAAAGTAGCACCAGCTGATTGGCCCCAAAGCACCATGCGCGAAGGATCACCCCCGAAAGCTGCAATGTTGTCTCGAATTCACTCGAGAGCAGCTCTAGCATCAAAAATGTAGAGCACAGTATTTTCGGTTGGTGTGTTTGGTTGACCGAAAAAGTTCAGTCTGTACTGCAATGAGACGACAATATGCGATTGAGTACGCTGGACCCATTGTTGTGGATTTTGGTAAGGTACAGATGAACCACCTGTGGTCTGACCACCTCCATAAATCCAAACGATCACGGGTACTTTTTCCTCGGTCGGGTACAATGGTGCCCAAACACTGACGCTCAAACAATCATCTCCATTGATGCCTTGGATGAAATACTCACGTCTCACGTCAGTATAGACAGATGCAGGGGTTGCTTCATATTGAGGGCAATTGGGGCCGAACGCATTGGCGTGGATGATTTGTTGCGCTGCAGACGCAGGGAGTGGTTGCGCTTTTCGGAAACGGTTCTTACCAAACGTTGATTGTGCGTATGGAACACCTACAAAGCGACATTCACTACATTCACTACCTAAGAAGAAGCAGCGTCTGATGTATACAACAGTGGATCTGAGAGATAAAGACGCGAATGCAGATGAGAATGGTTGATCGGACAGAGAACCCAGGGGAAATCTGGAGACCTTATATATAATATGAGTTGAAAGATAAATTGAGCTAATCATCCTTTGAAGTTGAATTATTAGCAAGTTTGGAAATTTTAGAACAGCTAAATTATATCCACCACTCTCGTCTTACCAATGGCTGCATTGATACGTCACCTTTACCTCATTACAAGTACAGAGGCACTCCTTGTTTGTAGCGCGGGGCTACTAGTAATCACGGCTTAGACGGATACCCCAATGAGGTGAATTTATAAATCCGTGATTTGAATGTGAAGCATGTATGCAAAGTACATGCATGCACCTAACTAAGATATAATCCGGAGTTATAATACTTATCTAACTCACTTCCATAGTGTTACTTTCCGCGATGCATTGACAAGCCTTTGTCTCCGGTTTTTGAGTTCCATAATCTAGATTTTCATCCTGATTTTACTCCTAAATTATTTCACAGAATCATCGATGGATGAGCGGCTGCCCGGTGTTGATGCTTGAAAATTGCATCTAGCTCCCAATATACATTCGCTAGCAAGATTCGTTAACCACAACACGTGGAGGAGAGGTTCGAAAATCTATAGTTATCAGTAAGAAGCACTGGGAACTCTGATGTCATCCCACCTTTGGTTCTAATAGCAAATCTTTATGGGAGCTATACATCCTCCTCCCCGCCCTGATGCAGTATCAATGCGTTTGCTACATGCCATAGTAGTGCAGATATTTTACGAAATACTTTGTGGTGAATTCCCCGCATTCCGTTCTCCGCAAAACCCTACACCCCCGCATAAGTCGAATGGGGTTCGACAGTTGGCTTATGACGGTGTCTCGTCAGTGCTAGTTGAAAGGTGGGGACAAGTGGTAAGGGTTGAAAGCCCCCACTCGCGTAGACGCACCCTAAAATCATGCCTTAAATCCCATTATACCCGACACACCGGTCACTGGCTCGGGACCGATACAAAAAGAAACCACAGGGAAAGCTTGCTAAGGTGGGAATGTGTTAGTTTAGAAAGAAGGGCCGAAAGCTAATATATTGTTTACATAGTTGATGTTCTTTTGAGCTATGGAAGTATACAGCCGTGAGAACCGCAATGCTTATTCTTCAAGTCCCGCACAATTAAGTTCGGCTATAGGGAAGAACTTTACTCCGTATTGTAGTTGAGAATACGTGTGACCTGTGAAAACCTGGCAAACTTGGTTTGTTGTGGATTAGCAACTGATTCTTTGACATTCACAAAGCTGAGAATCCCCGGCTGACATGAAAAGTCCATCCAATGGTTCTCAAAGTCTTGTCTCGAGCTCGTGTCATTGCGAAACCTTATATTCTTCACAATGGCTCAAGGAGGAGGTAAAGCGGACTTTGAGAGTATGCACTACTACCCACATCCACCCTTTTTCCATTCTTTCTAAGGGGTTTAATGTGATTCGTGCGAAGTCGACACGCGGCGGACTAATGACTCCCTTTTGCTCCTACGATCCTATTGCCCTTTTTTGAAGCTACATTGGTGATGCCTAAAGTCACTATCTGATTTAAAAAGGTAGCTTTTCCATGCTTATCTTAGTCTCTTCGCGTCTTTCCACTTTCTACCACGAGAATTATCTGTGCTAGAAGTATTCATTCACTATGACATTGCTTGTTCTCCATGCTGCCTTCTTCCTGTCCTTCGTCCCCTCACTCATCGTTGGTCAGGCCTCTGTCAATACCACTGCCATCCTACTTCCTGTTCCGGACGGACCATATGCTTCTACCGTCACAGTATCAGAGCTCACCGACACGTCGCGGGCCAACCCATTCGATGGATCCTCCCCATACCGTCAGCTTCTAGTCAGCTATTATGAGCCATATCTCAGGGAGGATTGTGCCAACATTGGCGAAATCGACTACATGCCAGCTGCCGTGGCAGAGTGTTTCAATGAGAATGATCTCCCAAGCCCTGGTTTGACAACATTCTCTCAACTCAAATTTTCCGACGTCTGCCTTGAAGCACCAACCACCAAGCCTGATACGCCTCTTCTCGTCTGGACTGGTGGTTTCTATACCAGCAGTCTCCAGTACGGTGCGATTGCACAAGCAATTTCTAGTTGGGGCTATAGAGTTGTGACAATAGATCATCCATATGATGCAGCGATTGTAGAATTTCCAGATGGAACCATCATTTACAGTGCTTATACTAGCGGAGCCCCAACTGACGCGACTAGCGCGTATCTCCAAAGCATCCGTGTCAAAGACATTGAGTTCGTCACAGGTCTATTTTCGGAAGCTTCTGAGGTTGTTGGTCTATACGGACATTCCTTGGGAGCCTCATCTCAGACTGCCGTGCTTCAGGCACACACAACGGGCAAATAAGTGGCAGGTTGCAACTTGGACGGTAAATTGTAACCCCCCTGTTGGGCCAACTGGACTCGGTAACTCGTCCGAGATCAAAAAATCTTACATTTTTTTTGCACATGATAATCACACTATTGCTAGTGACCCATCATGGACTGCATTCTGGAATACGACGTATATTTTGACTCAAAGCGATCCTAGGGTATCTCTTAAACTCCCCAAGACGGTTCATAACTCATTCACTGATCTACCGTTTGTTATTGATGTGGTTGGCGTTCGATCAGTCAATGAATCTTACTTCGAGACACTCATTGATACTATTTATGGACCTCGAGAGATTGACGACATTACCTCGTATGTTCGTGAGTTCTTCGGTTGGACTCTCAAGGGTGTCGAGACGCATCCACTTTTAGATGCGTCGAATAACTCTTTTTCAGATGTTCTTTTCGTTCGAAAGGCTGGTTACTAGGTCTGAATGATTATTCTCAGGCAGAGATGTATCAATTGTCGACATGAATAATGGATGGAGAGAGCCGCGTCTAGCATATTATGAAAGATGTTGGGACCACAGCTCCAGGAAAGTAGAAAAAGTGGGAGAGCGCTTGAAGCAGCTATTAAGGCATATGAAAACTAAATCTACCAAAGCATTTGATATTATTAATTCGTGAGATACTGAGGTTCGAATCTGATAATTCTTGGTCTGATTTACGTGCCCAGGTAAACCTCACCGCACGGCTCTCAGCTACAAAGTCAACCCAATCATTTATGCAGTCACCCCCTCTCTTTGATGTAAATATCCATCATCGCTGACTATACCAAATTGACTAAGTACATTAAAAATTACCTGATTACCGGAGGATACCCTCTCCTATTACTATGCTTCATCAAGATGCGAACTCGCTGTCGGTCATAGCCAGAATGTCCGGCCTCCAGGTCTAAACTTTTCCTCCACCCAAGCTCATGGAACACACATTTAGTACTCAGTCTCTCGATTAGTTCATTACCTCACTCCCACTTCATTTTCCATCGGAATTAGCACCACGTCTTGCGCTGAAACCCAGAGATACAACAAGGATAACGAAATACCGCGTATTTTAATGGGTTATGTCGCACCCCCTCATCTTGCTCATTGGTAACCATCAGATCTTACCAATACTGGTAAAGCACCATTCTTGATACAGCAGATTTATCATACATCTGCGCAAATCTTCGCATCTCTTGCATCAGTTGTGGAGATGTTGTAGGAGTGTTGCTTTTTAACGCCTGGTGAAAGTGTGAAATAGTCAATATTCTACTGCTCTTAACATCCAAAACCTCACCCGCTTCTTTGTTGCGATATTCTCGTTGCGAGATAACAGCGGTTTCAACACACAAAGCCATGATGTCTGACCCAGTATATCGATGTGTTACTTCCGCAAGCTTCTTTAGATCGACACTCCTATCTAAGGATTCTTCTTTTAAGAACATACGAAACATATTCTCTCGTGCTGAGATCGTGGGTAGTCCAATGTAGATTCGACAAGGCACTCGTCTCAACACTGCAGGATCAAGCAGGTGAGGTAGATTTGTCGCAAGAAGTAAGAAAGGCGAAGTGGAATCTTTGGAGAGGCCATCTGCTTCCTGTAGTAGCTGGTTGACGAGCTTTCTCTGGTGGATTGACCCTGATCCACTTTGGCTGCGAGAGCTAAATAAAGAGTCCGCTTCGTCGATGAAGATGATGGATGGGAAAAGCATCTTCCCAAGCTTGAACAAACTTGCAACGAGCTTTTCCGTCTCACCAACGTATTTGCTTTCCATCTCGGCGCCAGAGACACTAAGCATGATTGATCCAGAGGTCTTTGCAAGTACTCTTGCGAGCTGTGTCTTACCAGTCCCCGGAGGACCGTACAGAAGTGCGCCCCCGGCGGAGGTCTTCAGAATTCCACAGGAATCTTTCTGAGATTCTCCGAGTGAGATTAGATCTGTAATGCGGGCCTTGATGTCTGAGTCGAGTTCGATGTTTGACCAAGTCGTATTAAGATCGCCTATGAAAGTGTGAGAATTTTATTTTATGATCAAAACACGCAATGTGATGGCATAACTACCTGGACTGACAACAGTGTCGAGCAATTGGTACACATGCTCGTCTTCTTGACTCTTCGATATCTGTTCCGCTATGCTCCAAGCCCGCCTGGGGAGCTTCGATTTCCACGGCGCTTTTTGATCATCCTCGTCTTCGTGGTTTTCGAGCCACTGCTTCTCTGCTTCACTTCTCTTCTCATATGTTTCCATGACTAGCTTCATAGAGTCAATATCTAATTGGCGTTTCGCTATCGTTCTGGCGATAATCTCTATGTTGTCCCAAGGAAAGAAATGGCGGCGCATAGCTCGCAAGGTAGCATCTGGAATGAAAGTTTCCCAATCTACAGCGTAAGGCTGTGCCAAAGGTGACATTTTTGCTTCTGCCGACATTCTGATGCAACGTTGCAGGTGTCTTATATTCTCTTTTAGTCTTGCCTTCTCCTTATCTTTTTCGAGAAGTCTATACTGTGCTTGACTTCTGGCTGTAAACATACGCAGAATTCCTTTCTGGGTGTTATTACTGATAGACTCAAGAATACCGACGTCGTTTCCTCCTGACATCATGATGATCGTATCTTCCTTTGATAAAGTCTTGACAGCTGTCTGTAGATGTTTGAACACCTGAAGATACTTTTTGTAACTACAAAACCTGCCAATACCTGAGATGAGAATTACCAGCGCTGATGATCCCATGTCCTCTTTATCTCCAGCTCTCCCCAGAGTATTCTTCAACAGACGGGACTCAATGATTTTCTTCAAGAGAGTAGTATACTGAGAACTTCCCATGTCGTCAATCTCTATTTCCTCTGGATTGTCAAAGAATTGTTCGGTTTGGGGAATCTTCTGCATTCCATGTCCGACTACTGACTCATCGCTTTCCAACTGTTCATCAACTGACGACAGCTCCTCTTCGTCTTGAGAGAAAGTGTCACACATCTCGTTGCAGATTCCTGATGTATTTTGACATATCAATTTGTGACGGAGAATGATGCTGCCTGTCAAAACAGAAATCACCGTCAATACAAGTATTGTGGCAAAAGTCAAAAGGCCAAGATACTGTGATAAGAAGAAGAGCCTGTCGGAAAACTTTCTCGTCCTTTTCACGCACTCGACTCCATATTCCTGGGAATTTGTCGTTCCAACGCTGGATTCACTATTGTCAGATAAACTATCACTGGATCCACTCCTTGCAACGGGAGAAGACGAGCATGATGTACTACAGACAGAAGAAGCCGAGCAGCAGAGCTCCACACACATGCACCGATCGTAGAGTAGATTGAGGTAGTGATCGTCACCCCTTTTGTGGTCATTTCGGTGTTCTGAATCTTCTCCTTTCCCAAAATGCTCTGCCAAATCTCTAAAATCGTCAATATTCAACTCAATCAAATCCGCTTGCACATCACTGGCGAACTTCTTTACCACCTCTGCCAAAAACTCTTGGCCAAGAAAAGCATGGAACCCTCCAGGGAGAAGAAGCTGAACAGCATCAAGTGCAAACTTGGGAGTCTTGTGTGAACTGAAGGTCGATTCGAGGCCCTCAGCCTCTTGTTTTGGCAGGATCGTTTTTTCTTTTGGCATGATCAGGTTGAAAAGTTCATCGTACAAAAAAGAATCCAATTCATATCTTTCTTCCTGAGATGCCTGTCCATTTGATGTCGTGTCTTTGACCTTTTCGGTAAGATTGGGCGGGTTTGGCGGAAGGATTACGACTCGACGCGTTTCCTGGCTCAACTCGGATGCAGTTTTGACACAATTGTCCATAAACCATGAAGGCATGGAGACATCTGAATTAACCTCCTCGACTCCATCTTCGTTCACCATGGCATCGACATCTACGGCCATATTTGTTGAGAGGACGTATCAGTGCTTAAACAGACACTGTAAGCAGCTAGTCTTGAAGTTTGTGATGAAAGAAGTGAATAAGAAAGAAAGGTGACAGATATAGGAATGTGAAGAAGACAATTTCACTAGAAGCGTCTCAGCTATCTCTCCAAGAGAGGCAAAAGGAAATTCAGCAAACAAATAGCATGGCAGATCATGAAACTAGTCTGTTCTACCGTGGACGTTCTCCACATCCATATATCTTTACTTGCACTAATTTGTTGTTCAGAAGCGCTAGATTCTGTTTGTAAGCAGCAATAGACGTGCGGCATGTGTAAGATCTTAAAATACTTTGGCATACTATCAGCCCGTGTCTTACGACCATTCGAGGGAATAAGTTGAAGCAATCACTGATTTTCTGGTCGAGTAAAAATGTCGAAGGCTGGCTATCGTACCCATTAAATTTTATGCGGTAGTGTTACTTCACTGGTGTTAGAGCTAAGCGCTGCCGCCTGACCATAAGCTCATGATTTCATTCACATATCCTCGCTTAGACCCACGTCATGAAGTGAACTCCCTTTCAGAGCCTCAACTTTATTGTAACATTACCGATCTCAAGGACATTCTCGTTTAGAAATGCATAGATAGATATTGCACCACCACACCCCCAAAAATGTGCAGTTCGCGATAACAAATTGTCAAGGAGAAGGCAGGAGGGCCCACACTAACTTACCCCTGACTTAACCAACCAATAATACCGCAACACATTGATATGCACCACCAAAATTATCAAATCTGAAAGCTCGATGCATCTGACTCACAACACAATGGTGTTTCAAAGCTAGGACTTCAGGTTATCCTTTCTTGATGAGATGAGATGACATGTCAACATTGAGTGGAGAATTTCAGCCGTCCTTCTTCGAAGTACAGAAGTATTTTTATTTAGACCTCCTTCTTCAGTTATCGCAACATGAGACACAAAGAACCCCTAATGCACAATGAAACAAGATCGATGGATATGGCTGCTGCAATGAACCAATTCGATAGTTTTCCAAATTCTCCATCATGGAACTCGATTAATCTATCAATAAATGCAACTCAACTCAAGAGTTTCAAGAGATTGTTGGAAACTACAAGCGGTATCTGAAAGCTTTCACGTGCGGTACGTGTTTATCATTATTTGTTCGGTTGACCCAGGCCGGGAGTTTAGACCGCCTAGATTCCCCCTCTCACTCGTCTTCAGAAACGAAACCATCATCAGAATTTTCAGGCGCTAAATGATGATCTGTAAACAGTGATATCACTACAGATATCCTAATCCGCATCCGAATATAACAATATCATTTCAGCTCCTGAATCCAAGTAAAAGTCTACCCCTTACTCTCCCGCCGACCCTCAATCCAACCCAGGATGAGAAAGCGGTATCACTAATTCAGTAGCACCATTATTCGGTGATTGGTTTGATATAAACCATTCAGAAGAGAAAGGGACCCTTTTTAGTGTATCAGGCTCTTTATCTAGAATGAGTCTTCTAATACCCCTCATGATTCTTGATCTCGGAGGGTTGCAGCACGTTCTTTTCACGAATTTTATAGAGTCCCTATGGTCTGCTAGCCACTTCTCCACAGCACAAATATAGATTTGGAACAGGTACATACATTATTTACTTTTGAACATACAAGGTTTTACTATATGAGGATTCATTATGCTGTGACAAGATGACGCAATCACTGTTAGTCGGTTGAGAGGGGCCGAATCTGACGAGAAACAGATCTTTCATCACATGCCTCACTCTATTCACGTGTTAAAAGAAATTTTCTAAAATCGTACCAAAGTTTTATAATCATATTTATTAAAGGGATAACGAAGGACAAGTGAATGCCAATATTTTACCGTGGGTTTCGTTTTATTAGTAGCATCGCCCAAGATATCTTGGAGATTAAGTAGGCGGAACTCCTGCGATATGTGTAGGTGGACGCTTGGCTGCTTTTCCTGCTGCATCTTTTATCCTTTTATCGACTTGGGCTTTATTGGATACCAGTTCCTTACCATAATAGTATGCTTGGGATGGGCAGCCAAGCCACATGAGATAGTCGACCGTGGTAACACTATTCTTGTCCCCAAACCCGACTGGCTTTTCGACGTCGGTTCGGAGTTGCTCAAGAAGCTCTTCTTCGTTCTTGATAAGACATGCCTTTTGAACCAACTTCACACATATGTGAACCCAATTTAAAATGCTCTCCGAATCGAGAGTTCCAGGATGTTGACGAAACTCGATGGTGCGTTTGCCAAAACTAGAAAGGAAAGGGGGGGCCAAATTACTTATATTGAAGCCTGAACTTCTGTTTCCCATGTGATTATCTAGTTGCTTATAATCAGTGAATGACAAGATACGATTTAGAAACTCGAGACGTGTGAGCCTTGGATTGTTTATACCTAGTTTGGCTTCTCTGAGGGACTTACAATGTGAGTTATTTATCCGAGTCTCAGGCATCATCAATAAAATCTGACGTTCGTAGGTCCATGCAATGGCCAAGAAATTGCGCAAGATGGGCCAGTCAAAACCACGGTATCCGATACCGACATGAACATGCAACCCTGTAGTTTCGTTAGCACGAACTAAGTAACTGTTTCTCATTTCTCTCACAACTGTTTCTACAGCCCTTCGAGCGGCTTCATCGTAGTAATAGGGTGGAGACGACATTTCCATGCCATATTCGAAATACTTTCTGGTATTTGAATTTTGCGCAACTGGGCCGACGGTGATGTCGGTTTTTAATATCCAGTCGGTAGCACCGGCTGCTTCCACTTCTCGCGGATTTCCGTACTCAGACTCCTTCACCGTTGCTGGAATTCCGACTTCCTCTAATGTTCTCTCAATATCATAATTTATGGAATCGAAATTTGCGAGAATTCTTGCATCTACTTCGCGAGGATCGCTTGGATGAGGGTTTTCATCACCCTTGGGTACAGTAGCTATGAGAAATTCTAATTCGACACCAAAGGTGAGCCGTGACTCTACTTCTGGGGATGATACTGTTGGGGTAAGCATCTTGATTAGGTTGATTGATCAGATGGGTTTGTGATGCAAGTGCTGGGAAGCCCATTATACAAATGAATTTCGAGAAGCTGTCAGTTCTGATATAGCCAACAATCGAATTGTTCTTGCATAGTTAGGTAATTATTATGAAAGAGAAGCAACATTTCTCTCACAACATTCCAACAAAGTAACAACAGGTCTGAGTATCCTTTTTTAGCTACAAAGACAACGAAAACTATGCACAGATGGAATTGAGTTTTGCTAGTGACAAAGGATTGAGTTCTTTATCTCGTCGCGAGTAGAGAAAATTCTTTATTCTAGAGTTGGCATCTTTGACAAAAGTGAATGTGAAAGCCGTGATATCTCGAGGGTCGAAAATTTTCAAGTCCACTTCATCTTAAAGTGGACTGAACTGACTGTTCTCTACTTTGACCAAAAGTTTTTGAAATTGACCAACCAATTGATTGATGCTTACATCAATTGGCCGATCACGATGATAATATCTGTCATTTTGGAATTAGTAGCCTTTATACATTAGTCTCGTAGATCTAGAGCCTACAAGATCAGATAAATTCCAATTCCAAAACGGCCATTGGCACCGAATTGAAGCTAGATAATTGGTACTTAATTAAAGCCATTTGATATCACATGACAGAGCCATAAATATGTAGCCCCGATGCAACATGTCACACTTTCATTAAGATGATCGATACGGCTTCAGCTAGAATAATCTTCTTTACTGCGAATGTCAAAAGGTTCCTTTAAATGACGAGTATAAAGAAAAAGCTATTCTTGGTGTGAAGAAATTAGCAGAGAAACTGGGGAAGTGGGAGTTAGCAGGAAACTAGTGCAGAATGGTGATATTTAAAGTTTGACTTGTACTACACTACAGTTTAGCTAGAGTAGTTTGGTGAGCTGAGTGATCTCATGAATCTGGGTGTATATAAGGACACTGCTCCTCTATCACCTCAAGATACCCATTTCCTTAACAAACAGACATTATATTATCTTTGGTACAGCGATCAATTACTATAATCGCGATAGCAGCAACACAAGTATTAATCACTCTTACAATCCCGATGACTTTTACTCTCTAGACTGACGAATTTTAAGGAAACATATATCGAAGAGGTCATACCCTCCGTTAGTACCAATACTTATATTTGGAACAAATCTGTTCAATATTGTAGCAAGATTATCTCAAAATGTGCAAAGAGTTGTATATGTATCATAGGTCATGCGGCGGCGATGGCACCAAGTCATGCATCTGTGATAAATCATGTCCGTACTACGAGCCCTACTTCGCAAGTACTTGCGACTCCACTTGGTTAAGAGGAGATGATCGTAATCTTTGCAAGGATTGTCCACGCAGAGCCATGGATGACCAACGAAATAAGAAGGGGGAGATTGTGCCCATCGCCGCGTGTCACAAATGTCCCGGACATGAAAATCATATGAAAGGCGCTGATTTACCAAAAGCCGATCCTAATCATCGGTCAGCATTATCGATGAGAGCAATGGAACGTAAGAGCAAATTTGAACGTACAACGTTTCCAGCAAAAAAAACTCCAGCAAAAGCTCTGGTGAGAGCGCCAGAATTTACAGAGTACCTTGAGAAAATTTTGGCAAAAAAGATGTAACAGTTTGTGGTGAGGTTACTACCAAAGTATTCTAGAGCCCAGTAGCTTCGTATCCTAGCCCTGCACGCCGCACGATGGAAGTTGGATGGCAGACTGACGGACTCATGAGGTTATACTCATGCCTATATATCGTCTTTCATAGACAGTTTGTACAGAAGCGTGTTCAATTCAACCGACCAATCAATGGTCTCGGCGATATGTTACGAACATGGAAAAAGTAAAAGAGGGAATTTTATGAAAAGGGTTGTAATCGGAAGTCGTTTGGAAACGTGGATTAAGCGACCGACTTCCTTCCCCTCCATCATTTCCCCAGAGACGATACATATAATGAATCAAATTGGGTTCTAGAACGATCAACTCGATATAACTTATCAGTTGACAAGGTAGATTTTAAGGAACGATAGAAGCAATCGAGAACATGCTTGTGATAGCAAAGGGGGGAGGAAAGAAAAGGAGGCAAAACAGTAGTTGAAAGCAGGAGGAAAGAAACAAAAAACAAAAAAACAAAGAAACAAAAACAGCGAAATAAGAGAATGAGAGAGAGTAGAGACAGAATTTTTCTATTTGTCTATCGGAGACCCAAGTCATTTGCTCAGATAGCCCTTGACACATATGCTCTTCAGTGCCGTTGGCCTGCTGGGTGAATGGAATTGCTTCAATTCACCAACTCTGGCCCTCAGAACATAACAAAAATATGCTCTAAGCATCCAATCTAGAACCGAATAGTTCCATGCAAATCTCCAGGAACGCAGCTTCTCCTGGATTTCCCCGAGGTTGAGAGGCTTTGCACTCACTAGCCCGCCCCGCAATCAAACATTCGACGAAGCTAAATCAAAATACCGGTCGAAGTGGAGCAAGTTTTTTGCTGTGAATAAGCTTAATTATACCATAGCAAAATATCTCCGATATCAGTGGAATACACAACGTGAGCATTAATGCTTGAACGGTTGTCGTGATTTATGCACGACCTCGTGAAAAGCGATCCTATGGTCCAGAATCCATCACCCGCCTCTCGTTTTATGGTTGGTATTCCTATTAATGACCACACACGAAACCATGAGCTTAGCAAGAGAAACCATTTCAATACACGCGGAATGACATTCCTTCAACAAAAACAAACATGGCAGTGTTACTGCACCATCAGAAACCTAGCCTCCAGAAAAGAAAAACTTCAATTTTATCTCAAATTACATAATCTCGAATTTCATTGGATCGCATTGAATACGCGTATTCGGAAACCTTAAGCTGCAGAATGCAGCCCCACACCCCTTAAGGCTGCGCTAACTCAATTGACCAATCTGCATGAGTTTTTGAGAAATGCATTGAGCTTATCGACGTATACCGTTGTAAAAAACTTCCATATCTAAAAATACGCGTATTCTATACGGCGTAAACAGAAATCATTATCGATTTTTCTTCTAGCAATACTCGAGAATTCTCAAGATGTTGAGAATAAAACCTATTGATAACCTCGAGTTGGAGTTGGAAGTCCATCTCCAGCTCTTTCCTTTCACATCATACAATTCTGATCGTTCCTTTTGGCTATCCATTGAGAGCAGTCTAGAACATCCTTCATATCACTACATCTACTCGAATACCAACTTCCTACTTCCTCACGATGGCGAAACTCGAACCCTATCATGATGATTACTACCTCTGGAACTACGTTCCGTCTATGGCTGCAGCTGTCCTCTTTATTGTCTTTTTTATAATAACAACCGGTCTACATACCTGGCGTATGTTTAAGACCAAGTCCTGGTTCTGCACAGCATTTTGCGTTGGAGGTCTCTGTGAGTACTTCCCCATCTCTCTTGATATATAAACATATTCTAACCCTTACAGTCGAAATCATCGGTTACATCGGTCGAGAGATGGCTGTTAACAGTACCGGCACTCTCATGCCATATATCATCCAAAGTCTCTTCACCCTCATTGCTCCAGCCTTCTTGGCCGCATCGATCTACATGACACTCGGTCGCATTATGCGATATGTCCACGGAGAACATCACTCCCTCATTCGGATCAATTGGCTTACGAAGATTTTCGTCATCGCAGATCTCTTGTCATTCTTCGTACAATCAGGAGCCTCCGGGTTGATGTTCAGTGATAGTACTGCCAGTCTTGGTCAGAAGGTCGTGTTGGCCGGTCTATTTATCCAGATCATAGCTTTCGCATTTTTCTTGTTTACTGCTCTTGTATTCGAACGCCGAATGAGAAGAGAGCCCACACCGGAATCTTTCGTTGTTGAAGCAAACTGGATCCATCACTTGCATTGTCTTTACGTCATAAGCGTTCTCATTCTCGTTCGATCAATATTCAGAGTTGTCGAGTATGCCGCGGGCCAGAAGGGGTATCCTTTGATGCATGAATGGACTTTATACACATACGATACAGTACCAATGTGGATTGTCACCGTTCTCTTTTTCATCTGGTATCCATCTCAATTCCAGGCAAAGCCGGGAACTCGAACATCTCCAAGGGAGACGGTAGAACAGGCACAAAGTGTCCAATTGATGAATGATGCAGAGATAAAACGCAGTAGAAATCCGCAGACAAGAGTTTATGGTTCTCGAAGCATGGTTTGAAGATGTTATGATAAAAAGGCTGGCACCAAATGCTATAGAGCCAACGAGATAAAGATTTAGGATTGGGTCTGCTTTTACTGTTATCATTCGTATTTCGGTTGTCTGAGCAAGACATATGGTAAACAGGAGTCTGGAGTTATTCACTGTAGCCAACTTGATGAAATGGTTTTGCAATAAGGATTGCAACACAGGACCTGCGGAAGGTAACATAGCTGTAGCTAATTCAAAAGTGATGAGACGAAACTAAATTTCTCACACCCAGTGTCCACACTTTCCTGTTTTTAAATAGTAGGTACGTGTACATATCGAATGATTGTCTGTTTGAAGTACTTCCACCCTTCAAACACTATCAAAACGCGGTCAATGAATATTAGATAGTGAGATATATATCAGGATGCTGAGGAAGGGTGACAATTGTAGATTAGACTCCAGGTGGATAGAGTGAAATACAAAATTCATCATTTCAATCGTGGCCTTTCCCATTTTGTGATCATCCGATAATCCCAAGAAGACGCAGTGATGATATCTATTTTCGTTCTCATTTTGGACATCAAACACCACGTAGAAGCAAAGCAACATGCTTGCAATTGGACTCTAATGCTTTCCGTTATACTTCCATCTTATGTTTTTAGAATTGAAAAATCACCGATTTTCGCTTTCAACCGAGGCCCGGGTTTATTTTTGAAGATTGATCATCACGAATTCAAAAAATTCTTGCCCAGAAGAGTAGTGGATGAACAATCGAAGGCGATGCTCAATCTTTGGGCATATGAGGTCAAACATTCGCTTCCCAGCCTCGTTGATTTCGTATATCCCTTTATGTTATGACAAGTCATCATCGCGTAATGGCTCAAGGCTTTTTCGTACATCCTCAAGGATTTTCACATTACCCGCCAGGCACGACTCAACGGTAGGAAAATATGCTCCAATGCACGTGAAGAAACCTTTGCTATCGGCGACGGGGGTAATCAAGAGACCCATTTCAGCCCCACGCCAACGGGTTTCTGGAGCCTATTGGTGATTTTCAGCAATCAAACTTTGCAATAGTTGCTATCATCGAACCAAAGATGTACCTCGTTAGGCTTTCTTGTTGGTGGGTCGTTGATAGGAATTCCACTGTCAAGAACTTTGACACGCGCAATGCCTATGGTGCCACCAAAAAGAATGACCAGATGGATCAGGCGGAGTTGGATATCGAGTATTTTAAAGTCGCCTAAATACCAATCAATGTCTTCGCAATGGAGTCCACGACTATGAAAATAATGTATCTCTGTGTCTAAAGTTACACAAGATTGAGTTGACCCTCGAAGTGGTAGATGTCTCTCCCTATAATAACATTTTCCGGCGATATCTGAAAGTGCCACGAGCTTATCGCTGCTAATTGTTAATTTGGACTTGGTATAGAGCTTGAAGATTTCATTTCAAACAGCAAACCAGAAATTTCCAGAATGAAGATCTTTCAGCTTTGATGATGTGCCAAAACAGGCGTCTTCCACTTGATCAAAGGTTTCAAAATATGTGCGAGTATGACAGTTGAGTATGACCTGATGTTTACTGAGATGTAACGTTCGAGGGCTCAAAGGTCGCTCTTGTAATGTTCATGCTCTTTGAAGTAATGGTGATTCCAAGCAAGACCGCTCGTAAATATTCATTGCTGCCGAAATAAGCTTTGACTTAGGTATACCCATCAGACCCGCCCCACTCAAAGTCGAAATGGGTCATTAGCTCAGCCATCCGCAGTTCGAATAAGGTTCAAATTTCTATCGAAGAACAAGTCATCATTACCATCTCGAGCTCCAGTAGCGGCTATGTTGAGACTGGATCCACCACAAACAATAAGTACCTAGGCAGCCATACGAAACAAATCCTTCTTCCAATTGTCAACATCATCTTAAATAATGCATAAGGAATCCATCCACGAGTAATAAATCCCGATTTCCAATATTACTTTCAATGCATCGTGGAATGTCTCAGTGAGAGTGGATACTGATATCTCTTCCTGAAAATTAGAAATGTTATCTTTAACCAACTCACCAAAGTTCAGGCTGCTCCATACATGACTGTGTGTTGTGTAATGGGTACCAGGCGGTATATTGAAAGTTCGAAGACGCACTTGGCAGTTTGGTCTCTCTTTTGGAACTTTAACCTCAGGTAGTCGTGACGGCATGACGAAATCGAGTTGTATGGCACACTTTTGATGTCTATAGATACATTCCGTGACCCATATCTTTGACAGCATGAAACTGGCGATAGATTCAGTCAATTTTTGAATTGGATGCACTAGAAGTAACTCAGAATTGTTATATCAGCAGTAATGAAGATTTTCTCTTTTTGTAAAGGAGAAGAGACAGTAAAATGGTGGGCTGTGCATGTACCTGAATAGGGCATTAAGAATTTTGCATGTTCGAAAGAATACTTAGCCCTCTCAAGATGCATGCCGTCAGATGTAACGCTCAGCGGTGTACCATCATCTTGGAGTATAGCAAGAGCAAGTATACATAATCGAAAGGCCGTTCTCGCATACCTTTCGACTGCCCAGTATCTGCGGGTGTCGGTCATCTCGACACACATATCATGAAAATATCTACCCGTCCGGATTTCCTCTCTGATTTACCTTTCACGATGTGTGCATAAAAAGTGCTTTGAAAGCTCGCCCGTAGAGTTCTACTTTATGAAAGATGACATTTTGAACTCGGATCTTTCGTGCAAACACAGTTTTTGCGTAATTCCTAGGTAACTTAAGTTAGTTAATTATCAGATTGATTATTAGGCAATTCAAGGATGTTGAGATGAATGAGCCTCGAGAGTCATGCTAGGAGGCTGTCAACATACTAACTCGTGACTTGAGTCATGTTCAACGGTGGTTCCAAGATAGCATCTAGACTATACCTAACCTTACCCATCCTCTGTTCAGACTCCATCACTCTCATTTCTCCATTACCTGTGATTTGATACTACATCTCATAGAGTCGCTCTGTATCAAACTCACTAGCGAGAGTCTCCCATAAATCCTCTTTCATATTAGATCAAAAATCGTCGTAATAATCATAACTTACAACATTAACCTGTATTTCACAGAAAATTGACTTGGCGTTCTTGATTACCTTTAGCAAGTACGCTAAGAAGGTCTGATGCCTCAGGCAGAGAAAGGGTATTTCAACAACTCGATCCATTATGAATTTGGATGTTGTGTGTAACTTATTATATTGTCCAATGTTTAACAATCTATGTAGGGATTCAAGATATATTCGATATTGGATAATTAGTACTCTATCTTCTTCTTTTCTTGTCAATAAACACTTCCAAGGTACATTCGAATGTTTCAGAAATGCTCTTGATTCATTATTTTGATACGGAGCTCAATTGACGAATGCCTGTCTCTAATAAATATCAACACAGCCACGATCAAATACACACATATACACTCATCAGGAGCAGTTTCTCCAGTTTATCGTTCTTTTACTTGAATCCTTCACGAATTGAGATATAAAAATGAACCGCCGATCCCATAGAAAGTCGAGGAAGGGATGTTTGCAGTGTAAATCAAGACATATCAAGGTTAGTAGTACACAGAAAGTGGAGCAAAATTCTTACTTTTATTGCCCATCAAACCGTCGAGAATATGCGGCTAATATTCGTGAACGATTCTTCTTATAGTGTGATGAAACCCATCCAGAATGTGTTAATTGCAAAACAGCAAGTCACACATGCTCTTATAAGATTATTGCAAGCACCAATACCAGCAAAGTCACCACCCCAGAATCAACATTTACCAATTCACCAACTCCAACTTTCCAGAGTGACCCACAAATACCACGTGGGCCCTTGTTGCAACCGGAACCTCCATCATTACTCCAATCATCATCTCAGTCATATGTGAACTTCACACATCTAGAGTTGTTTCAACATTGTTATGAAGATCGAAGCTTTTTATGGGATGGGCAATTTCAAGATCACACTTCCAGGATAATGAAGCATGCTCACAGGGCCCCATTTCTCATGTACGAGCTTCTTGCTTGCTCAGCACAGCATTTGAGTATCATTCGTCCTGACAAATTTCAATTTTATCACAATGAATCTAAAATATTGCAAGAACAATCAATCAAAATGTTTAACGAATCAGTACAAGAGGTGAACGATGAAAACTTGATCCCAGCCTTTCTCTATTCTGGGACTTTGGGACTTCATTTCTTTGTGGACACCTTTTCTATGCCCGGTTCGGACTTGAACGAATTCATTGATAAACTAGTTCAAGCGATCATATTGATGCGTGGAGTTCGAGTTTGCTTCACTGGGTGGTGGGATGCTTTAAAGGAATCTGAGATTCATGAACTATTGCAATTTGGCCATGGGGATATGGAGCACACTGATGAATTTGTGGACCATCTTCTCGCACTTCAAGAAAGGTTGCCTGAGATTCCTGGTATGGGAGAAGTGGAGCTCGAGGTATTGTATGGTGCTATACATCAATTGAAATGGGTGCATGTATCCAGTCTCCTCGACGCCCATCAGAATGGAACTCCTCGTCCTAGAATGATTACCACATGGCCAATCACGCTGGCAGAGGAATATACGGATCTGCTCGCTCAAAGAACACCCGGGGCATTGATTGTACTAGCACATTTTAGTATTCTGCTATACGCTTGCCGAGAATACTGGGCAGTTGGCAATGCTGGGAAGTTTCTGTTGGCGGTGGTTGAAACTTATCTTGGTGAAGATTGGAAATCATGGTTGGAATGGCCTAGATCGAAGGTTCCCGAAAGTGTTTGAGCTTTGGAGATTCGAATCGGACGAAAACGTGAAGAGTTTAGAAAGATCCCATGAAATTTCAGCGCAAGAATGCTTTGGTGCGGATCGCACATAGCGGTAGCCTTCATCGACGCCATTGATTAATATGCGGGACCGAGAGAATATTTCGAGCGTGTTTTCCAGACCATTCAAATGCATTCACTGGAGATACCATATATCGAAATCAGTGCGGTCTCGATTTAAATACAATAGACAAGAGCCATATAATCAGGTAGAATCTCTCTTTCTTGTCAAAATAAAAACAATGTCAAAACATAATAGAAGTTGCCAAGACAAACAGCCCATCCATACAGAATTCGACTCCTCCATTAACTTCATTTATCACCCACCTAAGCCGACACATCTAGAGCCAGATATACATTCTAACCATCATATATCTTCATCAAAAATCATAAGCGCACTCGATCTGGCCGAGTTGGTAGCTTCAACGATTAAAAGTCGGTCCGGTGAAGCCAAGCTCCTAACGTGAGGGTTTGAACCCCTACAATTCTTACGAATTGACAATCCAGTAAATGGTTGAACAAACCGATGTCTGCTGCCTTGGAGAGTTTAGGATTTATATTCCTTTTGCAGTTTTTATTTTTTTTGTCAGGGATGAGGATGGATTCAAGCAATGACTTGTCTGTTTCTTATAATGAGGACGTCTACCGGGTGGTTGGTAGCTTTTTTTTTCTCCTGAGATGTGGTCGATAGATGCATGTGCTGCCAGCAAGAAAGCAACTTAAAAGCTAGATGTACACACCAAAAGATAGTAAACTAGAAAAGGACTAGTAGCCTTGGTTTCTTAGCAGAGGGGTTGCAACTCTTTGTTCGTAGCCGCATAAGTATAGTATGCTATGCGTCCCCGGATAAATCAAACCATACATCACTTGACCGTTTTGTCTTGGCCAGTACGTCAAAATTCTATAAACGACATTCAACTGCTGGTAAGAACAGCAGATCTCTGATACGTGAAAGGGATTTCGGCGCCCCAATATTCTCTATCATATGGCGTCCGGATAAAGTTATAAACAAGGATCGCTTATCCACCACGCACATGAAACGTGGTAAACATCTATAGTTAGCAAGCTGTGTCGCAAAACATCGTGTAGAAATCTCGATATTTTTTCAATTCACGAACATACCCCCATTCGAAAACAACAGATTGATATTCAATACTTCTATATCCCATTCTTCGAAATGACAACGAAACCTGTCAACAAGCAGCATGGTATGATAAGATGCGGACGGGCGGCCACTTCTGGGCACGCTCGGCGTGCATATAAGGTCGTCCAACTTATTCAGCTGGAGACCGGAATCCCTGCAGAATCCTTCGAAGCGTCGTGAATAGACCAATCATATCAGATGTCAGATCTTAAAATATCATTGTGCAGCGAAGGATTTAGTTTGGAGCCGCATTCTTTCGTCTTATCTACGGGTGGTAAGTAAGCATAACCTTATAATCCCGGAGCTGAGACATAGATTATTACCTTCTTGATTGATATCTTCTTTGATTCACATTGTTGAAATCTCATGTAAACTTATGTTGTTGAAAATTCTTTTTTGATATTAAAGTTCTCAGGTTTTCGAGTTCGAAGTATTATATTGTGAGAGAGAGAGAGAGAGATTTACCACCTATCGTGGTATCCGAGCCGACAAAATGTCACATGCTTACGATCCCATAAATACCTCTCCCCAAATCGAAATGACCAATGCCACACCCACCAGCACATTCCGACCCTCTCCACCCACCCAAACCTCCAGTAGCAATCTTTCCCACTCCAACAGTGCGGCCACCTTACTTCCACACGAGCAAAACTATTCACATTTCGAAAGTCATTTTCATAAACCCGAACAATCCTATACCACCGTGCCTTATAAACCCAAGACCGGAAAACAATTTTGGCATATCTTGTTGAAAAGTTTGGCAAGATGGTTGATCACGCTGGTTTTGTGTATTGCTTATTTATTGGCGTTGAGGGTTTGGAATAAGAAGGGTACGGTGACGGAAGCTTCTAAGAGGATTTTCAATGCCATTACCACGGGCATTAGTATTGCTCTGGGTATCAATATCGCTACTTCGTTGAAGGATATGGCGTTGAATGCGCGTTGGGCAATTCTACATGCTAGGAAGAGAAATCTTTATGAAGTAGGTGGAAATTCTGCATTTCCGATGTTTGAGTGATTACTGATGGAAGGTTAGCTTGATCTTACTTTACATGCGGACAGTTTGATGGATCTTGGAAAATTGGCGTTTGTTTCGAAGCGACCGATGGTTTTCGGTATGGCTATTTCGTGGTTGATATTCAATCTCGTAGGTTATTGTATTTCCAATTAAAAGAAGAAGTGAGCTAATGAATGATAGTTTGTACAAGCAGCTATTGCAGCTATTAGTCTAACATATGGTTTCGATACCAGCACAGAGAGTTATCTATTCACACCCGGCAATGTCATGGTTCCAGATATGACACATCTCTCCAACACCTCCAACCCTCACTTTGAAGATGAAGAAATCACAGCTCACGCTTATGGGGGTTTAGCTTGGAATTTCGGAATTGGCAGCTCGATTGAAGACCTTCCATCCCAAGGGGACATCTACCAAGGACTCATCAGCAACTATAGCATATGGCAAGACCAACCTAACAACAAAATGGTCTTCGTATTCACTGAATCTTCCTCTGCGTCCACCCAAAAAACCGGTTCGTTAAGCGTCTACACCAAGCGAATTCTCGAAATGCATTACTCCTGTTCATCTTACAAAGTCACGCACTTTAACGACACAAACGGTTTTTTCAACACCAGCAACCCGGACATCAATCCCGTGTATTTAAGTTCCTGGGCCCCAAACGCCACCACCTTCTTCGCCGAAGGCGACTATCTCTGTCCGGACAATACTCCCCGCTGTTCCGTCATTCAAGCCCTCGAAACCAGCGACACCGATACGGAATGGTACTACACCTGCAACATAACCTTGTCAAAAACCCTCAACGACGACAAAAACATCTCCTACATCAGCGACGCCATGTCGTGGGTTTCCGCCGCCGCCATCGCAAACACCGGATACATCTACGGCGCGAGTTCCCAACAAACGTCATCCTACCCACAGAAAACCATCTGGGGCACCCCCATGCACGGCAACGCCTCTCGCATCGGAACCCAGATCACCGCCTTCGGACTAACCTCGCTCTCGCTCGCCGCAGCCTTCAACCCCTCTATCTCGCACCCCGGACTCGAGCCGCACACGGGCTTCGCGCTCTCGATAAACCATTCGTTTTTTTTCCTGCTCATCGTGTTTCTCATCCCGCTCGTGCAGTTTGTCATGTGTTTTGTGGTGGCGGTGTGGAGTAACTCTGTGCAGGTGGGCGATGATGCGTATATCGAGATGAGTTTGCTGTTGAGACCGATTGCGGATGCGCTTTTTGGGGTGAGTGGCGGAGTGGATAATAGGGCGTTTAGGGAGGCGAAGAAAAGGGTTTTGGTGAGGTATGAGAGGGGGGTGGATGGGAGGTGGGGGTTTGCTATGAGTTGAGTTGATTCTGGGGTGGAGGGGAAGGGATTTTTCTTTTTCTTTTTGATTATTTTTATAGCGGGTTTGTGAAGCGGGCTTCAGGAGGATTTCCTTTGGTGATGTGGCATGATTGGAATTTTGGAGGGATGGGATGTCATGAAATGGTGTGAATTGGTTCAATTGTGATACCACATTTTAAGTCTGTGGAGACTGCTAATATTTGCTAATAGCTTTTATATGATATAGTATTAAATTCATAATTGATTCTGTCTATCTATCGCTAGATCCCCGCGGACTATGCAATACGCGCATGAGTGTCTATAAATGATATACAGTATCCATATAATAAACAGATTTCATTCGAAGAGTTTGCAATATGTCATTTGAATCACACGAATCTCATATGCGACATCTCATCTCCTACTACGCGCCCGGAGCCCCAACTCCCAGCATCCTACACCAGAGAGTGATCAAAAAACACTGAAATAAAAGTTCCTAAGAAGAAGCCACTGTCCAGCATCACTCAAAATAATGCAAGACACCATATTCATCCATCTCCAATGTTGCAGTCGCAGACCCAATAACGAATTGATTTTCTGGTGTCCAAATATCAAATCCAGTACGTCCGTAAGTGATTGGTTGAGTTCCATCCCAGATATCCTCCATTTCCAACCGAAACTCACTCTTTTCTTTCTTTTCGAAAAGTCTAACCTTTTCCATGAAGCAATAGCCTGCATAAAATGCCAGAGATGTGTTTCCAGCTTTTGGTCCTTTTTTTGACATGAAAGATTTGAGCTGTGCGGGCGTTACTTTTTGGTCGTCCAGTGATTTTGATAGTGCGCGGCATAATGCGGTTTGACTGACACCTGTTTCGTCCAAATACTCTCGGATTTTTTCTCGGAGTGAGTCGCAAGTATCGTATACTTCAATCGCACCATACTCCTCATCTTCATCATCTTCCAGCTCAATGTTTGCAATAACATCCATTAGATCCTCATTCTGAATATTTCTTTTCTTTTTTTTTGGTAAGCCCTCGACTTCTCCACCTTGGGCCCTTTTAGTTCCTGATGAACTAGTAGGCTTAGCTTTTCCATTTGAGCTAGCCTCATCTCTTCTTTCCTTTTCCAATTCCCGCAGCAAATCCCAACTTCTTCGACAAACTTTGTTCTGACTTCCCTCCTCTCTGGACATACAAAAGGCGGAAAGCATGAAATCGTCAAAATCTTTTTGCGAGACGCCGATCAAGTCCCAAAACTTGCAGCCAAATCCCATCAAGTCATCGAGGTAAGTTTGTAACTCGAATTGGACTAAAGAAGGAATATATTTATATTCCTCTTTCCCGGATCCCTTTTCGTCTGCCATTAAAATGCTTCGGAGCTTTTCGCGGCATCGCTTTGTTTCTTGATCCGTAACAACAGATTTGATTGTCTATATAATGTTAATAAATGAGGGGATGGTAGGTGTGAATAAGATACATACTGGCTTCGAGTTGGATTTAGAGGTGGACACAGTTGTTGAGGTGTTGTCGTGTTCGATCACAATATTCTCATTATCCTCATTCCGATTGCGCCGGCTACGTGTAGCTCTTCCATTGGAACTGTTACCTGCAGCCTGAGAATTCGATTTTGACACAATTTCTTCATCCAAATCAAGGTTGTCAATACTGCGATTAGCCCGAGTCTCGACATTCTTACTGATTGGAAGTTTGTTGGAGCTTCGCGATGAACTGCCTACTTTAATCACAGCAGGTTTTCTGTTTCCAGCAATCTCTTTCTGTGTCTTTCTCGATACAATGGAACCTCTTTGAAGATCGTTCTCCTGGTCTTCAAGTGCAAATTCAATAAAGTTCTTTAACTCTCGGCGCAGGACGGTATAATCCGGTGCTTCGGTTCGATCCACATACATAAAAAATGCATCACGACTTGTTTGAGAGACACCTAATGATGTCCATTCTTTACATAGCTCATGACTTAGACGACAACGCTCCAATTCCATGTCTATCAAATGATCATATTTCTTGATATCGATCGCAGTATCATCATCTTTGGTTTTCTCTCCCTGTTTATTGTTAGAATGATTGAGGATACAATTTGCATGTGTGTGACTTACTTCCATGATTGGCAACATAGAACTTCGATCTTCAGAAGGAGCTGATGCGTTGAGCGTTGCTCTAGGCAAAGGTTTTTTTGATCGGGGCATTGTCTGATCGATTTTGTGTGAGATAATTGATTGTTTGTTTACTTTCCCTTCTTCACGGGTTACGCGACGTGAATATGAATATGTGAAAGTGCGCAGACACTTCGACTTACACCTTATCTGTTTGGCTGGCAGCTTTCAAAGTCATTCAAAATTGGATGGACAACAAATACCCTTCAATCTAAATCAAACCTTGAAAATGTTCAACATCTGATAGAAAGTAAAGACCCTGAGTGATTTAAGTACCCGTCCACCTTGGTAGGTAGGTACCTAGTAATCATTGGGAGGTTAGTACTAGCGCCACACTTTGCTACTCTCCCCATTTTCCTCGCGAGAGTGAATTAGTTCCCTTGAATACCTACCTCGCCCTCATAAGAGAAGAGTTATGCATGTATTCATAGGTTCTTGAGGACTTTTCTAAGGTAAAAACTAGGTCTTTAAAGGAATCGGATCAATGTAATGCCTGGTAGTCAAGTCAATAGGGCTGAGAAACACACGAAAATAGCATTCCATGAGGTGTAGGTTTATCAGCCCGTGATTATTATCACATGACCTAACGAAAGACAGTTTACCAATCTTACCGACTTAATACTCTGGGCGCAGCTAAGAACTTTACACGGTTTGTTTCAAACTTTTTATCGCGCTATAAGTCAAATGCAAATGATATGAGATAGATCGATACGGTGCTTAAAGACTTCTCGCAAATATTCTCGAGATTGTAAATGATCGAGAACAACACGTGTGAAGGTGCTGCATGGCATTAGTAAGCAGACGGACTCGCCAAAAGCGGTGAATACTTAAAGTGGTTTTTGACGCGCGCTGGGAGTTTGTCGCGTTTTCTGCCTAATTAACTTTCACTGGCTAGGTTCACCAAGTCATATTCTCCAACCACGCGAGTAACTGCAGGACAAATTACAAATTACCAAAAACCTTTCCGGTATTCAGGTGTCTTTTAAACAAATAGAAGATGGGTTTCGGTACAGCTGCTATTCCATCTTCACGATAGCTGCGATCTTGCAGCCATGGTACCGCCATCTTCAACGGCTGCAAAATCAATCAACACTGAGCCAAGACCTTCCACTCCTACTGAGCCTGAATCCAGTGAGCCTCGACCCTCTTGGTTTCGATTTTTCTTGAATTCAAAAGATAAATCACCTCGAAAGCCTAAAATCAATACGCCAGACTCATCTGCGGATCTCATAAGTACACCATCGACGACCAGGAAGAAAGTAGGCTGGTCCGAAAAGTACGACTACAAAGATCCTCCTAGAATCATCACCGATCGAAAGACACTATCTGCGCAGGCTCTATCGCCTTTGACACCATCAGCGGAGCGAAAAGCGACAAAATCAATCCTGAAGACACACCATGTTCCTGAACCTACACAAAATATTGTGCCTTCCGAAGGTGACGACACGACACTAGCCTCAAAACTTCTGATACTGGATGCTAGAATGTTGGAATCAATAACGAAACAATTGGCTGGGAAAGACAGGGGATCGAAGCTAGATGCATACACGACCTTATCGGGTGCCTTAAAGGCTTGCGACAATGTTCCAGACCGAAAGGCTTTATCGGACAAGATGGATTTGATACTTCAATTCATGAAGCGGGATCTGAATGCAAGGCTTGAAACTGGAGCCCTTGATACTCAACTTGCGAAAGAGGCTTTAGTACTCATGTCTAGCTTTCTCTACAAGAAGTCAATCGCAGATATGTTGACCCCCGATTTCAATGGCTATATTGTGGACTACGCGTTGAAGAGTTTTGAGAGTCCTGGAATGTCAAAGGAGATTGTCAGGCATCTGATGTTTATAATTGCACAGCAAAAGTTCTCGGCAAGGATCATGACAGCTGATAGGGTTACAAAGCTGATATCTACGATTCACAACATCGAGGATTATGTGCGAGGCAAAAGCATCGTAGAACAGCGCATCAACATCTACCGAACTTTTCTTAGACAATCCAGAGCTCATATGATTTCCAATTCAGACTGGCTTGGGGATCTTTTCAGCGACATGCTTAACAGCTATTCAAATATACAGACTGCTGCTATTGCGTTTGCAGAAGAGGCTGGCCTTGAACTCGGGACGGAGAGCAAAATATCTTCGAAAGTCACAGAGATCTTCAAGGGATCGGATGGAAAGGATGTCAAGTATGTCGAATTCTTTGCCGATAGACTGCGAAGTATGGCAAAGAAATCTTCAAGCTCCACACCACGTATCTGGGCGGCCGTCATATTATTTCTCCGTGCCCGACCCAAACAGCTAGAGCACTGGGCCTTTATCAAGACATGGCTGGACGTAATCAAGGTCTGCTTCAATTCCAGTGACCAAAACACAAAATTAGCGGCAAATCTGGCATGGAACCGCATGATATTTGTAATAACTCTGGAGGAAAAGGTTTCCTTCAGTATGGTTAACACACTAAGCCAACCCTTACTTTTACAACTTCCAAGAAAAGATGTTCGTAAAATCTCAAACTCCGACAACCTTCATCGCAAGTCAACTCTGAGCAGTATTTGCAATTTATTCTATTACTCGGTGAAGCCAAATACAACGCAAGCCCAGCTTGATATATTCTGGGATACATACATAATTCAGATCGTTCGGGATAAACTGATTCCCACTGACTTCGTGGAGAATCCCGCATTGGCTAAGCAAGATTTGGGTGACGCGTGCAACATCCTCTGTGGTTTGTTCAACGCACATACCCAACGACCGTGGATACCAACCAGAGCTCTGAATGATAATGCTGTCACACCTCGAGAGCTTCCAGGACTTGATCCGCGATGGCTACGTAAAAGTGCATCTCGAGTCTTCTCTGTTCTGAGTCCACTTATGGAGCTGCTCTTTTGGGAGCTTGCTCTCCCTAAAAGTAGAATTTCACTTCTTTGGGAGACTTACATTTTCTCAATCTCATCCGCAGCAGCAAAAGAGGTCAAGATCTCGAATGATACCATGTCATGCCTTGCTTTTCTTTTCAGCACATTGTACAAAATTTGGCAAAAGGGACCAGATGGCTTGAATACATTGGCATCTCATCGCAAGGACGAAGCAAACTTTTTGGCTAGCTTCCAAATTATTGTAACTGCTGCTATAAACGGCTTGGGGGTATTACCATTTACCGAAAGGCTCCTATCCATGGGGCAACAAGATGACTTCATTGTCGTTGCGACCCCTTCACATCGACCCGGAAAAACAAAAGGCGATATTAGATCACCACTCCATCATCTATTCCTTCTGATTTCTAGCCCTTCTCTCGGTTTTAAGCATGATGTAAAATTCTCAGAAATGGCTGAAGCCATGCTTATGCCTTTTTTTGACACCCGACGTTCGAGTAAAGGTAAAATGGATTTGGTCAAGGACCTTCTAGAAATTCTTCCTACGGATAATAGTGAGTCGTGCGGAGCTCTTTGGTCAATCCTCGCAAAACTTGCTACAGCAGCAATAAATTTTCGAGATGACGGTGTTGTGACCAGCACTATTCATGATTCCCGTCCGCTTGGCGCTGAATATCGCAGTGTTGCAAGGATTCTCGACGTCGGAATTGACCTATCACCAAAGGAGCCTTTAAAAGGATGGGCAGATCTTTTTCAAGCTTTGGTAACATCTGCGACCACTGACTCGGGGCACGGAGGCAGAGCCATCGTTGTTATTGAGCCAATAGCCAAGACTTTGGCCTCAAATTGGCAATCGGACGACGAATATTGTGGTAATAAAGTAGCATACTGTCAAATCCTAGTCAAAGAAGCATCATATCCGAAAGACCGACAAGCCTTGGACGCAGCTCGGAGGCGTCTTTGGGGAAGTGCAACTGCTGGTCCAAAAATTCACATCTTCGACCCGTATTCCCAACTATACCAATATATTTCTCGGTGCTTAAGATGCTCATACACGGAGCTTTCTTCCAACGATCATATCACTATATGTGGTCTCTTTAGTGAGGTTGAAGCGCTTTTAGTACGATGTCCAAAAGTTTTGTTTGGCGAGACTTTGACTCAACTTCAAAATGGTATTAATTGCTGGATAAGCGACGAAGAGGCAAAACTGCATGGTGGAAGTGATTTATCCCGATCCGTAAGTTGGTGTCTCCCTATCAATCAAATAGCAATGCTAATTATGTAGATTAATTCCCTCTGGAATAAGATTTGCTCATTGTTGAGTTCTACTGATCTATCAAAATTATTGAACAATCTTGAACCATTGTTGTGCGCTGCCCTAGGAAGTAAGCGTATTTATATTGCAAACTCAGCCATAGAAATGTGGAAAGATACATTTGGTTCTTTTAAGGGTGACTTGCAGTATCCTCCCATGGTCAAAGAAGTTTTGTCTAGACTCTTCCCGATGACGGACCTCTCCCTTGCATCATTATCCGAGAGCTCCGGTAATCAAATATCAAACAATCACAGGCAACCTCTCGATATTCTTGATACACAGACAGACACCAACATCTCTAATGAAGCCAATCTACCACAATTTTCGAACAGAGCTCCGTCGTCCAGTGTGATTCCAGTACACCAGCAAAAATCGGTAGATCCATCTCCACGAGTCATCATTGAAGGCAGTAAAGCCGCATCTCGAAAGAGGTCTCGTGAGACAACACCGGAACCTGGGAAGATGAAGTCAAGGAAGAAGGATTTCGTTGCTAAGTTACGACATGACGACTCCCAGATTCAATTCGAAGCGATTGCTGGCTCCTCACCCTTTTCTGAAACAACGTACGACTCACAACTTCTGACCGAAAGGCAGAAAGAGGTCAGAGAAAGACAAGCTGAAGAAGCAGCCATGTTCTCAGACATCAGGTCTAGCCCTTACCCGAGCTCAAAGCTAACTCCCAAGCGTGCCGATAATGATCTTGAATTACCTCCACGCCACTCAGCTTCAAAATTACTCTTAGAAACACCAGCCAATAGTGGAAGGCAAAGCACACCCGATACCAAAATCGTCGAAAACCAGGATACGTTCTTAACATCATCGCCCACTCCAGCACGTCGTGTACTTTTGTCAAAAGACGTCTCTCGCTCTCCTTCTCCCTCGCCAGCTGTAACTGTCGGTTCACAAAAGCGTCAGATACAATTGCCTACAGATAGTGATATAGCAATCACATCCTCGCCACCCGAAGCTAATGCAAGGAATAATGTGCCGCGAGAGGCTGTAAACAAAGACCAGAATGACTTTGGGCAGTCAACTCTGCCATCATATCTATCAATGTATCCGAGTGCTTCGATGCTCCCCACTTCTTCCGACGAATTCAATGTCACCTCGTTTCCTAATAACTTTGCGGATGAGATTAACAACAATGTAACCACCAATCGCTCATTAGATGATCCTACACAAGTCGACCCATATGATTTTGATTTGGGTCAAACCATGTCTACATACAGAAGTTCACCAAGAGATTCAGATCTGTACGAAGACATGGACGCAACCGTTGAGCTTACTAGTAGCGAGGAGCAGGCTAGGGATCAAGAACTTCGGCAAATATTTGCTGACCATAAACCTAGCAAAGCTTCGAGTGTTGATGTTGCTAAGGCCTCTATGGATCCAGTTAAAAATGACAGGGCAGTCCTACCATTAACTCCAAGACGAAGCCGACGTGGTGTAGCAGCGATGCTGCCAGCGCCGAACAGCTCAAAAAGTTATGATGCTCGGCCAAGTGTAATACATTCGGACAGACCCACAAGCGACGAGGAGATTTTCGAAGATGCTACATCGTCTCCACGAGGACTGCCACCCAGGATACAAGAGTTGTCGATGACAAACCCTATGCTTAACAACAGTTCTTCTCCTCTGAGCGATATTGACGAATCTAGCTTTATCAAACTCGCAAAATCTGTGGATCGGGCGTTAGCTAAGAATAAAGGTGAAGTTCTTCGTCAAACCCACGCATCTGCAAAATTGGCTACCGTCTCTGTTCATGCCGAGCCCATTCGCAAAATTCCAAGCCCACAACGTCGGTCTCCAATACGCCCCGTGTCGCAATCATCGGCGATTCAATCTGTCATTCCTGAAACTCCGGCACCACAGCTATTGAAAAGGAATGGAAAAGAGAACGCGTTACATGGACTCTTGGCTGATGACTCTGACACTGGCTCTGTTGTTAGTGCAGAGCAACAGCAGGTGCGACCAACCAATACCGGCAAGACCCCAAAGACATACAGTAAAAACAATACGCCAAACAAAGTTAAGGTTAAGGGCGAAACTGGAGGCGATTGTGATAGTGATAAATCTGCGAAGAAGCGAAAATTCGACGAGGCCCTTGAAGTTGGCAGTCCGGTGCTTAACAGTCAAGAGGCATCTCAAAATGGTATGTGTAATATTCTCTTTGAGTGAAATGAAAGAATACTAATTGATTGTACAGCTTTATCAGTGCCACCAATAAAGAAGAGAAAGGGTCGTCCCGCGAAGACACCAGAGCCTATTGCAACACAAAGTATTTCTGAAGCCCAATCTGTTCAATCTCAACGATCTGAACGAGCCACTCGAAGAAATACACGGTCGTCACGAGCTAAGAGTGTTGTTGAGAACAATTCAAGTATGAGTGCATCGAGAGAATTCAGTTCCGTCCCAGATATTACTGAGACCGGTTCGTCGGCTATCGCCAACAACCGCCCTACTAAGCCAGTTTCTACCACTGGAGCTGTTGACGATATCACTCGCGGTGGTTCAGAACAAGTTGAACAAGCAAGTCCAGCATCTGATCAAGTCGATGAACCGGAGCCAGATTTTGTGGAGGAAACTCTACTACAATCGCAAATAGCTGAGGAGATGGAGTTCGGGTCACAGAAAGCCAACGATGATCAACAGGAGGAAATAGTAGAGCCTGCTACAGCCGCTCCCACATATCAAACTATAAAGGAGAGGCTGCTGGGCTTGGTCAGGGATCTTGGGGATGCTGCTCTTAATCGAGAGGAAGGAAATGAAGTAGAGGATATATTTATGGATGCAAAAGCCCAATTGTATGGAGCAATCAGGCGAGGGAGACAAATGGCTGATGACTAAGGAAGTTCACATTGCCATGGCGTTTTGCATTTGCTTATGGTTGGCTAAGAAATGACACATGAAGACATACATGACATGATTACATGGAGGAGTTTTGGTGGATAATTTGTAGGTTAGATACCAGAAATAATACCAGTTATGTTGCACATGTGAATAATTTTCATTACATCATTCCCCTTTTGTCTCATTTGTCCACGAAATAGATCTTAAATAAGAACCTCATTTGCCCATCGTAGCTAGTAGTCTTCAGATGTGCAGTCAGAATAAAAGGGTTAGATAAGTGGTAAGGAAATGTGCATTTATAGTCTCACTTTGATATAAATTCGCCTTTTGTCTTTGCCCTTTAGGTATTATTGCATCTCACCCGTTTAGCCCTCGTCAATAGACATGAAACCAATTGATATATATACCTACTCGTACACAGAAGAGTATCGCTTCGAATTCTTCGCCCTCAAATGCCCTCTTGTCCATTTCCATACATACATTCCTAGGCCAATCATCATTCAGCCTGATCTAGTCCTTGTTGATGGTCAACCCCACTTTTAGTCTGATTTCCATTCGCCACTCATCTATTTTCAGCTCCTTCATCTTGGATACCCTGGTCATCCTTTCTTGTTTCAGGTTTCTCGCTTACATCCCACATTTTGGTGTGATGTACTAGATTGTCTTAGGTAACTCCCGTCGATTGGTACCTCTAAGACTCGTCCCTCACTCTAACACTTTACACCGCACCTGAATAACTTCACAAGATACTCATCTTTCAGCCTAATATACACAGCTGGTACAACTGCACTATACGTTTGTTTCATCTCACCTGCAGTTACACCCACAGCAGTATAAATACATCGAAATATCCCACCTTGTTGATAAGATCTCATCCATAACTAGCTTCTTTCATCGATCAATTTACCCCTCATTTGATCTAACAATTCCCAACTCAATCACCCACATAACAATCCCAACAATGGACCGACCCAAGAAGCCATCCGCTCTCTCTGCCACTCCAGGCCTCGCACCTCATGCTCAAATAAATACCACACACTCCAATTCCCGCGTCTCCGCCGTTCTCCCCACTGGCGAATCGGTCGAAATCCTTCTTTACGGCGCCACAATCATAAGCTGGAAAGATGCTGCCGGAACCGAAAAACTCTGGCTTAGCGAAAAAGCTGTGCTCGATGGCACAAAAGCTGTGCGTGGTGGTATTCCTCTAGTATTCCCGGTGTTCGGAAAAGTAGAGGGTGAGGAAGGTAAAGCGAAGGGTGTTGATACTTTACCTCAACATGGTTTTGCGCGCAACTGTAGATGGGAGTTTTTAGGAAAGAGTACTAGTGAGAGCAGTACCGTTAAGGGACAAGAGGGTGGTGATAGCAGTGTAAAGTTGGACTTTGGTTTGAGTGCTAGTAACGTACCTGAGGAGACAAGGAAGTTGTGGGGTGGCGAGTTTGGTTTGATTTATAGTGTTACACTTAGTAAAGAAGGCCTTGGAACGAGTATGGTGGTTAGAAATGAGGGTTCTACAGCTTGGGAGTTTCAGATCTTGATGCACACTTATTTGAAGATCCAGGTATGTTTATTTACACTAATTTCTCCGCAAACGACGTCATATGCTAATGTGCGATCAACAACAGGACATCTCCCAAATCTCCATTACAGGTCTCGAGAATGCTACATATGTCGACAAACTCACCGAACCAATTTCCACAAATACCGCTCCCACTGATCCCCTTACCATCTCCGCCAAAACCGATCGTGTCTACACTCCTGCTGGCGGTCCATCCACTGAAATAATTGTTTCTGAGGGAGGAAAGAAGAAATACACAGTCGCGAGAGACAACATGAACCAAGTTGTTGTTTGGAACCCTTGGATCGATGCCAAGGATATCGGCGATTTTGCTCCCAAAGATGGATGGAGAACCATGATCTGTGTCGAAGCTGGATCTGTTAGTGGATGGCAAAAATTGGAGGCTGGAGAGACTTGGGAAGGTGGACAAATCATCACACTTGCGAATTAGCAATCCATGAGTGTGATGAATAAGCTATCACGAATGTGATTGTGCTTGCAAGTTTGTGAGCATACTTTGCACTGAACTGGGAGTGAAGTCCTCTATTTGAGCGAGTTGAAACTTAAGGGCGCTACTCTATGCTATGCGATGCAGTAAATGCAATATTTGATGAAAAGAGGAATCTCAATCGCCTTGCTTGGTAGAGACCTCGTTAGATAAATGAATCAATTTATTACCCAAGATTTCTAGAATTCTACTCTCGCTCTCAAAGCAAATGTGTATCCTCTGTATTCGACTGCAGTCATTTCGAGCCATAGAATAGTATTCATCGAATTCCTAAGTGGGAAGCGTGGAAGGCTAAGAACTCATAGTGGGAGGATACATGATGCCAAACGCTAATGCTTGAAGTATTTCGCAGGTAGCCATGATTAAGCCATTGGCCATCTCAAAGGTGTCATTTTTTGCGCATGGCATCACCGTACTGAGATGGTATCATCAGCCTCAGCACCCTTACAGGAGACCACTTGAAATTTGAACCTGGAGACTCCCTTTCAATGTGCCGATGAGTCGGCAAGGTAGCGACCAAACACTACTCCCCCGACGAAAACACCAGCCAACACGCTCAGGAAATATCCGACATTCATGGTCATTACCGCAATCATTCTTAAACATTGTCAGCATATCTGTTACTAACAATGTTCCGAAAGTGGTATTACATACAGTAAATATCCCACGCCCGCAAGCACGATGTCAATCAATCCTAACAAAATTGCCTCTCTTGCCCGCCATTGACGCCGAATTGACTTCTCCTCCCGATGCGATTCATAGACTATACCACCGCTGCGGCGGGTATCGACAGCAGCTAACAGCTGGTAAAAGTGGACTCGGACAGCCAACAGTGCTCGAAATATTGCCGCGAATGCGATCAAAAAGATGCATGTGCCTGCGTACTGGCCAATGGTGCTCGGTGTCCAATCCATTGAGTAAAGAGGTGTGCTTGAGGAGATGAAGAATGTCATTGCCATAGACTCCATATTCATCATCGTATCGGACGACATTGACATTGAAGAGCTGGTTGAGCTGGCCATCGACATGCCTGACATTGTGCTGGTTGGTGACATTGACATGGGCATTGAGCCTGTTGAGCTGGGCATTGACATATCCATAGTTGCCGAGTTTGAAAGATATTGTAATTTGCAAAGTGTTTAGTAGATGCTTTTTTTTACAACTTTGAGATTCTTATTATCATCCATCGTAAGACGCCCAATCCCGACTTGATACCGTTTACCCAGTTATCCTTGTCATAGCTCATTGATGAATCTTCCTAATTCGGAAGAAAACTTGCTCAAAATCCCTAACATCTCTCTTTTGATTGGTGAGTGTCTACGGGGCTTGTCTTGGAATAGAGATCTGATCAATTTGCGCGAGTTTGAGTAAGATATTACGCGCGCTAAAAAAAACTCGATTAATTAATTGTTGCCTTCGCTGAATCTACGTGAGTCGAGTCGTTATTCTCCTAATGTAGTGGGTCCGAAAGTTTGAAAGTTCCCGCTGTTACTTGATAATCACATTCCCTGAATTTCTAAGATTTGGCTATTCATGATTTAAAATCCTTGGTCATAACTCCATAATATTTCAGGTCAGGACGACGAACCACCAAGACAGCTTTAATATTGTTGCTAAGAAAACTAAAACAAAATGGCTGCATGGCTATATCAACCTGTTATGTTCGAGTCTGGTCGGGCCTTCGATTGTGAAGGCTTCGATTCCGACCAGTGCAAGTATTACAAAGAACGATGGCGCAACTGGTGAGCCCTATACCTTCTTACAAGATACCACTCAGCATGAAGAAGTTAGATTGACAAATGCGCCAGGTATGTAGCAGACTGGACATTCGCGCTGCCAACAGTAGCACTCTTTATGTGTATTATCGGCATTTTCATAGTCGGTTACGTCTTGACACAAGTGCTTGCTTTGTCTCACAGGCCTGAGCCTCTGATATGGCGAAGGGGCGTCGCATTCATTCGATATTTGTCATATCGAGGCTTTCGTATCGAAGGTTTAAGGTGGAACTCCGCGCCCGTGGGATTGTTATTGTTAGGTGCTATAGGGACCATATATTTTCTCTGTAAGTGCGATGCTGTTTTGCAACTGGTAGAAAGATACACAGACTGACCTCCTCTGAAGGCATGGATTTGATACCATCCCCATATTATTGGCCGGGTACGAGCACCGTTTGGGGAAACTCGCCGCCATTAGGTACCAGGTCTGGCTGGCTGGCGTTAGCTTGCATGCCCTTCGTCTTGTACGCTCATCTAATCAACTATGCGAAACCAGACTAATTATGTGTAGTGCAACTGCGACTAAGACGAATTGGATAACAATGGTGACCGGCGTACCATATGAGAAGCTTCAGGTCTTTCACCGGTGGATTGCATATGCTTTCTTCATCCTGGCGCTGATGCACACATTTCCATTTATTGTTTGGCATATTCATAATGGGGATATGGTCAATCAATTCACTGTGAGTAACATCTTCGAATATTGGACTGGTATCGTTGCGCTTGTATTTCAGGCGTGGCTCACACTTGCATCTTACGGTCCCATACGGTAAGCAACCTTAACATGAGAACATTCCACAGACGATTAATCACTCACTAGAAATCTTGGCTATGAATTTTTTAAAGCAACGCATTTCTTGTCGGCTGTGGTGTTCATGGTGATTTTTTTCTGGCACTGTAGCGGTACGCTAACATCATGGTATGTTCCGTGAAACTAATTTTATCTTCAAGAGTTTCCTAACAAACTGATAGGGACTATTTTGTCGCAACAGCAGCAGTCTACGTACCTTGTTGGACGTACCCATGGCTTAGGACCTTGTTTGAGTACGGTACACATCAGAAAGCAGAAATCTTCATTGAAGATAATGGATTTACACGTATCTCAATACCAGCCAATTTCAAATGGCAACCGGGACAACATTGTTTCTTACGATTCCCCAGCTTCGGTATCCATGCTTTCAGCTCTCATCCGTTTACAATCTGCTCGTTACCATCTACATCAATTGACAAACCGTCCGAGATGACTTTCTATATCCGTCATCAAGGAGGTTTTACAGCAAGGCTATATAATCATGCAATAAAGCGCCCAGGTATACAGGTGCCTGTGTTAGTTGATGGTCCTTATGGTGGTATAGACAATCAGAGATTGATTGGCAGCGATCGTCTAGTTGTGGTTGCAGGTGGCTCAGGTGCTGGGTGGATGCTACCTTTTGTCGAGCAATACCTGCGTTTTCGCTCTCTGAAAGGGGTTCCTGAACCTCTGGCTGACGAAACAAAAGATAATAAACAGACCTTTGACAAGCCATTACGTCAGCGAGACCCTTGCAGCCCTCAACCGTTGCGGGTCATACTGTCAACAAGAGACATAGCGACCCGCACATGGTTCCATAAAACCATCAACAACATGCTATCGGACTACCAGTCGCTAGGGACAGACATAAGTGTCGAGGTACATATGACTGGCGAAGCTGAGCCTATAGCACAACCTCCAACTGAATCTGCTTCTGAGCTCGAAAGATCCGATATTATATCGACAGAAAAAGATATCATCGATAAGCGTACAGGACCGTCTAGAAACTCCGACGCAAGCAATGAACCGAAAGATGAAGTGCGCGGCCGCCCAGATCTACCTTTGATTATCCGAGAGGAAGCTGCCGCAGCGAGGACAACAGGACAGACAATAGGCGTCTTCGTATGCGGACCTCTTACGATGCAAGATGATGTCCGCAACGCTGTTGCAAAAGAGAACTTGAGTATTATCAAGAACTCGAGTTTTGGTGGGATATACTTGTATTCCGAACACTTCTCGTGGGCATAAGATAAGATCAATCGGCAAGCTCGGCATATGTGATTGGTTTGTACTCGATGTCGATTACTGCTTGATCTCTCGCTTTTTGAGAACATCTCTTGTTGATAAAATAAGAATGGCCGTTACAGTACATCAGTCATTAAATCATGTACATGCAGGTTCTCTCTTACATTGACTTAATCCAATCATTATGTCTCAATCATTTTCCACTGTGCAATTCTCAGAACGGAGTCTTCTCTCGTTATGATGCTATTTTAATATTGCCTATTTGACCTACAGGTACAGACTCCTATGCCTGGTGGACCGTTCTCAAGGCGATAAGGGCGTCACTTCCGACAATCTGCTATCGGATAATGGTGGGATAACGCGTGTGCCATGTTTCAATAGCTATTGTGATTGTCTTAAAGTCCGCTGATACTCCTTACCGGTGTTGTATGTCACTTATTTGTACTATCAAGAAAAATTAAAAAGCGTGTTCTACTAGCACTTTGTTGCAATCTGTGAAACAGATCTAGATTTAATAGCTCAAAGAAGGAGAACCTTTGATGAATCTTGGGCCGAAAGATCTCTCTTGATATAGTGATTTATCAAGGGTACCAACTGCGAGGTTCTAGAGACTTTTCGGGGCATTCCGATTTGAGAGATTGATATCTTTCTAAAGCAAGGCCAAGGAATGATTTGATTAATCATCAACATGAGTGGATTCTAGTGCAATTTATTATTAAATTATGATTCACTATGTTTTTCTTGCGAAAATCTAACATGGTCGGTCATACCTAATCGTTTTTCTCAGCGCTTGGCAGAATCCTTGCGACGTCTTTGTACTAGAAATGCACTCAAATATGCTCGATTCACAGGCAACCGAGATTGTCTACCGCAAAAACTGCTCTCACTTGATTTCCTATTGTTGACATTAGCCGTGTTAAGCAAGACCGATGGTGAACTCATCTTATATTGAAGTGTCGAGCTGTATGCTATCGTCCTACTTCTCTTTAACCTCATCATGTATTCTCATCATATAGCACTTTCAACGCGAGTTTCATTCCCATGTGAATCAGACATGCCTTGGCACAGATTGAACAATCAATTGTGCTACCTGCTGATAGAAGTTCACCTTATAGTGATCATCATCAGTTTATTCCTCATAGGATATACCGACGCTACCCGAAAAGCTCTTTGGGAAGAAGGTGGACAGCATGGATTTGAATCGGACCCCAAAATGCGCATCTACTTTTATGCAAACTACTTGCAACCGCCAGAAATCCCTTTCATCTGGTCTCGACGGTATGTTGTGTTCTGTTCGATCACCTAAACAATCGGCACGCCCCAATATATACCTCCTCTCTTCTTGACTTCAAAAGAGATACCTAACAAGATTATCAACATCAGATATACAGAGTTCAATCTCGCATCCGGAATATTTACTCTATGTCTTTTTCTCACAAGACAACTACTAGCACTCGCAACTTCCACTAGCATGCAGACAAATATCTATCTACTCAGCTGCGTGCTTTTATTCTGGGTCATGAGCTGCATTAGCCAGAGATCACCCGATTACAGTGATCCCGATTATTCAAGTCGAGTGCCATGGTATTTGAACCATAGCTGCAGTATTGCAAGTACGCAAAATCGAGCTGCGTGATATGTTGCGCAAGCTTCGTATGCTTTAACTGTTGTGTTTATGTGAGGAAGTCTCTATCTGCTTCAAGAAATTAGATTAAGAACCAATTGCTGATTTTTAAGAACAGATTGGGGTACGTTTCTTGGGTTTTAATACTGGTTTCATATGTAGTGCTTGATTCCAGCGTTATAACACGTTGTTGGGCATCTAAGCTGTTTCCCGACCACTTAGCCTCCCAGTTTGGTGTTTAAGTAGAAAGAGATCGTGGCTCTTTTGATAGCGAAAATCTATTGAGGAAAGCCTGAGATGACATTTGAAGAAAGCTCAATATTTGAAATTGTAGTCGGATGCAGGTTGTAGACTGGCTTGAAAGATTTGGTGTATGAAATATCACTTGTGTGATGCAAAGTTGAAGGTTGGTCGTAGAGAATCGGTTTTGGTTCAATATTGATGAAATGTCTTCAAATAATCCGCTGGCGTATCATAACCAGTTGTTTCATAAATTTCTGATTCTCCAGAAGATCAACTACTCAGAATGAAGTAAGGATTACACATGGGTAAGTTATGGTCGTTTCTGGTATACGTCAACAGGTCATTAGTAATTTGCCTGATTAGAATTCCTAAGTGTGATTGTTTGCCAGCTATTCATTGATTCTTCTATCATAGTTTCTATTGGTATTACAAAATGAGCATTGAATTCCAGAAGCTCATTCATGTTCAACTCCTGACACTTCTCTGCTTCGTTCTCCCACACCTTTATACGGCGCCATTGAATCCGGTCAAAGTTGGCCATTTCAGTATTCAACAACTTGACTAACCACAGCAAAAGGTTGCCTCTTCATTGTCATTAGATCTATTTAATTGTTAGCTCATATTTCAAACCAGTTACGCATATGGCTAACCCCAAATTTATCGGCTCCCAACTGAACACAAAAGCACCGAGGAAAGCTCCAATTATGATACAGATGATGATATATCCATTAAAATACATAGCCAGCAACATAACGAAGTATGCCACTGCGAACTGTATCATATGAAAAAGTGCTCTGATTATCTGTTGCAAGAGATCTGGTCGAAAGCTTTGCGTGCTTTTGTGTGAAGTAACGACAGTTTGAGTGGACTGAGGACCGGATCCGTCTATCTTGGGGTTGATTTCTGAGTTAGACTGGATGTGCTGTTGCTGATTTCGTGCTTGACGGACGATGAAGTGATCGTATTCTCTTGACGCTCGACGAAGAAACTCTAGTGACATGACGAGTAGTATCACACCAATGCAAGAGCCGGCGAACATTCCGTTCGAGGTAATATGCCAAGTGCTCGAGATAAAACCTGCAGGGTTGTCAATAAGGCTGCAACAGATGATAGTTTATAGTTCTGTCATCTGTTCACGGGCATAAGAGGCAGAAGAGAACTCGACGTACATGAGTCAATGGTATACCAATTCCAAAGCATCTAGAAGGAGGTAGTTAGATATGATTCGTATAATACTCGAAGGAAATGAAGGTAATTGAGGGATCCTTTACAGAAACTTGGCATCCACCTCCCATATTCATGGCCGCAGCGGTGTTTGCTGCAGCCGTCCCGGTTGCAGTCGCCGTCGCACCTCCCATACTCATGCTTGATGTTCCCATGTCCATGTTTACTTAACAGGAGTGTCGCTTTTGCTTTTCCGCTGTACAATCTTCTTGTATGTGAACACTTATTAGACTTTATGAAAGAAAATGATAAAACTAGATAGCCACCAGTGTTTGGGAGAAAAGCGAGGTTATCAACATTCTCGCCGCGAGAAACTCTATTTCAACAAAGGCAGAATCTCATAATCAGTGCTACACCTGGCCAATCGGCTGCGAATTGCTCTTTGGGTGGATCAGATCGGTGCGCTGATTTGAGCAAGATTTGATTGACTGTCATTTTCTAACTGCCGGTATCAATTGTTCAGATTATTGCGCTAGTTTGAGCAAGATTTGATTGACTATCGTGTTCTAAACGCCTGTATCAATAAGACAGCCATTGGACTACAAGTCCGAGATTTGAATATAATTGGCAGTTTTTGCCAATAAACCTAGCAAGATTCTCGTGGCTCTTCCGTTATGGATGAGGAAAATCTTGTCAGCAATTCCTTCCGAAACTATTCGTCGACCGACAGAGGGTCTATGATTTCGTCGATGGGGTTGTGGAGTACACTAGATGCTCACAATGCATGCCTAACATAATTTTGATGATGATAACTACATATGTTAGGAGGGTAATAATGGAGATGGACTCACATAGAGCGAGAAACGAAGAATTGATTGTAGATATTTACTCGAGTACATGTGAATTAAATTGAAGCGCCACCAGATGAAGAAATCAAACACATCTCCTGGGAAAAAATACTTGCCTACAATTGTTTTCGACTGACTGTACACTCCACTACTATCCCGACCCAAACCATGAAGGTCGAAAATTTGAGGATAGACATACATGGCACGACGTGTCAGTGGCGAGACGAGAGAAAAAAAGAGCTGATATACGATATGTAGGATGCAAGATAGTAAGATTATATGCTTAAAACTCCAGGCTAACTGTTTCAATCTAAAGTCTGCCACTCAGCCATTGTGACGTCTAACCACAACAGGCAATGCTCCCAGAAATAACCGCCCTTAATCGTCTAATCCGCTAAGCGATCTATTTTTACTAGCAACATGATATCTTAATTTGAACCCCTCGTTGATTTCACAAATCAACCACAACATCGACTGTCCCTTCGCCTTTCAACCTTTCGACTTCCATCCAACCTCCCTCTTCAACACCCACAATCAAACCGTCTACACAACATCGTCTCCATTTGAAACTATCTCCAGACTCCTCAAAATTTATCCTTAGCTTCTCGATACTTTCGTATCCAACCTCCCCCTTCTGGCCATCTTCATCCCATTGCATACCAATATGATTTCCATCTTTGTATGCCTCTTCCATAACCTTCATTGTTTGCTTACCAGTTGCAGCTCCGAAGTGTATGACCCGTAATTGGCCATCCAAGGGCTTACTTTCAGGAGATATTGTAAAAGTTCGCTCAAGGTTGGATACAAGTACTGAGAGAACATATCCATGTTCTTTCCTTTGTATGACTTCTTCTGTACCATCGGATCTAGTCAATGTGACAGAAGCTTTATAAGCGTGTGGTAGAGTCCAATCTTTTGGAAACAATAAATCATTAGCTACCAGATGAAACCTCTGGTCTCCATGTTTTCTATACTCGACTGTGTCGCTGTCGGCAACTAGAGTTGCGTGGAGGCCATAACTGGCGACAACTGCCCCGTAGACGATATTGTTTGTGAGTGGTGTCTCTGTTTGGCCTTCGTTCGTAATAGTTCGTGCCCCAGAAGAGAATTTCACACTGAATATTGGAAGCGGTAAAGGGGTACCATGAAGTAAAGTCCGGAGACCCTGTATGTATATTGACGGGATCGGAGAAGGTCGATGTAAAGAATGGAAGAGAGCATTTCCTGTCCCAAGAGGAAGTTGAGATAATGTCGGGTTTACATACGACCTGTGCATAAGATGTTAGTAGTGAATAGCACAGATAGGGTGTGCGGAGAAGCCCACCTTGATTTTTCTCCTCTCTCAAGCAATCCATTTATTGTATCCACCATCCCACCATCACCACTTAACATTAATATCGATTGCTTTTTACCCTTATTTGCGCCCTCCAGCAATGTTGAGCTTGCAAAGTCCTTTACGGAATCTGCATTATCTGTTCTGATCAAGGTGTAGCTTCCTTCCGGCAATCCGATAGATCCGAGAACCTGGTGCAACACAGCGTCGTAAAAGTCTGGCGCCAGTCCTGTCCCAGACAACGTTGAGATCAAAACGTATATCTGCGTTTCTGCGGAACGAAGATATGTCGGCAAACTTCTAATCAAATAACTTTCGAGACATTCTTGGGGAAGGTTGGTGGCAGATGTTGTCTTCAACTCGAATGGAAGTTTTTTAGTCCCCCCTTCTGTTGGAAGCAGACTGAAGATTGTATAGCCCAGAGTACCATTGGGTCCCTCGTTCTCAGTAACGCAGATCACATCTTCTCCTTTGATTTTTCCACCAGATATGCCGCCATCAATTCCTACAGCTCCGGACCATGTAAGGTCACCATCCCGATAAGAGAAATGCACAGGGTCATCGGCGAGATAAGCATAAGTAGTAGCACTGCTATCCGTAACTTCGGTATCATTGTCGGAACTATATGCAGCGTCAGAGCTAGAGGAAGGGATAGAGTTTGCCATCTCGACAAGACGTTGAAATGAACCTGGAGGTTGTTACGGAATGAAATGCCATGATGATAATGTGAGCAATCGCGATTAATTTTTGAACATGGGGGTGTTTCTGTCGTGATAGCAGATGAGGTGCTCGGCTTATTATTTTTGGGTGGGGTTGAGCCTCCAATAAGGTGCCTGGGTGCCAAGGCAAGCCGCCCTACATTGTCCTATCGGATTCTCACCTCTCTCTCTCTTGCATCGTGGTCTATTGCACCAAAATGAATTAGCAAGGCTTGCTTTCTGATATCCATTTTCAAAATTGGCAGAGAGTGAAACGGTCAATATTGCTAGATGATCGTTTTCACCAATTTGTCGATCATTTCCGATCTTTTACGGCGTACGATGACCTCTCTTGCAATTCCGGCCAGTAAGTTGTCGATCTTGAACGTTTCATGCAACACCGCCATTTACGCTTATCTGCTACAAGATGTCGGGATCGGCTCGCAGCTATGTGTTGCTCATCAAGTCAATGAGTCTATACCGGTTCAGCAGCATCTCAAGTGAGGGCAAATGGGTAAAGATCTATTCTTAGGTCGAAGTTCTTCCTGATTTCTTCAACCATCTTATTTGCTATTTACAGGTTCTTGGTGATGGTGTGAATCAGAATTGCTAATGATCGGGCTTGAGCTTAGTGTGATTAGTGTATCCTCACAAAAGAGCGATAATCCTGCTCTTCGAGGTCAGCATTGAGAGATGTCTCAATTTCTGTCGTGGCTTAGGAAGCTCTCCTTATTCTTTCGAATGCGCTCGGCATGGTGCTCTTGACAGGGAAGCCATGAGCCCTTTTTGAAATGGGGACGTGATTATTTGACTTGTAATAGACATTCTTCGACTTGCAGAGTTTGTTTAACAAATCCAATGCGAGGAGTAAAAATAAAAGACACATATCGACAGGTCTCATATTTTGAGAGATTTTCAAACGGCGGAAGTGCTTACCAACTTCACACTGGTCTTGATCTCATTCTTGGATTAAGACATATTTTTAAGCCTTTGAACTTCCTTCATTCTCAAATCTTTTCATGGCATTCTCCATGCGAAAATGAAGCAGCCAACTCCTAATCCTGCTCCCAGATAGAAAACACGATCAGTACTCTTTGGGAAAGCAGCTAATACACCCTCAAGATCTTCGGATTCCAAACTTCTAAACCCAGTAGTGCCAGTATCAACCCCTTCTGTAGCATTGATCAAAGGCGCGTAATCGTGGTTACTATTTGTAAAAGTGCTATTGTGTATAGTCTCTCCGAGAGCGAAATAATACTGCGCCAAGTGATTGGCTGGAAACGATAAGCGCCATTGATTCGGGGATCTGTCTGGGCGTTGTAGTTTTTTGGACCGAGAGAATAGGTTATCAAGGATAAGGGATGTCGTTGGGTGGGCAGTGACATTGGTGATGAATGATACCAAGCTTACCATTGGAGTCTCAAGACCGTGACCATATAAAGGATCTGGTATTCAATCCATTTGCCAATAGGAGCGTTAGGTGAGAAAGTACTGAAATGACTATAACCAACCAAGCGATGACAGCTAATGGTATGGTGTAGCCCACCTTGTTGACTGTTGTAATAATAGCAAACGTGTGAAACTAAGAATGCCTTTCTTGCCGATGGACCTGAAGATATTGAGACTAAGACGTGAGTTACATTAATCGCCAGAAGATATATACCAATCTTTGTTGGAGAAAGGCCCTTAATCCCAGAAATGTACCGTCATTTAGCAGGAAGCAAGGTATGAGTTGCTTCTGATCAGCCCATACACCATGCAACTCGTTCAAACGGTTCTCATGCGAGATATCGACATTGGGATCATGGCTATTCGCCTCGAACCAACTCGCCCTTGAAATGTGCTCTCATTTCTGTATATTTTCCCGCGACGCTTAGAAAAGTTGTTGTTGTATGTATCGTGTTTGAATATAGACCGAGCTCTTGCCTTGCAAAAGATACTGTCACAAATGGTATGATATCGAAGAGTGCTACACCATTGAAGCAATATCGTCAAGCAATAGGCACGCAGGTCGAGAAATGAATCAATTTGCCCACAGTCTCCACAGGATTGCATATAGAATGCCCCGTACATATCTGGAGCAGTAAAAGAGTGACTATTTTGGCTTAGAGGAGTGGAGGAGTGTATGTAATGCATCAAGATGTTCAATCACGCATTGTATCTTGGGAGGCTGTCAGCAAGAGCACTTGCGCGTCAGCTCACAGCTCTGATTCTGGTAAGATTGCCGGTCAGGCAGATTGACCAACGGTTACAGATTGAGTTTTGGAGTGGAAGAGCTTCTAACCTGCTAACGTCGGAGAGAGAAGCAGAAATTGCGAAGCACGAGTTGAAAGCAAGTCGTTATCGGATTGACAACGTCATTAGAAAGATCAGAAGGCCAATCGGCTTGATTCAAGACGAGGGTGAGTAAGTAGATGGAACCTGTCATCAGCCAAATTTATACATGGAGCCATTTTTGATTACCTCTGGCGAAAACGAGAGTGATAGTCGGTAAACATCCAAGTTAGCGCAACTTTATTTGTGATATGTGACTGTTCACTGGTTATGAGCAGTTCACATCGCCTTTGACCTCCTGGATGGCTGCATCAATGGCGGTAATGATACAGCACGTATTCTGATAATCTTACCTTGAAGTGATGATTTACCAGAGCTGCAAGTTGTACGAGCTTCTTAGATAAGTTGTTCGTGTCATGGATTTGAAAGGGGTTCGGGGGAAGCTTATTAGCCAACTATGCTTAGTCATCAGAGCCGTTACTTTGTGCATTTAAATTCACGATATAAAGTTTGAATAGGTCTCGGAATGGGCCCGAGAAGAAGTACTTCGTACTGTTTATATTTTGAGTTTTTGACATAATCTAATAATAATTCCTTTTAGTGGCGTCATCTCGAATCACCGCACTTTAACAGAGGAATTTCATGACTAAAGCTCGAAATATGTTAATTAACTCTTGTCGATTAAACGCATTCAACGTGTTTCCCCATAATCAATCCAAAGACAGCTCGTTTCACCAATGCAGTTCCAACCTTGATGTACTGTTTATATTGGACTTTTCGGCCCTTTCAGCTTGACCTTTCTTCTCCAGGTATTCTTCTCGTGAATCCAATCCTTATTGGGATATATCTGGGGAAGAGAAGGAGAATGTCTTTTGAATTTCAACATCACAGATTCACAGACTGCTCCAAGTGGGGCGAGCACCTTTACGAAGTTTGTCTGCTTTGATAATCATTGTCGTTCCTGCGTCGACTAAAGCATTAATATATTCGCATTATCGTACCTGCCTATGTAACTCACTAGCGCACAGGTCTATCAAATATTGATGGGTTACTTGATGTTAGTATTTACCGCGTTGCAACTTTCACTCGTGGGATTTCGTACATTTCCTCTTCCGCGTTTATTCCTACAGTTCTTCCCTCGAATTGGGTCTGAGGCTATTCTGATTCGGGATCTTGAAATCCCATATCCTAGGCAACGGCAGCGGACGTCTTGATCGGCGCCAGTGATAAGCAGTTTATCAAAACGTTTCGAGAAGATCGTCAGTATATCTGAAGAGCTCTTATCACAGGCACTTACTCAGCCCCCTCCGGCTCTCATTCATCGAAAATGTGATTTGTCCACTTGCTGAGATTGTCGACAATCTCGATATTAAACGCTCCACAGCCGATCAGTAACTTGCAGCTTCTTGAAACAAGGGTTTTGTCATGTTGGTGAGGGTCGCCCAGGAAGACCACGCCTTACGAGGAACAAATCTCTGATTCTACCTGTATCTTCTTACTTTAGTCGGACTGTTGACACCAGTTTTACACCAGTTACCTGTTAATGTACTCGAGAATTCATGGAATTCAAGAAGCTTCACGGAATGCTTGGTTAATTTAAGCATTTCAAACCTTGCTACACTCCTACACTATTATTTCGGGGCTCAGACAGTAGCAGGCATACTCCCAACTACCGCCTTGGCACTTGCGTGTCCCTATCTTTTCTACAACCAAAAATCTCGTGGGTCTCTGGAAACATCTTTATGGGACCTAAAATAGCAGCAACTTGTATCAAACTAAGCTTTAAATAAAACTGACATGACAGTTTCGTCGTCTCAAGCCAGCCTCAATTGATAGTCTGATAAAAAGAAAATCATGCCATCAGTGATTTTATCTCATTTCCTGTTCTAATCCCGCTAATCATGAACTGCTACCCTCTACCCTAGCTAGACATTGTCTTGTGGATCCTATCACTCAAATTACCTACAGATAAAACTTATTAAACAAATTACCTCGATAGCCAGTCGAGCCAGTCATTTGTTGGTATGCAATAACATGTTCATTTGTAGAACCCTTAAACCTTGAAATCCGTTCCAGCTGCCCTTGAAACTAGGTAGGTAGACAACTTTAATATATTTTGCTCATCTTTAGATGTCTACTAGGTAGATCTACTTTTTCTATCCGCTACTTCGACCAATCCTTCAAAACTTAGAGATATACGGCTCCACCAAAAGCGACCCCCTTTAGATGGATGTGCTCGATGAGCATAGTAATTAATGATTAACTTGAAGCACCTCGAATTTTCCAATCAAGAATTTTCTTTACTCTAATTTGATTATTCCCCATGGTTTAATTTACCATCTTGCACCAGTGCCACCAACGACCAGGGACTATCAAACGCTTCGTCATCCTATCCGAATTCATTCTCCATCGTCTCCACCATTCTCCTATTCATTCAGTTATTTTCTCTCCCCATTTCCCACCTAGACCTTCGTCCGACCTGTTCCATCAGTCTAGAATTCATTCTTTATTCCTCCCTCTCTTTTCATTTCCTTAACACCTTCATTTTTAATCTTGCATTCTTGCTCTGCAGTTGCATTGCACTGAGTTATATACGACACGAGCGAGTATTTGTCGATTGGGTATCGTTACGATAAGAATCGCTAGCATCTACAGGAAGTGATTATCGAAAACCAGGCGATAATCGCCATTAGAGCCCGAAGACAGCCCCAAAAATGCCTCGGATGCCTGTGCACCGCTTCCTCGCTGTTGCGACGGTAGCATTTTTCCTCATTTTATCTTATTACCACGAGAACGTTTCCCAGACCATCGTACCTGCATTTAAGGAAACGCCAAAAGAAGAGAATGTAGCACAACCAGAAAAGTCACAAGCAACTGCAAAGCAAGTTGCGCAAACTCATGAAACACAGCAGGCTCAAATTGCACCAGTGGAACTGAATATTACTGATGTTGATGACGCTGCGTTTTTACGAGATGTATTGGCGAAGAACAATGTTGAGATGGAAATCAACTACGTGATGAGAACTATACGATATATTACAGATGCGAAGGAAAGACCGATGTTGACGAATACCAGCCAAGAATTGTTTCCCTCTGGGTGGAAAAAGATCAAGCTCTCAGATGTTGAGAGGCTACCAGCGGATACATTGGAGCCTTTGGAAATTCACGTCATGAAAACTCCACGACCAGACGAAATTGACGCTTCTGAGTTATTGTTTGGAGTTTCAACCACCTACAAGAGATTCAGTGATGAAGTTGATGGGCCAGTCAAGGAATGGGTACGATGGCTCACAGATGGAAACGGCACATCGAACGGAGCTGGTCTTGTCTTGCAATTACACGATACCACCGAGGAGCAACTGCAAGCTGCTCAAAAATTGCTCACTGGTGTTGGAATTGATGCAACAGTCATCCACTCGGATCCTTCTCTCGATATGCCGGGTAGATATGTTGATTTGGTACCAATTCTTTACAGCCATCCATCAAGATCAAGCAGAAAATACTTGTCGTTGATTGATGACGATACTTTCTTTCCCTCGCTTGGCGCATTGATGAAGGAATTGCACAGTTATGATCCCAACGAGGAGTATTATATCGGTACTCTCACCGAGCGGGTGGATTTTATTATGCATGATCGTGTTCCCATGGTAAGAACCTTAAATCCTTCCTGTCAAATGCCAACTAACGAACGAATTGTAGGCTTACGGTGGAGCTGGTGTTTTCATTACTGCTCCTCTCGCACACACTTTGATTGGACTCCCCTGTCTCGACGTAGATCCTTCCACAGGCGAATATACCGAATCTGGGTTCCAGGGCGATCGACTCCTCTACCACTGTATCAAAAACCACACCTCCATCACCCTTAACTACCTCCCCAGACTCAATCAACTCGATCAATGGGGTGACCCATCCGGTTTCTACGAAGCTGGTCATCAACCTCTCTCTTTACATCATTACAAATCTTGGCATCATGCTACTCCCGAGATATCTCACATTGTTACAGATGCCTGTGGTGAGGCATGCGTTTTCCAGAGATTCGGTTTCGACGGAAAGGGATCGTCAAAATGGGTTCTCACAAACGGATACTCTCTCGCCGAATATCCCACTGGTATTCATTGGGATATGTCGAAGATGGAGGGGACATTCGATCTCGGTGACTCAGACATGTGGGCTTCTGGAAAGGAAGATGTGCGATTAGCTTTTGCTTATGGCGCTCTCCGTGAGGGGCTGAGTTATACGGGCAAGAAGCGAGCGTGGGAGGCGCTTGGAGGAAGGAAAAGAGCGGATGGTGTGGTGGATATGGTTTATGTCAAGAGGAGGGGTGACCATAGGTGGGTTGGTCAACATGAGAATGAAGAAGATAGGGAAAACGTCGTGGTTTTGAGATTCATGCCATGAGCTGTGTCTGCTTCTATTCTAGGAGAGGGGCTATTTGCTGTCTTCTCTATTTCGAATCTTTCTGGATATAGATTTGCTGGATTTAGGGGATTTAGGGGATGTATATATTCGTGTGTCAGCGGACAGTTACATAGGGTTCTGTTACATATGGGCGTTTTTGGATAAAAGGGATACGGATCATTTGCGCATTGAATGCCAGTAGATTCTGGCGGGCGTTTTGGATAGATTTTTTGAACTGAGAGATGAGGACGGCAAAGGGTATCCATCTGATTGAATCGGATATATGTGTATATGGCTGGAGATCTACAGTGGATATTTATGGATGAGATGAAATTTTGGTTTATAAAGAAAGATATAAATAGATAGACTGATGATAAACCGTACAACAAAAATACCCTTGCGCATGATGCAATCTTTTTTGACTTTGGAGCTATGGGCATTAGTGTGCTTGGTGATTTTGTCTGTGGATTTACAATTTCTTATACTTTTCTTTTGTGGTGATTGGATTTCTTTTTTGGATTTTTTCATTGTTTGGAGAGTTCCGAGGAAGATACTGGGCAATGATGTTGTGGAGAAATGCGAGTGTTGGGGTTATGTGGACAGTTGAATATTGTGGTGATTGTCTTCTGCTATGGATTAGTTATTTAAGTGAAATATCTCCTTCCATAACATTCTTGTTCCTCGTAGCAACACTCATGAGTTCGGAGAATGAGCATTGAGTTTGTTGAATACACCAATGAATTGTATGTGGTAAGTAAGATGGAGAGCGTCCAAATCTCGACCGATGCAATTACAAAGACAATCCTGGCTCCAAGATCGATTCAAGCACTTCTTGCACGCGAGTCTACGAGCAGGAAGTTACGGTGCATATTGTGTTCCTGCAGTCGATTCGGGTGGCTGCACTATGTGGACGTGGGCCGATTTTGTGATTGTCATGAGAATGGAAGAGGGTATTGGGGGTCTAATACAAAGCTTTTCAGTCTGAGATCCGACTGGCTAAGATCTTCTATATGTGTAGGCATTGTTGAGGAGTATTAAATAGATCATGAAAGACTTGCAAGGAAAAGGCCGATCATTAAAGTAAACTTTCAAGGCTATTATTAACCAACTACTTTCGCTTAATTATCGTAACTCCCGCTACTTGGTAACCAAGCCCCCAAGTTGAACTAGCTATCGAGCGGTTCATCATTCGCAAACGCGTGTAACGCTCTGAACGATCTGCGAAGTGTATCTAGCAACTTTTTCTTATCTTCCAACTCCGTTCCCAGTTTGTGCTTTTCTTCTCGCAATACTTGTGTTCTGGCGATTTCAGCAGTGGATTTTGCTTGTAGATTTTTGCCCTTCTCGACCTCGACACTTAACTTTCGATTCGCTTCGTCCAGCTGTCTCTGAAGATTTCGCTTTGCAACTGTCAGTGCATTGGTTTCGGCCTCTCGTTTGTTGCTTTCTAATTCAAGCTGCTTTTGCTCGTGTATCGCGCTTTGTGTTGCCTCATTTAAAGTCGACATCATACCCTGCAGAGTTTGGAAGTGTCTACCTTGCTCGGCCATCTCTGCTTTCAACATTTTTGCTTCTGAGGTTTTCTTCTCAGCCCTGGCCTCTTCATCGCGAAGCAGGTCTTTCAAACGCCAATTGGCCCTTTGCAGCCCCGAAATCTCGGCTTTTTCGTCTGCGAGTTCACGCTCCAAATTGGGGCCTTTCGATTTTGACTTTTCTATACTATTTTTTCTCCTCAACTTGTTACTCAAGTCTTCCAGCCTCTTAATTTCAGCTTCTTGATCTTTGTCCTTAGCTTCTAAAGCAGAGATCTTCTCTTTGAAAGTATCTACCTTCTTTTTTAGCGTTTCAACAATTTCGTCGGTTTATTCGTTGGCGACGCGACGTCTCCGCATTGCTTCGTCAATAACGTCTGTCTTTTTCTCCTTTTCTGTAGCGCTTTCCTTGGAGACTTTGCCATGTCAGCATAGTAACATAAATTAAATCCGTGATACGTACAATTAAGAACTTGTGTACCCCGAGGCGGTGAGCCATACTCTAGCTCTGGAAAACCCGCTTGATTTCGTGAATATTCATCATCGAGATCGTTTCTGGAGTTTCGTTTGAGATAAATTCTCTTAGGGTTCGAAGAAGACATACTTTGTAGTCGTAAAATCGAAGGGTAGGAATATCTGGGGGTCTGAAGTTATAGATTGAATCTGGTATTAGAGTATGTATACCACTGGACTCCAGAATGAAAGAATAATATGATAATCTAATTAATGTTTCTAGCGTGTTAAGAATAGAAAGTTCGAAATAAAAATGTGCATTTGTATCGATTAGTGACGAGCCGCAACATTTTGGAAAGAGCGATGCCCTCCAGTGGGTGCATGAATTGACCGGACGCTTCTCAACTTTCGAAATCTTTAAAGAAGTCAATCTTTCGATTCGCATCACCAAATACCATTATCAAAGGAACAACTTCATTTTCAACAGACCAAAAATTCATCATTGTCATGCATTAGAAGTTTGAACAGCAATGCATCCATCATATCATCTCATGATTCAGCATCTTCCTCGCTCAAAATCCTCCGCATCTGCGTTCTCCAATTTTCAAGCTTCTTTAACTTTGCAGATTGCACCTCCACCGTTGATTCTAGCTTCGCATTCCTTAGAACAAGCTTTGCATTCTGATGTTTCTGCCGACTCAATCTATCAGTCACCCCTCTCAACCTCGCAATTTCATCATCGCGCGCCTTGATATCTTTTTTGAGATACATAATTTCTCCAGTAAATGCTGCTGCCGATTCTTTCGATTCCGTATCGGCAACCTGTAGCTTGGCGCGGAGCTCTGCTGTCGAGTCTCGGTAAGCGACAGCATTCTTCTTGACAGATGCCAGAAATCTTTCACATTCGGTTATTGTACCCAATAGTGTGTTAAGTTGTGTAGTTTCGTCTGGATGAACTAATTAGCCTTTTTCCGGGGATGATGAAATAAGGTACTACTTTCTAGAAGATACCGTCTTCTGATATGTCTGATAAGTCATCCTGTTTATTTGTAAAGTCTATAAAGTGGTCCGTAATTGACTCGAATTCGTTGATGAGAGAAGACGAAGGTGGATTTGGCTGCACATGAATATCGTTCTTAGCCGATATAACCACCCTTGGGCAAGTCGGGATTGGAGCTGAGTTGCATGTACCTAGTAGTTAGATTAACTGTTTTCTCACATGAGTTTTCGAATGCACTTCTGAGCTCCTACGTTTGCCAGTACCCTGATTAATTTCATCGAGACGCATTCTTGCTCTATCGCCCCCTGCTTCCGTTGCCTTTGATCTCTTCCTTTTTGGAAAAACTAGATCATAATACATATTTTGCTCGGAGTTCGACTCGGGAAGTGAATTTCCGGATTCTTGCATAGTAGTTTCCATGTCTGGAGTATAAAATAGCAGAAATAGGAGTTGCTACATTCCCTCAAAAATTAAGGGGTAGGCTTTATCTCTTGGCTTCGAATGTAAACACAATATTGACGCTACACTTTTTGTTGGTGAAAAGTTTAACGTGCAAGCCTTCGAAACTTATGTTCATTGATTGTAGTAAGGCTACCTAGCTAATGCCTGAAGTATTATTTTTTATATTTCAAAACCTATAGTCTACCCTCTCCTGATTGATCAATATGCGCAATTCGAATGCCTTTAACCTTCAGACTTCTCGGCAGTTTGCATTGATCTAGAACGGGATTGGTCGAATAATACGTTTGGATCTCTTTGCAAACTTCCCCATATTTATAGCAAACAAAATTGTTGGGGATTAGATATTATCACCTATCAGAAAAATAATCATTATTGATTTGATTTCATTTGTGTAACATATAAACGCCTGCTTCTCACATGACTTGATGCTTTTGTTCGCCTTTTCTTCTTGAGTATCACGACTTAGAGATTGTGTATAGCATAGCTTTCAGTGAACAACTAGGGCGCAAAAGGACTAGAACTCGTCAATATCAAATAAAAATATGGTGAAGCCTATCTCAAGCTGACAGCAATACTTCGTGGTTCTAACATCTCATGTAGAAATCTTTGCCAAATCCAAAGCCGAAACCATCAATCCCCTCGAAAGATAAAATGGTGTATTCAAGGACCAATAGTGAGTGCACACAGATTACATGAATCACTCAGCATTAATGACTAGATTTAACATTTTTCAAGGTAGAAAAAGAGCAAGAACCGACGTTTCAAAGCAAGGTGATTTTGACGACGATGTTGACAACGCAATGGAATTCATAAGAAAGATCTTGCTGGCCAAATCGTTAGAGATTGAGAGACTCAAAGCACAAATTGAACAAATGAGCTCGGCGTCCAGTGCAGCTATGTCAAGATTCCAGCAACTATCCGATGATAATGCAGCTCTGAAGAAAGAGAACAAAGATCAAGCCGAGACAATTCAGAACTATCGATTCCAGTTATCAAGCACCAGAAATGAAGATGGACTATTCAAGATCTTTAGCGAAAATTTATATCTGATTGACTTTTCAGTACCGTATTTCGAGAAGGATCTCTTGATGGCGTGGTACGAGGATAAACTACGGTCTCTCTGAGTCGATAAAGCTTCATCAATAATAAGAGTTAAAAAACACACCAGCGACTAGCGGAGGATGGGACAGCCGGATAGAAATAAGGGACCTCACAGAAGTCAACTTGAAGAAGCTTGTTGGGAAATAGGATTTTTGCTCCCATACCATTTATACTCTTCATCGGCTTGTTATTCAAGTTTCATATGAGAATCTTTCTTAATCGTCTGTTAGCTGAGGTATTCCGATGCTAGAATAACCCGTGAATTGAGAATTTATGTAACTTAAATTCTCCCCAAAGCATTTACCCATACATCTAAGAGAGAATAGAAGTGATGACGGCCAAATCGAGAATTTCGATTCACGCAGACATCATTTCAATATCTCTATATGAGAAAGAAACTCCATTTTCTTCTAGAAATCTATAAAAGTGCATAAAAACATGAGATTAGATGTTCATTACTTTTTGTAGTGCCGATCCCTTACTGTGATCATCCCTGGTCTGCCTATCCTTTCGTTTCCCAAGTCCTCTTTCTATTTTCTTGCACACAAAAGATTCACAACTCAACAGGAAAAATGAAGAGATGATCCGAAAGACTCACCAATGAACGACTGGGAAGATGAGATGAATGCTAACATTGGATGATACTACTGGAAGAGAATTTGGTGACGATGTTTAAAACAATCTGAGTACAGGAGAGATTTTAGCTATCATTCCATTCAATATCAATAAGTGAATTATCAATTCCCGTTTCTTAAAACTCAATACAGCGTCTTTTGTTGTTTAATGCGTACGCTGTGAGCATGTGTTTTAATCCAGCCTGGATAAATATGAATTCCGGTCTTCTAGGATGATAATAATACACAGCCGAAACTACAATCCAAACAACTTTCAAGCTGTTCATCTAATGATACATTATGCGCTGAAAAAGTGTGTCGCTAATGGCCCACTAATGCAAAACAATCTAGTAACAAGTGCTTTAGCATCCAATCTCTGATATACGTATGTCCCAATCTTTCGCTGCACTGACATTATCCAATCTATCAACTTTCTCCATGTATGCTGCTATAATTTCACAGCTTATCTATGATATCTCTCGTTTGATCGACCTTCTGTGGCTGCTGTCTGACTAGCACTTTGAGTCATCTGTTCTTGCATAAAAACTCTTGCCCTTTTAGTTATATCAGGTCTTATAACAGGTTCAAATTTCCGAAATTTAACTTCTGGATGCTCCTGAATTTCACCCTCCTCTAGTTCAGAGTCTAGAATGTATCGTGATGAGCGCTGGGGTCCTGTTGAATTAACCTGGAAATGCTGCGAGGAACCTCCCCTTTTAGGTTCCGAGGACCTGACCGCATATCCTGAGGATCTTTCTGTAGGAATTTCAGAGTCGCAGCTAACGAGAGCGGTGTTGAATTCTTGGGAAGCTTCTTCCGATGGGTCAAGAATACTGCGGTCTCTTTTAAATCCACTTGTCTTGTTCGTTTGCTGCAATCTCGCGAGGAAGCCCTGCAAATTAGACTGCATATTAAATTGTAAGAAGTCGGTCTGAAGAGCAGTTAGGTAGACTTCTTGTGCCTTGCTGAATTTCGTCCGGGACGCCTGGTGATTCTCCTTGAGTAGTTTTATGGTCGCGTTTTCTGCATCTTCAATTTGTGCCAGAAAATCGTGCGGGACAGGGGCGAGAACTTTTGCAATGTTCTCATCTTGCCTTTTTTTGAGATTTCGGCAACGTTTCATAAGCCATTTTACCATCTTACTGTCTATTGAATTGGCTTTGAGTTCTTCCCTTACTAAGTCAGGGACCTGAGATTGATCGTCGCACAATTTGGATGTTTTTCCAATCTTTTCGACACTGTTGGATTTTACAGTAACACTATTGCGAGCGGTTGTTAAAGGCTTCTCTGTTGGTTTCCTTTGATTTTGTTCCACGTCAGGATGGATAAGACATGGAACGCATCGTCGACAGATCAAGCCGCTAGGGTCGGGGGTCGCAATCGTCGCGTCGAGTGATGTTGCACAACTCATGTGATATGCACCCGAGCATTCTATACAGAACGCTAGTGGCTCGGATATTTTGCTCACGACATCCTTTTTATACAGCCTGTGGCATATCTGACAACATCCCTCAGAAGGTGCCCCTAAAGTGGTCAGCATATTTCATTGTTGTATATCTCGATATGGAAACATACTGAATGCTCTCAAGCAAGAGCATTTAGTCTCAACGATATACTTTTGAATAATCTCAAAAGATTTGCGAACAGACTGACGGAAATCCAGCGAAGAAGTTTCTGTGAGCACCCGAATTGCAATGAAGGTTCTGGGGATTTCACTCTGTCGACAGGCGATGTAGATACAACAAGCAACAAGAACTGCTGGCACTTTATCCATTGTTTCGTCCAAATGCAGCCAACTGAAGTTTGCAATAGCCTGGGAAAGCATCTTCCAATAGTACTTTGCTCTGTTAGCAACATTTTCTGGGAGATTCCCAGCCTGACAATCTTTCTCAATCTTTTCACAGCCCTTGGTATCGCTTAGTCGAATTACACTCTGCGGATTTTCAACTCCTGAGTCCTAAAAAGAATAAGATACTGAGCCTGTCATTGAGCGAATTATAGCATACAGTATTTCCTACTTTACCATCCCATTGGCTAAAATCGGGCCTCATATTTGGAGGGGTAGGAGGCGGAAGAACAGTGTAATTATCTTGCGTATTGAAAGAATTCTGTTCATCCAAAGGGCTATCGGTAACTTCCATCTTTGGAGTATTACCATTTCCCGGAGTCGGTGCGTGCCAAAGATCAGCATCATCAGATTGAGAAGGCAAATATTTCTCTCTGTTTACGTCGTGCCGGACATCAGAAAAGTTTGATTCCTTGCACAAATCTTCTGCACGACCCATGTATTCGTCCGTATGAGCCCCTGGGGTTGGCACAGTACCATACCAGTTGCCCTGAGCATCAACACCGTACGGCACGTTGAATTTATCCTCGATGTTCTCCGGATTACAGCCAGTATGGTTGGATTCATCAAGCGAACTTTCCATGAATTGAGTATAATCGAACGGCGGGGGCGTGAGCGCATGAAGAGTCCGTTGACTGGAAATTTCAGGGCTGGATGATGTTCTGGTCACAGGCACATCTCTCATATGAACAGCCAATGTTCTCTCGTGATGAAAATGAGGCCTTGGTTCTTTTGCCGGGAACTCTGCGCCACAAATACCTCTGTTTTGAGCCATCATAGGCCTCAAAGATCACCCTGAAAATTTTCTCTAAACCCTAGAATAGGTATATTTGATATTTTTTGATTTCATCTAATGTGCGACTCTGCGCGCGCCCAAAAGGCTAATCTAAAAACAGTGATGATAATGATTGGAGAAAAATGTTGTTGAGCTAAGACAGGTATCTGCAATTCGTACTTTGATTCAATTGAATTCAAGTCACAATTCGTTGTAGATAGTGTATGATCGAAAGCGCCTGCCTTGGATGACCTTGGGAATCATTGTTACCATGGACAAACACGCTACGCACCTTCTTCATAACCTCACAAAAGGCCCAACAGAAGAATCGTATCAAGACAGGTTGGTATTTGCCCGAGAGAAGAATTCAACAGTATTTCGCTTGGAAAGCTGTATCCAAGATATATCCTGAAGGAACTTGCATAGCAGGGCTGTAGACTGATCTTTGATTGAAATCATACATTGAATCCATACCTATCAACTCATCTGTTCCGATATCAATGTTCAGCTCAAAAACACATAATTTGACTTTGAACTATATCGTCTGGAATTTCAAATGGATTAGTCTCAAAATTACTAGACAATAAAAGCATCATCCGGCACATAAAACACACACATGTGTTGTTAGCTAGCATCTATTCAGATTACATCTGGCCACTTTGAACCGGACTTCTAAACTCGATTTGAGACAATTGGAGATGATATCTTCAAAGAATGTAGTGCTTTTATTGTAGGCAATGTTACAATAGAAACGAAAATAATGGATACTATTGGTGGCCTCGTAGTACAGACTTCAGAGCCTCTAATTGATAAACCTAAGAAGCACATAGCGTCTGATAAAAAGTTGACTGTGAGTCTGCAAGAAACGAGAGAGGCTATTCATGAGCCCATATGTTTAATTTGAGGCAAATTACCTAGGTATTTCCATGCATAAAAAGACACGAGAGAAGTGGAAAAAACAGGCAAAAGTGATAGAGCCTCAAGTGTCCACTTCAGCTGAACATTTTCAGAATATCGAAAGTGCCAGTAACGGGTCCACTTTGTGCTATCGTCAACAACTGTAAGGAATTATTCTACCAAAGTGATAAATGTCCATTCAATCCATTCAAGCAATCCATACCATTCCCTAACCCGTTTTGGTATATGTATATGGATGAACCTATCCATTTCCCCTCAAACAATCAAACGAAACCAGAATCTTGGTATTGTTGTGCCCCTACCGCTTGCCCATGCCCGCTTGCCCCAATGCCACGATTCCAACAATCCCGCAACCCCACAACGCCCACATGCATAACTAAACAATCTTCGGACCCTGTGAAAATGACAAAGGAGATTAAATACAGAGGTTTGGTCTCGATGACCCGATGTATGACGCGTGAATGGTATCTGCGCTTGATTCAACATAAAAGAAAACGTGTATGAAAAGATTGTACGGTTTATTGGTCCGCCTTTGGTGGTGACCAACCGTTGAGATATGCCATCAAACCCATACCGACTATGACAACGCCAAGCATCGAGACATAGGGTGTTGAGTGGTATAATAAAGGATCGTGTTTGGCATTCTTAGAAGCGATCGCACGTGTGAGCGATGCATGAAGATCATTTTCCGATGAGGTATGTTTCATACCATTTGGTCGCCTTACGGGATGCAGTGCCAAATCACCTCCATTCGTAGTCCCGTTGACATGTTTTTCAAAAGCCTGCTTCGATGGAGATCGGGATCGGTCGGAAGACAGTTGTTTCAGTTGTTCATCCGCGCGAATTTTTTCAATCATCTCTGCTAAGGTTTTTCGGTCAGTATCCCTCTCCCCCTCGGCGCTTTCTGCTCTTTTCTTATATGACTCCATCTGGGATCGCAGCTCCTGCATGTCAGAAACCATAATTTCAAGGCGCTGTTCCAACAAACGAGATGAGTCTGCAATACCAGTAGCGTCAACTTGTATATCGGCTTTCTCAAGTGATGAGATATCGTCTGAGGGTGGCTCAAAAGCGTCTTCGAGTATTGAACCTTCCATCCCAGATCTGGCACTTCCGTTCAAAGTTTTGTCCGGCGTTTGAAGCTCCAATCGTTTGGCCATTTCTTCCGCCGTTTCTCGTGCTTGTCGTTCCTTTTGAAGCATTTCCTCTAAGTCCCGCATCCGAGCACTTTGAGAGTCGATCTCTTTCTTTGCCGACGCCAATGCTTCCACCAACGTAATTATTTGACTACTGACTTCTCTCACAGGAGAACCATTCGCTAAAGACCGCTGCTTTTCTGTATTGGATCTTCTTAAAGAGGCAGTAGGTGACGAGGGATCAAAGTTATGAGAGCGAGCAACGTCTGGCTTTTCAGGAAGAGGTTGTTGGGGCGGCGGCGCGGGAGGATCAGAAAATCGAGGTTTTCCTTCAGCCCTAAAAGATAAAGCGGAACCGTTTGCTGCAGGCTTTAGCTCTACATTTGGAGCATTCTCAAGTTCTTTCACATTATCCTTCGATAACAGGCCACCAAAAAAGTTGTCTGCTCGCCCAAGGTCGGAGTTTTGCAATCGGGCTGTTCGCATCTCGTGCTAGGTTGTAAGTCAGTCAAAATGAATTAATGTGTGTAGATATATGAACCTACAGAAAGCCTCTTCACTATCTGCTCTGTTGTAACGGGGGTCAACCAGAAATTCATCGGGCGTTGCTGGCCCATCACACTCATTTGACTCCCAGCTACGCTACCCGGTAGTCCCACACGACCATTACTACTCATTGAGCTTTGGCTTCCAGTTCTTCCCCTCATCATGGGACCTTGAGATGGCAACATCATTGATCCATTAGCAGGATTCAGATCACCGAAACTCATATCCAGAACGTTATTAGTTGAGCCCGCAAAACCTGCATGTTCGACTTTCGCAGCGACTTTGTGATGTACAACCGTCTTTTGATCTTCGCTAACAATATCTATACCAAGCTCGAGATGGTCTTGCGACTGCAACTCATGCGGATCTGAGTCCTTATTCTCGGCCGATAAGCGCGCTCCGTTGACGAAGGTACCGTTTGATGATTTAACATCTCGAATCCAGATCTTCCCACTACGATCTGCCCAAATCTCTGCATGTTGTCTCGATAGTACCTTCGAATCAAAAAATCCATTCGCAGGCGATGGTACTGTTTTAGCGTTTGTCTGACGTCCAATTCTCAAGCTATCCGGATAGAAAGGCACTGATATCCTCTTGTGATCAAAGGTGCCGTTCATGGATAACAAGTAGAGCATTGGCTCCCCTTCTGTAGGTTGGCCCTGGGGTCTGATCTGCTGTGATCCATTTAGTGTAACATGCTGGGATGGTACCATGGGAGCCGGCTGATGCAATGGAGTCATAGATGAACCAGAATTTCCATTTGTTAAGGCCGATGGAGGTTGTCGTGTCGTGTGGGAACCAGGGACCGAGTCTGATTTATTGGTCCATGGCTGTTGCACCCTTGGGACCTTCTTTCGTGCCGCTGCCGTACCCCAATTACTTGATTCATTAGAGGAGGACATCGGTACGCCATTAGTCTGTGGGTTCTGTTGCGTTACCGTCGAGTTGGATGAAGTTGAAGAAAGTGAAGACAATGAAGTTATCGACGAGGATGAGTTGGCACGCTGAGCGCTTTTTCGTGGCATGAACATTCTGCCCACTTCGTCGCCGTTAATAGCATTCATTCCTCCTTGGTTAACACTAGATCCCCATGCCGACCTGTTGATCTGCGGGAAACTTGGTGGATTTGCGACTGCCGTCATCGGTTAAATTAGTTATTGGCCGTATTTCACAGTAGATAGGTTTATCCCTGACGATGTTGAGTGAAAAAGATCGTTGGAATGTTGTTGCTTTCCTCCCCCCATTCAACCTCAACTACAACAAAGATGCTTCGCTTCGATGACCCTCTGGCCTATATTGTGGGTACTAAATGTCTGCAACTCTCTATCTAACAAACTTGATGGAAGAGATATCGTATCGCACTGGAAGTTATGATGATCGTTAGTAGATGCCCACAAAGTTTTGGCGCCATGATGACGAGTGACGAGATGGTCGAGAAAGGGAGCGCAAAGAAAACTGGAACGCATCAAGAATCATACAAAGTGGACTATATGCTTGAGGCAAAGAATATGAACACTTACATCTATACAATGCAGGTATTGTAGGACAATTGCTGGTGGTAGAAAAGGAAACCTATTTCAATTTGATGTTGCCAAGGTGGAAAGTTTGGACATTCAGGTTGAGACACGCGAGGTTTATGTTTAGCCAACCAGAGTTCGAGATCGGGGATAAGAGCACTTGCGCACGCGCTCTCTTGCAGATACAAAAGGGTCTTTGATGGGGGAAGAGAGAGGAGAGAAGAGAAGAAAACGAAAGGACAAGAGGAAGAGATTGAATGTCATGAAAAAATTAATTATGGCATCTCAAAGCTATCGCAAAAGTCTCTTTTGTCTACGAACTAGGTATTTTTAGTGTGAACTACTACAACAATTCCAAATTTTCTAGATTTCGGAGTGGAAATCATTGGATTGTGAGGATTATCACGTGATACACATGATCCTCCTTTCGCCTTTGTGCCTTAGATGTTAAGGCCGCAACGTGTTGAGAATGTGGGGGAATATAGTGCTTGTCTATGTATGGTCTGTGCTTTCGGCAAATGCCGTGATCATTTTACATTTTACTAGGTAGATTTGAGCTCTTGAAACTTTGAAAGTTCGAAGCTGCGATATATGAGTTGATGGACTTTACAACTTCGCGGTGCTAGATAAACCAATTCGATCATTTGAAATCGCCAAACATGCCTCCAGTACCACAACCTCAAGGCCATCCCGGTGGCCAAACTATCTGGAATAAGCGTAAGGCTGTGGTTTCACCCCTCTATCTAGGACTTTTACTGACCATGCATGATTTATAGTTCAGATGGGTGCTATGATGGGTGGCAGTATGCGATCATGATCTCGCTCATATATGCAAGTTACTGACTACGTTCAATAACAGCTGTCGGCGCCATTTTGGGGTTTATGTACGGTATGTTGAAGCTGGAGGAGGGATAAAAAGAATTCATTCTGACAAGGCTAAGGCACACTCACTATCATCAAATTTGGTCCTGGCCCAAATGGAGTCTGGAGGACTCTACGCACATACATGCTCACTTCTGGGTCCACTTTCGGGTATTTCTCATCATTCCTTTCTGTCAAGTTAGTTTCAATGTGCTAATGAGTTATCACTCAGATTCTTCATGGCCATTGGCAGTACCATTCGTTCCGATAGTATCGCATCTCCAGAAACATTGGCAGCTTTCGGTCGTGCAAACCGACGACCCCTAGTTATGAATCGTCCATATCGCCCTTCGCGAACATCGCAATGAAAAATGCTCGATTGTAGAGTCGAAAGGGAAAGCTCATCTATCCTTGGAGAAGATGGAACCTGGCGAATGCTTTGTAAATTAAGGCATATGTTTATACATAATGGGTAAAGACATGTCAATTGTCGATCTTCGGGTCTCGCCGCTCAACTGTTTGCATAGGGGTGGAGTTTAATGGGGGCAATCTATATCAACAAAGCCTCGCCCAGCGTTTTTCTTTTACTTGAGCCTCCTGATCAGCTCAATTCAACAATAAACGAATCCTACTACTTTATCACTGGTTCATGGGTGTCATGAAAGGTTGAATCCTATGTCGTGGCCAAGAGGCTTGGATATCTTGCCAGCCACTAACGTGAAATGGCCATGGAGCATTCGTGTTTTATGTTGCGACTTCGATCATATGAAGGGGCAAGCTATGCAAGCGCTGCTCTTGACCTTTTATCCTGGTCTTCCTTAGGAGATCTCAACGATTAGATGAGGGCTCTAGATCTAAATTATGTTCACAGTATCATTTACTCTTAATGAAGACACTCATTCTTGACGGATTCGCAATTTCATTCTTGAAGCCATATGGGATAGACGCAATGGCTTGGTGGCTTTGTTTCAAAATTCGTTCTCGGCATGATGTACATACTCGCCCAAGATCGCGCTTTCGGTCGTACTGATGAATTTTATCCCTTTCGGCGTGAACGGAAACCGAAGTCTTCTTATTAGGTTGATGCACTACAAACCATCAAAGAACCGAGCAGAATGTGAGTTCGATCTTAGATGTCAATACCAATTTCTAAAAGTTAGATATCTGACGATACCTTCAATGATGGACCCCTAGCCATTATAAGACGTATCGAAAGACCCTCCCGGAGTGAGATTGTAATCATCGGTACAGCAAAGAATATGGTTTTTATAAACTCTTGATCAGATGAATCATACTTGTTCATCCACACGAACCACTTAATTCAAGTGCTTCGCTTTGTGGCTGACGTCGACTTAGCTCTCCAGCTGCCCAGGTGTTGATAGGTAGGCGCTCGCCACTGGGCGAGGTCCTCGGCCCTTCAGTTTTTATGGTGAAACCTCACTTTGACTAAAGACCTTGAGCAATGACACGGTAACATCCAAACAATCGAGTTGGCTTCAGCTAAGATTCATCAAGAAAACGTTTGAATCAATCTCATTTATGCTTGTTGAATCAACAAGAATTTTGAAAAGAACATGACCTATATTCAACTCATTTGGCCACATCAACGTCGCTTCGGGAAGTAACATTTCCGTACAACTTGATTATCATTGTCGAAAAATATCAGAACTCAATCGTACCCATAGAAAGATCAGCAGTGACGCTCCGTCGGGAAGTGATCATTCTTACGGAGTACTTGTCCAACTAAAAATATTTTCCGATTTAAGATTGTTCCTTGGGCAAAATGCTTCCCTAGCGTGAAGTAAGTATTTTCTTCGCTTGGCACGTCTGGGATAACTAAGAGAGAAAACTATTATCCATCGACATGTTTGCACCCTCTAGTTCTAGAACTAATTGAACCGTAAAAAGACTATCTATGATGGTAAGACACAGGCAGCGACGAATGACAACATGATGATTCTTCAAACTTCATCAATTGTGTATTACTATCGAAAGCGGAAGTTTTCACAACTCCTTTTTTGCGTGAGCTAACGATTTAGAATTGCATGCGAAAACCACGACGTTGTATACTAATAATAAACGACCACGTTTCTCGTAGCCAATTGATGTCCAATACTGGATTCGATGAGATTTATTATGTACTCCAATCACGGTCTTATTCCTTGAGACTTCTACCATTGATCGTGGTCTCCTCGTGTCAATACTGACTTCAAATCATCAATAAGCTCAATTACCACAGAATCCTCCACCTAATCAAACACAACGTTGACCTCTGCACGGGTCCTCACGTTATCACGGCTAGCAACATATCACTGTATACAAATAAATCATGAAACACATCATTATTAGTAATATCTTCTCCACTACTCGACAGCAATATAATTTCTGTCTACACGATATATCGCATAGGACCGAGACCCAGAGATGTGCGTTGATACCTCGGTACCTGATACAAATAGCACTATTCAGTTACTCAATGTAAGTTTTGATCTTTACTTGGGTATCCACTACCAAATCTGGACATGACTTTGTTTCGAAACATCATGAAGATCTACACTATTCTCCTTTTGAGCAATGATCAACTGGTCATCGGAATATTGCTTGAGATACATGCGGGAATGGTCACTGTACACAAACGAGATTTCTTATATTGAGATACGGAGTGGATCGCTCTAAATGATCCTTCTGATCCTTCAAATCAAATAAGAAGTCAAGGAGAGGAATCTTTTGTTTTTTGGCTTTTTGGATTTTTTTTTTTGGATTTTTTCCTTTCTCTTGTTTCTGGATCCAAGGGATTTTGTTTCAAATTAGAAAGCTCTAATATACAGAGTACGGCGGGAAGTTGATTAGTTTCGCTTCCTTAAGGTTAGCCTTTTTGCCGTCTTATATTATCCCTTCATCGCATCTCGTTAGTGCCACTCGGTACCGTCCATGCGTTTTTCGTTTGTGGAGCGGAGTGGATCCCCGGGTAACCTTATCTGCAAAGCACCATTCACAATCTTTATTGACAATGTACCTAGGAACTATGTAGGTACGATGTAGGTAAGATGTCGGTACTCGATAATGCTAACTTAGCTTTCACACTTTATACCAGAGTTTGGAGGCAAATTGCGGCAGCATAAAATATGCTTCTCAAGTTTCCAACTCTATTAGGAAGGTAGGCTAATTTCCGATGAACCTCTTCCCGTATTTTGTTATTGTAGCAGATCTAGGATCCACGCTAGATGTGCCCAAAGCTAGACCGAATCATACCCCAGGCCCACATCAGTCTCTTCTATGATGACAAAGTACAGAATTATTCAATCACTCTACGCTAGACGTCAAGCCCCAGATAAAATGTAGGGAGTGTCTGATCTTTTTTTAAGTTACACGGAGAGTTCAGTCTGTGCAATACTATACTAGAGCAAATGTTTGTCGACCTAGCGCCCCGGGAAATGATGGGCGCTTCGGAACCTTTTTTTTCATGTCTATATAGTATCACCACTTGCCCACATCTATAATCGATATCCACATACTATCTCACAGTCTTTCGTTTAATCTTGTTGCGACAGTCATTTCAAGATGACTTGGTTCGGTCTTTTCGCTGGCATCTTTACTGCCGGCGCCGGAATTATTAATACTATGTCCCAAACGGCAACTAATGGGTGAGTCTCAGTTCTTGCGTCGAGGAAAATCCATGCTGTAGATGTTTAATTATTGACCCTTCGTCCAGAAATTCTGCTTGGGGAACTCTACAGGCTCCAACCTTTCCGCCCTTCCTCACGGATAATCCCCTTCCTAATGGATATCCCTGGGGTTCATTGACTGCAGGTGGGAATAACCCATACACATCAGCTCCTCATACCGGAGTTGTTCGATCCTACGATTTTACTGTCACGAGAGGCACAATTTCCCCTGATGGCTATTCCAAAGACGTCATACTTGTCAATGGGCAATTTCCTGGACCCGCGATTGAGGCAAATTGGGGTGATACTTTCGTGATTACAGTACACAATCAGATTACTGGACCTGAGGAGGGAACAGCTTTCCATTGGCATGGATTGTTACAAAAAGAAACTCAATATATGGATGGTGTCCCGGCTGTAACACAATGCCCTATCGCACCTGGAGCTTCGTTCACGTATACTTTCAAAGCCGATCTTTATGGAAGTTCCTGGTACCATTCGCATTACTCTGCTCAATATGCTGGTAAGAACAACAGTCTTTACAACCCTTTTCTATACTAACATCCATGCAGGTGGACTTATGGGACCTATGATTATCCATGGCCCTAAAAACGCACCGTATGACATTGATCTTGGACCAGTCTTCTTAACAGATTATTATCACAAGGATTACTTCTCGATAGTCAAATCGGTTGTCGAGAGCAATGGGGATGCTAAACCATTTTCAGACAACAATCTCATCAATGGAAAGATGAATTTCGACTGTTCTACTAAAGCTGCAGGAGATAATACCGCATGCTCTGATAACGCTGGTATCTCTCGTTTCAAGTTTACCACTGGAAAGACACACAGATTGAGATTAATCAATGCCGGTGCTGAAGGAATTCAAAGATTCAGTATCGATGGACACAAGATGGTTGTTATTGCCAATGATTTCGTACCAGTCGTAAGTACCAGAACCTTTTATGATCACCAGAAAATATACTGATTGATACAGAAACCGTATACCACCAATGTTGTCACTCTGGCAGTCGGTCAAAGAACCGATGTTCTTGTCACCGCTAATGTCGGAACATCTGACTCTTCTTTCTGGATGAGATCAAATATTTCCACAACATGTTCTTTGTCCAATCAACCAAATGCTCTTGCAGCAATCTATTACGACGGCGCCGACACAAACTCCACTCCAGCAAGTACATCGTGGGATATTCCAGATCTAGCAATTTGCACAAACGATGATCTAGACACCACCGAACCCTATTATACCCTCGCAGCAGAAACACCCTCCACAACCCAAAACCTCGATATTGGCTCCTACGTTAATGATACTGGTACTTTCCTCTGGACCCTCGGTGGAACATCCTTCCGTGCAAACTACAACAACCCTATTCTCTCACTCGCCAATGAAGGCAATTTAACCTACCCCGATGAATGGAACGTTCGAAATTTCGGCAGCAACACTACCATTCGCATTGTGGTAAACAATCCTACTCCGGCATCGCACCCTATGCATTTGCACGGACACAACATGCAAATTCTCCACGAAGGTGACGGAGACTGGGATGGTGTCACCGTTACGCGACAAGCGAATCCTCAAAGACGAGACGTGCAACTTGTGCGAGCAAATGGTCACTTGGTATGGCAAATCACCACCGACAACCCGGGCGTCTGGCCTTTCCATTGCCACATCGCGTGGCATGTTAGCGGAGGCTTGTATGCCAACATCTTGGAGCGACCAGACGATATCAAGAATGATGCCATTGCCACTTCGGCGCTGCAGACCTGCACACAGTGGAATGCATATTCCAGTACCGCTGTTGTGGATGAGATTGATTCGGGACTTTAAATTTTCGCAAATGGGGCTTGGTGTTTGGTGAACTTATATCATATCCTTGCATAGTTGCCTTGGAATGAACGTTTGGTCGGAAGCGACGCATGATTATTTCATTTGTTTTTATTTGTTTTCAAAGCGAGATTTTTGGGGTAAAAGGATTGGATGCCATGATAGCATGGAAAAGAATGGCATCTAAGTATATTATTAATGATTCATGAACATATTTATTTCTATAGAATTTATATTTTTCAAAAGTTATCTTTATTATATCTCTTGGAATATTGAAAACTTTTGTGCATGTTGTGACTGGAAAGAGACTGTGATAACATAATGCCTACAACAGGCTTGGACGGGAGACGGTGATTGCATTGCATGTCAATATGATCCTCAGCATGATGCCTTGATAAATCTGAAGAATAACCACTGAACTTTAACGAAACACAACATACAAATTATAGCCATCAAAACATTGCCGTCACATCCCAACCAAGAAAAATCAAAGTCTCACGACGAAATCCAAATGCGAAAGATCGATGCACGAGAAATATCTGACTATCTGAACACCCACACACGATTAAACTTCATCTACACCATCGCCACCGACAAACATTTTCTCGCATTACCTCTCAACACGATGATAAAGTTTCTCCTCTCCTCGCCACCCAACCCGCCACCGCATCCATCCCATTTCAAAAATAATATTAACATTAAAGTTAACCCCAACCTATTAACATCAAACTCTATCTCTATCTCCTCTTATCTACTCTTATCTGCATGCACACAAACCCAGCGACCCATATCCTCCCTCCTCCACCGCTCTCCCCCTCTCATCATCCCAACCCCACAAACCCTAATGCCGCACACCAAACCACTCTCCCGGTACCTCTCCACCCATTATACATAGACTAGCCTAGACTAGTTCCCGCTCCCTCACCACCGACATTCTAAATAAACACTAGATAACATAAGCTAGCTATCCATCCCAGCCACACCGCCCAAACCCTATTTAAACATTCCCACCCTGCCTCCTCGCTCGTTTCCCAGCTCGCACTATTCGGGCGCGAAATATCAAAATGTGGATATTAAACTCAGATTGCTTTACTAATCTACTAGTGTACTAGCGTGTCGATCTGCCGATGCATGTAGCTTGTATCCCTGTAAGAAGCTTAAAACTTAAGTACCTACCTACCTGCGCGTGGCGAGCGTGGCTGGTAAGTTGTAACCTTCACCTTGTCGTATTCGTGTTGGGATGGGATGGCATGGGATTGTATGTGTGGTATGGGATTTTGGATATCGTATTCACGGTGTTGTGTGAATTGATGTCTGATGTGATGAAATCGATCGCGTTTTTAGGTGTGGCGAATTTGGAGCTAGGTTCGGGTAGGGGATGAGTGTCTTATACTTTTTTTTCATCGATTTCTGGAGGAAATGAATGGGGAATTGGTTGGGTTTGATTTTGTGTGGCGATGTTCAGTTGGTAGGTTGGGAGGTAAGGTTGGGAATACATTTTGATAATGTGGAGGGTGAGGATCTCCGAGTGAGGTTGATGCTGTTGTTCTGTCGTATCATTTAGTTTGTGGTGTATTGCATAGGTAGCATGATTACAAAAAATGTTTCTTGACATTGTGGCAGTTCATTAGATGTTGATTACCAGAGAAGAGAGAGACGTTGCCATAAACCACATCAGAAGGCATGAGTTATCTATGCCTGCTAATACTTACATGAATATCATAGTAAAAATAAATACAATTCTATTTTAAGAAATCAAGACGGAGCCATAACTTCTAAAGCTATCAGATATCCAGGGATATTTCAGTTGGTTCTTGATGAAAGATATAGTATCAAGAGTGATAATGTTTCTATTAACGACCCTAACATACATATTACATATCCCAACCCGTCAGATGAGTACTCGAGATTTCCTATATTTTAACAGCATAAATTTGAGGGGACACATCCACCCCCTATTCTTAATCGTATTATTGTATATCTTGTGTCCATGGCTAAGTCTTCTACTGGCCGTCTGAAGTAGGTGCTAGCTACCTGCAAAGACAGCGTGATGTTAACAACCAGTACAAAAATAAACAGATATTCTTGTGGCATAGGTTAGTACCTACTTGAATCTTTCGAGGATCTAAATTTAGACATTGAAATGGTAGATGTATATATAAATTCTCTGCTATCAAGCGACCAGTTTCGAGTGGTAGAAACCGTTAACTTTCATACATCTTAAAATGCCCACCCAGCAAGAACAATGCTTGGAAGGATAAGAATTGTATTTGGCGACTTAGGATATGACACAATGCAGCTGTATCGGGTCTGTAGAAACGCATCAATTGTCCAGTCCGGGGAAAATGAAGAGATGATATGCCTTGTATTTATTATCTTCTTCACATCTTTTTTTTAGATCTTGAGGGACATCCGGGGTGTAAGTTTTAAGCATAAATCAATCCAACCATGTGTTGTTGGGCTATACCTATGAATAATGACACTGCTGTTCCGCCTCCATGATGAATATTCTTGCTCTGAAACTGTCGGACCGGAGTTTTCCAATCGAACGGCATTCATGAACGTCCCAGCTTTGGAGACCAAGTCTCCCAAGATGGGCTTGTCATCGGATATTTGTACTGCCAAGGTCGTCATATCAACAACAAGAAACAACGGCATCAACGGCACCAGTGATTTGTAAGGATAACGAGGCGCAGTTGTCCCCTTTTCAATGACACAAAAAGATATGTCGATCTCTGTTGAAGAAATAGTCCAGTCGCAGATTTGTTTCAGAATACCCAAAACACATCTCCACACTTTTAATTCGTCCATTTCCTGCGAGGAGAGGCAAATTTCAACACAAACTTAACTTGTTTTCGCACAGACATGAGGGTAGAGATCACTAGATCGTTTCGCAACACAACAAAGAAGGATAATTTTCCGAATGGGAGGCTCCTTTCCTCACTCGAACCTTGTCTCAGTATTTGATCGCTTCCAGAAAGTCTCGGCTTTTAGATACTGGATTGCCGGATATAGGTTTTCTGACGGCAAAGCAACTCCCGCATGAAGTCTGACATCAGATACGCTGGAATTCGGTTGCGAAGACCCCAGTTATGCTTGAACAGATGAAAATTCGGCTGGGGATACTAAGACAAAAGCTTGAGAGTCTGATGCGAATTTTCTGATGTTGACGCTAGGACTTCTAGAACTGATCATCTTCCATTTTAAAGCATGCATATATAATACACAATCCCATTTGTTTTTATAGTTTGCCATTAAACACTGTCTTCTAGAAACTAATAAAATACCATTCACCAACCAATAAATCAACATGCATTTCTCTCAATTCTCCGCAATTGCCTTGATGGCAGTTAATCTCGTAGCCGGTGGTAAGTTGTGTTAATCTCATTTTTAAGCTTCACCAGCTAACAAACACCAAGTTCCCACACAAGCACCCAGTGCTGCAGATGCAAAGGTGCATACCGTTGTGGTTGGATCAAGCAACACTTCTCTTCTGCTATTCACCCCACAAGAAATCACCGCAAAGCCTGGGGACACGGTGGAATTCCAGTTCCACGAGAGGAACCACACCGTCACCCAATCCGCATTCGATTCACCGTGTCAGCCAATGGCCAATGCAATCAACAGTGGTTTCGTCCCAGCGACGGCAAATCAAAGCATGATCACGACTTTCACTATGACGGTCAATAGTACAGATCCCATGTTCATGTATTGTGCGCAGGGAAAACATTGTCAAGCAGGAATGGTATTGACAATCAATGCATCGTAAGCGATTCTTATACCAGGCGAACCGGTCTATGTAGACGTTGACTGATTGGTTATTTAGGAATGGAACCCAGAACTTCGGGACGTACAAAGCGGCAGCAGCCAAAGCAACTAGCAATGTTCCCGCCGCGGCAGTGGGCGGCGGTGTCTTGGGAAAAATTGCCGCCGATAAAGCTACCACAGTTCCGCTGCGACGAATTTGAGGGAGGAATAATCCGGAGGCGGGTTCCTGGTCTGAACTGCATGCGTAATGTTAATTGTTTATTCGGGTTTGAGATGAGCTTTCCCATCGGTGGTTCTGGTAACCACGTGTTATGTTTCGTTACAATACCCATTGCTTATTTCATCTTGTTTTCATTTATGTCTCTTTGCTGTGTGTTCTCGTTGATCATGTCTGGAAGAAAAGGGCCGTGGTTCTAGGGATGGATATGTATATCAGTTCGCAGCTCACGCTTGAGTCTGCAACAAACATTCTCGGATGTTTCGCTGCTTTCCAAAGTTGCGAAGCTGAGAAATTTATAAGAGGTTGCGTGGTAAAATTTCAATAAATGTACGATACATTCATGCGATAATTAAATCATGTATAAGGGTTTGCAGTTTCAAACTGAAATCCGCACTGATAGAGGTCTGGTGGTCGCTGCTCTGATTAGTCATTGCTCAATGCCAAGACTACTACCTCCTTTCGAAATCGCCTTTGAAGAATGTCATCACCACAACCTTTTCATCTGTCTTGCAGCGTGCCAAAATACTTGTCTTCTTCAGAAGCAGCGTTTGATATCCAGTTAATTACTATAATTCTCGTTTTTGTAGCAAACATCTATCCACATACCTCATCAAGACTTCCTCTTCTGCCCTTCCATACTTATAAGCAGATAATGCCTTTCGTACTTTTCATAAACGATGAGTACCAGTCAATATTGAAAAATGACCGATATAAAACTCATGAAAAAAGGCGTGTTGATCCGAAGAACAAAGACAAACTTACTAGAATGTAAGCTCCTTAGCTCACAAGCTATACTTGAGGTTTCTAGAAAATCTATACCTGTATCCACAAAAGAAAATGAAATTTCAAATCTGCTGTGAGAAGACTGCGGGATTGATTTGAAAGTGATCAAAATATACTATTGAAACGAAAGAGTAAAAACATGGCTATCAACGAAATATTCATTCGCTTGGGCCACTCCATCCCACGATCAAAACTCCAAGCACACGGAGTGATTAAAACGCATAGTTATATATATATACAAGAAACCCAGCATTCATCCAAACTCCCCCGAGATCTATTCAAATCTCTCTCCTAAACCTGCTCGTTCCTGCAGCCGTTTCCGAAGCAGGACTAGGCACCCTCTCCCCATTTTCATCCCACCTGCTCGGTTCACTTCCTAACACAAATTCCATGCTTCCTCCCTCCTCAAAAATGTCACTCCAAACCACCCAATTCTTATTCCATTCAACACCGTTCACCTTCAAACTTTGCACATAGTAATTGGAATCTCCATTTCCGTCACCGCCTGTACTGGCTATGGTGAGTGTTTTGCGATTGCTAGCGGAAGAACCGCTGGGGCTTAAATCTATGGTTATGGATTCGAACCAGGGAGATGTGATTAGGAAATTGGGGGTCGCGGTGATGGGATAAAGACCGAGCATATTCCATATGAGCCATGTTTGCATAGCTCCTGCGTCCGAATTGCCGGGAAGACCAGTCGGAGAGAGGTTGTAAGTTTTGGCTACTTTGCGAGATTGGTAGATCGAGCGAGATTGGTGGTTGATAAAGTTGTAGAGGTAGGGGACGTTGAATGTACTGGATTTTGTTAGTTAGTTGCTTCAGTGATTTTGTTTCGATTGATATAGACCATGAGATACATACACTTCATTTGTACCATCAAAGATAATACCTCCTGGGTTGTTAGGATTCGCGCCAACGGTAAACATTGTTTCCAATCTCTTGTAAAATGTGGCATCTCCTCCCATATATTCAATGATAGTATCCATATCATGAACATCACCGAAAGAATAATGCCATGAGCTACCTTCATAAAATGGATCACCCCAGTATCCAATATTAGTCAAAGGATCAACAGTAACAAAAGGCGTTGAAGAACCTGCTGCTGTGCGAGGAACCACAAATCCTGAGTATCCGATAGAAGTCAAATTGGGATTCCAGTGGTTTCTCCAATTTCGTGAGCGATCTAGATATTTGGCTGCATCTTCTGTGTTCCCCAATCCGTTGGCTACCTGATAAACTGAGAAATCATTGTATGCATAATCTACTGCTCGAGAACCGGCACGACTATATGTCGGAGTGATATAGCCATATTGTTTCCAATCAGGTAAAGCGCCTCTTCCTTCCTTTGCTGATGAGTCCGGAGCCATTGGGTCAGGTGGAACGGTATTGTTAGGTTGGACTTCAGCATCTTTCACCATGGCTGCGTAGCCATCATCCCAATTGATTTGACCTCTTACACCTTTCACATAAGCATCGGCGAGGACATTATCAGCATTGGAACCCCCTTGAGTCCGACCATTATAATTTGAAGAGCGAGCATCGGGCATATAGCCATCGAAACGCCAAATATCTATCAAGGAGCGAATGTATTCTTCGTAGACAGTGGGCTGAAGGACGTGAAGTAAAGCTGTACCACAACGGAATAAATCCCAAAGAGTGAATATGTCTTGATAATATGGTTCGGTGGAAGTCCATCTTGGATTTTCTCCTGTTTGATTTGTTGGAAGAAGACTCATGAAATACATAGATGTATATAGCAATCCAAGATTGGTCGCATTGGTAGAAGTAGTTGTGATTCTTGATAAAACTTCATCGTTCCAAACAGATTTAGTGTCAGAAACGACATTTGAAAATGTGGAATCACTCGAGATCTCATCGTTGACATTCTGGCATGCCTTTTCCGTGGAAATCCAGGAAATCCCAACTCTCGATGTAACAGCAGTAGTGTTGAATGTATAAAGCCCGCCAACGGCAGTGTTCAAGTCAGCCGAAGTAGCTGATTTGCTAAGCTGGATGACACTACCAGCACCAGTATTGGCATATACATTCGATGCAGAGGGTGTTACGTTAAAATAGCCACCTTGATAAATTGATTAGAACAGAAATCGTACCATAAAAATTAGACTTACATGAGTATATCGTCCAATCAGGAGATCTATTCCATCCGTTATTGTATACACCAGATGCCTCATAATGGCCATCTGAAAATATTTGAAAGCTTCCTCCATCGTATGCTTGACTCAAGCCTTGACCTCTGAAAGATGGCACCACATGGCTGACATCAATCAGAATATTGTTCCCAGTGCTGGTGGGAGGAAACGTGTATTGGTAGAGTCCAGCGTGTGATGTAGCAGCAAGCTCGACAACAACATTATCACTTGTCTGAGCTCGATAGTAACCCACAGAGCCTTGGTCAGGGACTGCTCTGCCGACAGTTATACTTGACAAAGGGTTGGTGATTGTGCCCACCAAAGGTAGTTGGGCAACCGTGCCATATTTCGGTGCACCTCCAGTACCTTGCTCATGCATCACACTAAAGCCTGAGAAGTTTCCATTAGGAAGATAGCCAGAATATGAGTCGGTACCCTGGATTAGAAGATCGGGGCCAAGTTTGACCATTCCCCAAGGTCGAGCAACACCCGGAAAATCGTTGCCTCCATTTTGTGTTCCAGTACTTGGGTAGTTAGAGAATATCTGTATCGAAAGAGCTCTGTACACTTACAACACATTCACAAATTGTGAATAATCGGTTTGGGCTTGGACAATGTCAAATATGAGAAAAGAAATGATCAAGTCTAGATTCATAATTCGTTGACGCGCTATGAATAGCTTGAAGAGATGAAGCAGAAACTTCGTGGTTTCCTTGAGAGTTCTTATAAGAACTCCACAACCCTAGGATACGTTGTTCCGAGAATGGGATGTTGTGGAGGTTGTCTATTAACGGCCATTTGAAAGGTTATCTTTAATGCTGGGCGCATGGATAAACTAGAGATATAAGACTGCATACTCTCGTGGGGGAAAGTATAGCAATTGATGACGCAGTACGACCTAAGACTTCCATAGGATATGGGATTTGTGAATGGTAAAAGATAGAAAGGTGATTGGGAGTGATGTTACTTCACCATTGTGCAACTAGTATATGCATTAGAAGCAACATGCCAATTTTCTTCTATATTTGGCCTGAACTTAATTCGAAGCTGTCGAACGAGGCGTGCTTTAGGGTGCTGATCATGTACTGTATCCAATGACATTGTCACTTGATAGTCCATAGTACGGTAAATCATTTTTAGATGGTCTTAGTCTGGATAACATCAACAACACTCAGGAAGTCAATGTGAACCTCAATATCTACTACTGAGCCACACGTGCGAAAGACGCGAGACCCCATTGTAGTATTGGCGATTGTTCTCCTGATGCCTGGATCCAGTATACTAGGATAATTGTGGGGTTTATCGGATAACGTCTCTCTTTCCGATGTAACACTATCCAACCACGGCAACGCAAAGGACCTCATGGCAGTCTTGAAGATTTTACAGGTTAAAACATTGTTCATGGAATACTGCAGAGACATGCACCAAATGTTTGAAATAATTCGGTCCCGAGTGAAGTATCGACTATGATTCTCAAATGTCAAGTCGTAACATAAAGCAAATGAGATAGCAAGAAGAAGATATGTTTGTAACTTCAAATTTGCTTTTTCTCGGCAGTTTTGGCGGGCGGCTATGCCAAATTAGTGTTGCACGCTTGAAGCTTCCGTTGAGGCGACTTTAGCGCTGAAGGAATCATTCTTAGAAGCGTAGAAGGGGTGCAGGATTATTAATGCTATGGATCTGACTTGTATATATTATATATACTGATCCACTCGCACCTTCCATATTTGTCCCTAACAGCGCTATGAGTGTGAGAGTACCGACTTGAGCGTTTAGTTTAAACCTTCTACAGAGCCACACGCCACAGTTCTGGATATCTCTGAAGGTTATGAATTGTTCTTGGGACAAATGATGATAAAATTCGACTTTTCAGTATATATCGTAGGTTTTAGCTGTGTATCATAACATTCCATTGCAAATGGCATATTGAAGGTATGTGTCGAGTAGTGTAAACCTAATTACTACAGAGTTATAGAGTTAAATAACTCTGTAGACCAATCAGAATCAAGGAGATTATATAATCATTCAATATAATTACTCTGGAACCTGGGCAGCAAGGAAAATCTGTCTCGGATCGCATTTCGTGTCATTCAAAACAATGAGAGACATATTTCTCGTCGCTGCACTTTCTAGTCTGCCGAAGAGCCGAAGCTCCAGCTATATCACGCGAGTATGGAGGAAATCATGGGAAGGCGGTGATGAATCACTCATGGTTCTTTGGTCTGTCTCGCTTCAAGAACGGCGTATTATTTTCACTACAGTGATGAGTATTCATTTTTGAAGATATATTCTATGATAATTATCTGGCTTGCATTGAATTTTCAGTATAAAGGGATAATGTGGTTGCGGGCTGAGATTGTGAGGTGAGTCCTCGTTGTCTACATACTAATGTATTGTTCTTAGATATTCGATGCTTCTGCAAGTTGCTGTCCTGTGGGACGATTGATAATCATGAGAAAAGGTATATCCTATATCAAAATCAGCTTACCTGTTTCGACAAGAGATGCAAAAGAACCACTTACATTCTGGAGCAACGTTAAAACACCAGAGAGAATTGGCAAAGCGACGTCGTTAGCCTTTCCAAAAGTTCTGGAACCAGCCAGCGGTAGTTCACTACTGCCATCTCCTGTTTTTTATTCGCTGTTTTTGCGTGCGAGAAATGGCCAGGGGATAGAGGAAAGCTGCGCACGTCCACCAGTCACCAAAGGCAAGGGATCACCGCTGCTGACAGGATGATTGATAACCGAATATTTCAAGCTGAGAGTCTCCTTTAGAACGAAATTGGCGAGTACGCTCTGCGGATTGTTGTCAGTCCAATCTGCGCGGGCTCTCCGATCTATATTCTTCCCGACGAACTTGGATTACCGTATGATTGTATTTTGCTTCTTCACCTGAGCTGGGCTTCCGTCTGTTTCAAATTCGACTAGATCATCTAGTCTGTGGAAGACGAGCGGGGACGTCTCGAACCACTCGAGCTTCGAGATCCCATTTGACGTCTCGAACTTGTGGTTGACCTTCTTGATCCACGGCTCCTACTTAGCGGCGATCATGTCGAAACTAGAGGTCGTGAAAAGCTCGTTACGCTCACTGAATTTCCAGGAAATTATGACCGCGATAAGACCGCGAGGTGCGAAGAAAGAGTCAATAATCTTGTCGAGAAACATGGTTGTTTTGCTGCTACTGTCAATCTCACCGGCAGTATTTGTGGCTACTTGGACAGCGATGCCAATGATAATGCCAAGATGATCGGGAACTGCGAGTCCAACAATTGGAGCCATGTTTAGAGCTTGAATTGAACTCTTAGTTCGGACTGCCTTGTTGAAGTTGTCGATGAAATCGAAAAAGGTTGTTTGGTCGATTCCGACATCGTTTAGAAGAGGTGAATACACGCGGATGAAACCTCGGCAACATTTACCAGGTCGTCGTTGAGTGAGGAGGACAGGAAGAGAAAGGCCGCGGGAGTCCAGATTTGTTGTTTCCGGGGCCGGTAAAAGGTGGCCTCGCAAGAGTGAGGTGGCGGTCTGGAAAATCTCTCCCTCATTCGCCGCCCGCGCTTCTGTTCCTACGCAGCTTTTTCGTAAGATGACGGTAGGCTTTCCTCGAAGTTAACCTGATCTTGTGCCTTGTCCAAATGCCAGGTTGCCTCCTGTGCCTTTGGTCGGATGTGTGAAGAGGGGTGATCATTATTATCATGGCTCCGAATTGATCGACAAACCTCCTCACCAGAGTCTTCCAAATTGTGCAATGACTCTCATTCGGTTCAGCTGCCTTTCCCTTTCTTTGCTTGCAATTGTGGATTGTTCCAGCTGCGAGACCGATGCCCGAAGCCACGAATTGGAAGATCTGCCTGCTCACTGGGCCAACCAAGGAAACAGACTTCCCCTTGATAACAACATTCTTCCCGCAGTGCCTGAAGTATGACTTTCAGATTCCGACATTGTATTGTTGATGTAGAGGCTTTGGAAAAGATTACTGTATATGAGCGAGCTAATGATGTCTATAATATTTCCCATTCTGTCAGGTCTCGTAATATAAGTATCCGACAAATCGATCTATGTTGAAAGTCACATAACGTGAATTGTTGGCGAGTTCCTAATCACAACAGTATGTCGCTAGTTTTCTTACAGTTTACAATCCTTCAACTTCAAGGCTCGTCCTTCAACAAATTACAAACATGGATTCTCGGTTCCTAGCTTTTACTGTTCCTAATACTGAAAAACAATCCCAGCTCCCAGTCTCTAGCACTTTTAGTGCCGACAAGTACTTTCAGTTCCTAGCTCCTGATGCTTCTAGGGCGCTGATATAAACAACTCCAAATCTGTGAACACTTTTAGAAAGAGGCTATGTGAGCTACCTTGTCTTGAATCATATGTAATGGAAATCGGATAGGATCCCGAATTAAGAAGCTGATTGGGTTCTGTTGATAAAGAATTGCTTACCCCCTCGACGTTACGCAATCTACAACATCCTGACCCGACCTCTTGGTGGGTCGCTAATGTCTTGGCATTTCTATTTTCCTATTTGGGTTAGGCACTCTATCTATCTCGGGCGATTTGAATGCTATCCCGCTGATTATATCAACTTGGACACAAGGGATGGAAGTACATCTCCTGCTCAGAAGCCCCCTATCTCGAACCTTCGATTGGGTCAATACCAAATACGGTGGTAAATATAGCTAGGGGAAGTTCCTTTGATGCAGGGATGTTTAGAATAAGAGCTGAGTCGATTCCCACGCCCAGCTTGAAGTTCAAACTACATATCATGCAATTTCAGCTCTGTCTACTGCTAAAAAAATCAACGGCCATTATTTTAGATTTTTTCATTATAATACCTCAACTCCGGCATATCAAAAGGCCTCTCTAATCGAAGAAGCCAAGGTCCGAATATTCTTCTCTTGAATCTTACCATCCAATTCCAACCAGCAATCCTCCTAGGCAAGCCGGTCTTTACATCATTCCCTCATTCAAACCAGTCTTCTCGTCTCCAAGACATCGTAAAAGCGCATCGATCTTACTCGTGATGGCAGCCGGAGATCCTAGTGAGGTCTTCTAATCTCGTGAGCTCGAGACCCTTTGTTGACATGACCACAGCACAATGGAGTTTGTAAGTTTACATTCCTAATAACGGTGCGCCGATATTCTTCACCATCGCGTTTGCCATTTCCGCCGCCTTTCACATTTGGCAATGCCTGTAGGTCTCATCAACTCCTTCATTCATCGGTGCAGAATAATAGCCTCTGACGTTCTCTCTTGCAACAGTCGCTATATATCCTGGGGATTGATTGGATTGCATCCATTTTGTGCCATCATGTTTACTGCGGGCTACGCATTGCGAGAATACGGAGCATACAAGTACATCTATAACCCGTATGACGCAGCAGATACGAGCAGAGCGACCACACTGATAGTCTTTATCCTCAGTCAAGTCTTCATATACATATGTCCGTAAGTGAATTACCTCCAAATATAGCATCTTGTTTATCCACCGAGTGCTAGAACAAAGCTGTCGTCGTCATCTTTCAACCTAGTCCCCTTCTTGAACTAGCCAATTACCATATTCTGGGTCGACTATTCTACTACGTGCCATATTACGCGCCAATGCCTGCCAACAGAGTTCTGGCCACCTTTGGTGGTTTAATGGCGCTCGTGGAGGTCTTGAACTCGCTGGGTGTGGCTTTGGCATCCAACACGAGGGGAAGTTCGAGTACCGTAGCCTTGGGTGCTCATTTGACAGTAGCCGCCGTGAGCATTCAACTCATCGCAATTATCATTTTTGTCTCCCTCGGCGGGATTTTCTATCTTAGGCTTCAGAAAGCCAGTTTGGACGCTCGAAATGTCAATACCATGATCTTTACGCTCTTTGCGAGTATGGCTTTAATCTTCATTCGTTCCATTTATCGTCTGGTAGAGCACGCGGGCCCAAGTCAAATTGACATTTCCGACATTGATGCTCTCCGTGCTCTAAGCCCGCTTTACCGATACGAGGTCTTTTTCTACGTGTTCGAAGCAAGCGTCATGCTCATAAACTCTGCTCTGTGGAATATCTGGAACCCAGGACGCTTTATCCCTTGCAACGACCGCATCCACCTTACGCGAGAAGGAATTGAAGTGGAAGGTCCGAAGGATCCGGATACAAGGTCGGCTCTGATCAAGACGCTCAATGTATTGACATTCGGTCTCTTGTTCCAAAGGAAGAGAATGAATTATGTCAACCAGGAACTCTCGGAGTACAGGAGTCAAGATGGTATTAGTCGGAAAGATTCTGTTCAACAACCCTTTAACCAGCCAGGCTAATTGTTATATAGAAACTACACACAACTAGCGTAACAAAGGGTGTAGTCTGTATCCTGAGTAAAGAACAAAGGCACGGGTAGATGGTATCTCGTCTGCTTGTAATCATTTCTCGCTGTTAAAGTGAACGTTTATCTTAAACCGCAAAGATACTTCAAATAACTAGCCAGTATCGAATTAGTAGCATAGCAGTTGAGGGGGGTCAATGAAACATTGTAAAAAATACCCAGTGAATATATCATATTTCTGAGCTTAACATTGGATGTATTGAACGTGTTGCTATGTAGGTGCTGCCACACTTACCTTCTATCACAATACATCGTACTTGGTGTTAAGGTTTTCTTCCCCATTTCTCAACCCAGCTTCAAAGTGAGATCCCTGGTCTGAATCAATGTAGGCCATGTTGAGTATCCTGCAGTTGAAAATAACTTTTCGCACTGATACCTTCCCACAGTTTCTAATAAAATTGACATATGTGCGACAGGAACTGCCAGCATCGACAAGAAAATTAAGTAGATATCAACCGATACATTAGTCTCGCTTCAGATGATTGATGTTTATTAGCCAATCAAAGCCTCAGATTCATAGAAAGAGGGTGCTATTGCCACTATCTTTTCAGCCTACAAGTGCCCTCAAGAGACTGATGCTTGATCCGGTGTCTAAAACAGCGTCTAGAACTGTGAAAGATTTCTAGCGTCGGGGCATATGTGGACAAAATTGCAATTTAGTTGAAGTGGCCTATCAAGTAGTTTCGCCTTGTCCCGTTATTATCTGGCTATTGTCGACCGCAATTTGCGTTTTAAAGGCATATGGCTTATCAAAGCAATCGTCCCAACGTGTTTTACCCGAGGCCCAAAATGACTCGAGGACACCATTCGCAATTAGTGGCCCATATGTGCCAACCTCATAGCTCAGTTCTGTTAATTGGGTAGTTACGAAAGCACGCATTTCCGCGTTACCATGGATAGCTTCCACACCTAGTAGTATCAGTGGCCATATCATGAATCTTTTGATGTGCCGGAATAATAAAGCCTGTGTAAGAAGTTCCTGCAGATGCTGGCCATATGTGGTACAAAGTGGCCTTAAAGATGGTATTTCTAGAAGGATCGAAACGCTTTGCAATGAGTGAATGCAGAATAATTTCATGGCAATCTGGTAAGTGGTACCTATGAGTACCCACTCCTTAGTCGATAACGGCTTAGATGCAGCCCACTGTTCTGGGGAGAAATCATGGATGCGGCGGAGAATTTCATACGCTTCTTTTGAGAGATCCTCGGATTCACTCGGGTCATGTTTCCAGCCTCGCATCCGGAGGTGATTAATGTTGATGATCTTAACAACTAGTGGCAGTGGACACAGATGAAAGGGTAATATCGCGGCGCTACACTGTTCGATTATGAAATCAACAGCATCGAGATGCGATTCGGTCCATGCCAGGCTTGACACAGGGCAAGTTGTGTTTCCAAAGACTTCAACACTAGATCAAGTTAATTTTTTCGACTCTTTCAAATCCACAGCTCGAGAGGAGTACGTACAACCAGATGGTAGTGAGCATAGGCTTTAAGCTTTTTGATCGGGCTAGCTCTAAGAAGCCTCCTCGGAGCTTGATCATTTTGTTAATTCTTCGAGGTGACACCGCCAAGTAATGGTCCCGTGTTGAGCCTACAGGCGATAGAGTTCAATGTATGATTTTCATACTTTAACAGAGGATGGACTTACGTCAATCAGTAAAAGAGTCAGGGCCCCGGCGATGACACTATCGGCAGCACATTTATCCTCCATGTTAAATTCCTCGGTAAGTGAGCGGATAACATTTCCACGGTACATGTAAAATTTCTGTGCCAGTGCCTTCGGCTCATTCGATGACTCAAAGTCATACAAACCATGCTTGACTGTAGGTAATGTGGGGATGTCATCGCTTCTTGGAGAAGGGCAGGTGAAATGCGAAATAGATGAGGATTCTGCCCCAGTTGATTTATTGGGACCATATCTTGATATATGCAGGTGTTATCTATTAGACAACGTTAGTGGGCGATGTGGTATTATATCTGGAAAGCTAGAACTTGCAATACTCGACGGCCTGAATTAAGGCACCAGGTTCGATGAAAATCTCCGCCGGCAAAATCATTGCATAGTTAGATACACTACCAGTAGCTTTTTTAGTAATAGTTTTCTCAAGATCGTTATCCTTTGAAGCCTTCGAGGATTTTAATGCCTTCAAACGTTTCGGACGGAATTTGACTTTTCCAGGCTCGAGCCATCGTAATCGTGCGGGCTTCACATCGCTGTATCCAGGACAGACAATGTCGGATGCGGAACACCTCTTACATGCCGGCTTGGTGAAGTCGCAGACGAGACAGCGGTGAAGACATTCCCAGCAGTGGCGTTTCCGGCCCTCGTTAACCTCCTGCATATATCTGAAGGTAGCAAAGTATCCAGCTGGACAGCTCTAGCCTAAATCCAAATCAGGTAATTATAGTTGAGTACTACATGCGTGTAGACTTGAGGTGACGCGTGGTTGGAATTCTTAGCTTAATTCTACAAGATTCACCACTTCTAATAGGCTGCAATCTAACAAGGATAAAGTTTCTCCCGCACGTGCGATCTCCGAGCGACGACGCCGGAGATCCTGCTCTCGTAGTAATTTTAAGGCACAATGTCACACTATAGGCCAATTGAATAATTGATTTCAATGACCACCAGTGGGTGTACGGACTCACGGGATAGTACAAAAATGAACTAGTAAATATCTTTTGATATATTGAATTATTTATTTTAAAATTTGTTATATTTTTTGAATAAAGATAAAATAATCAAAATACAAATTCTGATATCAAACAATTGAAAAATGGATTTATTGAAAATATTGAAAATTGGGAAGTGTCCCGTCAGTCCATGCACCCACTAGTGATCTCAGTTTGCAAGAGCTGATGATAGGGGATGAATCTATCAATTTTGCTGCCTGGTAGAAATCATCACATCATTCTGGGACGTTGCGCTATGCTTTGTTTTTCTGCTTGTTGTTCCTCAGTTTGTTTTCTTCATCTTTCTTTCCGATCAAGGATAATCATAAAACAGTATCTGTCATTTTAGACTGAGACTACATCTCGTTTCGGTAACTCACACAGCTAGTGAGCATCGCTGATTTGGGGCATGGGATCACTAGCATTTTGGTATGAAAAGAGTGATGGTAATCAGATAATTGATAAGAACGATCAATTCCATCAAGCAGATGCGAATATTTTGGGGTTATCCTATCTTTATTGTCCTTTTTTGACGTATGAACAAGCTTCAAGGAGAGTTGTATGCAACATATATGCTTCAAAACATTCTCGTAGAAACCAAGATGAAAGTGTGGACACAAATGGTTTGATTTAGACCTATCAAATTTATGAAATCGTGATAACGATAGTGAGTGATATGACATCTCAATGATTCTTTTCCCGCAACCAAGTATCTCTCCTTCTTGTATCTCGAATTGCCGTATCTCTTCCATTATGAAAGTCTACCTCCTCGTAACCAGGAATTCTAATGCCCAACCCACCTTCTTTATCAGCACCACCACCAGCGTTACTACAGCCCTCTCCAACATCATTCTCTTCCTCCACCACCGCAGTATCCCTTGAATCATCCCCAACTAACGCCCCAAACTTCCCGCCAACTCTATTCTTCAACTCATCGAAATCACCACTCTCAATTATTTTTCCTTCTTCCATAACCACAACTCGTCCCGCCATCTTCATCATTTCAGCAGTATGACTTACGACCAGCGTGGCCATGCCTTCTCTCTTCTTCAACTTCTGCACAGTCTCTCTAATCACCTCTGCACTACCGCCATCCAATCCGCTCGTCGCTTCATCTAATATCAATAACTTAGGTTTTCTAACCAGTGCTCTCGATATAACAATTCTCTGGGCCTGTCCTCCCGATAACTCTTGCCCTCCATCTCCTACTATCGTGTTATAACTCTGTGGGAGCGACGTTATAAACTCGTGGATCCCAGCATCTTTGGCTGATGCAATAGCAGATGGAAGATTAGCACAGGAAGAAGATTGTGGGAGACCATAAATGATATTATGGAGAATAGTGGCGGGGAATAGAATGGGTGTTTGTGGGACGAATGAGATAAAAGCTCGGAGAGACGGAATGTGACAGTTGGTTATAGAAACATGATTGAATGTCAACGGCGGAGGTGTTGAAGTATCTGGTGGGTAAAGACCAATGAGCAGAGCAGCTATCGTAGATTTTCCAGAGCCGGAGGGTCCAACAAGCGCAGTTGTTGAGTTAGGACTTAGGGAAAGAGAAAAGGATGATATCGTCCGTGTTTCAGGACGCGCAGGATACGTGAATGAGAGGCGATTGAATTTGATTGGAAAAATTGTCGAAAGCCGTTCAGTTCCTTTATTTTCGTGGGAGGAAGATGAATCGAGATTGGCCAACTCAAGCATATGTGTAGCTGTAACGCGAGAAGAGTTGATCTGTGGTATCATGGCCAGCATATTCGTACTATTGGAAATACCGAATAGTAGAAGATTGACAGTCTGTAATGCAGTCGCGATACTAATCTCTCTTTTGGTAATGAGAACTGTGGCATAATAAAAGATAGTTGCAGTGATGAAAAATGACATTGCATCTGTCAGTCCCCAAAGTAGCCCCGAGTAGTTTGCTCGTATTTGTCCAACTTTATAAAGCTCTTCTGTAGCTTTGGTGTGCTTCTTCTCGAAATAATTTTCCAGGGTAAAAGCCCGAACCACTTTGATGTTGGAGAAAGTCTCTGAAAATATGCCTGTGGTCATTTCGGAAGCGTAGTTGCATTTGTTCTCCCATTTTCCACTCACGCGATTGAACGTTTTGGTGACAGCGTATATAACTGGGCCAGTTGCCATTGAGACTAATGTGAGTTTCCATGTATTCACAAAAGCCCATATAATTGATATCAATAGCATAAAGAATGCTGTAAAAACGATACCAGCAAAGCGACCAACGAGGTTACGCATTTCCTCAGAGTTCCTATCCAAAACTTCATTCAACCGACCAGGAGAATTTCTGGATTCCTCAAACCATGACTTAGGTTGTGCGAGAATTCTTTTTAATGCTTCTACTCGTAAAGCACTCACCCAAGCTTGTCCGGCACGTTCTAGAGCATAATGCGAAAAAAAGCATGCTACGCCATCAATGATAGCGATTCCGAGTAAGATAAGTGACCATTTTAAAGCATTCGAGTTTCGGTTTTCCTTTTGGTAAAAAGTGTCGAGAAGTTTGGTATATATTATGGCAAATGCTGGGGTTGATACTGCCACAATGAATGCTGCAGCGAATGCACCCAAGAGGATTATGCGCTCCTTTCTGTTCAGCATAGGCCAAACTGTCTTCAATATTTTAGTTAAAGTATCGGGTTTGAGATGACCCATTTCGTTCTTCTGTTTGGAATCACCCGCATTCTTGGCGGAGTCATCTGAGTATTCCAGCAAGGAATCGATAGGCGCAACTTTAGAGTCTCGATTCGTCTTGGTTGACACCAAGCTAAGATGGCTTTGAATCAGAGATTTTCTATCAAAACTCGATTCGCCTGAGAGATGTTCTGGGATCGACCGGAATCCTGCGTCTTGATACCTTGGTGGCACAATAAAACGTATAGACTGCCTACTATCTGACGCTTGACGTCTCTGGAACTGTGAGCCAGGTCTTTGCAAACTATCAATTCTTGAACGTGAACTGTCAATTCCTGATGTCCAAATATTGTTTGATTGTAGGTCATTCGCATAGGCTATTGAAGCATATCCAAGAGACAATCGTCTATTTGACATATCCAAAGACCTACGATTTGCTGCATTTGGGCCATAAAGTGTAGACTGTGTGGAAAAACGAGGTGTCAGTTCTTGGACAAATTCTTCAAAGCTTCCAGTCAATGGTCTTCCTGGGTCCGAGTTTCTTCTAATGTTAGGAAGGTCTATCGATTCTTCCACAAGCAATTCCGGGAGCGGCGAGAATGTCGCAAAAGTACCGTTAGCCTTCGCCGAAAGCTTTCTACGATAACCTTCCTGAACAACCCTACTTTCTTCCATAACGTAAACATAGTCATCATCCGATATCTGTGAGATATCATGAGTCACAATGATTGTCGTCTTTCCTTTCCTCCATTTTCGAATACTATCCATGATTTTGATTCGGTTAGTAAGATCAAGGGCGCTGGTCCCTTCGTCGAGAATCAAGATTGGTGCATCTCGTAATCTAGCTCGAGCCAATGCAACACGCTGTTTCTGTCCACCACTTAGTTGTCTCTCCTTAGAACCGATCAGAGTATCAAGTCCATCAGGGAGATCAGCAATTACTTGTTCTAAACTGGCTGCAGAACAGGCATCCATGATATCAACTTCACTAGTTATTCCTTCCTTGCCGAACTCTATGTTCTTCCTAACAGTCTCGTTGAATACCACACTCTGCTGCAGTACGAGAGTAATGTTGCGTCTCAGCCAATCTGTGTCGAGATTTTTTATAGGTTGACCATCTATCAAGATACTCCCCTCTTGTGGTTCGTAGAATTTGAGCAATAAGTTTCCCAATGTACTCTTCCCAGAACCACTTTTACCAACTACAAAAGTAGTTTCGCCAGCAGGAAAGAAGAATGTTGTTTTTAGAAGAGCGTTATGTTGTCGATTGGAAGGATATGCAAATGTAACCTGATATTAATTAGTTTCATGGTCTACTGTAGCCATGTTTACTTACATCATTGACTTCTATATCACCACTGCAGGTTTTAGGTATCATTAATCCCTCTGCATGTTGTGCAATCCCTCCTCTATCCACTTGATTCATGATAGACTTGAGAGTTGCTCCAGCGGACATTCCTTTTGCCAAGACAAGCCATTGTGGTAAAACGACTTCTATAGCCATCATTCCAGTCAGACAAGCATAAAACGTTGTGAGAACCTTTCCAGCATCTAGTCCATGATCGACTAAAGTGAGACCATACCCAAAGCCTTGAACAAAGATAGCCACCATGACAAACTTCGTAATCCCAAATTGAAATGCGTTTGACCTGGCTTGGATCATGTAATGAATTGTTGATCTTTTAATCGTTAATAAATATTGCCAAACTTCCTGGTCCTGTCCATTGAATGCCTTGACAGTATCGATAGCTGTAATGGCAGTATTTGTGAATTTCGAAGCTTGCGATAACTCTCTTTTCTGAGCTTCGATTGCAGGGCCCATCTTTCTAGAGATCAGATAAAGTATTCCGCCGGCGACTGGAAATGTCACTATAATGACAAGAGTCAGATTCCAAGAGTAAAAGAAAGCAGTCCCAAGAGCTGCACATGCGCTTGCAGTCTCAAACAGAAGGAACCCAAGAGGCTGGGATGTGGATAATTGAAGCTCTCGAATTTGGCTATTGTTCTTTTAGCATTGCTTAAAATCGACGATGAATATATTCCACATACGTTTCAATTCGAATCAATAATGATCCGATGCCATCTTTACGCAGATCAAACCATTCCAGGTCCTTCTCTAACATGCCGGCAAACATTTTTTCGCGCACGCTTCTAGCCTGGAGCTCTCCAAACACCATCCACGAGCACAGAAATAGGCCTTCGAACAACCATACCGCGCCTCCGAGAATAGTTATAGCTATACACCATTTCGAGACTTGTTGTAAAGTCTCTTGTGCTGTGAGAACACCAGCCCCAAAGTCTGTAAGAGTACCAAAGATATTGCCGTAAAATATTGCCGATATAGGTTTGAGAATGCCGCTAATAATTGCAAATATTATACATGGAACTATGTTAGATATGTGGTTTTTGGTCGTGAATGAGAATAGGGACCTGAAAGATGATTTAATTTCTTCGTCGGCATGATAGTCATCGATATTTCGCAATTCAATTGACGAATTTTCGTCATCATCTGGCAGTCGAATGCGTGATGTAGAATGGCTATGCTTTTTGTGACTCTTCGAGCCTTTACCTTTCAATATTGTCATTGAAACAGAATTTGCGTCCGACAAATGGTGTTGAAAACATCGGAGAGATTTGTGCGGAATGGACAGAAGACATCAATCAATCACCATGGTTCAGAGCTCTAAAATAGTAATCAGACCTACATCACTTCGAGTCGAGAAATAATCGTGATGTTTCCCCTTAGTATTGTTCGTTAAGCGAGGTGTGAAGAACAATATGATCATTATGGAAAAAAGACAATCTTTGAGAAGAACATTGTTCTAGAAGTGTTTACTAATCCTCTTCCAGAATTCCAAGAGACTAGAGATCTGGGCGTCGAATGTTAATAAGTATATCAATGATACCCACCATAATAATGACGTAGTAGCATCTTGCAAGATGGACAAATGTAAAGCAATTTGAACTTCCAAAGCTTTGCTCTAGCAGCAGCGAATTTCTTTTATAACAAAGCGACAAAAGAACTTCCAAAACAGGAAAGGTTATTGCATCGCGATAGCGTATCATTGCTGGAAATGTCAGATGGTCCGGAATTGTTCAACAAGTCTCAAGTGTTTGGCCATTGAAGTCACTTTAAAAGATTTGAACAATGACCGAGGTGGTCTTTCAGAATCGAATCTTGCTAATGTATCTCCGTTTGAGTGGGCGAATTGATCCTCTCCATTGCGTGTATAGGCGCTTTGCAGACCAGACAGACATGCAGTGACACGATTGGCATAGAATGTGTACCTAGTCAACCGCAGAATTCTGAGCGATTATCCTTCGAACTCAGTTTTAGCATCTTTAGCTCACCCTTTTCCTTTGGGTACCTCTATACTAGACTCACGGAGGACTTTGACAAGTTTCTTGTATCTGCACATATAATTGGAGTATAGCTAATGTGACCGTCTGGTTTGTTCGAAGCTCCGCGATTGAATAACAAATGCAGCATCGGCGAATAAATTTACTGCTGAATGGAGATGCTAAGGTTTCCGACTCCGCTTTCTTTGCCCCAGTTTCTTGAATACACGTTACAGCTTTGACTGAAACATATTTCTGGGCTCGATAGGAAACAATCCTTTGTGACCAACTCGAGCTAATGAAGTGTGGATTGTGAAGGGGACTAGGCTGATTCTTGCGCTACACGGTTTGATAACTCTGACCCTCGTGGTAGGTCTATCGACTTGATTGTCTACAATCTAGAAGCTTTGAAAGCAAGTTTGAAAATGAAGTTTGTAATAACGTAGATCGGCCCGAGCGGTTCGTTAGAGAACAATTATTATCACTCCCCAGGGTCTAATTTTACGCATTCTGCGCTGTAAAATGTATTTCTCGTAGGGAATTTAAAGAGTTGACGAGGCTGGCTGCAAGGACCCGAGAACGTTAGTCAAAGTCACGAGATCAACTAGCAGCCGAGGCTTAATACACGCACATGCACATCATGCACACTTCACTTCAGCTATCAATTTGATCCTTATCTATTCCTTCCAATACCTGGTACTTACCATCAAATCTTATCATAGTTTCATGCATATGATTTTAATTTCAAGCAACAAGTCTCCTTCCATCCGGTCTCTCATCATATCTCTTTATGGGAACGCCATCGATCACTTTCTTAGAGATGAAATTTCTAGCTTGCGTGGAACTCACACTTTGATACATCAAACCGACGTGAGGAATTCAAGTGCTAGCGAAGGTTGTATGGCTTGCGGTACATTTATTTCAATATCCTATCAGTACAATTCTTTTACGCTAAAGTTATGCACTCGTATAAATGAATTGCAGAATGAGTTCTTCACGTTTACTTTTCAGCCTAAAACCCCCCATTCTCGCAGAAGTATGGCACCTTGGCAAGTGATATTGGTGTCAATCAACCATGTTCAAGTTGCGATACAGATATGCCAAGAAGTTAAATATGGTAGCAGCCGGTCAGGGGTTTAAATCAACGACCTGCCAAATCTAACAGTTTATGATCAAGAAGAGGTTCCCCGAGCTCCCCTGCGAAGGAGACTCGAAATAAACCATGAAGGCTTAATCCCCCGCATTATCTATTGGACAGGCATCATCAATGCAGTAGCAAGTTTAATTGACTTCCTAAGATTCAAGCGAAACCATAGGTTGTACAAAGGCTCGTCAGGGGATACGATCGGGTGATGATACTGAAGAAGAAATTGATCAGCTAGCCCCTCGTTACATTGAGGTACAAGCAATGCTATCATGATTGAAGAATACCATGCGCGAGTACTTCATCGGTCGAAACTTCCGTTGAAATCTACAATCGAATGTTTTTCTGCATGGTAAAAAAAAATGGCACGTGTAACAATGATGCTACCACGCGAGCCACACCAATATGATTGTTATTTTTGGATGATATATTATCTACCTGCTACCATCCTTTTACTTATGTTTCTTCTCTTGCTACGTTTTCGCACCTTGATTATTGATCATGTCGAGGTTTGAATATTCACAGGTCCCGGCCGACGAAAAGTCGGAGAATAAGCGACCAGAAACTCCTCGCAAAAGGTCACTAGCAAGTGCAATATTCTTGACATTAGCTGGATTCGTTTTGTTTACTGCGTTTACTGCATTGGTTGTGGGACTTGCAAAGATTGAAGACGTTCAGCCAACCAACGAGTCTTCCAATGACAATTCTGGATGGGCAAACAATCATGAACACGAAACTCGAGCAACCGGTGACCCATATCTCATTGGAGTCGGCAAGGCTGATATCACTGGGTAAGACTCAAGCTCGGTCCCTACATCCTCCTGCTATACTGATCTTATTCAATAGTCCTGTTGTTGAAATAAACTTTATGGGCTATGCTAGTCTCCCACAAGTCGGAACAGGGCTGCGTCAACGCATTTACTCCCGAGCCTTTATAGTCGGTGATGTAAAGACCCCTGCCAACAGATTTGTCTACCTAGTTCTTGACACAGCATCTGGGGATACTGCAATCAGATATGGAATACTTCAAGGATTAGCTGCCTTGGGACCAGCATATGCAATCTATGGGCAAAACAATGTTGCCGTTACCGGAACACATCAACATTCTGGTCCTGGAGCGTACTACAATTATCTTTTACCACAAATTACTTCATTGGGTTTCGATAAGCAAAGCTACCAAGCAATTGTTGATGGCGCAGTTCTCTCAGTTAAAAGAGCCCATGATTCGCTCACTACTGGGTATCTAACCGCTGGAGATACAAACATCACAGATGCAAATATCAACCGTAGTCTTTACGCATATCTTGCCAACCCTGCAGCGGAAAGGGCATTATATACGGATAATGTTGACAAGACATTATCTATGCTTCGATTCCAGCGGGCTTCAGATGGATTGAATATTGGTGTTTTGACATGGTTCAGTGTTCACGGTACTTCCATGTTAGAAAACAACACACATGTTACTGGTAAGTTATTCAGAGATTCCCTATAAGAGATACGTCTTCTGACTAAGCACTTTAATTCAGGTGACAATAAAGGAGTGGCAGCTTATCTATTCGAGAAAGCGGCCTTGAAAGACCCTAAAGCCGCCCCAGGTTTCGTCGCTGGTTTCTCACAATCAAGTGTTGGAGACACCTCACCAAATGTTCTTGGCGCCTGGTGTGACGATGGATCTGGTCAACAATGTACCCTAGAGAACAGTACTTGTGCCGGTATCTCCGAAACATGTCATGGTAGAGGCCCTGCTTTCCAAGCATTGGATTTGGGAACTCAGAGTTGTTATATCATTGGACAGAGACAATATAATGGAGCTCAAGCTCTTTATGTAAGTCTTCTCCCCCTTTTGTCGAGAATAATTCGATCAAGTTCTGATCCTTATAGAACACATTGGATTCGGTCGGTACCCCTATCGTCGGAGGAAGTGTCAAATCATTCCATTTCTTCCAAGATATGCAATACTATGACTTCCCTCTCGCAAATGGATCGATTGTCCAAACATGTCCTGCAGCCTTAGGATATTCATTTGCAGCTGGTACAACCGATGGACCAGGAGCCTTTGACTTTGTACAAAATGATCCAGGTGCGCCCTCAAATCCTCTTTGGAGTCTGGTATCTGGTCTTCTCCGAGTGCCAACTGCTCAACAGGTATGTTTCTGGTCCTATTGGGTGTTGATTATTGAAGACCTAGTGTTAATCGTCTCCAGGTCGCTTGCCAATATCCCAAGCCTGTTCTTCTAGATGTGGGAGAGATGTCAAGTCCTTATGCTTGGTCTCCCAATATCGGTAAGTTGTTTCTCAACTGTTTTCTAATCATTTATCTCACATCATCATTTCACATCATCTTCTCACCCTATCCCCCTAACATCATCAAACTTATCTCACCTCGCTAACTCGCTCAAGTCGACGTACAACTCCTTCGCGTCGGACAACTAATAATGATCATCTCCCCCTCCGAAGCAACCACCATGTCCGGCCGACGCTGGAAATCCGCCATCTCGGCCGCAGCCGTATCTTCCAAAATAACTACCGCCACTCCCAAAGTAGTTCTCGGCGGTCCCGCAAACACATACGCCCACTACCTCGCCACCCCCGAAGAATATTCCATCCAACGCTACGAAGGTGCTTCGACTTTATTTGGCCAACATGAACTAGATGCTTACATCCATCTCACCACATCCGCCATTGGATATCTCTCCGCTACCAATACCAGTCAGCCTGCCCCGGGACCCAGTCCACCAAATAATGCCAACTCGAGTTTAAGTTTTATAACCGGGGTAGCATACGATAGTGGATCATTTGGCAGCGTATCCGTACAGCCAGCAGCATCCTACAAGATCGGATCTGTAGTAAACACGACATTTGTGGGAGCTAATCCTCGCAATAACTTGAGATTGGAAGGCACGTTTACGGCGGTTGAACAATTGGGCTCGAATGGGAATTGGACAACGGTGAGAGATGATAAGGATTGGTATTTGGTGTATACGTGGACGAGGGTTAATGGCTTGACGGGTACTAGTAGTGTGGTTGTGAGTTGGGAGACGGGAACTGGAGATGGAACAACGGCGGGTACCTATAGGGTTAGGTATAATGGGGATTCAAAGAATATTTTGGGCACGATTAGTCCCTTCACGGCGGTTAGTAATAGTTTTACCTTGAGTTGAGAGGGTTTTCAGGGGAAAGGTATTGTTGCGGGGGGCATTTGGTGTGGTTGAACGAAATGTGAGATGACACGGTATGACAAATGAGGAAATAAACTTTTTGTATTCACTACTTTGAATTTATACTTCTACTATTTTATCATCATCCGAATCTGATGCAGGGTCCTCTGCATCTTGTGATGCCCAACTTCCTGCGATACCATTTGTCTGCGATGAAAATGGTTTTGGCGAGGAAGAAGGTTTGTCAGATCTTCGGGCCAAAGTCTTCATGCCTGCGTCCACTTTCTCCTCTCCTTCCTCATCTCGCATCAATACCTGTACCAGTCTCTCACAGGCCTCTCTCATTTCATCGTGATCAACCTTCAAATGCAATTCCCTTATGATTGGGTAAACCTTGATCTCCCTCATAATATCTCTTCCTTCTCTTGTGGTTGTGAGCAACATCAATGTTTCCACGTGTGTCTGCATGATAACGGGATCACTATCCCTCTCCTTATCTGGTGGTAATAATTGTAGATCTGGTAACATTGCCATGGTTTCCTCTTCATCGAATTCCTCATTTCCCATAATAGGTAGCAGTAAATATGGTAAGATATTGATCTCATCCTCTGACAGGAATGAAGGATGTGATTCGATCTCGAACGCAACATTCTTTATCGTCGATGCGACTCCTTTTCGGCGAATGTCTGATTTGTGTTCGGTAAAAACCGTCATTTTTGTGAGAGGTACAACCCCATCGTATTCTTGTTTTGTCAGGAAGTATTTTCGTCCTTCTTCGTGCTTGGCTAGATCTGCAAACAAATATGCGAGGTAGTCATAATCAGCCTCTTTATTGTATGTTCCATCTGCACCCTTCACGAAGAGATCCATCAGTTGATCGATAGCGCGATTATTCGAGGTTAATTCTTTCGGCGCAGGACGTTCAAGAAATATGATCTCCTTCAAGTCATCCCATTTCGCAAGATTTGCGAATAGCATTGCAATGAGATTTGCATTTGGTTCTGCGGGGTTCTAGGAGTGAAGAGGTATCAGATATTGCCGGTTCAAACATCAAGAAAGGAGATTGACATACTGTCAATTTGTTAAATAAAGTATTGATGAACTCTTTATCACTCGCAAGAAATTCCAAAACTTCCTTGTCTGTCGACAGATTTATGAGAATTGTCATTGCATCCTTGGCTATTTGCTGTATAGGCGTTAGTTGCGCCTCTATCAACGATTATATTTGCGAGGTTTCAGTCGTACTTTGTAGTCGCGGACCAGCAATTTTAAGTCCTTCACTGGTAGAAGCTCATTTGTCTTGAATATTGAAGGTTGCGATAATGAATATGGAATCAGATTCTCGACAGCTATTATGGCGCAAATCAGTCAAAGTTTGAGCGGGCGGTTCAAATATCCTAAATTACCAATCGTCCGGACCTGGGTGTTTCCATGCGATATAAAATCGACGAGCTTCAGTAATAGTTAGCATGATTCAAAAGAATGTAATAAGAGCTGAAGTTCTACCTCTTCTAATTCAGTCGGCATATTGATAATTTTTCGAATGTTTTGAGTGATGTCTATGACGAACTGCTTCAAAAATATTTTAGAGGGGTAAAATGCAAGCCTTCTTTTCTGCCGTTGTGTTGGGGTCACCGCTTTCTTATCTCGATTCTCTTTACACTCGAGTGATACACTCACTACTGGTGAGCTCTACTAGTATGATTGATACATTGTCTTCGATCCTGAAATGAGTTTGTGGTTCGTAGTGTCAAATGAATCGATTGTATTATTTCCTAACTTTCACAGTTTCTTTTCAATTATATAATATCGATACATATTTCTGAAATTGTCACCTAGTCGAAATAGTGTCTGATATTTTTCATTGTCATTGATCCACGATGATCTCCTTATTGTCGCACAATAATAAACTCATGACGAAAAACATATTTCGGCCATCAACTACCACTACTAGAGAACTAATGAACTAACGAACTATTTTCTTCATCTATCCTCATCTGACCAACAGTTTTAATCCCCTTTAAACACAATTGATCCCTAACAAAGTCTTGTTCACATTCGTACAAGTCCATGTTGCAGTTTTCTTGCTCGGCGTGGTGATATTGATGTTTTGAGCTGCGATGTTTATGCATGACTTATCACTCGTTAGTCTAGAATCACTGAGAAGAGGGACATAATCCTTGACATAGGATTATGTGACTTGGGATAAAAGGAATATACTCACAGAAGCACTACTGCACACCAAAGTTCCGACCTTAGGGTCATGTTTTGTGCTCGAGACACCCACAAAGTTTTTGAATACTACATCTTGTATTGTCATTTTCGTCTGGTAGAATCATCAGCTAGTTGTCCTTGTAGTTCTTGTGAGATACAAAGAGGGTGGTGAAGTAAAGTACTCACAGGGTAAGCGTTGCAATTTGCAGTAGTTTGCATATAGCAAGAAGTGAGTTCAATCGAGTCTACCATTTTCCAATTAGTAAAGATGATAACTCAATCTTTGATAGGATGATATGAAACCTACAATCAACACTAGAAACCGTCATCTTGTCATACGTAATATTTCTCACCACGCCATTGCCTCCACCTGCTCCATAAGGTAGACTTCCATCTGAATTCGGTACGGCGCCTGCCCAGACCTTAATTCTCGCCGCATCACTGGCTTTGCTTAGTGTATTGTTGTAAATGTAGATATCTTCGACGATATCAGTAACTCCAACGTATTGTCCTAAACTGCCAACGGATATGCCATGAGAACCTGTACACGCAAGATTTTGGACGATAATGGAACTGCTGTTAGGTTTGAAGGATACGCAGTCGTCGGTATTAAGGATGGTTGAGTTTTGAATTGTGATATGGGAAGAGAGGTAAGTGTCCCAGCCATCTTTGAGCACTCGTTAGTTTAATGTATCCATCAAAAATTAATGAGCGTCGGCAAATAATAGGGGAAACCAACCAGAATTCTTAACCGGATTAGAATTACTTGTCGCTGCCGTCAAAGTCATTCCACTAACGACCACATCCTGACTGCCCGTGATGAGATTAAACCAATTCGGTGGACTCTTCATCTTCAACCCACTCATACCTCCTCCTGTCACTCCATTCATGACAAACAATATTGGTCGCGCAAGAGTGCTATCTTTTGCAAAGGCATCCCACCATGGTTGCCCATTCCCATCAATAGTTCCTCCTCCATACCAATTGATGTCATTTCCACTCCATTGCCAAAAGGCACTGCTGTTTTGAAAAGTATACTTGAAACTATTGGCTGTCCAATAGGTTATGTTGGAGGAGAATTGAATGGTGCCTGAGATGTTGAAGTCAATAGATTGAAGAGATTTAAGATTCAAGGCGGTGGAGATTGTGTAGAGAGTTTCATTCAGTTGGACAACTCCACCATTGTTGCAGGATTTGATGGCGGCAAGTAAAGCGGGAGAATCATCGCGGCCAGAGCCCAAGGAGGAGACATGGCAAGTGCGATTTCGGGGGGTAGAAAGCGCGGTACTTGCCAAGTGAGCCTTGGCAGGTTGGATGGGTGCAACAATGATCTCTGGGCGTGAAAGAGTTGAAGATACGGTCTCAGCACAGGAAGAAAGATTAGGAAATGAGGAGAGCAAAAGAATAGAGAGAATATTGTAGGAATGGGAATTGAGATGCATTTTTGCGTATGTTCAATTTTCGCAGATATGAGAAGAGTACGGACGAAATACAACGAGAAAATGGGAAAGGGGAAAGCTAGAGATCTCTTTCATAAATCTCAAGTACCTACCTCTTAGACATACCCTGGGGAGGAGAAGGCATGCATTTCGGACACCAAATCCACCGAGAGAGGAGTCATGATGTCCATGTCGGCCATTGCTATAGCATGAACAAGTAGATCTACCACCTTTTAATCTAAGCTCCACCTGAGAGGAGAAGTTAATTATAACAGCCTAGATTGAAGGTTGCCAAAGCATACAGGCTAATATTGAAGGAAAACAGTTCTCGAAGCGCCAAGCAATGAACACGCTTGTCAATAACGATATTTTCTGCTATTTCGCTTGAGAACTGAGGGACCACATTGGAATCTGGGGAATTTCTTGGTGCCTCCAATATCGAAAAGAGTGATGTCAAAATGCTGGTAGAAATTTGAGAAATTGTCTGACCACAAACTGTTTGTTGTAAGATTGATCACCGGTGGATGAAGTTTACAGACTTGAACCGTCACGGGAACTAATGCACGCTCCAGCCGTCAGTTGCTACGCTAATTTGCAGTGGGGAGAATTAAGATCCACCAATTATATTACTTTCCATTCAATCCATGTGGCCGCATGCATGATACATTGATACTAGAATGCAAGCACTTCAAATCAACATGACTTTATTTAAAACTACATTCTCACGCCTTAAAGTTGAGCCTCATCGATGATCTTGAAGTTACTTCCCCATACTCCGAGTTCATCATGACCAAACCCAACACCTACACCAACCCTATTCTTCCGGGAAGTCATCCCGACCCCTCCATCATCCGCTCTGGCGATAATTACTTCCTCATCACATCTTCCTTTGAGTATTTTCCCGGGATACCCATATACCACAGCACTGATTTGATATCATGGAAACTCATATCCCATGCCTTGACCCGTCGTTCCCAGCTTGATATTCGCACCCCTGAACCTGGAGGTGGAATATGGGCCCCGACTATTAGGGAGCATGAAGGTTGGTTTTATATTACAGCAGCGTGTTTTGATAGGTATAGACCGCAAGAAGATCAGAGAGTTTGGCCAAGAGGTTTTTATGTTAAGTGTAAAGCGGAAGGTGTTTTTGGGGGTGAGTGGAGCGAACCAATTTGGTTTGATGAAGTGGGGTTTGATCAAGATGTGAGTGTTCACGTTGAGCTTAGATATTAGTTAATGTCACTCGGATGGAAAAGTATGATGATTTAGACGCTAACAATCATTGAAGCTGTTTTTTGACGATGACGGAAAAGTCTATTTATCAACCACCAGACGCAAGCATGAGCGTACAATTGAAAAACCCCTCAAAGATTTTGCCATCCATATCACTACTATTGATATTTCCACTGGGGTTTCTACATCTGTTCCCCGGGTGATTCGCTCTTCCCCGTCGGGTATTGCAGAAGGATCCCATATTTTCAAGAGAGGGAAGTTCTACTATCTATTTACTGCTGAAGGCGGCACCGAATCAGGACATTGTGAGTGGGTATCACGATCATCAACTGGACCTTTCGGACCATGGGAAATTATCAATGCTCCATTATGGAAAATCGGAGTTGAAGGTGATGAAGTGGTTAACACAGGTCATATTGATATTGTTGAGGACAAAGAAGGAAACTGGTGGGCAGTTCTGCTTGCATGTCGGCCTATAATACTAGCTGATGGAGTCAAATCTTCAGTTTTTGGTAAGATGAGAGATCTAACTGTCTACACTTATATTAGCTAATCTAGAAATCTAGGAAGAGAGACTTTTCTCGTACCTATGACGTGGGAGGATGACTGGCCTGTTGTAAACGAAGGCAAGAAAATTACCCTTCAAGGCGAGGGTTCGGGATTATATCAGATACAGCAACCCGCCAAGTGGCGTGATGAATTTACGAGTCCAAAGTTACAACTTGGGTGGTATCGAAAAAGTAAGTTCACTTCGTCTGTGCCACTCGATGCTTGAATGCCTATTCTCAATCGAACATGCTAATTATTACTCTAGATACTCCTCAAAAACAAGATTTCGAGATAACGACCAATCCATCTAGCTTACGATTATTTGGAAGTCCATACACACTCGGCAGTCCAGCTTGCCCTACTGTCTTCCTCCGCAAACAAACATCTCGCATGGGAGTTTGGTCTACTCGACTCTCCTTCAATCCTACGTCTGCCCATATGGAAGCAGGGACTGTAGTATACTGGAACCATTTGACTTACGCCCACATCGGAATCAAAGGCAGTCCACAAGAATCCCGCAAACAAGTAATCACTCAAATCCTCATTAACGGTCAAGCCAAAGGTCACAGCATCAAAGAGCTAAAAACCAAAGGCGATGTAACGCTGTACATCTGGTGTACAGACGAAGGATACAAATTAGGCTTTAAACCGTGCGATGAACCCAACGAAAAAGCCATACAATGGATGGGCGAAACAATAGTTGAGGAAATAACGGCCGATCCGCCCATAGGCGCTGCATTTACAGGAATGATGCTCGGAGTCTACGCGACTGGGAATGGGGATTCGGGTACCGTACCTGCAGATTTCAGCTTCGTGGAGTTTGATACCCTGTTCAAGCCTGATCCTCCGATTGACGGGGACAAATGTGCTCTAGAGTATTTAATTGCGGACAAGTGAGGATTGAGCTTAAACGGTAATATAGGGATCAAGATTAGCTCAAACGAGAAACAAAAGCCGCAGTCCTTAGTAAATCTCGTGAATCTCGATAGGAATAAACAATTTAAATGCCCTGCCTCATGTTTAAGCAAAATACATACCCATATCTTTGGTACCAAGAAACTTGCTAGAAACTTCTCGATTGAACGTCAAGCCATTAAGAGATCCTAATTATGAATGCATAACAATATGATGTAAGCGATACTCAGAGGTCGAACAGTACCGATTAGATCTTGCGAGGGATCACAGGGCCAAAAATGCATTTCACATTACTACTCTCCCTTTCTGCAACAGGCCATGTATTTTCCAGATATTATGTGATCTTGTGGCTCAGCAACAATTTAGGAATCAGCGGGAAAAAGTGTCTTTACGGGATTCATAAGAAATACTCTACACCCCCAAATCTAATCTCATGTGCGAGAACTCTAAAGCAATATGCAGTCTTTCACGAATCCATACAACATTGAATATTACACAAAAGCGTAAAAAATTACTAGAGACAAAAAATTTCAATTAAATGCATAAATACATAACATCATCTCATATTAACTAATTCCTCATCAGATGTAGGTAAGTGAGTAGGTACAAGCCAGTCATACCACATGAGCTCCATCCATATAACCCATATACCCATCAACCAATGGGCACCTCATTCAAAATCTCCCTAGCATCTCCAAATCTAAACCTTCTCATGCATAACGACATGTTCATTTTCCACGCCCGCAATATCCGCGCCTTCAGTCTCAACATGCTGAACGTACGCGTGATGGGTATCCTCAACTCCCAGCTGTGCTCCTCCTTTTTCAATATGGTTGACGCCGCCAAAGAGCACGTCCATCTCTTCCAACATGATGTTTCGGGTTTCCGGCACCACGAAGATGACGAAGACGGCGAGGAGACAGTTGATACCGCCGAAGAAGAAGAATGTGTAACTAAAAGAAGGGATGTTAGTTATCGATACGAAGACAAAAGGAAGTAAAGGGGGAAGAAACTTACAAACTGCACTTGGCCAGAAAAACGGGGAAGAATTGATTGAAAATCAAATTCGACACGTTTTGCCATTGACTGCACATACCCACGGCCTGGGCTCTGACATTCATACTGAAGATTTCGGAGGTCCAAATCCAAGTTGTGGCTCCCCAAGTGGGTTTGTAGAAGAAGATGAACAAGAAAAGGAGGAATGTGAGTGCGATTCCGACGGGTTGCTCTTTCGTGAGAGTTTTCGTTGTTCCGCTCAAATAGTATGAATCTGGTGTCGCGATACCGACGGCGGCAAAAGCGATCATGCAAAGAGCCATTCCGAATCCTCCGACGATGAAAAGGAATTTACGTCCATAGCGATCGACGGTCCAGACGGCGTTGAGAGTGAAGATAATACCACAGGTTCCGTTGATAGCGTTGATAAGATTGATAGTTTCGGCATCTTTGTAGATTCCCTTGTAGATAGCCGAGGAGTAACTGTTGAGACTACCCTGGCCAGTAAGTTGTTGTCCAGCATTGATGATGAAAGCAATCCACATTCTCTTGCGGACGGACTTATCCATCCACAAAGCCTTGTAAGAGCTGGTAGAAGTTTGTTCCTTTTCGTATTCGAGCGCTTCTCTGATTTGGAGGAGTTCATCTTCGACTTCTTGTTCAGTGTCGCGGACTTGGAGAAGGGCATGACGAGCTCCTTCGACATTTCCGTGAGAAATGTACCAACGAGGAGTTTCGGGGATGAAGGGGAGGAGGATACAGATGAGGATTGGAACCATCATTTGGAAAATGACAATTGTTTTCCAATCCCAATCTCCGAGCGCAGCGGTGTGTTTTCCGGTAGCGAAGGCAATCCAATAGGCGATGAACGAACCGACTGAGTAGAACAATTGCCAGAAACCCATGATTTTACCACGGATCTCGGGTGGTGCAAGTTCACCAATGTAAACTGGTCCGGCGGCTATACTATTGTTAGATCTAATTGCGTAAAGCACTCTGATTGATACATACTCAAAGCAATTCCCTGTCCAAGACCAATGATGACACGACCTCCGATGAAGGCATTCAAGTTTCCTCGTGGTGCAAAACATTGGACGAATGTAGCAATGATAGTTAAGAAGCAACCGATTCCCATTCCCCATCTTCGTCCGAGTCTATCGGCCTAAGTCATATTAGCATACGAATGCTTCATTAAATGATGGATAGTCCACATACAATTGGTCCACCAAAGAAGAATCCAGACACGATACCACCGATATTATAAGATGTATTGACGAGACCGAGCGTATATGTACTCTGGAGAATATTAGCATCTAATCACTACTTGGTTGGATGATTGGGTCACTCACGGGATTATCGAAGTATGCAACCCAATGTTTGGAGTTTTGACAAGCATTGAAAACGGAAGCATCATAACCGTACAACACCATACATGCGGCTGCCACCATAGAAATGTACCTAAAGAAAAATTAGAATTCTGTTCAACTGTTTAAAGTTTTCAAATGATACTAACCAATTGTACCATCTCTTATTAGTGGTGTTGAACATCTTGAATTTGTTCTCCTATTCACAACGCTGATTGACTTTTCTTGTGATAGACAACGGACACAATTGAAGTGAATTCCTCCTCAGTCAATTGACTTCTTCTGCAATTGATAGCAAGAAAGAAGTTATAAAGGTACAATGAATGAGATAGAACTGACAAGCAAGTGTAACCTCAATCAAGGGGCTCGAATTGTATATATACCACTTATCATTCTTCCCCATGACACTTTGATAGCTATAACATGGTCTACTGCGCCGTACGATCTTTTACACCGTTCCCAAGGGTTTACTTCCACACGGAAATGATTGAAGTAATAATTGCACCAATCCGCACTCATCATTTTTAGTTATTTAGTTGTGGCGTTCCAATAGCGATACTCGCCTCGCATTAATTGATATTAATCCTGGAGTAATCCTGGAGTAATCCTATAGCAATCCCAGCAATCCTGGAGTAATCCTGGAGAAATTGCCTGCACTTGTGGGGGACTTTTTCCATATCCGTGGGGAAATTCCCCCAGATAAGAACTCGCCGAACTTTGTTGGGGTCATTGGGGTAAACCTCCGCTGGTGCGCGAGTAAGCATACATGGGGGTACGAAACATGCTGGTACAGTATTTCCAACACTTCGTATTGATGAATCAAATCAAAAGATGTCGAGAAAATCTGGAGCTTCCAATATGCGGGGAAGTACAAAAGCAATATTTACAATGCGAACTATCTTTTGGTAAAAGCAGGGGACCAAATCCGCTTGGATTCTTCACGTGGAACTGGAAGACTATCGTTAATCACCAACAAATCATGCATATTGGTACTCTTCGTAACAAGAGCTAATCCGTATTTCTCTTCTAATCATACAATAATAATCTATCTCTTCCCCAACAACGCCAAGTGCTCCAGTTTTTCCGTCCGTCTATCCTTTGTTCGACATAGCCTGAGATGTCCATGTCTCACATGGAATTTTAGACGTTTCCAGCCGCAACTACTCGCTTTTCCCATCCGTGAATAGTATCCAGTAGAATCTGTAACTCGTGTTTGGAGTCGTTGGGAGAATTTGGAATCGGATCCAACAGACCATCTTTCGATTGGTATTTGGTTCCGAGAGATTTGATGATACCCCATGCACGTCTGAACTCATCTCGAATTGATACAATTCCATTATGGGTCACAGTACGTGCAATGTTATGCTCAATCTCGAATGGATCCTCTATTGCTAAGAGATACCGATGGCGAACCTCCTTAGTTTCTTCCATAGTCTTAGGAGGCTGTTTGCCTTCTGACGCGGCGGATAAACTATTAGTATTCTCCTTTGTAACGTTTGGAGTCGCGGGAGTCGAAAATGCTGGTGTTGAAGGGGTAGGGGGAGCTGCAATTTGCGTGGTTTCGACGACCGTTCTTGCACCAACCCATCCTTTCTCGTGCTTGCTAAGGATACCATGATTTGATCGTAAACTCAAAACTTCACGACCCCATTCGAATCCTCTTCCTTGAACCGTTGTCATCTGTTGACTCTGTGCGAAGTATTCAAAGAATCCCCGAAGTAACATACCCACAGAGTCATGATTATGTGTTAGCATCTTACGCTCTGCCAAAGATCTAATCTCTGCTTCGTTTCTCCAAAATCTCACATCATGACCATCACAAGTAGTTTGGGCTTCTTTCTCGGCGGGAGAAAGATGTGCAGGTGGCTCTTTATTCATGTGCTGAAGATTTGGGAGCACTGGAGGTTGGGCAATGTTCATTAGGTAGTGTAAAACCATTAGTACATAGCCGTAACTTCCAAGCGTACCACGATATGGAGTATTGATTCCTCGCATCTTGGCCCAATGCTTCACAAATAATACTATAATCTTGACTCTCGGGTCACAGATAGAGTACAGTCTGAGAAGTAATGTGTTATGCAAAGCTAAATGATTTGAAAAATTGATATCACATTGGATTCCAACTTTGTCTTTGGGAAATTCAAGATGATCCTTGTATCGGTCTCGTGGTTTGTTTGGTGATATTTGAGTTGGATCAGGGAGAGTACGAACGATCGCTACCAACTCTGCTTGTGAAGAATCAACAGAAAATTGTCTAGAAGCTAGATCACGTAAAACTGGAATGTATCTTTCAATGTGAGGTTTTGCTTCCTCATCGTAGAAATTGACTTCAAGAGCATGCTCATAGTCTTTCGCCAGTTGCAAAATTTGATGTCGGCGAGCTACATCTTTCAAGGTCACTATTCCCTCCATACTTTGCAAGGTATCGCGAATTTGAACATCATGGATGCCATCAATATAGTTCTTAACAAATTGGCCGATAACTTCTTCTTCCGTCAAGTTACGGGGGCGGATGAGGTCTGGGGGTAACCCTTTGCCTTCAAGATCTTCCTTGAGTTTCTCGACTCTCGCGAGATATTGTTTTGGACTCTCAAACATTAATTGGTCGAGATATGCAAAACGCAAAGAATGGATTCTCTTCAATCGTTCTGTGGCGGTATGCAACTGTCTATTGTAGATATCAGACTCGGTGAGGGGCCCTGTTTTATTTCGTAAAACTTTCCAGGACTCGAGAACAGCAAGAGCATCCGACTCTTGTTTATCAGTTGCTTCCAATAAAGTCCGCTTATCCCATGCCATTGCTAGTCTTTCCCCTTCGATTTGTGTGCAAATTCCATTCAGAGACCGCTGTACAAAAGGCACAGCAGGATCAAACAATGGAGAGATGGAAGGAGAATCGGATAACCGCTTTGATAGGTCCTCAGAATGCAATCCAAGAATAAAGGCGCGACAAACTTCATTGAGAATCTTTGCTTCCTTCATATTAAGCTCAGTCGAGTTCACAGATAAATCGCGCCCGCCATGTTTTCTTAATGCACGCTTCGCACAAATATGGTAGTCAATAAGATTCTGGTGTTCTTTTTGCATCAAGCTGATACCCTTCTTAACGGTTTGTTGTGCTTCCCCTTTGCTGTTTGGTTGGCTTGTGTTGCTGGTAGTTTCGGTCAATGGCTTAGCTTTCGAATGAGTCTCTGTTGGGGTTGGCTCAGGAGATTTTGTCGTATGACTGTCTAAGTGCTTGTCGTCTGCATCATCATCTTGACTTTCGCCCAAACCACCTTCCCATTTATCACGCTCCGCCAAAAGATCTGCCATCAACTTTGGGAGTGGTTTCTCGCAAAGCTTGATAATAGGAACCCTTGTTCTAGTGAGTAATCGTGCGCCGTATCCCAGGCTGAGCAATCGCTTTTCCAATAGCCGTGGTATTTGAGACTCCGAAGACTCTGCAGATGGATTCGAGAATGGTGTTAGAATTGCAAGATCCATATCAGATCCTTTAGTTGCAAAGCCCGAACTTAAACTTCCGTAGCATTTTAATTGAACAGTCGAAGAATCAAACTCTTTGTTGCCACTGTTTTCTCGTTCATGTTCAGTAATCGCTACTCTACAGACTTCTTCAATATGAGCTCGAAATTGCTCTTTCTTGTTTGCCTCATCGACATCAATCGCTATTTTTGGAACACACTCTTCAGCCAATTTGTCCAAGAATGCACCCTGCCCCATCATTTCATCAGTACTTGCTCCAAAATTTCTGCGTCCTTGTCCACCAGAATTCGAAGGACCTGGATGATACAATTGTCGATTTTGTGGTTGAGGTCTTTGGGCGAAAGAACTAGACCCGGGGTTTGTTTGATTCGTGTTCTGCCAAGAATGCTGTTGGCGTTGCTGAGGGTATACAGGATTTTGAAACGGAAGATTGGAACTCGCATGATTCGAAAAACCACCTGACCTAGGAGAGTTATTATATGCCGTTTGATGGGTATATGGAGACCTGGGCTGTTGATGAGGTAATTGTGGAGAGAATTGTCCTTGTTGGTAAGTTTGTTGTGGTCTTTGGTTGTTCCTTTGATTGTTGTTGTAGTATTGCGGTGTAGATGGTGTTGAATGTTGCTCTCCGGAATGAGGTGTGTGGTTTCGGGGTGACGGGCCTGTTTGCTGATGATGCTGTTGTTGTCCAGAGTTGACTGGGATTGAAAGTTGAGCATTCATTTGTCGTCTTTGTGCTTGGTTCATTCTCTTCTTTCCAGGTTGAGGAGATAATGGAGCAGCGTTGTTGGGGATATGCTGTGATAATGCAGTAGCTTTCGAGGCCACATTGGAAAGGTATTCCTGTTGCTCCGATGGGCTGGCTGTGAGCATATGTGGTGGCAGTTTAGCACCAGCGACACCAGTAGCAGGAAGAGGATGCATATTGACGTTTTCATTATTCGTGATAACATTGGCGTTATTGAGAATGAGACCTCGAAGACGATCTTCTAGTCCATTATCACCAAAATCTCCTCTAGGCAGGTGGGCACCTTGATCCTTCCCTACTGGAAGCATCCTTGTAAATATGTGATGACCAGTTGGTTTGGAGTTTTCCAGTACAAAATAATAATATGATGTCGAAGATTGATATATTGAATAATGCCTCTTTGTATGTTTCAGATAGTATCTACGACCTCGGAAGTAGATATATTCAGTGTTCTGGAAGTGAATTGAATCAATGAAGACTAATCATGTGATAATTTCTTGAAGCCTGACATTCAATATCTCAGATGATTTTTTTGAATGGGATGTAAAGAAAAGGTTGAATTGAATTGACTCGTTGTAAATGCTTAATCATCAGATACTTTTGTACGGTGAAATCCGATGGAATATGCTGTTGTTGTTGTTGTTGTTGTCGTCGAACAGTTTCCATATGTCGTCGTTTGGATGATTGGTGGTCTAGAATATTCTCTTTTCCTTCTCTTTGGGGAGAATGGAGTTGTTGAGATACCCCTCCTTCTCCAGATCAAATAGTGATTATCAAGAAGAAGTATGTGATAGTTGTTGTTGATGGTAGATGTGAGATGTAGGATCTGAATGGAAATTTGAATACCTCAAAGAGTTATGCCTACTGTATGAGCAAAATGTATGTTCCCCTCTTCGAAGTCTTCCGAGTGAATGTGATGCAAACAATTTATATCGGGCCAGCACAAGAAGCTTTGGCTTTTGACTTTTGACTTTTGGCGCTTGAAACTACGGCCACCCTAGCAATATGACACTACTATCTACAACTGAGCAGGGATTGGCGATCCGGGAGTCACCATACGGCTTTGGGACTAGTAAGGTTTAATTGCTTGTCATTGCAACAGAACTGAATTGTATCTTGGATGGTAGAAGCATATCAGAAAGTCGACCAAGTTGATCCACAAAGCAAATTTAAATTCAACAAAGAACAATCAACTACCACTTTGGAGGATTAAATTTCAATTCATCTACACCTACTTAGATATACATTTCGACAAAGATCAATAGCAAGATCAATAGCGCATGTACACAACTTCAAGATTAAAGATATCGTTCTTTTCAGCTTTTGCGACCGAAGGACGGAGCCAAGGCAACAACAACAGCTCTCAACTTCATTCTCAGAAGGAAGGGACTCATTGAGTTTGTTCAGTCCAGACGATTTCTCTATCGGTTGTTCAGTCTACTGTATCGGTCGAACCTCCATTATCAAGAATCTAGTCACCTTCCGAATAATCATTCAAGATGTCTGCCTCCCCATCTGGCATGTCGAATGGTCGAACTCCTACCCCAACTCCCAACAGCGGCGGCGCACCACAATTTACACGTAAAGTCAAGGCTGCTGATCCTTTGAGACCACGAAAGAAACCTATCCGCAGACCCAATCCATCTTCTATACCTGCCGGCGCGAACTTGAACGGCTTGACACCAGCCAGACCGAATGGGCCTACATCCTTAAGCAACGTTTCTGGTCCACGCGCACCTGGTCCGAGAGGTCCAATTCCTATCAATGGCAATGTTGCGCCTAGACAAACATACGGTGGTTGGACTCATCCTCCCAAGGGAGAAGTCACGGATTATCCTCTCTTCACTACCAGGCGGGCTTTGCGTGATGGCATCCGATATCACGCAATGAGATTTTCTGGAAAGAAAGAGGTTGACCCGACAGATCAAAACGAGTTCACGCGACCAATTTCTCTTCATCGCAGAGACCCTCGGCAACCACCTCCGGGCAAAGCATTCAAGGATGAAGATGTAGTTATGGAGGATGCAGTCGATTCTAAGGAGAGAGAAAGACAAGAAATATTGAAGGCCGAGAAGGAGGCACAAAAGGCTGCAGATCGTGCGCAAATAGCTCCTACTGGCAATAACGCCAATGCAGCAGCTGCTAAGAAAGCTCAAGCTTTCCGAAATGAAAAGACAACTCAAGTACATCGCTTAGATAAGACAGCAGAGCAAAAGAAAGAGTCCGATCTTAGATATGAGGAAGCTTTACCTTGGCACCTGGAAGATGCTGACAACAAGAACACTTGGGTTGGTAATTATGAGAGTGCTTTGTCAGAAGTCAATGTTATGTTCTTCACGGAGGGAAGTGCTTTCAAGATGATTCCAGTTGAAAAGTGGTACAAGTTCACCTCGAAAAATAAATTCAACACTCTCACAATCGATGAAGCGGAAGCTTTGCTGAGTAAGAAGACTAAAGAATCTAGATGGGCTATGAAAACCCAAGAGAGAAACGAAGCTCAACGTGCAACTCAGGAAAATATCAGAGGAATGAATAAGTTGTACACTGTCAAGACAGAGAGTGCAAGTTTCAAGGGATCAAGCAGAAATGAAACAAGGGATATTGATGAGCTTGATTTTGATGCTGATGATCTGTTTCAGGATGATGATGAGCTTGCCACAGTTGAGCCAGATAGGGATGAAGATACAAAGGATGCTCAGGAAAGAATCAAGCAAGATCAAAGAGGTGCCAACTTGTTTGGTGAAGCAGATGAAGAAACCGTTGAGAAAGATTTCATCAAAGAAGAACAAGAATTGGAGGCAAAGAAGAAATTGGGAAAGGGTGTCCGAAAGGCTTTGACTAAACGCGAAAAGAATTTCATCTATGATAGTGATTCTAGCAATCCATATGCTTCCTCGGATGTATGTATTTTGCAAAGGTCATTGATCTACCTGCTAACATTTAATAGAGCGAAGATGATACCTCCGATGAGGAAAAGCAAAAGGAGATAGACAAGAAGAAAGATGAAGAGGCCAAAGCCAAATTAAAGGCTGAAGCAAAGCCTTCAGGTACTTCGTCAAAAGGCAACACCACACCTTCCGGTCGACCTAAGCACACTGATCCCTTGAAGAAATCCAAGAATCTTAAGAGAGCTGGATCCCCAAACCTCTCAGAGTCTAGTGGAAACGAATCTTCCAGAAAGAAGCATAAGAAGAAGCATGTCAGCTCATCGCAACCTACAGGTACATCTACTCCAATTCCTAGTCAACCTCAGAGAAAATCATCTATTGTCAAGATGTCGGTAAATCCAAACGAACTTTCAAGAATCAGCTCTTCTACACCCAACCCACAAAGTGCCACAAGCGACGGAGAAGCCACGGGTGGTGAAATGTCAGATGGAGCCGGTTCAAAGAAGAAGAAGATCACTCTTCGTATGGGAGGATCACCAACAACTTCAAGACCTGGTAGTCCAATCCCCGGTAAAGCGAGTGGTAGCCGCGCTGGTAGCCCTTCTCAAGGAGCTGGTAAGGATATCTTTTTGTGCTCATTGTTCCGTAATTCTTCAGATAATAGACACTTACTAATGACATCATTACAGAAGCTACATCGCCCTCTGGTTCTGGTCCAATTACGCCCAAAGATATTGCTGGTCTGCCTTCAACAGGTGTCTCCATTAGTCAAATATTGGCACACTTCCGTGGAAGAGTTGGCGATGGTGAAGGACAGACCACTAAAAAGGAGTTTATGGAAATGATCAAGAAATATACTAAATACGGACCTGACAAACTTTTGCGACCAAAAGTTTAGGAAGCATGGTATCATGGTTACTTGAATCTTCGTGTAGGAAAGGGTTTCGGTGTTGAGATCCAATCGTGGAATGAATTTAATGGTGGAAAGTGAGTGAGAATGTGAGATGGGAGATGATGTAATACCTTACGAAAAAGGGTGTTTGGTAATATGGATATGAGGGGAACATACATTGGCCGCTATGGTACATGCAACAAATTCGTTACAACGGCAGTATGATGCATTGGGATGCCATTCACAGTTTGTCTACAATACCTACATAGAATAGAGAAAGAAATGAAAATATACAGAAATATATGTTTGTCATGCTTGTGCCGTGCCCCTTCGTAGGAGGAAAAACAGGCCGAAATTGGCCACTGGCAAAGCCCTTCCTCCAATAATCTAATTGTTCCATTCCAATTCAGACAATTACATGTTCAGATACTTTGACAATTGAAGATTCTTCAAGGATTTATTAAAAGCTCTTAATTTCTGAAATTTCATTATTGATTGATTTGTTATAGAACTTATAAAGGAGATAAAATCTGGCCTCTTTTCTCCCAAGTACAGCGTCTCGAGAGCGTGCATTATCATTATCTGAACTCCATTAATCGTCGCTTTCCCGGGGTATACGTAAAATATGTAATATAGGTTTAGGTGTCCATCTGCCATTGGAAATCCAGATCCTTATTCCTCGCCCTCCTATTCTCCCCTTTAAACCTTTCTGCCTCCCATCCATTGCCCCTATCTACTCCATCCCATCGATGACCCGGCCGAATGCCATATCTATTCGGCGCTGCCGAACCTTTGTATAACGGTTTTCCCGTCCTACTTTTTCCCTTCTTCTCTTTACTCAAAAACTGCATCGCGGGATCATTCCACCGCTCTACCTCCTTCAACTCCTCATTCATCTCCACATCATCCACTCCCCTCGCCACCGTCATAAATTTCGCTTCATCTAACTCCTCTCTTCTTTTCGCCTTTGCTAATAATTGTACGTCTCCCTTTTGCGCCTCCTTTTCTTCCAATTCCTTTCGTGCTTTTTCATCCATTTCTTTCTTAGCTTCGGAACGTCGCATACTTATGTCAATTCGTCGACCCGTTGCATCTCGATAAACAGTTTCTTCTTTTCCTTTACTTTTGCCTGAACCAGATTCGCGCGCCCATTGCGCGGCTTCAACTCGCTTTTTCTTCTCAGCTTGAGCGGCTGCCTCATCGCGAGTTTGAAGCCCGCCGCGGGTTTCTTCAATCGTAGGTTCTTCATCGGCGTGCAGAGCGGCAGAGTTCTCGGCGGCGGCTTGCTGGATTATCCGGTCTGCTTCGGCGGTGTCTTCATTTTGTGGCTGGAGAGCAGGTACGCCGACGGTTTTCCAAGATGATTTTTTGGATTTGCGAAATTCCGAGGTGCTGTGGTTGGTGATCATGGGGGTATCATCGTCGGAGGCATGGTCTTGAGGATTGGACCAGCCGGGGGCATCGTCGTCGGCGATTATGAGACCGGTTTGCGCGGCAGCCTTGCGTTTGCGTTTTTTGTCTTTGGGGGTACTGGAAGAGGGGGTGGAGGCGGTGAGGTAATTTTTGGCGAGATAGGAGGAGAGTGACATGCTGGGTGGTGGTGATTGTGCTGTGAATCCTATGATAGAAAACTGATAATTTCGATAGCTTGAAAGGTGCTAGATAGGTAGCGTTCAATGACGCGGGTGTAGAGACCACAATGCGGAATAATGCCTCGGTCTGATCACGAGCTATACTTGATTTCGACGTCCTAGTATGCTTATTTGCTCGGTTCCGATATTTTGTGAAGGTAAATAAAGCACTTCGTAAATTTGATGAAAGTTCGGACTTCAAATCTAGCCTGTGTGCGTCAATGCGAGGCTGAGTATTAACTTTTAGCCTCATGCGACGTCGCGGCAATTTCGCTTGACATGCACGCTAAAACATTATAATGGGTCTAGCGCACAATAGCCTTGTCGAGTCATGAGGCGGCCAAAATGCAGATCTAATACTTTGGTATGAGCAATTGCAAATTGGGGGCCACAAATTGGGAATGTCGTATCTATTCTTGGATTCCTTCAAGACCAAATACCTGGGTGGTGTGAGAGATTGGATAATCAAAAGTATCCAATGATTAGCTCCTCATGACATCTGTACCACTGGTTCGTCAGAAGAGTCCAACTTTTTATGACTCCATACTAATTGGATGTATAAACATACAGATGAACATTGCCCCTTTCAATGAACTCTCAGACCTATTTTTAAGGGCATAACCATGCGTCCAGGGACTTGCCACTGCCACTGCCGCTATTGTACGGAACGGTTCACCGGCATTGAGTTCTTTAGCAGCTTACAAGTCATTTTCAACACGGCAATAGGTATCAAGGACAGCCATTGTGCAATACAGTCCGTACACAAATCCGGTTTATTGAGCCTGGAATCTTTGACCTGAAACATCCAATCCATTCTAAGGGGACGTGTCAACCCCACTGCCAACTTTATGCCGTACGGTATAACTTCCAGGGGACTTTCCGAGTATGGTAATTCATTCCAAATGGGTATGAAGCTCGTGCTTTATTGTAGATCAGTTAATTACTAGTCCGGAAGTGCTCAAAAATCTCTCAATGTTCACTTCCCCCATTCCCTTCCAGACCTTTTTCACCAGGTTATGTCCAGTGGCATCAAGTGCTTTGATAGAATGCTATTATGTGTTATCCACATAGACCTTATTTTTATCTCGACGGTAATCAGATCAAGTCTACGGGTGCAAAGTTGCTGGACGGCTTCTGGAATTTCGTCCGAAGGTACCCCATATTTTTACACAAAATATGGAGATGATGATTTTTCAAGTCAGGTACGGAACAGGGGGCTCCAGTATAGGAAAGACACTTTCATTTCGGAGAGTAGATCTACCTTTCTCATTCGAGATGATCAACATGATAGCTTCAACGCTATGCCAAGATTCAAGGGGTGAGAACGTTATGGTCGTCGTCTTTAAAAGATGTTCTCCTCTCCTTCATTATTTTCCTTTCCAAGCCTGCTTTGCATTCTTTACCACTCTCTTTACGAAAGGTCCTTCTAGGCCTGTTACAATCTTTTTTTTTTAATTTTTTTCATATTAAACACATTCATTTTCATTTATTGTTATTGTTATTCTATCAGTCATGTTTTCATCGTCTCTAGGGACGGCCCTCGTTGGGGCAGTCCTTGCTACAAACGTAGCAGCATATCCACCAGCTTATGCACCTGAAAAGTATTCTGATCGTATAGATGTCGTCCACACCGGTATCTCTACTGTTGTACACTCTGGTGTTTCTGCAAGACACACATCCCACAAGCAGCTTTGCAGCCATGACATTGGCTGCTCGAGACAGAATGAGGTCTTGTTAGATACGTAAGGGTTACCAAAGATGATTTCATGTTAGGTTTGTTGCTGACATATTTATAGTGGAGTCAGTGCCGCGTTAGATGTATTTGGTCTTCTTGACCTCGGTCTTGGTGCAGATATCGGAATCAGCTTTGGAAGTGCATCAGGATGCCAGATCAAGTGTGTTGATTGTCGAACATGGGGTACAGCCGTCGTCACCAACACCGTGGCCGAAATCTCCGGCAATATTATCGAAGAGGTGCTCGAGTTCTTGGAACGCCCTTACGAAACCATTGTTGAGGCCGCAAGCTTGGAATGTTTGATTTCTCTGGAGGATGTTGGAGGACACATCGAACTCAATGTTTTCGCCGCTGAATCCGCCACTTACACTCTCAATATTTTCGAAGCTGGTCTTATTGCTGATGTTTCTATCCTCGATACTGTCTCGGTTGGCTTGAACGTTTTCCTCGATTTGGTTATCTCCGTTGATGCTCAAGTCGATCTCTCTGCTGGTTTCGAATTCTCCTTCCCAGAAGGCGCTTCCCTTACTGTTGACCTCTTGGCCGGTGCTATCAAGGACTATAACTTCGACGGAGCTGTCATGAATGACCTTCCTATCGTTGTCCTTGCTGGTGAAGCCACATTGCAAGCTTCCATTCGCTGCAGAGTTGAGGCTGGTACTACCGTCTCTCTCTTGGGCATTGGCTACGGCTTTGAACTTGGTGTCTATGCCGATTTGCTTCAATATGTCACTGAAATTGGTAGCACCGATGATTGTCCACTTTCTATCTCGGGTGCAGTCGATGTTAACATTGGTGCATATGCTGCTTCCGTTGCAAACATCGACTTTGCTGCATTCGAGATTGCTCCAACTGCCGCTATTACTGTGAATGCTGGTGCCCTAGCTGCTATTTGCACCACTAGACCAACTTCCACCAGAGTATTGGGTGCTATTTCCACTGGATCTGCTTCCAGTGGCTCTGATTCCACTGGCTCCGGTTCCAGCAATTCGGCTTCCAGTGGCTCGGGTTCTGATTCCGGTGCATCAGCCTCTGACTCTGGCTCCGCCCCATCTGGAACTGGACATTTCTCGAATGGCACTGTGCTAACTGCTTCCCGACCATCCGGTGCTTCCGCCACTGGATCATTGATCGGTACCATTACTAGTGCAGCATCTTTGACCACATCTACAGCTTATGCTACCCAAGTTACTACCATTACTAGCTGTGCTTCAAATGTTATCCATTGCCCAGCATCCCTTGCAGGTACCACAGTTGTTACTCAAACCGTTATCGATTATACTACCGTTTGCCCAGTTACTGAGGCTGGTAACACCGCGTCAGGAGCAATTCCATCAAGCTTGCCATCCCTTACTACTTCGGCCAATACCAATGTTGCCCCGTCATCTATCCCTGGCACAATCATTCTTACCTCAGTTGCATCAGCAAGCCCATCTACTTTCGACGTCCCAAGCTCAACTCCTATCGCTGTCGTTCCCGTCGGCACTGGAGCTTCAACCACTAACTTGGCATCCATCACCTCCGCCTTGTCCAGTGAACTCTCGGGCTCTTCTCCATCAAGTACGATTGGTTCCGGAAGTAATGCTGCTTCAGCTCCTACCCCAAGCAGTACCGGAGAACTCAGCGGTGAGACCACCTCCCCAAGTGGTTCATCCCCAAGTGCCTCTGGATCAAACGGTTCATCCCCATCAAGCTCTATCGCAACTGGCTCATCCCCAAGCGCATCTGGCTCTGGAAACTCTGGAAGTGACTCATACCCAAGTGGTTCTCCATCTGGAAGTGGAGCCTATCCAAGTGCTTCGGGACCAAACGGTTCATCCCCAAGTGCCTCAGGATCAGAAAATGGTTCGTCTCCATCTGGCACCGCCGCTGCTTCTGTTCCATGTGTTTCGTCAGGTGCTCTTCTCTCCGGTCAAACTGCTTGCCCAGTTTCTGGCTCTACTCCAGCTCAAACCAGCACTGGTGAACTCAGCGGACTTTCCACCGTCCCAGCTGGATCTTCTCCATCATCTGTCGCTTCCGGTTCGTCCCCAAGTGCATCTAACGGAGCTTATCCATCAGGATCAACTGGACCATCTGGATCTTCTCCCAATGCTTCTTCAGGCTCAAACCAACCTTCTGCCAGTGGTTCATTGCCAGCCGTTTCTTCCAATGGATCTTCTCCATCTGAATCTGCCAACATCTCAAGCCCATCTGGTACTACCGATTCCAGTGGCGCTAGTGTTACTGGAGGCTCTTCTCCATCTGCCTCCTCATCCGAAACTGTTTACACAACCGTTATCGTCGATTCATACACTACTGTTTGCCCTGTTACCATGACACAAACTAGTGAAGGTGTAACAAGTGTTTTGACCACTTCTACCATTTCAACTGTCTACAGCTCTTCCACCATGACTGCCACCAAGACTGTTGTCGTGAAGCCATCTGGTTCATCTCCATCTGAATCCGCTCAAGTCACTGGCCCAGCTGTTTCTTCACCAGGATTCTCATCCGAGACTGTTTACACTACCGTTATCGTTGATTCATACACTACAATCTGCCCAGTTACTTTGACTCAAACCAATGGCGGAACCACCAGCGTTTTGACTACTTCTAGCACCTCCACAGTCTACAGCTCGTCAACCGCTACCGGTACACGTACTATCACTGTTGCACCTTCCGCAACTTCCGATTCTGAGGGTGCTAGTGTCGTTCCATCTGGTTCTGCTCAAGTTACTGGCCCAGCTGTCTCTTCCCCAGTTCAATCTTCCGAGACTGTCTACACTACCGTCATTGTTGACTCTTACACCACTATCTGCCCAGTTACTTTGACTCAAACTACTGGAGGAGCCACCAGCGTTTTGACTACTTCTAGCATCTCCACTGTTTACAGCACCTCCACCCTTGTTGGTACTAGCACTGTTGTCGTGACCCCAGTAGCCTCCGCTCCAGCAAGCTCTGCTCCAGCAGGCTCCGCCCCAGCTGTCTCTTCTCCAGCTCAATCTTCCGAAACTGTCTACACAACTGTCGTCGTCGACTCTTACACTACAGTTTGCCCAGTAACTCTCACCCACACCAGCCAAGGTACAACCAGCTTTGAGACAACCACCAGCTTGTCCACTGTTTACAGCACTTCCACTCATGTTGGTACTAGCACTGTTGTCGTAACCCCAGCACCATCGTCAACAGGATCTGCTGATGCATGCTCCGAGACCTGCACCACTGAGTACAACACTTGTCGAAGTGCTTCAGGTGCAAACCGAGCCACTTGTGCTTCTGACTATGCATCGTGCCTCGGATATTCTCCGTTTGATAGCAACGGATCATTGGTCACTCCAACTGCCTGCTCTTCTGGACCATCGGCACCAGCATCATCTGCCCCAATAGCCTCCGCTCCAGCAAGCTCTGCTCCAGCGTCATCTGCTCCAGCGTCATCTGCTCCAGTAGCCTCCGCTCCAGCAAGCTCTGCTCCAGCAAGCTCTGCTCCAGCGTCATCTGCTCCAGTAGCCTCCGCTCCAGCAAGCTCTGCTCCAGCGTCATCTGCTCCAGTAGCCTCCGCCCCAGCAAGCTCTGCCCCAGCTGTTTCCCAAGGTGTGTCTACCGAACAAATTTACAGCACAGTCTCCGTCCAATCATACGTCACTGTCTACCCAGTCACTTTGACCCAGACCAACGGAGGAGTCACCAGTCTTGAGACAACAACAAGCTTTGCGACAATTTTCCAGTCTTCCACCATCTATGCCACTAGAACAGTTGCCGTTCAAACACAAGGAACTTCTTCCCCAAGCGGTTCTGTCGTTGTTCCACAAGGTAGCGCACAAGCATCCGGGCCAGCCCCATCATCTACTTTTGATAATTCTGGTGTCACTGCTCCATCTCCAGCTGCCTCTGTGGTTTCCAGCAACGGTGTCCCTGCCCCTGTCGCTTCTACTCCAGCTTCTACACAAACTGGATCTAACTCTGGAAACTCTGGAAATGGATCACCATCTGTTGTTGCAAGTTTGAGTGCCACAACCGGTAGCCCATCCTCCGCTATCAACACTAACAGTGGAGATATGGTTTACAGCACTGTGACAGTTGTTCCCGTTGCTAGTCAAGCAGTCAGCTCAGCTCAAGGCTTGACCACACCTGCACCAGCAACTGGTTCCTCTCAACCATTGACTTCTGCCATTGGTGTATCTGGAAGTGCAGGTTCTGAAGAATGTGCTCAACCATCTGTTATCACCATTTCCGCTTCTCCTTCTATTCTCACTGTTGTAAGTTTCCCCTTTTAATTATCTTGAAGTTCTACAGCTAATCAAACATAGACTCAATCTGCATCCGTCATTACCATCATTCAAACTGCCGGTGCTAGCTCTCCATCTGGTGTTGCTTACCCAGGGTCCCCTGAGAACTCCACCGTCTCTGGTCTCCCAGGTAAGGCTGTTTCAGTCTCATCCGCTGAGGGTATCACCATCGCTTCATCGACTATGATTGTTCCAGGTTCAGGTGCATCATCCACCATCGTTGTACCAGGAGCTATTCTCCCCACTGGATCTCAAGTCTACCCAGTTGGATCATCCACTGTTGTTGTACCAGGAAATGCTGCCCCTACTGGATCTGCATCTGAAGTATACCCAGTTGGTTCATCCACTGTTGTTGTACCAGGAGTTGTTGCCCCTACTGGATCTCCAGTCTACCCAGTTGGCTCATCCAACAACGGTACCTCTGGAACTTATGCTAGTGGAACTGGCATCAACAAACCCACTCAACCAACCTCTTCCGTCACTGGCATCACTGCCGCCAGTGGATCAGCAACTGCATCCCCAAGCATGATTGTCACTGGATCTGCTAGCCGTTCTAGCATCTCCATGGGATTGATTGCTGTCATTATGGGCGCTGTCGCTCTCTTGTAAATTAGGTGATGGAAAAAGGTGGATTGCACATGAGTGGTATGAACTGAATTGGAGGGTTTCCTATGTCTGAACGAGGTATTGATACTGTGGAGTATTCGTGTACAGTATTTTAATGTAATTTTTATTCCCAAAATAAATTACGGAGAGAAGATTTGTATACACGCTTCTTTTCGTCCAGTAGATAGTCAATACGTATTTGACAAACTGTACCATTATGATTCTCTGGATTTGTTTGTAGTGATTTTCTTGCATGAGAGAGTATAAGTGTAGGAGTGATTGAGTGAGAATGATTGTATAAATTGAGGAATTAGAATAATCATAAATTATAACACCCAAATGAATAAATCAGAACAACCATAACTTATACATAACCCAAGATACATACATATCCATATATAAAACCAGACAGATCAATTATCAATCAAATATAGATAGATGAATAGATAGTAATAGAATAAACAAACGCAATCAATCAGAAGCTTACCTACCTAGATACTTTACTTTAGAAACGGAAGGAAAAGGAAGAGGATAGTTAAGTTAGTTGAGTTAAGTTTCATAATATACGAATTATCTTTCTTGTATGCTGATATTCTCAATCCTATTTCCATATATCTTCTTATTTTCATCCCTATATCTACCTATCTATTTACTCCTATCTCTATATCTTTATATCTATCTACCTGCCTACCTGCCTACCTACCTACCTACCCACCTACCTAATACCTACGAGCTACCTAAGCACTCAGCACAACCACATTCAATAACTCTTCAAAGCAGCAATACAAAACAATTCACACTACACAACGAAAAAGTTCCTAAAGCTCACAATTCAAAATTTAGAATTATACATTCATTTAATCTACTCTTTCCTAAGCTAATGCCCCTTCAAGTACAAAGGATCAAGTGAGTTTGCCTTATCCTTTTGCTCTACAGCATCCATCTATGCAATTTACTTGATATACTTTACAAAAGAAAAGGAGAAGAAAGAAGATATGCCATTTCCAGGCTAAGTCGAATTTATGCCCCACATTCAACTTCAATCAAATGTAAAAAAAAACCCCCTCCATCTAGCCGTTTACGTGAGCCTTCACGCCATGCCCCCGCTATGAACAAAGGAAAGGAAGAGAAAAGAGACCAAAAGGAAAGACCAAAACATTTAAAAAAAAACAAGGATTGTTCCAATTCCAAACGACAATCTTTTTAAATCCAATTCAATTCAAGATTTTTGAAGAATAACGCCGGGCTATGCTGTCGACCTAATATATATCCTATCCATAGTATCCAGAGTTCCTCTGTCCTCCTTGCGTTGGTGGATATTGAGGGAAATATTGCTGTTGTTGAGAATATTGATGAGGGGAAGCTTGATATCCAGGAGAGTGTGTTAAGGTTGGTTGATATTGTCCAGGAGAGTGGGCCAGAGTCGTTTGATATTGTCCAGGTGAGTGAGCCAATGTTGATTGATATTGTCCAGGTGAGTGAGCCAATGTTGATTGATATTGTCCAGGTGAATGAGCCATAGTTGTTTGATATTGGCCTGGTAACTGTGCTGGTGTTGTCCATGCCGCTGACTGAGGGAAGTTTGGCCCCATCCATGAGCCTCTCTTACTAGGTACTGCAAACTGTGATGGTGCATAGTTGGTATTAGCATATTGCGACTGGCGACGGTTCTGCTCAGTTTGTTGCAAAAGTCGAGTTTGTTCAGCTAATTGTTGATCAAGACGACGTTGTTCAGCTTGCTGCTGCTGCTGCTGTTGCTGTTGCTGAGCCAATTGCTGTTGACGAAGTGCAATTGCATGCTGTACCGACTGAGATTTGAGTCCTTGCTTGACATGTTGCTTTTCCTTCTCACGCGAACCAATAGCTCCAACGAGACCAGCAGAAACAACTTTATCTTTATTGGTATTTTTAGCCATGGCAATTAAAGGTCCCCCAGTCATTTTAGCAACAAAAGCTTGCTCTCGAGCAGAGAGATTTGTTGTAAGGGTGCCATTTCCAGAGGGCCCTAAAACTCTGTTTGCACCTCTGGAGCTTGGACGTAAAAGATCAGCTGAACTGTGACGTGCATGTTGCTGTTGGCCATAAACTTCAGCAGAATTCAATAGATCTGTTGAGTTACGACGCGAGTTACGGTTCTTACCATGACCTTCATTGAAATTCAACAAGTCTGCTGAGCTATGGCGTGAGTGACGATTTTGACCATACCCTTCACCGAGATTTAACAAATCTGCCGAGCTATGGCGCGAATGTTGACCTATAAGTGCACTGGAACGCTTAGAAGTTTGACCTGGCGTAGGGGAAGGGGTATATCTTCCAGGTGTAGGGGAAGGCGTTGCACGTGCAGGCGTGGGAGAAGTTGCACGTAGAATGTTGCCTGAAGGTTGACGTTGGTGGATATACTGCGGTGTGGCAGCAGCAACCATGGAACGCTGTTGAACATACTCTTCCGCCGTCAAACCTTGTTTGTGGCCAAAGGTATTATTAGCAGCTGTTGCACTCATTCCAGGTTGCCAGGCTAGTGCATTGCCGCTAGGAGATCTTTCATGACTTGGACGCTTTTCAGGACTGGACTGATTAAAATTATTCTGTTTAGGAGAAGGACTTGGAGAGTCTTGACCGGGTGCTCGATTAAGATCAAAGGTAGGACCAAAATCAATATCAACCCCCTTTGACAATGTGTTTTCGTCACCATAAAGTGGTTGCCCAACTTCAATATTGCCGATGATCTTCTTCTTCCCCGCTCGAGGCTTTTCGATAGACTCTTGCGTGCGTACAGATCGCACAGACTTTTTGGTACTGGCATAATCCGGGGTGCCAGTCGATGCAGCGTCGTCATATGCACTACTTAAATCACTATTGTGTCTATTCATCTGCGGAAGCTTAAAGTCGTCTGCTTTAGGCAGTATCAAGTCGAAAGCGCCAGAATCGAGAATATGTTGAGTCAAGCTCCCAGAGCTGGAAGGTGGGTGCGACGAAGTAGGGCTTGGTTGATTCTCTTCTCTTGTAGGAAGAGGCTTTCTTGAGATGCTTTGGCTGGTCTGTAGACGAGATGGTTGGCTAGAGGGGTTCTTTGGTGGGAGCATATCGTTTGAGAAATTCGATTGTGATCGTGAATTAAAATTTGTATTATTAGATTGAAAGTATTGGTTTTGATACGGTATTTGATCGCGGTTCGAGGGAAGAGTTGACTCTTGTTCGTTACGAGGTTCGTAGGTTGCTACGATGCCTTCATTAATGATGTTATGGTTAGCAGGCATATGGTGAGATCTGGTGACGTCTGACAGTACCCCTCTACCTTGATCTTCATCCTCCTCAATTCTATCATGCGTTTGAGCATTCAGTCCTCGTCGTTCTTGACTTTGGTAAGTGGCTGCAGCACCGGCAGCACCAGTTAACTGAGATAACGTCGCGGTAGACATGCGATTGTTCGCTTTTCGAAGATCTGTTGATTGGAGGGGTTTGCTAGGGGGCTTGGCGCCCGGCGCGTGTTTGAAAGCTGGGGGTGCAGCTACGGGTTCTGGCATCGTAACGGTTTGCAATTCTTGAAGTTCACGAACCGGGGTTGCACTGGCTGCTTGCTCGTCTTCTGAACTGAGACGATCGGGGGAAGGTGCAGCATCTTGTACGAATTTCAAACCTGAGCCGGAGTGTAGAGGTGGGATAGTAGCAGGTTCGTAAGCTCCATCAAAGACAGAAGGATTTTGATTCTGATCACGGCTTGGTGGTTGAGATTCAGATATTGATCTTTGATGAGGCAGCCCTGAGGTCTTTGGCTGTTGGAATGCCACAGGTGCCGAATCTGTTCTAGGGAGACCGCCATAGCCAACGTCTCCCGACTGACGGACACCAAATTGTATGGATGGTGATGATCTAACCGATGCTGCATCGTCAAATTGAAGGCGAGTTCGAGGATTTCCTACACTATGGCGACTTCTTCTACTGCCGTACTGGCTATTTCTTTGGCTGTTGTTTCTGAGAGTCACCATTCGCTTGGCTGTCAAATCTTTCATTCTTCCTCTCCATTCAGATTCTAGCCAGTTAGCGCTACCTTGCTCCGATATTAGACTTGAAACATCGAGGGTCTCTAAATATCCATATCTTCGGTGTTCTGGCATTGCAAACATCAAACTTCTGGTATCGTTTGTCTCTGCAACCAAACGACCAGGGCGTCCATACAGACCAAACGTATCGTAGACTGGGAAAAGCCAACGGAGCATCATTTCAAAGCCACTTACAGCCGGATGTACCTCGGGCATGACGAAAACGAATCCTTCAGACGTCAAAGGGGGGTTTGAGTGAATCGTGATAGATCCTTCAACCTTGACTAAAGTGGAAGCATCTATGAGTGGTTTGGATTGAGGATATATAGCAAACGCAGAATATGCATCGTTAATTGTAGCGATTGGTCGAACCTTTTTTGTTCTCTTGGAATCATAGAATTTGATGTCGCCTTTCAATATAGGGGGTCGGGAACGATCATATGCCGACCTTTTCTTTTGCGATTGTTTTTGTAATCTTTGGACCTCTTTTTCATCGGGTGGAGTGATCACGCACCAACATCGTCTCCATGGCGTTCCAGCGCCAAATCTCACTCGGGCCCAGTCTGCAGTTTGGATCCTCGAGCGCTCCATGATGGGCCTGATGTTGTTTAATAATTTACCCTTTCCAGCAATGAGCGCACCTGTATAGGCTTCTTGTAATGACGCATGCTCAAACATACAAAGACGGATACCGGCGGTCCATTGAACCAACGAGTGATGTGAATTGAAATGCAATAGATATCTATTCTTACCAGCCGTTGATATGCTGAGGACATTCTGCAAAGGTGCTTCTGTGGGTGACCTCGTGGGAAGGGATTCGATCTATAGACCATTAGTAGGTGGAATCATACCAATTCTGAGAAGAGCAAAAGTAACCATTTTGATCGAGGCATCTGTGAGATTGATAAACTTTGGAAGGACCTCTCCATCTTGCCCAGCAGCATCTAACTCTGCTGCGTCCCACAATGAAAGGATAGTTCCCACAAGCTGTGCAAAACACTCCGTCCAGGTTCGGTCGGTATTGGCCTTGCCATCTGCATGATGTTAGATTATAATGCTCTATCCAAGGTAGAATACAATACGTACGTATGTTCTGATCGTCCAATTTTAAGAAATACCCTTCCTGGTACAATTTATTGCTGTGACTATTCAAGAATGTGAAGATTGGTTGGAGTTCCGGCAAGGTATCTTGGTTCACATCCATCAGTGGAGGCTGAAAGGTTTGTGCCATAGACGTTGGTCTGGACGATGCGCGTTCCCTTGTTCGAGTCGGCTGGGGAGATGCGCGAACTTCGCTCGAAGGGGATTCCTGGTGAGAGGGCATTTGGAAGCTCGAAGTTGGAAATGGCTCTCTTCCCGAGGACGACTTTCCTGTGTCTTGAGACCCTTGCTGTGTGTAGGATTCAGTTCGACTTCGTGCTCGGCCTGTAGATGGAGGTGGTCGAGTAGGGCTATTAGAGTCTCTGTCCCTAAATTGGGACATGAACGACATAACTAAGGGAAAGAGCTATTTAGCAATGGTTGACTTGTAAATATGGTGGCGCATTCCAACGTACCTCGATTTCGGCCCATTTTGAATGAATTAATTTGCTTTGAATAATAGTAAGTTCAGGAATCTATGAATGACGCGGTGATTCCGCGAGCTCCGGATGAACCTTCAAATCGATGTGGTTGACTTATGACATGTACAATCTAATAAGTGTTCTGCGTTTCGTTCTTTCTTTGTCGAACTGTTGATTATATAACAGCACAATGATTCCCAATTTTATAACCCGGCGGTAAATGGAGCTCTCACGGCTGCAAACAGGAGATGAATCGAAGCCAACAATGCAAAAGAATGTAAAGATTGAATTGGGGGTATTTTGAATAATGTTGAGGAATGATGAATAATTTGGGGAGAAGCAGGTGAATAATCTACTGGTATGCGGACTAATTCATGTACCTGCTTAGCATCTTGTTTATTTTTTGGGGGGGTTTGGCGGGATCTGGGGGACGTCACTTTTGTGAGACCAGGGAACGATGAGAGGATAAGAGGCGGGAGGTCCGACTACCGATGCTCAAATGCTCAAAATAGAAAGGAAGAAAGGAAGAAAGGAAGAAAGAAAGAAAGGAAGAAAGAAAGAAAGATGAATAAGAAAATTGTACGAGAGTAAATGGACCGAGAAGTCTAGAAGGTATGTAACGTAATGTAGTTTAAATATGTAGCTAGAGTGAGAGGGAGAGAATGGAAGATGGAAAAGAAGAGATATTCAAGAAGACAGAAAGTTCAAGGTCCAAGGTCCAAGGTCTAAGGTCCCAGGTCCCAGGTCCCAGGTCAAGGTCAAGGTCGTGAAAGGGTGGAAAAGATAAAGAGGTTGGTAGGAGGAAGTGGAAGAAGTGGCAGGAGTGGCAGTGGTCAAAAGAGCAGAAGAATACCTAGGTCGGCTCGTAGGTAATCTTGGAAAACAATAGACCATATTTCGCACCTGGGGCCAAATTGATCATAAGGGGGAGTTTATTTGGGCGTGAAGGGTTCAAATTGATTTCACGGAGTAATTCGTTTGCATCACATGAAATGATTCAATTACGAGGTCTCATATCCATATCTCATAACATAAAAATGGGCGGAAGGACCGGACGAAAAGGTACAGATGGAGTAAGGTAGTGAGTGTAGTAAAGACATATATACATACATACATACATACATACAGAGAATCACCATCTAGTACTCATCACAGCAACAACACATCCAAACTATACGGATCTGGTAGCTCAGAGCATGTATCATTTCCTCTTTGTTTGCCAATTGTTAAACAACATCACGATTGGGTTCAAGACTTGGATCAAGATTTGGAACCGTTGACCAATTCCAAGTATATGTATGTGTAAGTAGGTATGCATACTAATGAGAAAACAAATAGGTACGCTATCTCCTGCATTAGAACCTCCCTTATTATACGATACTCGTACATACATACATTCACATACATTCACATACATTCGCAGGACATATCTAGCACAGGACCATGTATTGTGCTATCCATGCCCCTCTTGTCCTCAAAGCATCCACCATCTTCCAATTCACCGGTCTTGGCTAACTACTAATTAATACCTTAGCATCCTCAACACATGGACGCGTCATTTTCGCTGGCCCCAAATAGCGCAAACTCACTTCGTAATGCTTATTGGCCTTTTCCCCCTCAACACGCGCTGGAAGACGATGGAAAGGAAGAGCTGATCTGATCGCCTGTACCGGTGCCTGTAAATTCTGCGGAGGTCTAAGAAAAGTCCGGCAAGCTCCAAGACGAGGAGGAATAATACGAGATCGTAACGCCGAGTATACCTTTATTGGGTGCTATTGAACCATCACAATCGAGCTACTAGCCCAAGGGGGCCCAGGTACCTATGCAAGCGGCTCTCTCAGCTCGTTTATCGGGTATCGGATCCATCAATTAATTGGCAATGGAATGAATGGCTGTGTGAGAGATACAAGTTTCCATATCTCCAACATCTCCAACATCTTCAATCTCTCCAATCCCTCCAATCTCCTTCCATATCTCTCAATGTCTCCAGTCTTTCTGAAACCTGATGATTACCAAACTGTGTGAAATCTGGCCCAAGCTCTTACACAAGAAAGGACAAACGCTCTCTCTTCCCTCCATAGAATCCAATCAATTTGTCCGCGAATCTCCTTCTCGCGGAAAGTTGCAGTGCCACGGTAATACGAAGAATTTATCCATTTTGGTCCGGAAAGATATAAAACATGCCTGCGGTGATCATCCTTTTAGGCTTGACAACGCAAATCGAAAAGAGAAGCACCTTCACATTCAGCCGAATTCTCCGGATTATGCAAGATTATGTTCAAAGGACAGCACAGCCGGTCTGGACACTCACTCATCGACGCAGGCCAAGTCAAGCAAAGGCAACGCAGATGTCCATTCGTCGATTTCAGTGTCATGTAGAAAGTAAGCACGTGGTAGATTTGAATCGATGTATCACCATCATATGAGTAGACGCAAAAAGAGTGATTATGTCAATTTCTTTACGAAATTAATTGGTCCATTAATATTCATAATGTTTTCTGTCTTTCACCTGTCTCTCACCCACTCTTGATTTGATTCAAATTCCTCCCTAGTCGGCTTGATGATCCTGGTAGGCTCCACACAAATTGTCATTATCCACAGCTTTATTCAGCCTTAAGAAATCTATATTGATGGCATGGATCACGTGTCTACTCGTATCACGTACCTGATTCGTTATCGCAGTCGGTCCATTGAATAATAAAGGTTCTTATCGTCTCAAGTGCAATTTTTGTGAAGGAGTTTCTCGGTTTATATCCCGACAACTTCCATCAACTTGACCACGAGGTAATTTTTCACCTCTGCGCATCAATCACGACGCTGGGATGAGGAGGTCGATTTGTCGAACACACGTTGCGCAAGCTATACATACTCAATCCCGTCGTACTCTCATTCACAGTTCTCCGAGATGGCGCCCTGAATTGGCATTTTCGACATCTGCAGATGTCGATATACCACCATTTCGAAAAGAATCCCTTCCATTTAAATTCGAAACGGGACTTGCCTTATTTGCTAAGAGAAAGCCTCGACCTTTTCCTCCTCCATTCCTATCTCCTCCATCGGGATCCTTTTCCGATCCGTTAAGTACTCATCATAGGAGTCGCGATAGAAGACCTTCAGTGAACGGCGAGGTGATTAGGGGATATACAAATGGCGATGATGCGGTTTACTCCAGTGATTACTTTATTGGCGCAAATGATGGTGTGGGCGCCTGGTCTACAAGAGAAAGTGGTCATGCAGGGTTTGTGGCTTTCTAAAATCACGATTTACTTTGGAGTGCTAACATATGGTCAGTTTATGGTCAAGGCTAATACTACACTTCTGGGCTGCGGAAGTAGAGAATGACGCAAGAAGATCTCGACCTGCAGGAAAGTACTTCGAGCCGAATCCTATTGATTATCTACAAAAGGCATATGAGCAAACTATTCAAGCTACCGCGAGCCCGAATAAATGGCAAGGCACAACGACTGCGACCGGGGCACAATTGCATTATAAATTAGATGATACAGACCTTACAGCGCCCGCTACTCCTCTCTTATACGTTACCAACATTGGCGATTCACAAGTGCTAGTCATAAGACCGAAACAGGAGGAACGTGTTTTCAAAACTACAGAACAATGGCATTGGTTTGACTGTCCTCGACAACTTGGTACAAATAGCCCCGACACGCCTGTTAACAATGCTGTTATGGAGAAGGTTGAAATTGAGGAAAATGATGTCGTTCTTGCCATGTCTGATGGCGTAATTGACAATCTATGGGAGCATGAAATAATTGAAAGTGTTGTGAGTAGTATCCGTAAGTGGGAGCGAGGTGAAGGAGGTGTAGGTACTGGAGATCGACAAGGTGGTGCTGGAGGTGGTATGAAATTTGTAGCCGATGAGCTCATGAAAGCTGCAAAAGTGATCGCGCAAGATCCTTTCGCGGAGAGTCCTTTCATGGAGCACGCTGTCGAGGAGGGTCTTGCTATGGAAGGAGGTGAGTACAAAGAGGCTGAAAAATTATATCATTTACTAATTGATTGTTAGGTAAACTAGACGACATAAGTGTAGTTGCAGCTCTATGTAAACGCAGTAACGGATGAAGTGAAGTAGTTGCATAGGTTGAGTTATCTGGGGCATATAAGATATGACCTCGGGATTGAAGTCAATAGAAGCTGTTCATGTAATAGCAACTCGCGCCAAGAGGTACATAGAGACAGTTGTCAGGGGGAAGAAGAACGCCAAACAGGAGATCTCGATTTGCGAGGGATGGAAATCGTGACAAGAGATGGGCAGAGTGAGGAGGTTCGCGGGCGGGAGGAATACAAGGCGTACGAACCATCTATGTAATAGGTATTGTTATTTAGGCAGGGTATAGACTTTTGTACATTCATATAATATTAAGTAGAGGCTTTGAAAGTGCTCCTGTCCTTTGGTTCTAGACTTGTTAGCTTAACATGGCTAGCAACAAATACTAGGAAGCCATTGGGCCATTGGGAAAACCCACCCTAGTTCCCGATAAGTCCTTATCGTTAAATTTATCCGATAAAAAAATTATCAATCTTCATCATCACATCTCTTACCATTTACCAAACTCAATCAATTGACCCTCAAACTATTTTGACGAATTCGAAAACATGAGAGGAAAAAGAGCGAAGCAATATAAAAAGCTCATGCAGCAATATGGCATGAGCTTTGGTTTCCGTGAAGCATATCAAGTACTTCGTGAGCTCCCCAATCTTGCGCATTAGTACTATTGCTCGTTTTCAATGACTGACTTTCTCTCTCAACAGTTGACGCAGAGATTATTAAGGATGCAGATAGATTCAAGATGGATTTGGTCGGTGGTTTAGAGCGAACACTTCATGGTCAAGTTAAGCCTAGTATGTTCATATACCTTTACGTCTTGTCGCATCGATTGTTAACGTACGTTAGTGATTACACAATGTTCAATGCGCCATTTATACGCTGCTTCATCAGAACCAGGAGTTTCTTATCTCATCGACAAAGCAAAAACCTACGAGCGACGTCGTTGCGGTCATCTCCCAGAAGATTATCCCGAACCTCTCTCTGCCCGTGATTGTATCAAAGCAGTCGTTGACGGCAAAAACAACGGAACCAATAAACACAGATACGTGGTAGCAAGTCAAGATATAGAAGTGAGAAAAGCGATGAGGGCAATTCAGGGCGTACCTCTGGTTTACATTAACAGGAGTGTCATGATTATGGAACCTATGGCAGAAACATCTGCGGAGACGAGAGATCGAGAAGAAAGGTCGAAATTTAGACAAGGCATCAAGTCAGGAAGAGCCTCAGGAAGTCTCAAGAGGAAGAGAAATGAAGGCGATGAGGACGATGACGAAGAATCAGCAAAGAAAGATATGGGTGTATCGGGCGGCGTTGCGAAAAAGAAGAAGAATGCACCAGGACCAAAAGGACCCAATCCATTAGCAATGAAGAAGAAAAAGAAGGTCGAGGGAGAGAGTACGAAGCCTAATGCGTCAACCAAAGTGGCTGATGCAAATGATACGGGAGCGGATAGTTCAGAACCTGTCAAACGCAAACGAAAACGTCTACACTCGAAGAAAAAGGCAGAGGATGGAGCTGATGGGGAAATGACAATTTCAAGTGAGAAAATGGATGAAACAGCTTAATATGTACAGGAATATCGAGCAGAATATTACATGTAGACTAATTTCAATTTTAAAATGATACCCAAATTATTGGAATTAAGCTGTATGATTATGGTCGTTGAAGTTAAGTACAGTCAGTCAATAATGAAGAAATCGGGGAGCACGATATTACGATTCCAATTCGTCATATAGGTAGGTCGCATTTGACCGACGCCGACCCCCTGGATTACGGAACAAAGAAAATGGACTCCCAAACTACATATCAAGTAAAGATTAATCTATTTAAAGTATAGCAACAACATAATGATTCCTCAAAAGTCACAAGTACTCAAAAGCATTTAAGCCTTCACTGCCCATAAGCAATAAGCAATAAAACATCTGAATCATTACTATACCCTTACCCGTTAGAAAGCACGTTCCAATCGTTTACTGGTTCACTCACTGAGGAAGTGCATCGGTCATTCCCAAATCCCAAAATCCTGGTCAAACTGGACGGTGTCTGTGTGTACGGTGTGTACGAAATCCATACAAAGCACAGAGCATCGACCTCGGAACACTTTTGTGCTTCAGAATCCATGGATCCGCGCAAGAACACATTTAATGAATGAACAACGAATGTCTAAGTGACGTTAGATGATTTATCTGTTAGAGACGCCACCTGCCCTGTGAGTCAAGGTGGTGGTCGAAGTGCTAGAAACAATATGCCACAGAGTGATGAGACCACCACAAATGCTAAGGAAGATGGCATTGTGGGACCGGGTACAGCTGTTCAAAATGGACCTGCAGAACTGGATGACTTCGGATTACCCCTCAAGAAGACAGTGGTTCCAGAACCGGTAGCATATGATGAAGATTTGGAGAATATCGAATCGGAGGATAAGTCGAGTGTCCCAGAAGATCGGAATGCTGAGACTAAAGAGAATGGATTGAAGAATGCGGATGTTGCTAAGGAAGACGCAGAAAAGGCAGACGATGGAAAGGATCATGGGTCAGATAAGGAAGAAGAGGAACTCAAGGTTGTGCAAACAACGCCATCGTCTGCGACCACGAATCCAGAACCTCAAGAACCTCAAGAACCTCAAGAACCTCAAGAACCTCAAGAACCTCAAGAACCTCGCGAGACAACTCGGAATGAGGGCTTGCCAGCTCATGGACATCCGGCCCCTCAACAAACAATCGAAGAAGTCGAATCTACAAGTAAAGGAGCTCTGGCGGAATCGTCGGAACCTGCGAAACCTGCAGAAGAGCCAAAATCTGCAGAAAGTTTGGAGAATACTAGCGGCAACAATAATAGCAATGCGGTTCCCGCGGTGAATAACAGGAATAGTCGGATGGAACCAAATCAGGGAATATCAGAATGGTCGCATCAACATACCACTGTACCTGATCCAAAAAGCCCACCTCAAGAAGATGATGAATGGCAAACAATGCCAGCGTATGCTCCATACGATATTTATGATGACGACAATAGGTTAATTGCGAAGGAGGCACACGAATCTGATGAGGAACCGGATGCATATGCAGGTCTAGGTGGTGCCGGTAGAGGATATACCAGAGTTCAGCTAGACGAAGATGCTCAATCTGCGACGAGTCTGGATGAGAACACACAATACCTGTTCAAAGATGTTCATGGCACTGGAGCTGGAGAAGTGGAAGATGAGGAGCAGCGAGATGCACTTTCTCAAATGCAAGCTACTAAAGATCTTTTAACGGAAGGGCAAAGAATTGCATATGTTGGCATGACTCGACTTATTCTTTCTAAAATGCTTGAACAACAGGAATTGTTGGTGTCAGCAAAGAAAGGAAACAAGAAAGAATTGCAAGTTTCAGCCGAAGCTATGAAAATGTGGACTCAAAAAATGATGGTTCGGCTATATGCGCATATGGAAATCAGTACAGATGAACAGATCATGATTGAGCAGTTGGCTGAACATGGCGTAGTCCCTTCAGATCTGACAGGGACTCTCATGCAAAATGCACGAGTAAAGAATCCTATGGCCGAGAAAGCTCATTCGAGTAAAGACTCGGTTGCTTCTGGTAGAAGTCCTAGGGAATCCATCTCATCTCCGCGATTGGCGCGAGAATCCATACAGTCTCCACGCTTACCACAATCACCTTTAAGTCCACAAACTCCTCGACGATATGATGAGGAAGAACCGGCTGCTGTGCCTCCACCATACCAAGAGCATGAAGGCGAAGATTTACCTGAAGTTCGAACTCCTTCACAGCTTCCCACTACTAAGAACATTGATATCGATCTTCGCTGGACTGTTCTTTGTGATCTATTCTTGACTTTGATTGCGGACTCGGTTTATGATGCACGATCTAGAACTTTATTAGAAAAGGTTGGTGATAATATGGAAGTTTCCTGGTTAGAAATCTGTCGTTTTGAGAAACGAGTAACGGATGCCTTGGAAATGCAACAAGCGGCCGAAAAGGAGAACTGGAATGAGGATGATCATAAAGAGAACAGGAGGAAAATGGCTCTCAAGAAAAGATATTTGATGATGGGTCTTGCTACCGTTGGTGGAAGTTTAGTTATTGGACTTTCCGCAGGTCTCTTGGCACCTGTTATCGGAGCAGGTCTCGCTGCTGGTTTCACTACAATCGGCGTAGCAGGTACTAGTGGCTTCCTTGCTGGTTCTGCAGGTGCTGCTATCATCACAACAGGTGCCGCCACTTCAGGTGGTTTCATTGCGATCAAAGCTGCAAATCGTAGAACTGGAGCAGTCAAAACTTTTGAGTATAGGCCATTGCATAATAACAAGCGAGTCAACTTGATTATTACAGTCTCGGGATGGATGACGGGTAAAGTTGATGATGTTCGCTTGCCATATAGTACAGTTGATCCTATCATGGGAGATATTTACTCGGTTCTTTGGGAGCCGGAAATGCTTACAAGTATGGGAGATACCATTAACATTCTAGCAACAGAGGTAAGGTTTGATTTTCTCAGCATACACTGTATACACTAACGCATCTTAGGCTTTAACGCAAGGTCTTCAACAAGTTCTCGGAAGTACCATCCTCATTGGTTTGATGGCTGCTTTGCAATTACCAGTCGTTTTAACTAAACTTTCATATCTCATTGATAACCCATGGACGGTTTCCCTTGATCGTGCAAATGCTGCAGGTCTTATTCTTGCAGACTCGCTTATTGATCGAAACCTTGGTACCAGACCAATCACCTTCGTGGGATATTCCCTTGGTTCTCGAGTCATCTTCTCATGTCTTAAAGAACTCGCCAAGAAAGGCGCTTATGGATTGGTTCAAAATGTTTACCTGTTTGGTTCACCTAATGTGGTGAACCAGGACGACTACTTAAAAGCGAGATCCGTTGTGGCTGGTAGATTTGTCAATGGATATGCAAGGAATGATTGGATTCTAGGATATCTTTTCCGCCTGACTAGTGGTGGTATTAGACGTGTTGCAGGTCTTGCACCGGTCGAGAACGTTCCTGGAATAGAAAATGTGGATGTTACTGATCTAGTACCGGGACATATGGCATATCGTACTGCCATGCCCAAACTTCTTCGAGAGGTGGGATGGGAGGTTGAGAGCGATGAGTTTACTGAAATCGAAGATCCAGACCCAGAAAATCATGCAGAGAGGCAGAGAGAACTTATTAATGAAATCGAGGAAGCCCGAAAAGAATTCGAGAAGAAAGAGAAAGAAGGGAAAGGAAGATTTAGTTTCTTCGGCCGTAAAAAGAAATCCGCCGTCGAACGGAAAGAATGGGAGACATATGTAGAAAGTTCAAAGAACGAGCAGAGTCGTGATTCAAGCCGATCTGGAACAGAGGATGGCCAAGGAAATAACCATGGTATTCTTTTCGACATCGATGCTATTCGTGCAGAAGTCGCCAGTGGAGTTGCTGCCGACGGTGGTACAAAGGAGCATATGGCGGTTAAAGAACTTAAATCCACACTTCCACCTATGAAACTCAGCCTCGCCTCTTCATCTAATAGTCCACAGTCTAGTCCACGAAATTCTCTTCGACCAACAAAAAGCGATGATGCGAGTACAGCATTACATGCCTATGATTATCGTTCGCCAGGTCATTCTCCACGTCCCTCAAATGGGTTTGGCGCAGGCTCAACATATTCGTACTCGAATTCAAATTCTCGACAAGATCTCGCCAGGAATTCACCATATCTGGCTCAGGAACCTGAGGAAGAACTTGAGATGACTTTTGATACCGCGTATCATTCTCCTCCTCATTCGGCTAGTGTTAGTAGTACAAGGTTACCTGAGAGAGGACATACAAGTTTCCATTCTTTAGGTCATGTGGCCGATGGCAATGGTGCGTTTGGAGGTGGTTTCGATGGAACTGGATCAAGTGGTGCAAGACCAGAATTGAAATCAGCTTCTACATTACCTGTGGGAATAGGAACAGGAGTAGGAGTAGGACTGGGATTGGGAGTGACGGGTATGGGATTAGGATATGTGGCGGAAAAAAATGCGTGGGCGGATGATGACGAGGATGAATTCGCGGGGGGTGGGGGAGAGGAGGAAATTGAGATGACTTTTGCATAATTGGATTGGATTTTGACTTTGCGCTTTTTGGGTGCGGGGTGCGTGCATTGCATTGTATGGATGGATTGATGAATGGGTTATTTTATACGTATGGATGGGATGGGTTGGGTTGGTTGGTTGGTCGGTTGTAGTGTAAATCGGATCAGAATAGGGGGGTGAAAAGGTTGGAGAGGGAAAGACGAGTAAAAGATGAATGAAAGAAGGAAAGGGATAGAGAAAGAGACAGAGAAAGAGATAGACTTAATGTGCATATTCATATGGATATATGGGTTAGTGTGGAATGAATAAATGCATGCATACATGTATTGATATGGATTGATAGCATGATGTATTCGAGTATTTGAGTGATTGAGTAAGTGAGATGGATGTTTATGGTGAATGGTGAGTGGTTTGTGGTTTGTGGTTTATGGTGGATGAGTAGATTGTGATTGTGATGGTGGTTTGAGTGGGAGTAGTTGTAGGAGTAGGAGTAGATATGCAAATACAGAAAATATAGAAAATGCAAAAGATATCAAATACAGAAAATATAGAAAATGCAAAAGGCACAAAAACATAAATATAGAAGATATAGAAGATATACAAATGAATCCTATATGATAATATATATCATATCATATCAAGTAATCATAATTTTATGAAGAAAGTTGGTTTTAGGCTGGGGGTTGTTTGGATTTCTGAGAGCTTGGAGGGGTCGGAGAGGAGTTTTTTGTGTTTGTGTTTGGGAGGAGTGGGAGGAGTGGGAGGGAGAAAGGGGAGAAAGGGGAGAAAGGGTTTAAGATGTGGTTATTCGGGGGGATGTTCTATATGTGTTGATGTTTGATATTTAATTATTTGTTTGCTGAAGTATTTTCTTGAGTATGCTCTTGTGTATATCTGATATCGAATCTGTTTTGAATTCGTCTTTGTGTCTTTTGTGGGAGATTTATATATGTATAGGTAGGCATAGGTAGGTATAGGTAGGTATATATATCTACTTCATGATATATAACGATCGATGTGGATAGTACAGGTGTGTTATGGTTATTGATGAATATGGAGGGATGGGATGGGGAGTGTGGTATTAGGTTTAGATTTAGATTTAGGTTTAGATTGGCATTTTTGAGGAGGATACTGTGGATTCGGGATTGGATATTGGAGATTGGGTTTTATTGTGGATGAGAGGGGATTATTGTGTGGGGATGGAATGGGATGGGGTGGAATGGAGTGAAAAATGTATTTGAGTATCGATATTTATATCTATCTTCCTGATAGAAAATGTACATGTGGGAATAAATAAAGAAAGAAAGAAATGTTGATGGCTATTTGCGTTGAGTGTATATGTAATGGAAGGTTAGAGGGTAGGTCGGGAAAGGGGTGTTGCTGCTAAGCGACTGAGGCTGATCAGATAAGGTTGTGGTTTAGAGGAATTCGACCAAGGATCTTGAGCTGGAGTTTGATTGAGAGTTGAGAGTGCTGGGAGAGGGATTTGGGGATGGATGATTGTAGGTGTGGTTGTGGCTGGCTTTTGTAATAGGAGAGGGATGGGTAGGTTGATCATGTGTTAGTTTGAGAATAGGTCGATATTTGAAAGTTGATAGATGTCTAAGACTTTAAGTTGAACATTTGAAAGTAGGTGAAGTCAAGAAGCTAGGAACGATAATCATATCTGCGATGACAGAGAGGAAATCAGAAAAGTCTGAGTAATCACTTAGGATTAGTTGAGCTGTGAATATACTTGGTGTCAAGAAACGTCATATGTCAATGCAAGAATTGTTGGATTTGTTCTTGCATTTGATGTGAAGCAAAGGGTGTTATTTTTGCTGAGCAAGTTTGTTCCGATACTGTTACTCAGGTGTCTATAATAAGTGATGAGCAGAAAGGTTCCAACTCCGATGAAGAGAGGGGATTTGGGAAATCGTAGGTTAGATTCTCGGCAGTGATCAGAGATCAAAGAGGATGAGCAAGAGAATAGGATAATCGGTGTACCTTGGGCCGATGGGATGTATGGCCTCGATTCCATTAACAAAGATCTCAATATTACACTAGATAAAGTAACTCGATTCCTGATACGACAAGTGGGACTTGGATGTAGATGCATCAAGATTTTTCCGTGAGTCTGATACAAACTTTTGAATGCACCAAATGAGAGTCTTCAGCGTTCGAAATCCACAAGTCGTTGGAACTTTTGAGGTGTACGGATATCGTATCCGGGAGGTAGAGAGGCATGCAATCCACAAGCTGGAATTCACATTTTAAGTACAGTAACTTCATTTTTATAGGGAAAGCGTTTGGAAGAATAAAGTCTAAGCCTTTTGTTGTGTGTTCGAGTGGCAAGAGTAGAGATGATGTTGGAACAGCTTAAATTTATAAATTTCTTGCCCTTCAATTTATGATGTATCTGTTCCGCACCTTCTGTTTGACGTTGGAAATTTATCCCAAGTATATTTTAAGTTTGAATGTGTACTTACCTAGCCCTCAGGATAATCTCCTGTCTATCTCATGAGTATGCAATACCATTCTGGAATTTGAAAATACCATAACTTCTCTTGGTCTTGATTTATTAATCGAACTGTCGATTTGTGATTGCGCCGAACATTCATCGGTTTAGGGTAGAGTACCATTTCATTCTTCCAAAAATTTATTGAAAAGGAGCATATCATATACCCCGCGAAAAAATCGGTTCTATAATCTTCATACTTTTTTCATCAATAAGAATACCAAACATCACCATGCCAAACACAGATCACTACATTCTCAAACGCAGCGGTTGGCTCTTCCTACTCGTCTTCACCCATCTCTCAGCATCTTGTCTCCGCACCATCCTCGACCGCACCTTTCTCGTCGCCGATTTCGACAACTATCCTCCCTCATCTTACATGTGCGATCATGAGCACTTTTGTTATCATTGTCGAAGGAAGAGTCAGAAATGGGAAGAACGAGCGAAGACCGAAGGAATCAAGACACCTTTTGGGACTGTTCTATTCAAGGATGAAGATGAGGATGAGCAGACCACGGCTATTATTGAGAATGGGATTGTGGGGGGTGTTTTGATAATAGGGTGTGCGGGGCTGTGGAAGACGAGGGGGGTTTGGGGGTGGTGGGTGGTTCCAACGGGGCTGGGGCTTTGGGCGACTTTTTTTGCGGACTTCTTTTGGGTGTTGGAGAAGGCGGTGGAGAAGTTGGAAGAGTCAGGGATGTTTGATGATGATAAGGAGAGTGAGGAGGAAAGCGAGGATGAAGATGAGGAAGATGAGGAAGATGAGGAAGATGAGGAAGATGAGGAAGATGAGGATGATGAGGTTGATGAGGTTGATGAAGACGAGGATAATAATATGCTACCCCCTCTCTTATGGGTAAATGATTGAAGTATTGAAGTATCGAGATAAGATTACGGGATTGATATAAAGTAGCAGAGGCTACTCCTTCAGCAACATGGCCTTTAAGAAACATAGTTATAATTCGGCTTTGTTCAGCAATGAATACTATAATTTATCATATTATTAGATGTAGAACTCTCTGCATCCAAGCCTGGCCACTGTTCCGCTGATGATATACTGCAAATTATCGTGTATTTACCGGGAAAACCCACGACTTTAACAGCAGGGCTCATATAATAACCTCTCAACCACTACAGGTTCCGAGCCTAATGTGTATGCTGCGCTCCACTCCTCGAGACTTCGTGAAATATGATTGGAGTAACTTTGATGATATCTCCAATCACACCTATCAGTATCATCCACGTTCTCCAGTTCATTGCCTCCTCTCTGCAGCTCTCCTGAACCCATTCATCCCCAACCACAAACTTAATCCACAAATAACTCCTGATCCTTTCTGGCTATCACACAAAAGAGACCCGGTCGATGGCGTTGACGACATCGCTAAGTCCACTAAATGGACTGACGGGACATTTCTCAGCTTTCTGAATTTTAACAAATTCGTTCTCCAAATGTTTGATACCGGAATCTATACTTTCTTGTTCAATCTGTAATGAATCATTATAAAAATTCAGACAGCCGAAGTAATATTTCAAGGAATATTGGCAAGTCGATTTTTGCAGCGTCAAGTCGGTCCGTACACCACCCACTGGCGGTCGTCTATCCTCGTCAAATGCTCTGCAAATCATGCACGACTGTTATTAAGGGGGTCCATATGATTTTGTTGTTCCCGCTCACCAAACCAAGCAATTTATTGAATGTCCAGAAATCAATGACTGAATTATTGTAAAATGCTCGTGGCTCATTGTCTGATACTGGTACGGCTTATATCATTATAAATGTCCAAGATCTGACAAGAGATTTTCTAGTCCTTGATCACATTGATCATTGATGTCAACCAATGTTGAAAGCTTAAGGACACCTAAGACAATGAGAATCATACGAGTATCAAGCTCTCGGCTGTCAACAAGAGACGAGTTCAACTCTCTCTACTTTTGAGAGATGTAGATCATTAATATAGCAATTTGAAAAGGTGGTGAACCATTTAGATAATAAAATAATTATAAGTTTACTGGCGTAGAATGTGGCTGATTGTTCGGAATCATTTAGTGAAACATAACCTACGTTTTCGGCACATAATCTCATTTAAATTCGATATTCGAATTCTACTTAGAAAGCGAAGAACTTCGAGAGCGTGATAGGGATTTCCAGTTTGCTATAAATGAGAAAATAATGGTGAGTTTGTTTCAGTGAAGCATTTCAAAGGATAGAGAGGATGCGACATAAAAAACACGAAATGACGTTCAAGCTCATGCATCTCGAGCCGAACCGAGTCGGCACTGATCATATGCTCCCCCACAAGCCCATAAAAGCCAACGAAAGCCTCTGCGACCTTTCCAACCATTTATCTTTCACCACACCCATTCAATTTAAGCACAGCTCATTAACTGAACTGACACAGCATTTCCACACTTCTATTAACCCACCTAGAATTCACCATTTATCACCCGCTTCAATCAGCTCGCAAATAGCAGCTGACCCTAAATATCACGATCACCATATCTCAAATTCCTCTTCAAAAACAAGCCTCTGTCACTCGAAGTCAATATGCGCCACTTACAAGCCTTCCTCTCTTTCAAAATCCATCAAGACCAAAATTATTAGTCGGAGACTTTCTCTCTAGCTATACTCAAAATGCCAGATATATCACGCAATCGTATCGAAATCTGGCGCAGTGAAGTTGAGTCGCAAACTTCATCGCAATCGGGTGTAGCAGTGGACATGGGGTGGAATGCACCGGTTGTACGACCACAGAGCTTTTGGAGGCGTGTACTCGGATTGGGATACAGCGGCAGCGGGAGCGGGAGCGGTTCTGGTCGTGGTAACGAAGTTCGGAATGGAAGTAGGAGTGGAAGCGGAAGCAGGAGTAGAAGCAGCAGGAGCGTGAGCATAGGCAGGAAACTTGGATTGGTGAAAGGAGAGATCGAGCGAACTGGGATGTATACCGTGAAGATTAAGGGAGATAAGGATGAGCTCGAGAGAGAAAGCGACTTGGAGGGGAGAGAGAGAAGCAGAAAGAGGGATGAAGAAAGTAGTATGGAGCTTGATGGTAGTGAGGAAAGTGTGAGGAATGGGTTAAGGGAAAGAAAAAACAGGTTAGAAAGGGCAGCTAAGCTGTTAGGAAAGAATGAAGGAACGAGAGAGAATAGACAGAGGAGTTAGGTTGTCTTGTGTATGGGTATCTTGATGAACGGTTGAGATTGCAGAGACTAGTTGCGATAAGTTGTAATGGGTTACGATGCAGTATTTGGCGGATTGGATAGCATCATTCATGACACAGGAGGATTAGCATTAGCATTGGACAAATTGATGCGTGGGACTACCTATGTGCTACAACTTCAAATAAGGTCACACGAATGCTTCCAAGTATCTCATGAATAAGTCAATATCATCGACTTTGACCAAATTCCTGGCTGTAAATTTCTCGAACTCAGTTGGTGACTCGAAACAGGCATCGTGAAATATTCAATGAGAATTGTAGCACTAGCTATGAGAAATTGATACATAAATGTTCAGATGATAGTTTGATTGATAAAGGGATCTAGATAGGCATTTGTATACCTACCTACTCAGGTAGTAAAACTTCACTCTTGTTTATGTTCAATATCTCCATGTTACTTATTACCATGGTACGAAGCTCAAGAAAATGTGGGAAATAAATGGAAGTGCTGTACATCACATGACTAGGTATTGATTTCTAACCCAGCGGCAAGAACCAACTCCGACACCTTTTCCATAATAATAATTTTAGTCCTTTGGTTCTGCATCTTTGTTACACCTTATTTACAGAAAATATGTCGAAAACAGTTGTTGTTAAGTCACCAGCGGAATTCAGCAATCTACTGAAGACCTCTAAGATTGTTGTGACAGATTGTAAGCTACCCCGCCGAAAGCCCCTCCCATTACGACTTGCCCCTCCATCACTATTTGCAATACTACTATGAACTGGTGTGGACTTCACTAATGCTTTATCCTTTATACAGTTTACGCGGATTGGTGCGGACCATGCAAGGCTATTGCGCCCATGTACGAGCAGCTTTCTGCGCAGCTATCACGTCCAAACAAGATTATATTCACAAAGGTCAATGTTGACGACCAGACCGAGATTGCATCCACCTATGGTATCACTGCGTATGTTCCCCCTGTATAGCACATTACTGAACAAGTGGACAGAGTCGATGATCCGGGGTATTTATACGGAGAGTCTGCTAACATAACTTCGACAGTATGCCAACATTCATGATCTTCAAGGGGGGCAAGCAAGTCGAGAAAGTCCAAGGTGCCGATCCAAAGAAGCTACAAGATATTGTAAGAAAGTTGGCTGCAGAGGCAGATGATTCAGGGGATTCTTCGTCTGGATTCGCAAGCGGATCTGGATCTGGCGATTGGCGCGCAGGAGCTCTTCCAAGAGGCTACAACGATGTGACAGACCAGGTTGATATCAAAGGTCTAGAACTGTTGAACGCCGACAGTGAATTCGGAACTGTGCGAACATTAGTTGATACAAGCAAACCCAGTGCCTTGTCGACTGGAAAGGCGGCAGATTCGAAGACTAAGGACTGGGTTGTCAGTGACACGGATGAGCAGCTTATGTTGTTTATGCCGTTTCAATCTATGTTGAAAGTTCATAGTGTTCAGGTAAGAGGCATTTAACATATGCGCATAGTTTTCAAGTATTGAGGCTAATCTCCCTTCCCACAGATCACCTCTCTGCCTTCAGCTTCTGACGATGAGGATGATGATGAAGCGCCAATGCGACCAAAAACTATCAAGATCTACACAAACCGAGCTCACACTGTTGGGTTTGACGAGGCTGAAGGTCTTCCTGAGACACAAACTATCACACTGGAAGCCAAGGACTGGGATTCAACCGGCACTGCTACATTATCACTCCGCTTTGTCAAGTTCCAGAACGTTACTAGCTTGGTATTCTTTATTGTGGATGGTGATGGAGACAGTGAGAAGGTACGCATTGATCGCATTAGAATTATTGGGGAAACTGGTGAAAAGCGCGACCAGGGAAAGCTGGAGAAGATTGACCATGACCATTAAAGATGATGGAGAATGATTTGTTTACGATGATGAGCGGTATAGTTATACGATGATAGGCATGGGATGGCGTTAACAGATGTGCCTTCTGGGGCGCTTTTGTGCATGGCATTTGAGTAGCATGATTTATGAATCAGCATCATGAAGATATCCTTTTCCGCGAAACTCGCCTTCACGTTGACGTCGATGACTACAAGTGATTGTCATGATTTGAATTGAAATACTAAACTACAACCTATCTTTCAAAGAAAAAGAAAAAACCACAAACCGGATCTGTGGTAACACGTTCGCAAAATTCTACCTTGACTGGCGTGCGCGTCCCGAAGCACATCTTTGAATGCCACCCAGACAATTGCGAACTTCCAACAAGATTCCTGCAGTCCATCGAATCTGCTTCTAATCCAATAACCAACACGGTATTAAAATAAAGAATGTCCGAACTCTCTCCATCCTCTCACCCACCAACCGTTATCCGTTGGGCCCTTTCAGACAAACCGACGAACACAGCCTGAATTCTCGACGTAAAGTTTCGAATTCGCGGAAAGAGGTTAAAGAGAAAGCAGCGGTTGCAATTGGGATCGATCTATGGTACCATTGACACTCGTTAACATCATGGCGAGCAGATGCGCGAAAAACACGAGGTACCAAGCCGCACTTAAAAAATAAGTTGAAAAAGAAAAGGTTTCTAGTTGTGCGAGGAAATTTTGTTATATTTCACAAATTTTGGCGGGTCTGAGCTAGCTGGAAGGCTAGGCTGAATGGAGATTGGTGTGATGCTTCTGATACCTTGGTGCCTTATATTTTAGTCAGACAGTTTATTCTCCGAAGTCCCGAATCTCGAAAGCTTGAAGTCCCCGACGCCTTCACTACCTACCCAGATATTTTTACAGCCGACTTGCCACTCACTAACCCTACTTTGCAGGCATCAATTTGACTACTACTAGTCTGTCGTACAAATGTTTTTTGAGTCTAGAATTCTGATAAAAGTCTAAAAGTCTAGACTTCGTCAACCAAAACTCTATTTAGAGAAGAATCACCACAATGGCATACACACATACACACGCCCACACGCACACACACACAACATTGAACAAGTTTGATATCGAACAAGCTTAATATTAGGATACTCAAGTTCTAGTATGGATCAATTCAGTCATACATCTGTCATACCTCTGTCGTTTCTCTTCTTTCCTTGAAGGTTGATTACTAGGTGGGTATCTAGTCCTCAGTAGTAAGGCCCGTTGATATGTCCAATTCTTATAGTATGTCACACATGGACTAAGTAGGCCGTTAAAGTGTACTTCCAACTTCTCGAGTCACTAATGTACAAAGTTAATCTTTCTATGCAACAAACTCTTCCGGACTGTATATCTTTACTTCACTGTATGAGCAATGCAAACCGTTTCACTTCTTCGATCAGCCTGAGGATAATGGAAACCAACATTATGGCTGAGCAGAAGCTGTCAGTAGCTTCTTTATCATTGTGGACAGTGCGGATCTCCTGTCCCGTCTGTCTGCCGTGGGGAAAAATGATGCTTGGACCACATCATCATGATCTTCTCCCCGAGCTCGAGGTGGACGATCAACAGTCAACTAACTACTTTGTATCTATCTTGGCTAGAACCGGTCATTCTTGAATCACTAATGTACGATTTTTATTTGGCTGTACAAGCTTTCTCCATTAAAAATTCGTTAAGCTTGTGGTTCGATGACCTACTTGTGCACGAAGGGTACAGTAGTTAACATGACAGAAGCCCGGTCTTCTCTATCATCGATCTTTACATTGGTGTAAGTGCCGTTTTGCTAATCTGGACCCTCTTTATGATAAATGATGTGCATGATAGGTGACGCTAGCCCATAGACTACTGAAATCAGAGGATTTTATACCACCTCTACATTCCACTTCAAGTACCTATATAATTTACTTAAAACAGATACTGTTTGAATCAAAAGTAATCTTCTGATTTCACCCTCCTTTACAACCTTTCAATCTCGACTCTGACTGACTGCGACCTGCATGAGCTGGTACCTGCACATACATATAGGTTGCAGTTTCCACAGCTACCGGTTCCGGAAAGGGCAACCATCTGGTCACCACCTTGGCTGGGCATCTTAAGGCTTGTATACTTTCTGAGAAATTCACAAACAAGATCTGAGTGATTATAGGCCATACCTCCCACAATAAAAGTGCAAAACAACTGCAGTTGATACTCAGTGCACTTGATTGACGACCATTTTCATTCTCATTCTCCCTCGAACCGATGACCGATCGACCTTTTGTACCACTCAGGTCTGTGTGGCCAGAACCCGTAGCTCTACCCCATCACTATACCCCTCATGCCGGTTCGTCAAAGAGTAAACCTACAGGGTTTCATCAATCAGTGCGTTCGAAAGGAGGATGCTGGTATGCCTTTCGTCTATCCGGATTTTTTACACCAACTAATTTAATTGTAGGACATGTAGATCTCGTAGTTCGTATTCTATCGCATACCTCCAAGCTTTTGATACTGGACACTGCAGCTAATACTTTTCGTTGCGTAGAGGTCAAGTGTGATGAAACAAAGCCCATATGCAATGTCAGTAACTATTCTACTGGGGATCATGCATTGTATCATATTACTGACATATCTCTAGAAATGCTTTCGTCTATATCATCATTGGTACAGCCGCTTCTTTTCTTTGTGTGTAACTAAATGACTGACCAGTATAGTGACTGGGAACCAAGACTCAATTTCAGGTATGAAACAAATAAAATTGTAGCCCGTATGCCAGGGGTTACTTTGAAGGGTAACTTGATCTGGGATCGTATGTCTAACGGAACTATCTTGTTTTCGAAAAGTCCTATTATTGACGTCTTCAGCATCCGCTTCGATTATGCCTCCGCAAAGCAATCGATCAAAAGAACATGACACGTTACCACCCTTTAACGAACTGTCAAACGACGGTCAACGTGAGAAGAAGGCTTCCTTTGATCAACCGGGAGTTTATACTTTAGTCGTTGTACCGGAAAGTTTTCATGAGCTGCCAGAGTACCAGACCAAAAGCCCAGGCCCGAAAAGCTTTGGTACGAACGGACTTCCTTCTGCTCAGCGATTCCAGTCAAACAGACCAGATGTTGTTATCCTAGGAAGATTTGTAGGATATTCGGGTAGTCGTAGCCAGTCAGAAAATCCACCCTCCAGGAAACCCAGCTTGGGAAATGTTTCACCTCCCAGTGAGCTATCTACCATACCTGTGGATAGAGAAACAGACTCATATCTGCTGGATCATTATCGAAATGTACTAGCGAATCAAATATGCTGGTTGGCTGAACAAGTTTCGGGGCCAGATGTATTTGAAAGATATTCTGCAGATTACTCTCCTGTAAGTAAAACCAAAGGCATTAAACCTAGACACTTACTTATAGAGAAGTTGTATCTCGCCATCCTAGCCTTGTCTTCCCTGAGTCTATCTCAATCGAATCACATACCTTTTGAGGACGTTTTGTGAGTAAGCCTTGTCATCACCAGGAGATTGCACAAATCAATTTGGAAATCCTGGTACTTGACATTGAAAGCTAATATCAACGGAAGGAAGCGATACCATATGGTCATTACCGCGTTGGGCAGTTCAGTCAAAACTGAGGAAGACGCCTACTCTGATGGGGCGCTATTCACGCACTATTTACTTTTACTATTTGAGGTAAGTCAGAGAAGCACTTCGTATTCGAGGTAGAATCATAATTGATATCTTTGGTCATTTCACAAACACACTTATTAACGAATGGTGCAAAGGTTGCTGCGACCGGACATCGTGAATTCAATATGTGGGAACAGCATTCCGATAGAATTCTATGTATTCTTCAGCTTCGTCAGAAAGCTTATGGCAAAGAAACACATGGATTCATTATTGTTGTAAGTGTAATCAAATGTTTGTTCTTGGATTTCAAATTCAACCCCCGGCTTTATGCTACGGCACCCCCTTTCAAGACGTCAAATATTCATGATTGGCAAATTTGATATCTGCTTCCAATGATGGAATCAGCACAACAAACCATTCGAGTTTCCCGGTATACTTGAATATTAAAAAACTTTGATTGTAGGGCTGCAGCGCGTACTCTTGGAAATCTGTGCCTTTCTACTCTTCAAAATAGCAGCCACTTGCCGTCTAATTGCGTTTACCTTCATAATAGACAACCACTGATGCAGATATTATAGTATACCTCATATATTGACATGTATGCTCTTCTGACCACTACTGGCACGGGGTCTTTCAGCAAGACCATTATTGAGCAAAACATGCTACCGCCTCCCGAAGACGCTCTGCAGAACCGATCGCTCAACATGATTTTCAACTCGGAAGCGCTTCGCCAGATGCCCGATTTGCTGAGGATGAGTCGAGAACTAACTCTGATTGCCCTTAAAATGGCACATACGGCACGAAAATTGAAGTCGGAAGAAAAAGATCTTTCAAAGCCAAGACTTGAAGTTAACATGAATCGATGCAGATCTATGCAAGATTTGCACATACTTCTGATGAAATTTCGTGACACTTGGTCTAGATTTCTAGAGAGGAGGACCGTGGAAGAGAGCTGGCTTCGCGAATTGGCACAACTTCCAAGCGGACCATTTATTACTTGTAGAACAAATGTTAGTTTTTCCAAATCAATGCAGAAGAAACCCCGTTAACAGAGTTAGGTAAACTTGTTTTATCGAGCTTGCAAAATATACTATCACACAAGCATGTATCAAGGCCAATCGTTGATACTATCAGCAGAAGTGGGAGAAGAACTCTCTTCATGTGCCAGAGAGATAATTTTGATAAGCAAAATGATGATAGATCTAGGGTGTCTTGGGTCTAGATTCATAGTATTCCCTATTTTCATGGCGGGTATGGCATCTCGGGTGAAGGAAGACAAACAAAGTGCTTTAAGCTTCCTTCACAGATTGGAGGAGACAAGCTTTGGTTCGAATACACGCACCACGAGAAAGTTGCTCGGATCGATAATCGAAAAACAAGAAATTGCGACCGCTGAGACGGGAAACCATTTGTGTGTTAGTTGGATTGAAGAATTGGAATCGAGTGGACAACAATTAATATTGGTGGGCTTGTAAAGTTATCGACGGGCTATGGGCTTCGCGGTGTCGGTGGCTTATTGTAATGGGATGACATGAGATGGCGTCAAAAATTGATTTGGATAGTCAAATGGTCTTGGATAACAATTCTGGCTGTTCTGATTGTTCTGGTTATTCAGGGCGTTCTGGTTGTTCCGTACTATTAGTTGTAGGGCTAGAACTAGATCAGATAGATATCTCTCGATCAGAATTTTGTAACAATAGTAGTTACTACCTAGTCATTAATACTGAGAACATAATGTTACATCAAAACTACCATGAATCTGTTGTACACATTTTAAATAAGAGTCTTTGTATCTGACGTCTGCATCTGCGGGTTGGAGTAGAAATGCAGATAGATACAAAGGCATACCCTCCCCCTCTTTCAAAGGTTTATAGTTATTCCAATTTATACATATATTCGATTTTACAGTCGTATATTACTATTATACTTCTAGAATGTAGTCAAAATAGTACATATAAGGTACCTCCATCACCCTTATGCCATACAAAAGCTTTCCGCATAAATCTTGATAGAATAATTTCCTCGCAAGCTCTTAGACATTCCAGGTTATACAAATTAACTTCACATATCCCAATTGGGTAATATTGTACAAGACTACCTAGGTACACACATACTCTGTAGTTTGGCCTTGTTTTCATGAGGCTGCAACGACCCGAAGCGCAAACTTTTGTCTGTTATGTGATTGGTTAATATTGCCCCGCCGCCTTATGTTATCAGGTTGCAGAGGGGTGACGATTTCGGATAGTATCGATATCCACATCTTGATGAAACAACATTTAACTCATTTGTACAAAAGAAGACCTAGGTTGAATCAGTTGAAGTCACCACCACTTCTTCACCTGCGAAACTGAACTCTATGAACTGCACGCACCATTTCTAATCATCATCATAACCTTACGATTCACGAAACTCAACTCTTCCTCTCATTAACATACTTTCAATCTCTAGCTTCCAACCGCGAAGGTTTCTAATAATTCCAAATCCAACATCTTTCTGTCATCTGAAATTATCACACCCTTCCTCATCGCACACAAAAAAGTGAACCTAGTCGATCATTCTTCGACCGATCATTCATCATGGATGACCCCGTCGAAGCTTTTACGTCCATTACAGGACAATCGGAGGCTGTGGCAAGAGTGTACCTTGGAATGACCGACAACAATCATGAACAGGCAATAGGATTATTCTTCGAAGCTCCCGAACTTGCAAGCCAAAATGCTGCTTCTCAACAAGCGCCGCCACCAATACCTACTTCTACCAGACCACAAAGATCTACGAACCGCGCCCAACAAAATGCGTCTGGGGTAGTCGATTTGGATTCCGATGACGACATGGAAGTCGATGATGATAATAGCGATGGCAACTCTGAAACTGCAACAGCTGCCGCTATAGCACGCGCCGCGGAAGTTGAGGATGATGCAGCTATGGCGCGCAGAATGCAAGAAGAGCTTTACAGTGGTGGAGATGCAAGTGGCGGATTCGATGCAGAAGGCGTCAGAGCGCCTATTGCGAGAACAACGGAGACGCTTGTCGGTGGGCCAGGTGGATGGGATGGAGATGATGCCCTGCAAAGTGAAGTCTTGGAGCAAATGAGACTCCGGGCTCAAAGACAAACCAGGGCGGCTGGCGATGGAGGCACAGGTAAGGACAATGATTTCATTTTCTTCCATATGTTTCTTTACTAATATTGAAACAGCTCGAACAGGAATTCCAGGTGGACGAGCGGCTCCATCGATTTGGGACCAGGAGAACGAAGATACAGCACGAGCGGTTACAGGAGCAGAAGGCACTAGTAAGAGCGCCCGTCTTGCAGAGCTTTTTAGGCCACCATTCGACCTCATGTACAAGTTACCTTGGGACTCCGCTCGCGACGAGGGAAAAGAAAATGGAAAGTGGATACTAGTCAACATTCAAGATAATTCTATCTTCGACTGCCAGTCATTGAATCGCGACATATGGAAAGACCCTGGAGTTAGAGATGTTGTGAAGGAGAATTTCATATTCATGCAGTATTCCAAGGACGATCCACGGGGCAGCCAATACATTCAATATTACTTTCCCCAGAAAGATAGCGAGGCCGCATATCCTCACATTGCGATCGTCGACCCAAGAACTGGAGAGCAAGTCAAGGTTTGGTCAGGGCCTCCAGTACCAAAGCCTGCAGAATTTCTCATGCAACTGGTTGAGTTCCTTGACCGATATAGTCTCGATCTGTCCAAGAAGAATCCTGTCGCAAGACGAAAGCAAGAGAAGACAAGTGCGGTAGATGTCAATAAGCTCACTGAAGAGGAGATGCTTAATCTAGCGATGCAAAATAGTCTCGCGAATAACGAAACAACGGGACCTAAAGCTGATGATCCAGATGACCTCACAAAGAGTTTCGGAGATGTCAGCAAAGGAAAGGGTAAAGAGACTTCAGAAGAGAGCTCAGAGATAGCCGAACCTTCTCAAAATGATTCCAATTCTAGTGCAGAAGTCTCTCCTTTCTCTCAGATTGCTTCTGACAGACCGCATACTGAGCCCGAAGGCCCCCTTTCACAAAGTACGCGCATTCAGTTCAGACACGCCAATGGTCGCGTTGTTCACAGATTTAGGCTCGATGATACAGTACGTCGTATTTACGAATGGCTAAAGTCGGATCCACTGGAGGGGAAAGCAGGCGTTCCATTTGAGCTGAGAAGCGCAGGGAAAGACTTGATAGATTCTTTGGAAGAAACAGTCAAGGCTGCGGGACTCAATAATGGGACTGTGATGGTGGAATTCATCGAGGAGTAAATGTTTTGCGAGTTTTGGAGATTATTGATACCAGAGAGATTGCTCGCATCGCAGGGCGAGATAATAATGAGCTGCTCACACCGTAAATGGAAAATACGCTTACTCCCCTGAAGTTGCTGATCCATTGTCTCTCACAAGAAAATCACATAGAGAGGGGCTTTCCCTTTCTCTACTTCGGCACCTCATCGTTGTACATAGACAGGATTTTCCAGCAATGCAAGGATTACCGGGTTCCTGGGCTATAGAATCATAGGAATGAGAAACGAGAATATCACGATATGAAATCATTTTTATTGGCATGATAGTAGTGACATTAAATATAATAAAGTTCTAGATACTGGATTATTAGATTCATATAATTTTTTGGTGTTGCTCGAGTGACGTTTATGACATACAGTAGTAACCGCCGGGGGCCACACGCTACGCTTTTTAACCCCTGGAATCATTGACGCTCTTCGGTTTCCACCCATTGGTTGAATGAGGTGGTTGGCTGGTAGACAAGATGCATGAAATGACAACAAAGACCAGTCATTTCGTGAAAATAATAAGCAATAATGTGTTTGTTTTTCTAGGATTTCGATTTGTTCCTGATTCTTTAATCTCAAATCTGGGAGTGCATAAGAGAAGAGTCATAATTATCATTAAACAAATAAAAACCCAATTTCCTATCTAGGCCCATTCGTTCCTCGACAGCCAATGCATGCCTAGGTACCTTCCCCAGATTGATGAAACAATACCTATCCATCCATACTTACTATCTATCTATCCCGCGTCCACATCTATTCGTGCATGCCGCTTCCCATAAGTTGCATTCCTCTAGATAGCTAGCTCGAGTTGCTACTTCTCTTCCGTTTCTATACAATCATTTTTCTTACTCCTTTGCGAAAAGAAAGGTTTACGTTTACACTATTCACGATTCTAGATACCCGGACAGGCTTCGACATTCAATCTCTTTCTTCTCTATTTGATATAGTGATACACACCCTCGGTAGCCGTTGACCCCACCATACCATACCGTACACCGCGTTCACAGGCCCAGATCGCGATCCCCTTGTCCCTCTGCAGAAAAAAGGAAGAGACGAAACCAACAAACCTTCTCCCGGCTGTTCGTGTATGAGACGATAAGTTATAACAAAGTAAAACTGATTGTGCCTGATACTTTGGACGATAGGCCAAATCAATTCACTACTACAGCCCTTCCCGGGGTTTGGAGAGCGACGAAATATCAGCGGGGTGCTCCCAGTAAAACGCGGACAACAAACCGACAACACGACCTGACATCAGCAGTGGCGTTATCTCATTTCTCTTTCCAAATCGAATCGACTTTGATTTTGAGTAATGGCGCATGAGATGAGTGGGGTTGTAGATCCTGAGACTTTGTATACAAAGCAGAATTGCATCGGTATGTTTGCGTATACTTTCATCATTCTGTATAGAGGCTCACTTTTATAGGCGGTGGTAGTTTTGGTAAAGTTTACAAAGGGTATGGTTCTTCCTTCTGCCAATTGCCAATCCAATTTCTCATCTGGGCCATGCACTGATCTCCAACAGAGTTGACAAGCGCACCGGGCAGGCTGTAGCCATAAAAGTTATCGACGTTGAAAATGCCGAAGATGAAGTCGAAGATATTATTCAAGAGATCTCTATCCTTTCCGAATTACATTCCCCGTTTGTTACGCAATACTATGGATCATATCTTAGAGGTTCGGATCTTTGGATCGTTATGGAATTCTGCTCGGGTGGTAGTTGTGGCGACTTGATGAAGCCGGGTCTGATACAGGAGGAATATATTTCGATTATCATACGGGAACTCCTGCTAGGCTTGGATTATCTTCATGGGGATAAGAAGCTTCATAGGGATATTAAAGGTTTGCATGATATTCGGTGGGAACTTGGGTTTAGATTCTAGGAGCTAACATCCGAGGACAGCTGCAAATGTTCTACTGGGCGCCAATGGACAAGTTAAACTCGCGGACTTCGGTGTTTCAGGCCAATTATCTGCTACCATGACCAAGAAGAATACGTTTGTTGGAACCCCATTCTGGATGGCCCCGGAAGTCATCAAACAATCTGGTTATGACCACAAGGCGGATATATGGTCTCTGGGTATCACAGCACTCGAGCTCGCCAATGGCGAACCCCCATACTCCGATATCCATCCAATGAAAGTTTTGTTCCTCATCCCTAAGAATGCGCCCCCAAAATTAGAAGGAAACTTTACCAGGGCTTTCAAAGATTTCGTCGAATTGTGCCTTCAACGAGACCCGAGAGAACGACCATCGGCCAGAGACTTGTTGAAACATGCCTTTGTTCGGAAAGCCAAGAAAACATCATATTTAACGGAATTGATAGAGAGATACGAACGTTGGGCAGTGCATCACAAGGGTGACGATGATGACTCGGATAACGAACGAGAAGAAGCCCCCCGACCTAAGCCTGTCGATGAAGACTTGTGGGATTTTGGTACGGTCCGACCAGTTGGCGGAAGAGGGAATGGAAGGGTTGGGCTGAATACTATGGGAGAATCTGACACGAATGCAAGAGCATCGAGGTTATCAGAGGAGAATAATTATGCAGAGCGCCCGAGACAGCAATCGCCCTCGAAATCAAAAGAACCAGGATATGTCTCGAGTATTGAAACTGTCAAAGCGACAAATTGTCCAGTAGATGCACAACCAAGGCAACCTTCTCCACAGAGACGGCCTGTTCCAAGTATTCAGACTTCAGTGTCTCCTACTAAGGTCCCTCTTCCACCATCACCAGAAAAATTCAGACCTCCAGGACTGGAGACACCTAGAACGGCTGCCAGCTATATAAATAGACAAGTTTCTGATTCTCCTGATTATGATCGTACTTTGCAAGAACAACTCCAAAAAGATATGGGATTTCTGAAGCTCGGTGAGCCATCTCCACCGCCATTGCGAATACCCCCTTCTACCGCCCCAATGCCAATACAGTACACGAATCAAAATACACCGCCTTCAGCATTACCACGGCCAAATACGCAACAGTCATTACCAAAACTCACCCCTATCAAATTGCCTGAAATTCCTCCATTCCGTGGCAGCGGTCAGCCTCAACCACTGCAGCAAAGACTTCCGAACCAAGTGCCTGCTACAGAGCCTCGGAAACAGCAACAGCCGCTTCCATTACCTCCCAACCCTACAGGCCTTCAAAATATCAATCTACGCCAGACAGGCCAGCAGCCATTACCTGCATTACCATCGAAAAAATTACGCAATACACCCTCTCAAGAAAGTATTTCATCTCAATCTTCTAGAGCTCCATCATCTATGCCTTCACCTGCTCCCGCTAGTCCAACCGGCGATCTTGATGCCTTGAACGATGTGATCTTTCCTGCGCTTGAAGAAGCACTCAAACGACGTCAGTATCGCTTACAACATGCTTTCCGCACGACTGGAGCCACTCCAAAGCAACAAAGGGCACAAGCTGCTCATGAGAAATTACGAAAATTAGTTTATAAGCTTGCACATGTGTGCAAGGAAATCGACCATTGGGATAAACAGGAACCAGTGGGGATGGGGAAAGATGTGGATGTTTTCCTCGAGGGATTGTTAGAGGAAATTTTGGTCAGGGTCGAACCGGCTGATGAGGAAGATGTGGATATGAGACGATGAGTGGATCAGTGCACAATTACGAATCTTTAATGTACGATGCATGAGGTATGAGGAATGAAGAAGACCCAGGTAGGGTCTATCATGATGGATGGATGGATCGGTTAGGTACAAACTTGATCGAATCTACGATATGAGGCGTTGGTTGGCAGAATTGAATTTGGTATTCCAAGAGGATTGAGGGGTTTTGTGTCAAGTACTTAGTATCGAGGCTTGCGAGAGATGTTAGGTATTAATATTCTAAAAATTGAAGATGATGACTCCTCTGGAAGAAGCTTCTTCTCATCCGAAAGTCATTGAGGTATTCCTAAAGGGGCTCTAAAGATGGAAATATATGTTTATAAGTGTGAATATTGATCGCTCGCTCACTCTTCACAATCATTGCTCCCAATGTGCGACGTCTCATGAGACATTCACATCACGTCACATGCACTTCTCACTTCCCACTTCACTTTCGCGAGTGGTGTTTATGGATACCTGGTACTTCATATCTCTCACCTTTGGAGCTCTGAGATGTGTCTATGTCTGTGTCTGCGGAATGTGTTCACTTTTGGGATGCTAGGTACCTACTAGGTATTCTATCAAGTACTAGGGACCTACCTAGTTTTGAATACCTAGTATTCACTGGATCGTCTTCTTGTTGTTCCTGCTGCTCATGGCTGGGTGTCTGTAGCTCTTTCTAGTTTGGGAGAGGGGGTTTAGGGGACCCCGCTTTGGGGTTGAGGTGGTTGGTGGTTAGTGGTTGGTTAGTTGATTTTCTTGCTGTCGTTCATCTTCTTTTGGTCTTCAACTTTTTGACTTTTTAACTTTTCAGGTTATAACTTGCAACTTACAACTTTGGCTCTTCGAAAACTTATCTTCAATAATAACGTTTCAACAGCATAATCTTCTACCACTATTATTTTGTTTGCTGGCGCCGACTATTGCAAACGCTTGCAAAAGTACGCTGATCCAGGAGCATTACTATTATCTTTTCACCTTTGGCTTCTCAGTTTGTTTAACAGCCTTCTGATTTACTGAATTTCCTTCTTATTTCTGATATTGGTTTCTTTGAAATTGATATACTTCTTCAGCTATCAACCGACTTCGCGCTAGCTTTCTATCAATACCCGTTATCTCTAGATAGGTGACTCGATACATACCTAGTATTTACCGCTAACTTTTCCCTCTGGCTTCAAAACTGTCTACTTTGCGCTTTAGAATCAACTTTTGATCATATTTTGTTCGACATCTGACCTTTTTTTCCCCTTCGAATACTTAAATTTTGACTTTGATAGCGAGTCTCTCTCGACATCTCAATCCCGATTGTCGGCTTTTAGTCGCTGTCTCTTACTCGCGCAGAAAATTTCATCTAGCATAACCAAGGCCATACGTATCCTTTAAACTATCTCTCATCGATAAGAGTGATATCTGGATATTTTATCAACTCGATATTCGGGGATGCAGTCATTCTTCTTAATGCTTTCAATCTAAAGGAAAAATTCCATCGCCGCTCCGAGGAACCAACATTGCTATTCCAATTTATCCTCTTCATATCTTCGGCACTTGATTCCCCGGTAAAACTGAACTTCTTACTGGGATTTTACAATCTACCCCATCATGATGGGCAACATTGGCTCCAGTAGTCGAAACAGTTTATCTCAGGCCTCCTCATCTACTTTTTCAAACACTCTCGTTCTTCGGCCATCGAAAGGAGAAGCGAAGAGAGTCGATATGCAGATTAGCGATATCATCGACTTGGAGATCCGCGATAAAGTTGCAGCAATGCTTCCATCCTATCCATCATACTCTCTTCTTTATCTTACTTATGTACTAGTTAGGAGAAATGGAAAATCGGACGCAGCCCGAGATCTTCTCCACGATACACGCCATAATAGAGATCAATATCTACCGATCACTTACATCACAAGTTTGAAGGAAATCGGGGATGTTACGATGCGCGACAAAGTTGAAGGTATTATCAAGATGGTACCGGAAGTGACTATCTGGTGGGCTTTTTATGCCTTGCAAATTTGTGATGGATCTGTTGATCATGCTATTGGTTTATTATTTGAGGGTGTTGTCGATGCTTCTAGGGACCCTGCGATACAGGTAGCTCTTGCATCTTCTAGGCGTGTCAGTCCGGCAATCAGTCCTATGAGCAGACCAGATGAAAGCTTGTTCATCGATTCGTCGTCAGACTTCGATAGCTCTTTTTTCAGCGACACTAATGGCAACGAGTCGTCCAAACCCACTTTATCCTCACCTGAGCTATTACAACAAACACTAAACAAATTATTCGTCGACACTAGCGACGACGACAAAGACCCTAAGTTAGAAGAAGAAGATACAACTCTGCGTGCCAGCCCTGACTACAGCAACCTGCAAAAGCCACCTATTGATAAAGGTAAAGGCGTGGACAAATCAGACCCGAAGGATCCTAACTCCGATTTTGAGATGAGCAATATTCCGCCCTTCAAGGAGAGTCCTCGGTTTAAGAGACACGAGGAACAGAACCGCACTTGCAAGTTTTGTGGGACGGTGCTTAAGAGCTGGTTGGCGCGAACTAGTCACGAGAAATCATGTCGTATGAAGACGAAGTCAATTTGTGTCAAGTGCAAAAGGGAAGTCTCGAAGTCAAATATCAGGAGGCACGAAGCCAGTTGTGACGGCCGTCAAACTTCAAGATGTGATGGCCCAGAATACGAAGTCCGTGGTTCAACAATAGTGACCGCTTCTCGTGATAATTCTCCAGATTTCGATTCATCTGACTCTTACACAGAAGATCAGCTTCAAAAAGTGAAGGAAATGCAGCTGTTCCTCCCTCGCCTTTCGTCTGATAAATGCATCGACTCCTTAGCGTTGTGCGATTATAATGTCAAAGAGGCTGTAAATTTGGAGAGGGAGGCGTTGACTTCGGATGAAGAAGTTGACGATCGAGGTTCGTATAGACGGAAGAATGATTCGGGGAAGAGAGGATCGGGAAGCACATCGGTAGGTCGAGTTTGAATGATAATGATATTGTTCAACTTCTGATTATACCTAGGTTGAGCGTGTCACAAAGAAGGCTCGTATTCAGATCGGCGACCGAGATACAAATTTAGAGCCCGCGAGCCAGTGGATTGAGTATGTGCCCACTCCCCATTGTTTGAACGTCGAACGGACATTCTAATCATGCTTTACAGAACCACATTTTCTGACCTTTGTCAAAATTCGGCTAACCTTACAATTGTCAATCTCTCTGACTCGAAAAGTCGTTCAGTTCCGACGAAGCTTCTTTGCGACAACTCGGAAAGCTTAAAGAATCTGATTGATCTCACAGGAGACGAAGATGTTCCAAAGGAGATACTTCTGTTGGATATCGAGTCACATTCCTTTGATGCGCTCATACAATATATGGCCTGTCGCAACGTCTCATTTGGTTCTCGAGGAAGCCAAACACAAAAGATTACTTCAATCGTAAACTTCATACTTCTCGCGGATGATCTCAAAGTTGCTGGACCAGCGACTACCATGCTTCCGGTTCTTGAAAGTCTTCTAAAGGAAGAACGAAAGGGACCGTTTCCTTCAACTATTTTGAAAGGTGACCATGTAGAAAGGGTCTTTTCGACTCTTGGAGCTAGTCATCCCATTTCAAAATTATTCGTCAGAGCATCAATACGACCATTTCTCTGTCACAAAATTGGCAACACTTCCATCGAAGAGGAGTTTGACGACGACTCCCAATTCACGCCAGGCGACATCGAAATCTATCGTAACAAGCCAGCGCATCTTGCATTCAGGCTGAACAATGACTTTAAATCGGCTCTATTATTGAAAGTTTTTGAAACTACAAGTACTAGGGAATATCGACAAGAATATACGCGCAGCAAAACCCCCAAAAAACCCACCACTTGGTTCACCGATCCGCTTGACGATAGCCAATTCACTATTTAAGCCGGTTGATCCAATATTCCCATTGTTTATCATCAAGCCAACATTCTTAATTTGTTACCATCATAGGATGTGTGGACTTGTTGAACTGGATGTGCCTTCGACTTTTGGGCCTGGGTAGGTTCAATCATGATCTGGTTTCGCGCAGCAATATCTTCGTTTGTTCATTGGAAAGCCCCTCTTTGACCATCAATACTTATCCCCGTCCGAAGAACATTGCGAGGAGGACCTACGTCAGGATATGAGATGAAAGTTGAAAGAGTGCATCTCCCCTATGCGCTCCTAAAAATGAATGGAGAGTGGATGGGCTGAAGTTATTTTTATAGTGAAAAATTTGAAGGCGAGACGGAGCGGAAAGATTATAGAATAGCTACAGATGATACTAGGGGACGAGTAAAAATGAAGATAATCTTATTTGAGATATTGCCTGTGCAGCAAATAATCCCGCGTACTCATGGAACTATTGATAGTTCCCAAAGTGGTGGTATGAAATGTCATCCGATATGAGGTAGAGTCACTGCAATTCTTTGACTCACATCAACTTGACGTGTTTGAGATTTGCAATCAAATTCAATGATTAATTTATAATCCAGGTCTATTCATAACACAAAGCATTCTGGTATCAATACTGCTCTTCTCCCACTAAAGAAAACGCTTCCTACATCAACAGTCTCCAAGCACCCAAAATCAACGCCGCCGTACCGGTGCAAACTCCCATCAACCATTGCAGCGTCTGAAACTTAACACCCTCCAACTTTTCCCTCAACCCAGCTACCTCCTGCTCAATCTTTGTTTCCGTTTCCTTGATTTTAAGATCTTGAACGTTGGCCTCCTCTCTTATCCTGCCCTTTTCCAAATTCAAATCTAATCGAACAGAAGCCTGGGTTCGGGAAACCTCATCGCGCAGACGAGCATTCAATTTAGCGAGATCATTGGTGAGTCGCTCGTGAGAAGCGCGGGTCGTGGATGATTCGGTGGAATCTGCAGAGAGCAGTTCACTGCGGAGGGCGGCGAAATCAACTTTTTGAGTGTAGGTTGCGCGAGCGGCATCTTCGCGGAGGACCATTGTGCGAGTTAGATTTTGGATGCTGGGACGGAGGTTAGCTGACTGTAGTCGGAGCTTGGGGAGAGAATGCGTATAGGAGTATAGATCATTACCTTTCTTCGATAACATCGCTGAGGACTTTCATCATAGCCACAGCTTGGGGTTCTGTGAACCCCTCATCCCGTAACCGTTGAACAAACTTCAGGGTATCGAAATGGTGGTCTCGAGATTGACGAGGGGTTGCGTGGAATGCTCTTCGACATGATGGTTCTTGTAATATGCTAGTTCGAGCTTTGTATCCGTTGTCTACGGATCGTACCCGATGGGATATCTGCTGACCAGAAATAGGTCTTTGTGAATTTCCATTATTGTTTGCTGCGGCGCTGAATGCTCGAATAGTATGCGGGGATATTGAGGATCGTGTCTGCCAGCTCAACTTGGGGAGTAAGAACCGCGGTAGTGTTTGTACGGAATTTGCAATTGGCTTTGCCATTGTATTTTACTTCTCTTAAAGACTTATAGAGAGTTAAATTAGCTTCGAATCTTGTATAATTCTTTCGGATCTCCGTTCAAGATGAGTTGTGTTCTCAATGATATTAATTTATTGATTGATACATCATGGCCGGCAGTATCCGTTAGTCACCGAAATAGTGGGAGTACGGTCACCGAGATTGTTAATTTTCTCGGTTGAGTCACCCACTTCAAAGAATATTATCTAGATTCGAAATCTTGCCCATTCACAGTCAACGAGGAATACTATTCACGACATTCGAATCATCTCTCGAATTTAAGATCGTATCTTAGAGAGAATATTGAGTTATCTGAAGATATTTCAGCCACCACAGATAGCTCCACATAAAGTAATTTCACCCGATTACCCCGCTACGCAAATATTCTAGCAAACAGAACAGCAAAAATCCACCAGAGAACGACCACCCAACATGGCTTCGAACGGTGACAAGTTTGGAAACGATCTGGAATCTGAATCCGATTCTAATCCAGGATCTCCTAATCTCGACGCGCAAGAGGTTGACGACAATGTAGAGGATATTGACGAGAAGCCCATCAAATCCGCATTAAAGAAATCATCACATAAAGAACCTGCGCCAGCTATTGTTCGACCTACGTTACCACCCCAAACAGAACCAAAAGACTTGGATGTCAAGTCCTTGACCCCCCTCACCCCAGAGATTATCGCAAGACAAGCAACTATCAACATTGGTACTATTGGACATGTGGCGCACGGAAAGTCAACTGTGGTGAAGGCTATCTCTGGAGTACAAACTGTTCGTTTCAAGAACGAGTTGGAGAGAAACATTACGATTAAGCTTGGTTATGCCAATGCAAAGATCTACCAATGCGATAACAAAGAGTGCCCAAGACCTGGATGCTTTAGAAGTTATAAGAGTGAGAAGGAAGTTGACCCACCCTGTGAAAGAGAGGGATGCAGCGGTACCTACAGACTTTTGAGACACGTATCGTAAGTTATCATTGCTTACCATTTTACGCAGCAGCAATAGCTAACATGCCACAGTTTCGTCGATTGCCCTGGTCACGATATTCTCATGAGTACTATGTTGTCTGGTGCAGCCGTCATGGACGCCGCTCTCTTACTTATTGCTGGAAACGAAACTTGCCCCCAACCACAAACATCCGAACATTTGGCAGCTATCGAAATTATGAAGCTCGACAAAGTCATTATTTTACAAAACAAGGTCGATTTGATGAGAGAAGAAGGCGCAAACCAACATTACCAATCGATATTGAAGTTCATCAGAGGAACTGTTGCAGGTGGAGCACCAATTATTCCTATCTCCGCCCAATTGAAGTTCAACATCGATGCCGTTAACGAAGCTCTTGTTTCCAACATCCCTGTTCCACCAAGAGATTTCACCATGGATCCACAAATGATTGTTATTCGATCCTTCGATGTTAACAAGCCAGGTGCTGAAATTGACGAATTGAAGGGTGGTGTTGCTGGTGGAAGTATCTTGCACGGTGTCATCAAGTTGGGTGATGAAATCGAGATTAGACCTGGTATCGTTTCTCGCGACGAAAAGGGAGGTGTTAAGTGTCAACCAATTTTCAGCAGAATCATTACTCTCAACTCGGAGAACAATGAATTGAAATACGCTGTTCCAGGAGGACTTATTGGTGTTGGTACTCGAATTGATCCAACTCTTTGCCGTGCCGATCGTCTCGTTGGTTTCGTTCTCGGTCTCAAGGGTCGTCTTCCTGATATCTACATTGAAATCGAAGTCAACTATTATCTGTTGCGTCGTCTCTTGGGTGTTAAGACTGCTGACGGTAAACAAGCCAAGGTTACCAAGCTCACCAAGAACGAGGTTCTCATGGTCAACATTGGATCTACTGCTACTGGTGCTAAGGTCATGGCTGTTAAGCAAGATGCCGCTAAATTGCTCTTGACTAACCCAGCCTGCACAAACATTGGAGAGAAGGTTGCGCTAAGTCGTCGTATTGAAAAGCATTGGAGATTGATTGGTTGGGCCACTATTGCTGCTGGTGTCACTCTTGACCCAAGCACTTCTTAAGCGAGTGGATAGGTAGACGTGTGTAATATTTTCACACTTAAAAGTAGAAATTCAAGATGGAAGTGAAAAGAAGAAACGCAGCGATGTATTTTGTGACGCAAGTGATGTGGTGATATGATCTGATGGTTTGGTGGAAGGGGGAAAAGGCCTCAATATCTCGGACTCTTCGCCTCTTCTGGTCTGATCATCGCATGCATACTTTGTACTCGAGGTCATGGGATGTTGATAGATTGGGCATTTAAAAGTTACCTAGGCAGCTCGATAATGAAAAGAATTCTTTTGGACAGTGTTTATTGATGTGTTTTGTTGAAGAGTTTGGAGTGGAGTGGAGTGGAGTGGAGTGAGGGTGAGGGTGAGGGTGAGGGTGAGATTGAGATTGATTCTGATTGTGTGGACCTGTGTATGTTTGCCTAGATATGGTGGGTATGGTAGGTATGGTGATTACTTGAGGAATCTCGTACTCGTTTTCTTATTTTGGATTCTGGAGGCGAGAGGAGAGAGCTTGGGTTGGGTTGGATTGGTTGGTTGGCTGATTGGTATGGGGATAGATGGGGATGGGGTTGAGGTTCTCGAATTCGCGTAGTGGAGTGGAGTGGAGTGGGAGTGGGAGTGGGAGTGATGGATCAAATGAAATGAGATGAGACGAGATGAGATGAAATGAGATGAGATGAGTGCTTGGCGGTGAATAGATAGTGATGGGTGATAGGTGATAGGTGATATGAACTTATGTTTTATGGATTGATTGGGGGTTTGATTGGGAGTCGAATGCGGATGTGTATAGAAGATGGTAAGTTTTGAGGGGATAGGGTAGTGCTGATAGGTAGGTAGTCAGAGAGGGAAGGAGGTGGTGGGGTTTATATGTTATTTGTGAGTTATATGTAAGTTATGTGTTATGAGGGAGGGGGTTGTTGTGTATTTGGGTGGATGGGAGGGAGTAGGGAGTAGGAAGTGTGGGATGGTTGTGGTGATGAGATGAGAAGGAATTATGCTATGCAAATGAATCTCGCTGTGTAGTTGGTTAGTTTATCTTAAGACGTGTTTTGATGTGTGCTTTCTGCTGGGTTGGATGTGGATGTGGATTTGTTTGGGATGGATGTTCTACTTGTGAGGTTGATGCTCGTGGAGTAGGAGTTGAAGTTATTTAGTATATAGGAGCGAGATAGAGATAGATAGATGCACACTGTGCATGAACTAAAATCCTCGGTTAGAAGTTTGCAGAGCAGGCAGTGAGTAAATGATTATTGTTGTTGTTTACAAGTGAGATTTATATGTAGTACGTAGATTTGTCTCGGGCTAGATGTCGGGTTAGCTAGGTAGATATTGTGTCGATGCTTTTAAAGAGTTTGGGGGATTGATTCATTGGCTGATTTGTTTATAGGTAGGTATACTTGTAATCTGAAGCTTGGGATTTGGATATCATGTACGCACCCGGATATGGCGTACGATACTTTCAAAGGCGAATAGGAGAATAGGAGCATAGGGGATCTGTGTGGGCTACTGGGAATTTGTTATCTGTAGTTTGATTATTTCTTTGAGTAGGTGTGTATGATACGAAGATATGATAGACATGGAAATTATCCGTATTGTCATTGAACTTTGTGATGGCGTGGCGGAGAATAATAAATACTAGGGAAGTTGTACGTGAAATGGACATGGTGTCCTGTAGGACGACACGACACCATTACGATTGGCATGTAACAGAGTCGATATGAGTCGATCGTGGTAATACTCGAAATCGTAAATCGTAAATCGTAACCGAGGAGTATTTTATTTACCTAAGGTATGTGTCATCAAGATATTAGGGCAAGGTTCTTTGAATAGCGGTCTCGATATCTAGGTACCTTCCTAGTATTCATTTCAGCTAGCTCACGAAACGGGTTCACCGTTGGTCAAGCATTTCATCGGTTCACCAGGTCTTCAAAAACACATCGTTGGTTAAAGGAAGATGCGATGCGAACGATGCGAACGATGCGAAATTCAGTAACTCGTCACCAGATATACCTGCCTTATTTTGATGTAAGACTATACTGATTCCAAGACGAAAAGTAGTACGCCTGCTCACTCTGACATTTCGAACACCCGACGTCTTACAGGCTCTTGCCTCGTTGAATGTATGAGATGAGTAAATATGAGTCAGGCCGCAAGGGATCAAAGCGAGTAATTTTCGCCCCAAGAATGAATGAACACCCAGGTGGAGAAGACAGGATGAACATCGGACAGTTGAAAACATCCGTGTCCATGTCTCGCGGCGACTCTTGGGATCATCGCATCGGATTACGTGGGTTGTGATTGGGTGGGATGGATGTGATCATTCCAACGCGAGCTGATTCGGTTAGGAGTCGAGAAGCATCTAGATGGAAGGAAAGCGAGGAAAGGTTAGGGTAGCTGGGATGAAGAGTGGATGAAAATGGAGATTTTGGCGCTTCAATTTACCCTTTTCTTCTCTTGCCTTCCCCTTGTGAGTAAAATATTGATTGGATTATGTGATTTTTGCTCTTTTGAGTTAATCGAAGTGACAGCTAGGTACGAATAGGTAGAAGGGGATCGATGGAGAGGAAAGTTTTCGGAGACTTTCTTTTCTTCTTCTATGATGACTCTTGTTTCTGCATATTTTTCGAATTCGAGTTCATCGGTTGATGAAGGGTTATATATATATATTCTATTCTTCATCGTCCTTCTTTCCTTTTACTTTCTACCTAAGTCTTATTTCTTATTGATTCAATCGATTAATAATACATCAAGCATCTGTCCAAGATGATCCAAAAAATAACCTTAATTGAAAAAACCATTTTTACCCCAGGATTCTTGAATTGAATTTTATATAATTGGACCTCATTGAACATAATTGGATCTGGACCCTCTTATATCTATCTGTCAAAGAATTTCCAATCTCTTGGGTTGCCCTAGTCTACCGGGCATATTTTTCTTTTTGGATATTTTTATATCAATCACAAAGCCATTTTTTCAACAAGGCTCTCCAATCGGACTTTAATCTTCTTCTATATCCGTTCATTTTCGATCCTCCGTTCATTTTATTCTTTCCTCCGGTCCAAACACGGACGAGGTATCCCGCCGAATTCGTCCGTTGGCAAGGGTTTAAATACAATCTATACTTTTGAGAGTACATACCTAGTAGTTCATTTAAAGATCACTTCTTCAACTACTTGAACTACCTATACCTAGGTACCTACTTGAGGTGTCTTTTACTCATTTCTCTCGTACTTCTTAGAAGCTTTCTCCAGCAAGAGAAACATTATACAACGGGATACCAAATGATGACAGACGAAAAGGTACCACCTACTACCAGTGCTTCGATCAGTTCTTCAAGCACCATGCACGAGAAATCCGACGCCGAACAAGCGATTCTAGCACGCGAAGCGATGAAGAAAGATGCCGAGTTGTCAGAGAAGCCTTCGGAAACGATACCTTCGGTTCATGAAGGCGACAGTGATAATCCCATAGAGTTGAAGAAGACAAAGAGTGCAGCAGAGATACAGCAAGAGGAGTTGAATAGAGTTCACACAAGTGCAGAGGGTGTCGAATATCCCACGGGAGTTAAATTACAGTTGATTAGTTTGGCGTTATGTTTATCCGTTTTCTTGATGGCTTTGGTAAGTTTTGTCGAGTTTTCCTAGCATCATCGTATCGTTTGTGTATGTGTGTTCTAACTGGTGAATAGGATAACTCTATTATTGCAACGGCTATTCCTAAGATTACTGATCAGTTTCACTCGTTGAACGATGTTGGATGGTACGGATCGGCATGTAAGAATCCCTACCATTTGTTGGTTTTGTAGCCCCATGGGGAAGAAACTGGTGAAAGTAGAATTTAATCACTAACATCATACCTTTCACAGACTTGCTTACCACTGCTTCCTTTCAATTACTTTTTGGAAAATTCTACTCATACTTTTCGATAAAATGGGTTTACCTTGTTGCGATTGGTATCTTCGAGCTCGGCAGTTTAATCTGTGGTGTTGCGCCAAATTCAATTGCGTTGATCATTGGTAGAGCTATTGCTGGCTTGGGTAGTGCTGGAATCTTCTCTGGTGCTTTGATCATTGTCGCATACTCAGTCCCATTGGTTAAGAGACCTATGTATACTGGTTTAATTGGAGCTATGTATGGTATTGCCTCTGTTGCTGGACCTCTACTTGGAGGTGTATTCGTAAGTCTGACTTAACATCTCACTTTACGGGAACACAAACATTGACTTGAGCAGACTGATAAAGCAACTTGGCGGTGGTGCTTCTTAATCAATTTGCCAATTGGAGCTGGTAAGTCTCTCCAGAATTTTGTGAGAAAAGCAATCGCTAATTATTCAATTTCTCAGTCACGGTTCTTGTTATATTGGTCTTCTTTAAAGCTCCCGATAGAGAAGCTGTTGCAGACCTCCCATGGAAGGAACGCATAAAGGAATTCGATCTTCTCGGTACCGCATTCTTTATCCCAGCTATCATCTGTCTATTGCTCGCACTTCAATGGGGTGGAACCAAATATCCCTGGGGAAATGGGCGTATTATCGCACTTTTTGTACTTTTCGGAGTATTGATCGGAATATTCATCGCCATCCAATTCTGGAAAGGGGATAGTGCCACCGTACCACCCAGCATCATGAAGAAGCGAAGCATGTGGTCTGCTGCATGGTTTTCCTTCTGTCTCGGATCATATTTCCTCCTTTTGATCTACTATCTTCCTATCTGGTTCCAAGCCGTCAAGGGTGATTCGGCTGTCAAGTCTGGTATTTCTAACATACCAATGGTTTTGACCTTGGTCATTGTCAGGTTCGTACAACCTTCCTTATTCTCACTGAACTTCATACTAACTGAATCTTCAAGTATCATCTCTGGTGCTCTCGTCACAACAATCGGTTATTATGCACCACTTATGATCGTTTCTTCGGTCATCGCATCCATCGGGATTGGTCTCCTGACCACCTTCAAGCCAGATACTAATCACGCTGCCTGGATCGGTTACCAATGTCTCGCTGGTATCGGTATTGGTTTCGGTATGCAACAGCCCCTTATAGCCTGCCAAACCGTCCTCGACATTTCTCAAGTGCCAACCGGTACTTCAGTCATCATTTTCGTCCAAACACTCGGAGGAGCTCTATTTGTTTCTATTGGTCAAAATGTCTTTACAAATAAACTTGCCCAGAATTTGGCACACTATGTACCGGATCTCAACCCAGCAGTCGTTTTAAGCACAGGTGCTACTAGTATTCAAAAAGATATCGCACCAGAATATTTGGCTGGTGTGACAATTTCTTATAACAATGCATTGACGCAATCATTCTTGGTGGCTGCAGTTATGGCTGCACTTACTATTATTGGCAGTGTTGCCATTGAATGGAAGAGTGTTAAGGGAAAGAAAATTGAAATGGCTGCTGCTTAATTCCGGATTTGAGCTGGATTTAAATCTTATCGTTAGGACTTCAAGCTTACGGCTTTCATTTCAGATCGTGAGGGATGGGGATGATAATCTTTTTTGGATGTGCTGCATTTCTTGCGTTGTACTATATACCCCTTTGGCGTTTGGGAAAAAAGATTTGGCCATATAGCTATCGCTTGCGAGGTAAAGTGAGGGCAGCTCACTTGGCTCCTTCTACTTGTATGACACATGAGATAGGGGTTGAGTGTCTGAAAGGCTGGAAGATTTAATAGATAATGGATGAATGCATAGATGGATGATGGGATATGGAATATGTATAAATGGAGAGATGGATAAAGGGGGTAGCAACTAAACTCTACTTATTTTAATTAATAGAACGAGATATCAATCTTAATCATTTATTGTCTATTTTAAATATCAATTTCGGAATGTATGTGCTATTTGGTCTAAGGCCACCACTATCTTCATTTTTTCCCGGCTTTCTCTAGTTCAAATTGGTCGCCTAAACAGCCGATTTTGTCATACCGACAAACTAGCTCATTTCTTAGCCGAAACGCTAGTACGCGCCATCTGCGCTTCTCTCCAATACCAACACCCCACCAATGCTGCTCCAGGCCCCACAGCCACATTCGCGAGAAGTAGTAACGCAGCTGCTTTGCCGACATCGATGGTGGTTCGACCCACGCGTTTGATATCCCACACTGCGTTGCAAGACCAGATGTAGGTAGCGAGGTGGAAGGACCAGAAATTGATGAGGAAGAAGGTATGCAGGGAGGGGGAGGGGGAGGCGTTGGAGAGAGTAGGGAGGAAGATGGAGGGGAGAGAGAAGAGGGGGTTAGGGGAGCAGAGGATGTAGATGAGAGATGAGATGTGCAGGAGGAGACCGAGGATGAAGGTTGTGAGGTAGAGGGTGCGGAGAGGGAGGATGTCGGTGGGAGTGTGGGATGCGGTGGGAGTTTGTGTGGGTGGGGGAGAGAGTTTTCTGAGGATGATGCTGCTGAGGAAGGTGAGGAGAGTAGTGAGGGGGGGGAGGAGGGCGAAGTATTTGGAGAGGGTGAGTGTGAGGGTGGAGGATTGGAGGGGGAGGATGAGGAGGAGAGTTGGGAGAATGTAGCACAGGACGAGGCAGGGAAGAATCGCTTTCATGTAGTGAGCGGGGATGAGACGCGAGAGCGGCCACCAGTAGGGTTCGGCGTTGGAGAAGAGCGTGTAGGCGGTGTAGTAGATGGGGGCGATGATGCCGAAGCCGAGGTATTGGGATAGAGCGAGCCAGATGGTTGGGCTGGGTGATGTTAGTCTTCCTTTTCTTGATAGTCTTTTGGGGAGAAAATGTGAAGGAGAGAGGGAAAAGGAGAGAGGGAAAAGGAGAGAGGGAAAAGGAGAGAGGGAAAAGGAGAGAGGGAAAAGGAGAGAGGAAAAAGGAGAGAGGGAAAAGGAGAGAGGAAATCAAAGGAGGACGTGAATTCCTTACATGGCCACGAGATTCATATCATTACGCTTGCGACATCCCTCCACCAACCAGATAGCCAGCGGCTGAACCAACATCCCATAGAAATACACGCTCAAAACCCCCAATCGCGCATCTTTCTCCGCCGCGCGTTTCGGACTCCTTAGAATCTCCGCCAACTCCTCCGCCAGCCCCGCCTTCTTCGAATGCATCCACATCCCAAGATACGCGCCCAGCGCTAGCGCCATATAAACCGCCATCTGCAACCACCCTACCCGCCCTCGCAATTCCGGGGCTTGCGCCAACTCATCTTTGTACGGGATGAGTTTGGGCCGGGCCAGCAGCTCAACCATATCTAATTTCTCCGCATACGGCTGGTTTCCCGAAAAATTAAACATCACGTCTTCGGTATCCGTGATGGGCAAGAGCGTCAGGGCGATGAATTTATGGAGCCGATCTTCCATCGCCTCTGTGCGCTGTTGCTCATGCGAGGCATCTTTCAGGATTGTCGCGCGCGATTCACGGAGGGCTTGGAGACCCGCGAGCATGTTTGAGACTTCGGACGTTGTGGGCTTGGGGGAGATTTCCAACAATTTCACGAGCGAATTGACGAAGGCGGCGGAAGTTTCAAACGCGGAGTTGCCGCCGTGGCCACCAATCGGGTTGAATTTGTGCGCGGAATCCCCAATCGTAACGATGCGCTCGAAATGCCACTTCTTGTAGACGTATTCGGGCAGCGCGGTGAGGGTGGAAGAGATTTTGCGGTCTTGCAGGACTTTGAAGGAGATGTCGGGGGTGATGGGGTCGTTTTCGTGGGCTTGGAGGACGGCGGCTTCGTCGGCTTTGGTGTAGCGGGGGATGTCGCGGCCGTAGAGGGTGGTGGGGTGTTTGAAGAAGTAGAACCAGTAGACGCGGCCTTCGGGGCCGCCGTTGATGAGGTAGGAGTTTTGCTCGCGGAAGACGGAGTGTAGGTTTCCCGGTTCGAGGCCCGGGATCGGGTTGGAGATGCCGAAGATGCAGCTATAGTCGCAAGGAAGGGCTAAGGAGGCGTTAGTTGAGGGGTTTGGAAAATTTGGAGGGAAGGGAGTTTTGTGTGGTTGGTGCGAGTTGGGTGTGATTGATGATTGACGATTTGTTGCTAGATGTGCTGTGAAATATGCTGGTCAAGCAAACGAGAGCTGAACTTTCGTCATATGAAGGTAACTTCATGGATGAAGTGCTTTCAACACTGTAAAGCATCTACATGCTCTGATAGGATTCATAATCCGGAGAACCATTCATTGTCTGACCACAGTCTAGACTATTGGAAGCCCCGCTTCCAGAGAGTTTCACGCCCAGTGCATCAAAGCCCCACCATATAGCAAAAATCAATAAAAAAATAGAAACCTACCATTATCTTCCCCAGCAGGAATATAGCCCGGAATTTTCTCTTCAGCCAGCCTCCACATTTCCGATCTAGTCTTGCTATGAATTCCATCACCACCGACAAGTATATCACCTGTGAATTCGGATCCATCCGTCATGATTGCCTTGACGCCCTTCTCATTCATTTCGATGTTCGTCAGACGCTTCTCGGTTAGAACCTTGGACTTATCCGTGATATTATCATAGAGCACCTTAAGCACCGCCTGTCGATCGAGAAATAAAATGGGATATCCATGTCTATATTGCATTAGAACATATTCTCGTATTCCAGACAGCACCCATAGGTAAGTAAGTATGTAAGTAAGTAAGTATGTATGTATTTACCTCTGTTCGAAAGAATGTCTCATTCCAGAATGACCCGCGATTCTCTCGCCCTTGCTATTGCGAAAATTGAACTGCTCAACCGGAGGCGCGAGTCCCAGAATCTTGTCGAACAATCCCAATTGATCGAGGATTCGGTTGCCGTTAGGGAGCAATCCTATGCTAGCCCCAACTTGGGGAGCTATGGCGGGGTACGCCTCGAGAATGATAAAATCGATTCCGTTCAGCTGAAGCATGTTGCCCAACACGAGACCAGCCACACTGCCTCCAATAATAACAACTCTGAATGGGATTTTGTCGGCCATCTTCGCAGCTGACTGTTAGGGTAATTCGTATCTTCGTGTCTCGTAATCTTAAAAAAAATAAAAAATTGCTAGAAGTTCGTTATTCTGCAAATAGAAAGAAAGATCAAAGCACTTCTATATACTTGTCCCGCCAAAAATTACACAGGTCCGGAGCTAGAAAAACAAGATCATTCCTAGCGTGGTTTGGTATCGCGTGGCATGTGCATTAACTAGATTCGAAGTTACACGCGTTTTGCGTGTGTGAGTACTTGGAAACGTTGTAACTCTCAGGTCATTTGTTGGGCCTGATCACCACGTGGAAACAAAATCATGTTGTTCATATAGACTAGAGCCCTATGCTTGGAGAATAACGGGCCGCTCTGCATACTCACCATTTAGACAGATAAGAAATTGACCTGTAGCATCCTACGGACATCTTGGCTCCTTGCATAACTGGAGAATAAGACTTTGCTCTTACTTAGGCATTCCAGAGCCCGACAGTGTGGTCCATATGGTAAATAACCGGCAAAAACTATCACCCAAGATTACATGATATATCAACTATGCAACTCACCCATGTTCTGCTACTGCCATAAATCAAAAGTATGCATCGCTTCCACTTACCCTGTCAATATTCTTCACCCATCCAATCATATGATCGGCTAGGAATTAATTTAAGGAATAAGCTTCCGGGAATTCAACGGAGATCATCTCAAAAGTGGGTAGTGGACAAATAAGTGGAGTGGTACAACGAGACATAGTACAATTCTCTCCTGTGAATATGAATTCTCAAGGGACAATACTCCACACTCTCCACTCCCGAATCCTTTCAAACGGTTTCTGACTGCATTAGGAAAAGGATGAATGTTGATAAAAGTGAACGAGTTCTGAATTGAACGAATGCAAGATGATAATGGAACGACTTGTAACATCCATTGGTATTACTACACGAAACGTTTGTGCTACCCCGTACTCTATATACCTTGCTCGGGGCAGGTGTTCCGAATATGATGTATACCCAAATAGGGCTTGCTCGGCTCACCGACCCATGGTGTGTCGTCTGACGAGGGCGAAAGAGGACATCAATATTTGACCCCTGGAAACCCGGCACTCAAGTTTCCCTGCCTGCATGAAAAATTCTTGGTAGTTATATGATTCCCACACGGAAATAAGATTTTGGACGTTTGGTGATCTCTTCTTCTTAGACATGGTATCGCCTATAGCTCTCGACAATACTTGAACAATTCGTTGTGTTAGGTGGTAAGGCGTGCACAGATCCAAAAATATTGTGTATCCTTTCGTGGTATAACATTGCTTTTTAAACTTTCGAGGTTTGCAAAAAGAACCGCAAATATGGAACCTCAGCCCAACCCTCAGGGGTTTTTTCTTGAAGGCTCGACTTTAAAGAACTCCCTAAGACCTCAACCCTCTCTGGTGCAACTTATTAAATTTCACTCGGAGTTGACTTATCTTGATGACTCCGGTAGTTGTGCTATTCGATCGTTCTGTTTGTAGCTTTGTTTCTGAGGCTAACGTCATCAAAAGAGTGCCGGTGGTGTGCTGAGAACATATTAGACCATCATGGTTTTAGAACAGAGGGCTCTTACCATTGTCATTGTCAATTTTGTATTTCTTGGACTATCGACCATTACATTAGCATTGCGATGCTTGGTTCGGGTAACACGTGAAGCGTTCGGCTTGGACGATTGGATGATACTGCTAGGATGGGTATATAGAGTGCCCATTTCACATAGTTTGGAGAGTTTGCTAATTTGATATAGATCATGTTCGTGGTGAATGTCTCCATGTCGACGATGTCCGCAATTCATGGCCTGGGTGTTCATAACCTTACTATTACTGCCGCAGAAATGGAGCCTGCAGTCAAGGTTAGTACATACATGTGGATAGTGGTGTTGAAATTAAGGTTGCTAATTAAAGAGAACAGTACTTCACTATCTTTCAAATCTTCACCTTGACAGGCACACTACCAGTCAAAGCTAGCATCTGTATCTCCCTAATGCGCATAACACCCAGCCTGACCTACAGAAAAATTCTCTACGCAATCATGGCAGGGTCCGTAGCGACAGTCCTCATTTCCGACGTCGTTGTTATTGTAACATGTCGACCCATGGCATTCACCTGGGACAAAACCATTCCCGATGGAAAATGCAGCAGTATCAATGCTATCCTCATCCTAAGCTATTGTTTCTCGGCCATGAACATCATCACCGACTTGTCTACTGCCCTCATTCCCGCATTCATAGTATGGAACTTGAAGCTCTCTCCTAGAATCAAAGTCGCCATCAGCATTCTCCTAGGAATGGGTATGTTCGCTAGCATAGCCACGATAATTCGTGTCAAATATTTTCCCAACTATGCAAAAGCAGTTGACTATCTCTATGGCGTGGCTCCCATCGTCTGGTGGTCTACCATCGAAATCGGTTTAGGAATAATAGCAGCATGTCTCAGTGCTCTCAGACCATTACTCCGTTTCGCTTTAGGAAATGGTTCCTATGGCCCCTCAGACGATAGACCCAGTCCTCCAACCATTGCAACACCTCATAAAAAAGGCTACATGAAAGCTCGCGCCATCAGATTACGGAATATTGAAGATGGTCTTGCAACGACCATGGTCACGGGAGCTGGGAACGAAACTGCAGATAATTATAATGAAAGCATAAATGCTAGCGATGGGGATAAAAGTAGTCAAAGGGGGATATTACAGCATATTCCAGAGCAGCCCGAACCGAAATGTACTGGGAAGGAAGTAGGTATTTTGGTTACGCAAAGTTATAAGATTGAAGATGAAGACACCGAAGACAATGTCTCTAAAGACAGAGGTTGTAAATACAATGGTAGCAATGAGTCAAGGGAACGAACAATACAGGATATAGTATAAGGACAGCTTATGACGACAGACTACGTGCCATACTTGTAATGATATTGGCGGAATGAAATATTCTGTGAGTAAATTGAATATGGGGATCTGTAAGAATTTGACTTGTGACAGGGAAGATGAAATTTAATAAGAAATGATGGTTTGAGTGTTGATTATATCAGATGTTGTTACTGAGTATCTTAAAGCTAGAGAAACACCCAAAATTACCCGAAACCCTAAAATTCTCTAAACGATACATCCAACTCGGATGCTACATAAGTAGAATACACTCGACTGGCGGTTGACAAATTTGTTTGCGTGGTCTGCTTGATTGGAGAACAGAGCAAACGCGAAAAGAAAACAATGATGAGGTAAAGCTGTGTACATATGCCGTTTCTGAAGCAGATAACGTGGCAAGAATGAACAATCTGCTGAGAATCGTGTCATGCCAAATAAACTTGTCGTATAAAGTGATTGCCTATTCATCAAGCAAGCAGCTTTATCTAAGTGTAAAGATACAAGAACGCTGCTCCGGGTGACCCGGGGATTGCCACTGTATACCCACAGCTTCACTACTAGAAGCCGAGCCTTATGAAATGCAATCGGGAGCCGCCTTAGGTGTGAAAGCGAATCATTGTATTTCGAAAACTTTCAGAAAGATTGACAGCTTCATCGTTGCTAAATGAGTGTTTACGTAAAGTTGAACGCTGGTGAAAAAGGTCGTGCCCCTTAGATACTATATCATGTGACGCGGTTGGCCCGAAAGACTAAAACAGATTAGCGCGTTCCTTGCTCACTGATCCAGCCGTTTACAATTGTCGTCGTCGCAAGTGACAAGGCCAGTTTTAGAAGCAATACAACCACATATCCTCTCCACATTTCAAATCTCATATTCCGCAACATCCCCTTAGTCTGGGTATTTCTCAAATTCTCTTAATTAATTTCCATAACATCTGTACTTTCAAGCTTCCGTTCGTTTTTAATTGAGCACGTTTCTGGGTAAACAGCGCCTCTCTGCGCGGATAGCTTGCCCACTACATTGGGTCAACAATTAAATAAGGCCATTTCCTTTGATCGCATAGATCCAGAGAATCAGTAAATATGGCTCCATTACCAATCAAGTTTACGGAGCTTCTCCAGGTATGATATGAGTTGTGCGATGATGGGATTGTTGACTTCTGTTTACTGACTTGAATTTAGTTAACAAGTGTCGGGGTTGAGGTATGTACCAGCCACAACACAGCTATTCTCACCAGCTTCTGCCATAACAACTTCAGCTTCAAACATCCAATCTCTATCTGGCTTGCTAACGATTAACCCTGTAGGCACAATCGATAGGTTTTAATTCATGTGTAAGTAATTCCGTAATTCTGAATTGAGCTTTGGGCATATGTTGATTACTCGAATAGACACTGGAGTCAGATTCCTACATCTGCGTACGAGAGAAGAAGAACGAAGCTGCACAACCAGAAGTCGTCATCGTTGATCTAAAACAGAACAATGCTGTCACTCGAAGACCTATTAAGGCGGATAGTGCCATTATGCACTGGTCAAAACAGGTCATTGCATTAAAGGCACAATCAAGGACCTTACAGATATTTGACTTGGGCGCCAAGGCGAAGCTGAAGTCTGCTACCATGAATGAAGATGTTGTCTTCTGGAAATGGTTCAGTGAGACAAGCTTGGGATTGGTTACCGATACAACAGTTTATCACTGGGATGTATTTGACCCAAATCAGGCATCTCCGGTAGAGGTCTTCAAGAGAAATCCAAATCTTGCTGTGAGTCCTGTTTATCTCTAGGAGAATGAATGGTATTAATGTTACGCTAGGGCTGCCAAATTATCAACTATCGTGTTAGCGGCGATGGAAAGTGGATGGTAGTCGTAGGCATTACACAACAACAAGGACGAGTGGTAGGAGCGATGCAACTTTATTCAAAAGACAGAGGCATCAGTCAGGCTATCGAAGGTCACGCGGCAGCATTCGGTACATTACGATTGGAATCGGCCCCAGCAGATACAAAGGTATTCACATTTTCGGTTCGGACTGCTACTGGCGCAAAGCTACACATAGTCGAGGTCGACCACCAAGCTTCAAACCCAACATTCTCGAAGAAGGCAGTCGATGTATACTTCCCTGCT